TCCCGTGGCAGACCGCCGGGGCCGTGGTGGTACGTGTCGTCATTCGAAGACCATGTCTAAAGCCAGTGCACTTCCCATACCCTGGATTTGAGCTTGACGTCGATGTCGATGTGGACTGGAATTATGGAAGCTCGCAGAAAACCGCACGCTCGCAAAAGAAAGCCCATTGGGGCGCGAACGATGACATACACTGAGCTATGACATATCGGATCAGTTTAGCGAAATTTCGACATTTTTTGATGATTTCCTTGCTGCTGGTCCGGAAAAGACAAGTAAGGTTATATGTAATTTTCAAAGAAGGACGCACGTCCTCCGGTAGCGCGAAGCGCTGCAGCGAGCGGGTCAAGTGCACCCGTACCTCCGAGAGAGAGGCCTCGAACAGTGGAGCAGGAGGTCTTTTCGACAAATTACAGTGAGCGTGTTTGGGTTGCGTTTGATGCAATTGTGCGTGCGCTGATCATAATTGCCTTATCCCACGGCCTCGGAGGGGCATAGAGCGGCGCCGCGAAGATGGTGGATCTGGATAATGATAAGCGCTGACGTTGATGCTGCAGTGGTTGATGCCAATCCTCACCGACTCGGGTTCTAGTCTGTCGAGCACAACACATTCCCCAGAGAGCGCAAATGAAAAAGAAAAAAAGATGGCCAGATGGCTTCAACCCTGTGACTGTTTCGCAGCAGGACCGCTGGCGTTCGGAAAGGAAGCTTGACGGTGAAGATAGAGAGTGGAGCGGAAATCCGGAAAACACTTGGATGGGTTCGACGAAGCTCGAGACTCGCACGGCTAGAAGGCCTCACTATATGCCTTTCCGGGAACGTCATTGCACACGATGATCCCAGCGGCATGAAGTGGAAACCGGCTGAAGAAGCCCAAAAGACGCAAAATAGAGGCCTAGCGGAGCCATTTGACGACTATCAGGCGTGAATTAATCACTGGGAGACAGAATTCAGAGGAAACAGAACCCGCGGGAGTGTTCTCTCGCTGGCAGTAACTCACTATCTACATATGATAATGGCTGTCAGTCAGTTGGGCGGTACACTGCGGTAAGTACACAGGTCAGCTGGAAGATGATGCAGGCGCACCTTCCAATCGCAACGGCTCCGACATCGCCGTCTCACTTGGACGTCCAGCGTCCGTCGTCGTGGGTCCGTGGCCCGTGCACCTCTCGCCAATGGTTCCAATCGTCACAGGCCGTGGCCGCCGTGCGCCAAGTCGAAAAGATCTCTATCCCAGCGAAGCAACTCTCAACCTGAACAGTGGGTGGCATGGTCGACCCGACTTACGATGATTTGGGTTATCGCCCGAACGCAACAGACTCCGAGAGATCGCTTATGAAGGTAGGTATGTAGAGATATGCCCCGATCCGTCTTCCGTTGAACCTGCACTGGCGGCCTCGTCGTAAGAAACTTCCTGGAAAAGCGCAGAGACTTTGATATTTGCGAGTCATGTGAAGAGGAGAGGACTTTGCATTAAATTAGTATTTTCTCTTGTTCTCTATCTCGACTTGGACGTCGACCTCGATTCTTTGAACTGGGAAGCGTGAAAGGACTGCCTCCTGAGTGTTGGATGGGGCTGTAATACAGAGAAGCTTACTGGGAAACGTCTATCCGGGCTCAAGTATGACTTTGTCGTGGCACATTGGCATTGTGTGAAGGAGGGTTGCATTTATTGGACACAAGGAGCAACTTGTCCCGCGGAAATCGAGGACAACTTTGACCCGTCCGATGTCAGATATCGTCAAGCGCCCACCCCAGAGCCAACGAGATTAAACGCACACTGCACGGAGTGAGGTTATCAAGGGCTCCTCTCAGCGAGCGGCCGAATGCATGGTGTCGACATCGACGACGGGCCCAGCGCTGGGGAGAGTGTGTCGGATGGCCCATCTGTGAGGGGTATCTGTCAATGGAGGTGGATCAGCAGACTGTATTAGATAGCACAGACTCAGAGGCATCCTCTCCGAAAGGAATTCTGAAATTTTAGCACTGACATGCGGCACGTTCGTCACCGACAAGAGCAAGTGACTCATGGGCTTTGCCAACGGCACAGCGGGCCTTCGGGACGGCTCGTTGGAGGGCTTGATTTTTTCTTACATTCATCGGCCTGTCAGAATGTAATCACAGATGCGGACGCAACGCGTAGCCAGGTCGGAGAGGTGAGTCCGGGTCTGCGTCCGGGGTGATGCTTATCTCGCCAGAAACCTTGCTCCTTTGCGACTTGCTTAAATCCTGAGTGACAAGTGCATCATATCAGCGCCCTGAACAGCAACGATAGAAGAGGCCCGTGTTTTCGAGGACCAGAACGGAACAATATTACTTCACTTGACAAGAACAATACTTGGCCCTCGCAGCTTGTATTTTGAGTTGCATTTTCGCGCCGTTAACATCCCGTTAATTCAGAGCATCGCGGTTGATGTGCTAGCCGAAAAGCAAGGCCTCGAAAGAGTAAATGGAAGGGCAGTGGAAAGGGAGAATAAGACAGGAACAGGATGCCGGGAATGGTGGGACGCTATCCGGAGCCAGTTGATCTGGAGGTGATACGGAAGATCGACTCGTCATACGGGATGCTTTGTGACATTTGTCAGGGGCAGGCACCGTCTGTCAGATTGCGTATGTGGGCGTCTGAGCTGTGCACACGATGTCAGCGACGAGAGAGTTGGGACCATGGCTGAAAGGAGTAGAAAACAGAAGATGTGTGCGTGTTCGAATGCTGTTTTTGTTTTGCAGGAAAAGGCGGTCATGAATCGCGAAGGCACAGACCAGGCACGTCCAATAAGCACGTCATGGCAGTCTGGATGAGTTCAAGGGGTGGGTTGGAGAAAGTGGCTGTGATGCAGGAGGGAAACAATGTCGGCAGATCTCTACGCAGAGGTCGGCAGTTGTTCTCGTTCCTGTTCCACCTCCCGACTGGAATGTTCAAGGCCTTCACTGACAAAGAGAAATCAAGTGAATAGGAAAGAATGGGTCCATGATCTATGGATAAGATGAAGTGAGAGTCACAAACGGCGCCTAGATTGGGGCGTTTGCGGCCAACCTTTCAGGGACTCTTGGGCACAGTTGGAGGCGGAGAGCGGTTGGCCGAGGTCAAGGTGGTCAAGGCCCTGCACAGTCTTGTATCATTCGTGCCTTCTTGATGATGCGAGAGACAGCGACAACCGCCTCAAGAGATTCCGAGAGCAATGAAAGACGCGAGAAGGAGGTGATACGTGCAACAGAGACAAAGGGAAAGTGAAAGTGAAGAGCAAACGGCGACATCGGCGATTGCCATTTACAGCGCACGTGATTTATAGCAGCTTGAAGTCCGCCAATGGGCTCATCTCTTTTGGCCACCCACTCAGTTCTCCACGACGAGCGTCGAGCGACCGTCCATGATGCCCTCGCTCGTCGATGGGGCCCCTTTGAAGAAACGCCGTTCGTCTCGTCTCAAAGACAGAGAAGGTACGTTGCTTTGCCACCACAGACGCGTCTCCACGCTGATCTTGCTTGCATTCGTTTGCTATTATCAGCCGCAACGAGGGCATCTAGCACGGCAAAGGAAAAATCGGTATCCGCTCCAAGACCCGGCAGGACAAGAAAGCCCGTTTTAATCTCTTCTCTGGTTAATGCCCGAGGCTGCGATGAAGAGAGTGCATCGTCTGCGAAGCCACCTTATACTTCCGGTTCCGACCGTCGGCGATCGCGACGGATAACCCACAAAGATCTTGACCGACGTGAGAGGAGCCTTGTGCAAAGAGAGGAGGAGCTCAAGGCCCGCTCCATGGCTCTTGACCAGCGGATACTGTCTGTCGAGAAAAGGGAGGGCGAGGCATCAATGATGATGTCACGAATCGGAGAACGAGAGAAAGAGGGGGTCCTGAAGCACCTCGAGGAATATTTTCTCTGTTCATTGTAAGCCACTATCACGTTTACCCCCTTCTTCATTTTTCGCTGAACGTAATTCATCTCAATTGCAGATGTTACGAAGTCCTAACAGCCCCTTATTCGTTGAACCCGTCGCACTGTGGTCACACATTCTGCGGACTTTGCATCCTCAAGTGGTTCTTTTCCCGGTTGCATCGCCATTGCGGAACCTGGCACGAATCCGTCGACTGTCCGATGTGTCGAAGCCTCTTGATAATCACCCCAGACAGCACTCCTCGGCTACAGTTCACGTTTCCATTCGTGCCCAATCGCGTCGCAGCTGCGGCTATTGAATCCCTCGTCGAGAAGCTCTTCGAACCGCCGACGTGCTCGCAAGCGAAAATTAAGAGAGAAGAAATCGAAGGCACGTGTGCATCACAATCGAGGAAAACGCGCAGTGGATGTGTGCGGAAGAGGGAAAAATCGGAAGACGAGGACTCTGAAAGGGTGGTAGAGAACGCGGGCGTGATGGCATGGGGAGAGGATGGACATCTGAGGGCGGAGTGGATAAAAAAGGACAGGTCAGTGCATTCTCGCCGTCCCCATCTCAGACGCATGTTAATTCATAGGGGTCATTGTTTGACGTCTTCAATCTAACAGAGAAGGCAAAGAAGAAATGCGTTATCTATTGAGTCGCTGGACCGCGATGCGACCGCAAGAATTTATTGCGATGAAAGAGAAACTCGGCGTTTGAATGGCCCCACCACACAACTTCTACCCTCGTATCCCGTCCACCCGCTTTTTCGTTGTCCACTTCCAACGCCATCGCCGGGATATCCGCTCGATCTTGATCAACGGTTGTAACTTGTCACAACTATTCGCTACACACCTTTGTCCTCGTCCTTGCACACCGGCACGATTTACCTGCTAGCCCACCTGCTCCCAACTTAATATTTTTTTTTATTCTTAACAACAACGCCTCCTGGATCCGGTTAGTAATATGCATCCCCTTTCTCTCCCTCTCTCCTCCAGCATATCATCTGTAATTCGCACTAGCTTTCGCACAGCAATCTCGCAACATCGTGTAACATTATAGTCAATAGCCAATACAATTTTCGTTCACCAGGGAAAAACCCGCGGCAGTTCCAAGATACAAGAACTACATTACAGATAGAAGCAGCGCTCTTTGAGGGCACGCATTCCGAAGACGTCCTGTGGATGGATTAGCCGTTGCCCTCATGTTGTCAGTCTGGACGTACCCAATCCGATGCAGTAATCCATAATTCTGATATGCTGTCCATCTTCGCAAGAACAGCAGCCCCTTTCCATGCTAGAACGCGGGGGTCGACCTCTTTGGGCGGCGGGATAATTTGAACTTTCTCCATGTTCGGGACCAGAGGTGTGGCGATGGCTTGCAGCCTGACAGGAAGTCAACAAAAATAAAAACGACGCGCAGAACAGATCTTCACCTGCTCTCCAAAGCATGAGCCATGCCAGGTATCAGTGCTGTACCGCCGATAACGAGTACCGCCTGGAGGTACTTCCGAATCTTCTCATCCCCACCAGCTGCACGAGCACTATTGAAAATAGCAACGTCTAGGGGAAGCTTACTCGCTTCAAAGCATACGTCGATCGCAAAGCCACCTGGATACGATGGAGGGGTCGGGGTGGGCTGCTGCTGCTGCTGCACTTGGGGTACCTGCGACGCCTGGGGAGGTTGTGACAAAGAAGCTTTGCTTTCATCATCCACGTCGATCACCTCGACTGGGCCGTCCACGGCTGTTGCTTCTGGTGGATTGGGGACTGCACTATCAGTATCTACCTCCATCGGCTCCGCATCTGGGTCAATTTTAGACGGGGTTGCGGTTTCTTGACAAGCGGATTAGAAGGTGCGCAGGACTGGAGGCCATGGGAGAATGGAGTGCGAACCTTGGGTGCCATCGACTGGAGCTGCTGAAGGCGGAACGGCAACCGCCTCAGGAGGTGGCTGCTGCACTGCGGGCATCAAGTGTTGAGTAGATATGACCATGGCATTGGTCTCCACAAGGCGGTCAGTTGTGTTGGAAACTCGACAAGCATTCTAGGAACCTACCACGTAGTCCCCTTGATGCCCAATAATCTCCTCGGTGACATATTGAGACGTTGGGCGGAAATTGGCGCGTTTGCTATCAAATTCCACCACACGGGGCTCGAACAAACACTGGCCGAGGTATACCTGAGTTTGATTTGATTTTGGAGACAGCAATGAACCCACCATGGGTGCCAGAATGATTTCATCGTAAGCGCGAAGACCGTATTTCTCCGTCAATTGATTTGGTCTCCGGACAATGAAGTCGTAGAGGTTGAGTGCCACATCAGTCTTTGCAATCTCAGTTAGGAGGCAACCAGAATGAACAAGAGCAGACTCACATCTGCGAGGGTGCATAATCGTATCTTGAGGTCTTCCATCACGTTCCAATCATACGAGCGATTAAGATCCAGGTCTCGATACGGAAACTTTATACGGCCAAGCAGTACACTGAGGAATTCAGTAATATCGTCTCCGCCGATATTCAGCGACATCCTGTCAAAAGACAATCATTCAAGCGGGGATATTAACCTCAGAGGCACCTGCGTACCGTGTTTCAGGTAAAACAAGGCCCTCATCGACACAAGCAATACTCGTCTTCGTGGCGCCAATATCGACGACGCAAGCATTCGAGATTCCAGCTCCGTACGTGGCTGCAAGAGACTCCTACGCTCCTTAGATTCTCTTTTCGTCCACCGTGGAGACTACCCACCTGTTGTGCACATAGCTGCTTGAAACCTAGCGTCACAAGGAGGAGGTCGACAAGTTCTCGGACATAAGACCTATCGTAGAAGTCTGGAATAACTAGTATCACCGAATAATTCTACCAGGCGGGTCAAGGGCGAAGTTATCAATAGTTACAGAAATGTACCTTGTAGTCGGACGTCGGGATATTTAGCCTGTCCCGAAGTGTACTTCGGAGTAGGACCTCGATGTCGCTAAGTATTGCTTGACGAGAGGCGTAATCCCGAGTGTTGAAGTTCGGCCCATAGATAGGCCACTTAACCATGTAGTTCGAGCCTATGGGGTCAATAAGACGGAGGGCCTAAGACATATGACTCAACAAAAAGAGGAATAGCAGGTTAAATAGACCCATATTCACCCTCTCTCCAACCAGAACTTCGTCGGATTTTGTGCCGTCAATCCATTCCATTTGCAAATCATTGTGCTCTGCAATTCTTTCCGGTTTGAACTGTTCATTGAAGGTCGAAGCCAGCTTCGTCGCATTCGGAGTGACGCGCAATTTGTAGAACCTCATTCTATCTCGAAGGGAAATGGTGATTGCGGCCAGTTTGGCATCGAACTCGAATGTCTTCGTGAATGTAAAATCGCGTACATCACGTAGGCACTTACTGGGTCGCTCTCCTGTACTCCATCGGTTATTATCTTTTCCTCCACTGGCTTCCTCGGTCGACAAACCAACTTGACACGTTCAGATGGCTCAAGAGGTATCTTCGACTTTCTCGCGACAACACAGGGTACTGAAACAGGATTCACTTCTGAGGCCCTCCCAACACGAAGGAACCGCGATCCAGGATGAATAACAATCACCTGTGAACCGCGCCTACTCAGGTTAGACAGCTCATCGGAGGAGGTGGCTGAAGCATACCTTTGGTCCTGGGCGCTCTCTTCGATGAAAGGAGCCTTTCCCTTCCGAGCGGTGTTTCTAGCCCATATAGTTTGCGATTCTGATTTGAGATAGGTAGAGCTCGCATGTTTCGGATTAAAGCTAACGATGTCGTTTAGTTCGACTTCTACATTGCAGCACCTCGCCACACCTTAAGGGCACATTGAATGTCGTGTAGCGCATTCCAGTCTCATCGCGTTTCGCATTCGGTATTCCACGTGGCATGAAATTTTCTGAGTAAACGGATACTAGGAGGAGCTCCTTTGACGTGATTAGGAAAATAGCAAGAAGGAAGAGTCAAAACATTCTGGTTGAGAACGCGTTCGAAGTTCAATGATCACGGCAGACCGGGCCGTGTCCTGATTCAGGGCTGTTGGGTCAGATCCAAACCCTTAGGCCTTATTATTGAGAGCCAGTTGTAGTGTCTTCGAGCGTTAGATTATTACGATAGTACAAGAATACAATACATAGTTGACTAGTAGGTATAATAAATTCAGTGTCCAGATTACCAGAAAGCACACCATCCTGAGAAGCACTGGCATAAGTTTTCCAAAGCCGTTGCTTGTTCGATCAGTTTTTCGACTTGAGCAGGCACACTTAACACAACTTCCGGATTGAAATCCCGTCCTGGAGATGAAAGATTGGTTCATTCCAAAGCCTTATGCAAGTACGTTTATCAAACTTACCTGTGATTTTGTTGAGGACACGGTTGTAGACAAATAATGCCCTTTCGTTCCGAACTTCTTGAGCGCCACCAGGTTGTCCTTCGTCTGTCCAATACATCAGAAATTTGAACCAGCATGAAACAATCCTATTTACCGTTGAAGATGTCGTTTTCGTCAGCTTTCAACTTGCGCATAGGACCTTGTGGATGACCCGCCACTCTAGCAAGCTCAGCTTGTCGTTCAGGATCCATTGCGGGTTCTAACAAGATAAGTCACTAAACATGGCAAAAATCACCGCAAAGGGCTTACCTTCTGTTCGGCGGGCTTCAACTTCGGTCTGCATCAACCTCCAGTTGATCAGAGGATCATAGACAAACGCCTCAAGGACGGCCATCAGAGATTCCTTGTTATCACGGAGGACCGTCATTGTAATTTCACAAGTATTCTTAAAGCTGCCTTCGATGCCGCTGACCTATATTCCGATAAGTATGAGTGCCGTGAAGACGAAAACATCATATACCTCCATCGCGTGGGTCAGCATTCTTGTCAGTCGGAAGGGAACCTTCTCCGGGAATTTCTCGCGATGCATAGCAACTTCGAAGCAATCTCCGAAATCAATGTGAACAACTTTGCCTGTGCTGCGTTCGAGGAGGACATTTGACGGATGTCTGTCACCAAGTCCTAGAATATGGCCAACCATACTGTTGACCGCGAGTGAACGAGTATACGTGGCTCTCCGTTCCAACCAGTGTTCAGAGTTGTCACTCTTGAGCCACAGAACGCGATATAGGTCCTGGCCAGTGGTATTTTCCAGAGCGTACTCGAAGACCTCTATTTTCTGTAACAGGCAAAGGTTCTCGTAGTCGGGTGCCATCTACGAACTCTTCTGTCAGCGACATTATTAATGTAGACAGATGACATCTACCTGAAGCATCAAGCGATATTCGATGTTCAGCAGGACTTTTCTAGACTCTCTGTAGTCCCTGATCAGAACATGCAGGGTATCACTGTCTTGCACCCATCCGAGAAGACCAGCGTTTGGTGCTAAAGGAATGACTGGGTATCTTTGGATGTGCAGGCGTCTTTTGAAGCTGTTGGTATCAACGGAAAGAAGCGTGTTCACGAGGCCGAAGAGTTGCATGACTCGCTCATCTTGACGAAGATCTTCGTGACCTGATAGCAAAGGAAGTCAGAGAGAATCGTAGAAAAGTGCATCTATAGCCCTCACCTTTCAAGACATACTGGTAATCTCTGCCATCGTTGCCTTTCAACGAGAGACGCCTTGGTCGCTGCTTTGAGACAATGACAGTCAACTTCGTGGCAAAGCTTGCGATCTTGATGATAGGTCGCCCAGCTTGGTAGGTGCCTAATGAACGAATATCAGTTACAATCCCAGCAATCTCTTGATCAAGACTTACCAGGAACGGCAAGATCAAGGTTGCGAGCTTTCAACAAGCTCGGGGAAACATATTGGAGGTCCAAAGTTGTCAACTGCGGCAGGGACTTCTCGACCCTCTTAAAGACCTGTTTGATAAGACACAATGAGAAAGAAACCGAAAGGAGGAAGATGAGTCAATTACTCCATAATAGATGTCCCATGCTCTGTCCAGTTCACTGGTATCACCATAGTTGCGATATCTGCGACAAGCCTCTCGTGCCTCGTGAAGCTCTCGACCGAACACTTGAGCGAATGAGGTCTCTCTTGCTGTAGTTGGACCCTGGGATAAACGAATCAGCAGGTTGGTCTGACGACGAATGTGATCCACGAACAGCTTCCAGGAGTTCGTGCAAAGGCTCCAGTGCTGCAATCATCCCTGCAGCATTCTTTTCTGAGAAGAAAAGACGGGATGCCTCCTCCAGGCCTTCGTGCCAAAGCTCGTACCACAGGATTGCAACCCGAATGAGTTCGCGACTGACAATCAGTGCCTTGGGGTGTTGGCATTAGCGCTATCATAGAGAGCACATGAACTGAACCTATACCTGAGACACGATCGTTGGGCTGTGTTCGCGCATTCGTTCCATAATCGCGGTGGCAGCATTCTGGCGGGCGACGCTAGAAGACTTGGAGGCCACGGTCAAAGGGTAAATGAGTGCTTGTGGGTGATGTTTGCCAACATCTGTCAGGAGATGGTTTATGTTTCTGCGGATGTTCGCATGTGGAGTTTGAATTCGGGCAATGATCTGCATACAAGTAAGTAACATCTTTAATCATTTCGCGTAGAATAACATACCTGAGGAATGACTTCAAGCCAGGTATCAACCTCCACAGTCGAGAACCCATTACCCATGGCGTTGCTAACATCCTCGTGCGCCCCATACTTAAACCACAAGGTAAGAAGACGAAGGGTGTCTTGAAGTGCGTCCTGGTTACGAAGAGCAATCGAACGGAAGAAGCCTACTACACATTTAATAGATGTAGTAAAAAATACGAAGAGACGAACCTTCGACGGCTTGAACAACATGAACTGCCAGTCTATCTCCCACGATGTCACTGGCTCTACCCTCTGTCTGGCCTTCCATGAACGCAATGACATCGAAGTTTGCCAGTGCCCACGTATGCCATGCTTTGTACCATGAGGTGTCATAACGAGTTGCTAAATGGTAAGAATGAAGAATGTCCTCGATATTCCTCTATATGACAGTGAGAACGGATTGAAAGAAAAGGCCACAAAAAACTGACGGAGCCCCAGTCGTCTTTGAGGGCAACTTGCCATTCGCCTTGCTTGTAGTAACAACGTGCGACGAGCTTTGACAGTTCTGCTATTTTCTGTTTCGGCACATGGGAGCGTTGCGTTTGCGGGTTTGTCTCTTGCATGACGTCACGAGCAAGGCTTGCAGAAAACTGACGAAGGAAATTTAAGCTATCGTCCTTTGCTCCTGTTGACCACATATATTTGAGCTGCGCATAAACAACATTCGGCGGTGCTTTGCTGTGGTGGTGTTCGTGCATACGCTAGGCAAGTACTTTAATAACATGCAGACACAACCAAAAGAAAACTTACCCTGTCAGGAGAAAGCAAAGAATTGATCGTCTTCTCAGCGAGGACCATCCGGTCGCTCTTGCGGCACAAGTTGGAAAATTTAATCCACATCATAGGATCATCTTCAGGGTTGAGAACAAGGGTCCGAACTTGCAGTATTCGCTGCCAGACTTCCACATCAGGTTGGCATCCTTGTATCCTATGTTGTAATGAGTAAATGCACTCAATTGCGAAAGATGAAATTACCTCTTCATCCAGGTCTTGCGCATGGTCATTTGACGTTCTGGTTGGTCGGCATATTGCTTAAAGGCAATGATTTCCTCCAATTCTGAGAGCATTTGCGCTCGAACCATGACACTAGAAACAGTTACGCCACGATTACCAGTACCTTATAATTCCACACTTACTTGTACGATCGACCATAACCCTCTCCGACAAATGATGAGAGTTCTGGATCCAGAAGGTCACGAGCCTTTGCGATATGAACCAGAGCCTTGGGGAATTGATTTTGATGAACCGACAGAATGGCGCGATAGAAGGCACGATCAGGAGAATCTGGCTTCATCGTGGCAATGTAATCATCCATGGAATCCCATTCGTTCAGAGACCAGGCAGCAGCAGCAGCCATTGGGGCAATCTCTCGACGATCCTCCGCATTGGCATTTTGCCAAACTTCGTCCACCTGAGCAGCCAATTGATCCCATTCTCCGAGGGCATGGAAGCACTTCATGCGACCTATTCGGACGTCCGGCGCATTTGGGTCAAGTTCAGCTTTCCGGTCGTAGGCCGCCAAGGCCTCTTGCCAACGTCCAAGACGTTCGTACCACTCTTCGTGCTTTGTAACATCATACTGCTCACGGGCGGTGAGCAAGGTGCCCCAGGCGGCGTCATGCTGTTGTAGTCGAGTATTGATTGAGATGAGGGCCTCGATCACGGCCGGTGATGATTCCGAGAAATATTCCAGCTCCTTGTAATGTAGGGCCTTAGCATAAGCCATGTATTTCATGGCGTATTCACCCAGGGTTCGATGCTCTATTGGCAAGGGTTTCTCTTCATGTTCCATGAATTCGGCCAAATTCAAGAGACGATGAATGAGCTCAGAAGGGGCAGTTGAGGACGTGATGGCATATTCGATTGATCGAACAAGATCTTCCTATAGAACGGAGCAAAAAATTAGAGGCATACAGGATTAGGCCAGCGTGAACAAACCTGGTATTGGTCATAAAGTTCGCTCCAGCACGATAAGAATGCTGCGTTGAAGAGCTCTTTCGCCAACGGTGGGTGGATATCGACAAGACTCATACACGCTCGAAGGGCATGAGATGGGGACTCCTTCATGAATTCGACGCCGAGTCGGTGCATCCATTCTATCCAGTCGTTCCTCGTGGTAACCTGCGATATATCCCAAGCTTGCTTGAGATGTTGCTGATTCACAGTCATCTTTGTCGCTTCTGCAGGCGCTGAGAATTCTGGGGCTTTGGCATTTTCACTTAATCTATCGCACCAATTAGCACAAAAGGTGTCGAAGACAGTGTAAAAGAGACGGACAGAAGCTCCAAAACGCCTGCCTCTTGAGGAAGCCTCTCGCCATTGAGAAGTTTGGAGATTAAGTTCTCATATTTCGGATGCGGAATACGATTTCTCATCAAGCACTAGATAGACAACTGTCATGAAATTTCGACAATTAGAAACGCAGAAACGCACCTTGCTGATCGTGGGTACAAAGATGGCGAAGTCAGATCCCAGTTGTATGACAAGAGAACAAAGGGTGTCCATGACCGTCATGCGCAATTCATTGTTTCCACCTTCGAGGACCCGGACCAAGGGGTGGATAATGCGGGATGCATGATCAGAGAAGTTGACTCTCCGTGAAAGGCCATCGATGGTCTGAATGGCCCGCTTGCGAAGGGCAGTCAACGACTCGGGACGTTCCACGTATTCTTGTCGTTCGTACGACTTGACGATGATAGGTATTACAAGGTGTAGATATTCCTCGATGTTCGCCCCAAAGGTCAGGAATGCATCGAATATCTTGATCTGCGTATTGATCCTCTTCTCGGTCAATTCACCATCGAAAACCTTGAGGATGAGGGGAAGGATGGAAGGCAGGAAGGGTTTGAACTCTGCATCTAGTGCCTTCCCAAAGGCTTCAACGAGAGAAACAATGGGAAGTTGAAGCGTGGCATTTTCCCAAAGTTCCGTGACCAGGTTGAATACCTCGGGCATATAGTTGCGGACATGTTGCTTGATGATGCCGGTGAGGATAGCAAGTTGCTGCAAATGGAATTCTTGGAGACGAGCAGCTGAACCTCTAGTAACGGCAGCAAAGGCAGGGATGATCTAAAATCATTGGATGCTCTAATCCTCCATTCCTTCGAAAAAAGATGAAAGACTGACCTGTGGTAAGAAGGTGACGCACTTCAGCCCTTGCGTCTTGAATATCGACATGATGGCCTCAATGACAGTGTGGTGGTGACTGCTCAGAGCCTGATCCTTGAGAATGGCGAGAAGAGACGTAATAACGACCGTTTGGAAATAGTCGTCGGAGGAAGCGTTCGGGCTATGCAGAGCAACAGGAACCTGATTTACAGCAGCAACTGCTGTCTCGCTTGAAAGATCTTCGTCCGGTCTGCTCTGCAAGGAGGGTTAAAACAGGTTACTTGCTTCTGGAGGATAAATTATTACCTTTCTCCTATATGGATCCAAAGCGCCTAGAATACCCAGAACTTTAACGACCTCGCGCCGCACAGGCTGGTTGGTTTCTGTCCTTAAGATTCGTCCCAGGAGTGGCAAGAGTTGAGGGAAGTCGATAAGCGGTTGAATCACGTAGCCAGTGCTGGAGCAGACTTGGCCAAGGGTATGCAGAGCCGCATCGCGTTTGATCAGAGAAGGGTCCGAAAGCCGTGAGATGATGACCTGCATGAGCTCAGGAACCTGCGGCATTGCGTCTTCTCCCCCAACACAGGTCAATTCGCCTAGGCACATCAGCACATTTGCTGCGACAGCAGGATTGCCGTCGTTAGCCTTTGGAAGCAAGACCCGCAGCATATTCAAAGCATATGGCTTGATTAATCGCTGCGTAGCACTGACGAGAAGAGTTAGCAAGCGCGTACACTCCTCTCGGTTGCGCCTGTGGGAAAAATGTAGTGAGCATCGCTAACAAAACTTATCAGGAGGCATACATCACTGTTGAGTATTCCAACTCCGTGAGTAGTTGGATAAGAGCCTTGCGTAGTGAAGGCATCACGTATGCCGGATTGTGCTTGGCGAGACGACCAATCAACGAGACAGCAGTGACGCGATTCTCGAAGACTTCGTCGTTCAGTGCAATAAACAGTGAACGGACGTTCTCCGCTTGGGCAAGGTGCTTGTCAAAACGCTCATGCAGTGAAGATAGAACTGTTTGACGGATCTTTGCATCTACACCAGCCGTAAGTTCTGGGATGTCTACATCCCAGGAGTGTTTTTTTTTGTTAAAAAAAGGGGGGCCTTACCGGGATCGGCAATTCCAACAGTCAGCAATTTATCTAATACGTCACTTATGATTTCGATAGCATGACTGCTGGCTTGGTAGCAAATGGGATCTTTGACGAATAGACGGCAACACGTCAGCGCAGCCGCTCGTCGAACTTCGGGATTATCGTCTTCAAGATATGGCAAAGCGCAGCTTCGAACAAATTCATTCAAAACGTGGCCTAGGTACCTCGTAGTGAGTCTTCGGCCGTAGAGAGGAAAGACACAAAAATTCGTACCGCTAAAGTCAAATGAACCCAATGTCTTCAAGGCCAATGTAATCAACTCCGGGCTTTTATCGACACCATTGATCTAGAAAAATAAATTGATTACAGAGCGCGTCAAAGCCACGGCAGAACACGACGTACTTGGGTTGCGTTAAGGTCCCTATTTGCGGCGGGTCCATCGGTTCGTCCAAGGGAGGGGGGCGATCCGAGAGGCTTATATGGCTGACCACTCAAAATATGAGATAAGAGGTCCAATAGACGATCTGAAAGTCATTGAATGTCAGTAAGTTCCTAGAGAAAGACTCAGAGTCATACCAACCTTGGATAGTCTTGAGCAGCGGTGGGATGCATTTGGCAATGGCGGTAAGGGCTTGGACGAGGGGTTCACTTAGACCACATGCCAGCATAAGATCTAGTTGATCGTGCAGTAACTTCGTCAGGTTGGGACCAACAGCAGAGGCTAACATGCCGATGCATTGGAAGATAGGTTCTTCAGATGGCGCATTCTTGCGTCTGAAGCGATAGTTAGACTTCAGCTAACAAAATATCAACAAAGGACAACTCACCCTCTGCCCTGCAGCCCAGCTTTAATGGGCTGCATAATCGAATCAAGGAAGGGTTTCATATCACTACCAACAGCAGTGGCAGTGTGACCAATCGCGATGAACGCTAATGGAGCTGTTAGTGCGTTGTCGTGTGCGCTCGAGGCAATCGATGTACCAAATGAGCGCTCGTTCGGTTTCTCTAGTTGTGTTAGGAGATGCGCCATAGCCTTGTGTAGGAAATGTTCTGTGAAGGTTTGTGTATCGTATGCTGCTAGCGAGGGAATCATGGTGATGACCATCTTGCGAACAAGAAGGTCGCGGTGAGATCTGAAACGGAGTACCTGGTCGGCAGTGTCCAGGAAGTGTTCCCTCATGAACTATAATATATCATCATGGTTGGTCGATATGTGACGGAGCAGATAGTGCGCTACATACCATGCCGGCATGCAATAACAATTCGCGGAGCGTTAGTAGCGACCCATGAATGACCTCAGGTTGGTTCTGTTTAAGACCCGTTTGTGCATCTTGCAAAATCTTCGATAGGTACGGCGTTCGGCCCTGACGTTCGCGGGAGGTGACAATTTCGAGGCAGGCAGCAAGTAGCTCTGCAGCTCCTTCCCGGACAATGACGCGTTGGTCCCGCAGTGGCACCAAGATATTGTCAAATACGATGTCGATGTGGGAGTGGAAGTAGGTCGGGCTGTTTCTTGCGAGTTCCTTCAGGATCAAGACGCCGGCGTAGCGGGGTGATTCTTGCTTGTCGGGTTGCATCAATTCGATAGCAGCTGGGACTTCGTAGTCCATGAACCGCTCTCCGAATGCAGAGCCACCTATTTCTGCTATCTGGCCCAACGTTTTCGAAGCCGCCAGCATGAGGTTGACGTCGTGATTGGGGAGGAGATGCTTGACATAGTTGTAGAAACGGAACAGGTTTCGCTTGGATTCGATGGTTTCTTCTTGATCTACTTGAAGGAGCTTCTCTGCGGACAAGAGTCAGCAAGTCAGACAATGTGGCCACATCTATAGCACGCGCCTATTGCCAGTAAACCACCGAAAGCATCGACACTGTTCTGGCTGTGCGTAAGTTCGAACAATCTTCTGTTGATATTATCGTCCCATAGCTTTGCCGCAGCATCCGAGGACATCTCTGCTATATTCATCGAAACCTGACCTCGAGATGAGAACTAATCTACACCGGTATTGTGATAAGACTTACGAAGCACATCAACTCCTCCGCTGCCTGCATTCGAATGTCTGCATTCCTGTTCTTCAGCCCGTTGAAGATCTGGTTGAGCCTGTCAGGCTGGTTTGATTGCACCGCGGAAGCCATGTTCCGGGCTTGGGGGCTAAGACGCGCGTCGTGTTGAGTAGGGCGGCAGTGACGGTGACCTCAACGTCGTTATTTGGTCGTGATTGTGCGAACGGTCCGAGGACCCTCGATTCCCAATTTAGGGGTCATTGTGCAAACCTCATCACTTCGAGTCAAACCTCTTCCAGAAGACGACCTAATGAAGCCCTTCTGACAGGCAAATTGTCCACATGGCGGAGATATCTGTTGAACGACTATATGCCCTCCGCTATGTATGTAAATTCCGCAGAGGTTGATCAATCCAAACTTCCAATGGCCACACGAAAAAAATGGCCCGTCAACGGATCCAGTAATAATATGATTCCTTGTTAGGGTGTTGCAGACAGTCCATCTCTGTCTTGAACTACTTATTCCCGGACAGGCCCTGTTGTGGTTGGTATTTTGTTTTACACCCCGTTTTCCTTCAAGATCTGAACAAGTTCGAAGCAACAAAACAAATCACACATGGTACAGAACAGGTGCAGAATGACCAGTCGTCCCAAGATATCTAAAGAAAGGGTCACAGTTTCAATTTAATTGGAATGCACCTGCACTATCGCTCATCAAAACGACCAACTTCGGAAATTCCGAGGTATGGGCGCCTATGGTAGTGTCTCCGAACGATGAGGGCACCTTGTATACACAAGTTGCCCCGCAATTATCGGCCTGGTGGTCTAGTCGCATGATTCCTCCTTTGGGTGTTTGGGCGCTTGATTGGAGGAGGTCCTGGGTTCAATTCCCGGTCAGGCCCTTTTTGCGACACAGACTTATCCTCCACGCTCTTGTTGAATGTTGTTTTCTTCCTAACATCACGCCCCCAAGACGGTCTCAACCAACCAACGGGCGCTTAACATCGGCCTGATGGTCTAGTAGTATGATTCCTTGTTAGGGTGCTCGCTATCTTAAATCGAGGAGGTCCCGGGTTCAATTCCCGGTCAGGCCCGTCCGTTCATTTTTTCGCGGTTCTCGATAACCGCCATCACGGTTGTTGAACATTGGCTGACCGACATCTTTTAGTGCAACCCTCGAGGAAGTCGGACAACTTTCAAGCTCAAGATTCATATCAGCGCTGCATAGCCTTGCACAGGCCGCAGCACTTTTCAAACCAAAGATGGTTCAACGGCTGCCCCGGCTGCCTATAGTCCGCAGTACGTGGTCGAACTCTTCAGCTTGTCGGCTATGCTGACCCGTGTCCCCAACCAAATTAGTAACCAAGAAAGCGCCGCGTTCTGGTACTTATTTGACTCGTACCTGGCTTCCTAGTCTTTCAGGTTCACTCCTAACAAATCGTCTCCGACCAAAAGACCATTCTCCACCCTTCACCACAACTACGGCGCTGAGCCACGCAACCAGTCGGCATCGGCATTGACATTCACAACTCGCCTCCGACCATTTCCGTCACCGCAGCAAGTCAATCATCTGCAGACCTGCACTTTGCACCCACTTTTAGTCGGCAACATTGGAGAATAAGAGGGCTTCAAAATGATTGTGGACCACCCCGCAGGCTCAATGCATTCCTTTGTGGCGGATAGTAAGACACAGAAAGTGGAACTTGAGTACCAGGTGCGTTTCTGCGGTCTCAACCTGGGTTCCTCTAGCTCGATGAACTCACCTCGGTCTCGTTCGATGGTCAGGCTCAGGACAGGCCCCCTGCGTACAGCGACGCTGGCGGCAGCGTGATTCAACGACGCCTGCAGCCCCCCTCTTTCCCCCCTCGTCATGCCGGGCCCAGCTCTACGACAATTGGGTCACGATCTACAGCGACCACACGAGAGGAATACAGCCCTCGATCACCGCGATTACCGCCGAAAGATGACAAACTTCGAGGGCACAGTCCTCGACCTACGGTCGACCAGGTCCACATCTTCGAGCGTAAAGAGGATATCAAAGGTCCGCCTTATCTCTGCTCCACCTTCTCCTGTTCACCATTTTGACGAAGGCAATCCACAGGCACTTATTTCGTTGACCCCACCATACCTGCGCTAGACAAGAGCCATCGGAAGAAGGGCAGATCAAAGCATGCCCCACCACACGCCTCCTTCCGGTCTCGCAGGGGTGATGTCACTCTGGACCTCGCCACCACCGGAAATGTCCAACAAGCGCCCAAGGCCAATGTAAACGTATCGGGCATGTCAGGAGAAATAAAGATTAACCTTGTACGTCTCCATCGCTCCCGGAGCCTTTTATTCACCTCGATTAACGCCGATTCCGCAGCTTCCGGTGTCACCATCTAGTCCTCGGATCGGATTGGACGCTCATTCGCGGACAGGTATGGAGGGACTTTGATGAAACTATGTAACGACTGAAGATTTTTTTTTCCGCCTAGGGAATGTAATCCTCTTCCTACCGCAAGGATTTTCCGGTGTGGTGCATTTGTCAACACGAAGTGGCAAACTCGACATCCTTCCGGGCCTTGCTGACGTCGTGAAATTCGTAAAGAGAACGGAGAAGGAAATAATATTTATGATTGACGACCACAGGAACAAGCTTGATACCCGGGACAACTCACAAGAAGCGTCGTTCTGTCAACTTGAATCTCGCTCCGGAAAGCTTGTGGTCGGCCTGAGTGGGTATGATCATTACACGCCACAGAAAGGCTTTTGGAAGCGACTGGGAGGGTTCATGCGCGGAGATTCTGTTTGAAGGACTGGCTACCTATCTGTATGATGATCCTTACTACACTTCATATCTAATCCACTGCAGCGTGGTTGTACAGTATTCGCTTCTTGTTATCTAGTCAGGTGTTTGAGAGGCATATCAAGCGAGCGGTGAGATTTCTGACTACGTTGCCGACCTGCTCGGGGCGTGCGTTGATGTTCGCAGTAGGTCTGGCTCCAGGGAACACAAGATGCACAAAGGCAATCTGGGGCGCGTGCCAAATCCAGACAGCCTTCGACGTGAACCGATCGGTAGAATCAATTGCGGGATCTCAGCAGATCTCCAGCCTGCCACCTACTAAAATGATCTCCCTCCACCTACATTATCCCCAGCCGTTTTCTGCTCCCTAGTCCTCCCCATTCCTGCTCATGGACCACTCTGAACCGCTGCCAGGTTGCTTCAGTACTCTCTTTGCGCGTAAGACGCGTAAGTTGAAGCCCCCGTCGCGCCGGACTTCATCCACGGAAGGCGGTGCATCCTACACTGCACGCAAGGAAGATCCGCTACAAGCAAACAGCGAAGACGAAAAGGTGACCAGGCTTTGTATCCACGAATTTCAGTCGCTGAACTCACCCACAGGGAGTCCAATCTTTCTGTCCTTGTTGTGATTTTTCCTATGGGTCTCCGGAGAAGCGGTGGTATATCGAAGACGGTCCACCAAGCTATTCCCTCAAAGCCACTTCTTCCAATCCAAAGGATGTAGCTATTGTTATTGAGAGCTCTGTTGACAGCCTGAGCTCCAGTTTACGCACTCTCAGCGTGAAAATACATGGTAAGAATATACTCTTTTATTCATTTTCTTCATGTTTACCCCTATTCAGAACACCCAGAGCTCATGTTCGAAGAGAAGTATGTGTTTTGCCTTTTTCACCGTGAATTATCGCTCAACGAGGCTTCCTACAGATATGCCCATGACCTTCTGTCGACTTTCATGACAACTCAAGGCTTCCAGGTCACTAGGAACTATCTTGGCCTCGAGACAGCATGGCAAGCAGAGTACTCGCAGGGAACAGGAGGCAGAGTAATCGGAATCAACTCCGAAATGGACGCCTTGCGAGGACTGGGCCATGCATGTGGACACAACCTCATCGCTGTTAGCGGAGTCGGGGTTGCAATTGCCCTCAAAGCCGCTCTTCAAGCCCATAGTGACGTTTCTGGGAAGGTCGTGCTTCTGGGCACACCAGGTAACCATCTCTTCCTACAAATTCTTCCGCCCCCGCGACTGTGACCCTGACTGTGTGTCTACAGCGGAAGAGAGTGGTGGGGGCAAGGTCATCCTTCTTGAGCGTGGAGCATACGACGAGATGGACGTTTGCATCATGTAACTCGGCAGGGCTTCTCCCCCGCTCTTCGACGGCTTCTCATCCAGATTTCTTCAGGAGTCACCCAAGTTCCGGTCTGCCTCACTCTAGCAGCCTTGGCTCATCAAACGCCATGCAGTCAATGACCGTGGAATACTTCGGTCAGAGGTCGGTGTTTCCGTCTCGTTCGTACCTTACCTAAATGACGATCCCCCTGCGGTGTTTATTTCAGTGCTCATGCTGGAGCTGCCCCTTGGTAAGCAATGCGACTCTCGGGTTTCGTTGGCTTATTTTTGATCCCTAGGGATGGCACCAATGCCCTGGATGCTGCTTTCCTGGCCTACTCAGGCATCTCGGTGCTTAGGCAGCAAATGAGGCCAGATCACCGTGTCCACGGCATAGTAGAAGGCAAGAACTGGTCGCCTAACGGTATGTTGTGATATACGCATTAGATTCGACGGTGTCTGAGATCTGGACGGACAGTAATACCGGATTACTCAAAGATGACTTGGCTCGCGAGAGCTCCTACATACGCGGAGCTTGGTGTGTTCGTGCAACGCGTCCAGAATTGTTTGCAGTAAGACCTGGAATTATGCTCGCAACCCAAGCATTCCATTAATCACTTTCATCTAGAGCAGCTGCTCTGGCGACTGGGTGTAGAATCAACCTAGAGGTTGAGTCTCCTTATTTCGACCTACATCAAAACCCAGTGCTTGGTGCGTCTACGTTTATGGTCGGTTGATTGCTCTATATGTCTCACATGAATGTATTTTTCCCAGCGCAAGCTTTCGCCGACATCGTCGGGAGTCGCTACAACATCGCGACATTTCCAGATGGAACAACCGCATCCACAGATTTTGTTCGTTCCTTTTCTTTATATCTAACCCTGCCCAGTCCTGTGACGCAATAGACTGACAAACCCCTTTTCCTCTCTCTAGGGCAATGTTTCATATGGTAAGTTTCTCGCTCCCTTCAATGACTTCGTCTTCTTTTTGATGAGCGTATTAATAACCCTCCTTCGTCGGATTCTCTTCCTTTCAGCTCTCCCCGCTCTACACCCTATATACGGTACGTGTCGCAGTTTTCCTTTCTCCGTAAGTGTCTGGGACTGATTATACGCGCGACCTTCGCTTTTGCTCGTCCCTAGCTATCCCCACAGAACCCCAGGGTGGGAACCACACGCCAGCTTTCGCGAGAGCTGCTATCAGCGAGGCAGCTCATGAGGCCACAATGACGATCACCAAAGGTTTAGCTCTGATGGGCTACCGGGTCCTCACTGATGCCGAATTCTTCAACAAAGTAAGTTCGAACAGTCGAGATGGCCTTTGTCTTGTTAATAAGTTTATTTCTTTTGCTCCAGGTGAAGGCGTCATTCGACCAGGGCAAGACACTAGGTCTTTGATAATTTATGTTTCTGTAAATGGTTCCAGGACCTTCAGGAGGGATCTCCAACAAACGTAAACCTCCTTTCATATTCTTATCTGTATACTCTATTCTTACCTACCAACGTGGTTCTCTCGCATTTCTCCATACTCCCTATCACCGTGCCTTGGATCCGGAATTATTGTATTCCGTACGCGACTCGTCATTGACGTGTATATATGCATTTGAGCATAGTAGAAGCAAAGAAAGAGTACCCAAGTCCATTTAAACAATATGTAGATCGACAGAGCAGGTATGTGTATATACTGGACGATTAATGTAAGTTGGGGTTCGGGTGAGGTGATAGTGATGTCTTGATCCATTAGACTGAAGTCGGAAATTGAGGTAAGGCCAGCAGGAAGGAGGGTCTATGCTTTAGCGGTCCCATCTGTCGTAGAACCAGAAGCAGAAGCGGCAGCTGCCGCAGCCTGAGCCTTCAGCATCTCTTCACGTCTCGCTTTGGCTGCCTTCGTCGCGCTCTGCTTCGACTTCGGTTGCGCTGCCTCATGCACCATCCTACGCACCCCACGAAAGATCAACAACAAAAAAAAAGAAACGATAGTTATGCATGACAAACCTCTCGAGCTCCCGTCGCTCCTCGTCAGTTTCATCTGGTACGGCGGATTTGAAGATAGCACCAGTGATCAGCAGGGCCTAAGATTGTGATTAATGCCACAAAACCCGACTAGATAGGTATCTTTAGGAAGACAAACCTTGGCTCTGCTGATCAAGACGGCCTCGGGTTGACCTGGCTCCTTCAAGACGTTTTCTACGACCTGTCGGGGCAAGAAGATGAGCAGGTTGTTATGTGAAAATCGTGAAAGAAAGGCCGACTTCTCGTAGCACTTGGATGACTTCTAGTCGGGCACCGCGCCATGAGGCAAGCATGATCTGTACAAGTCAAGATTTAATAGTTTCCTGAATGAAACGGGCGATGCGAACCTTGCCAGTAACGTCCATCTCTAGAGCTCGGAGCTGCTCTTCACCCAGCTCGCCTTTGGCCTGAGCCTTTTCCATCTCCTACAGAAAGAAAATTAGTTCCAAACCAAAGTTAAATGGAAGCACCCACCAGCATCATATCACGCACACTCAAGCTAGAACGAGATGATCATTCAAAGATATGTCAAAGGGACTGACCAACAGAGATATACTCACGCGCTGCCAATAACACCCCAAACGTCCTTCGCCAGAGAGCCCTTCTCCTTTAGTCTCGAGAAGAAACCCGGACTAGAGGAAACATTCGTCAAGTAAGCCAAGGAGACGAAGAAGTCAGAGACCCACATGCCCAAGAACTTGCGCGACTTCATGAAGGAAGAGGCTTTCATCATGTATACACTGCCGATTGTATGAAGGAGCTGAAGTATGCGGGGTACCGGAGACAAGCTTAGAAACAGGTAAGACGGAGGAGATAAGGAACGCACCTCAACTCCAAAGCTTTCCAGCTTTAGGTCTTCTACTTCCCGCCTCATCCTTTCAGCAAATGCATTCGACTCGGGGTCATCCTTGCCTCCTGGATCCTTCGCCTCGACGAACGGTCTCAACCGCTCGATCATCTTCTTCGTCAGCGTCGATACGCGCTCTTCCATCGCCTTCCGACGGGCCTTGTCGTGTTCCCTCAACTTCTCGCGCTGCTCTGCTTTGCGCTTTGCGGCCTCCAGCCTTTCGCGCTCCTTGTCTGCAGGTGAAAGAGTTACCGCAGGCTGCGCGGCACCGTCATTCTCATTCAAAGAGGTAGGCTTCGGGACAGTGGGTTCCGCAGCGGAGAACGCTGCAGCTGCTGGTGCATCGACCTTAGTCGTCTCTGGCGCAGCCTCGGTCGTCGTGGCTGGTTTAGGTTCTGCTGGTCGGTGCGGCTCGGCCGCAACAGCAGGTGTAGCTGATCCAGATTCTGTACGACCGCTGTTCATCTGCCTTTCAACCTCTGCCTTCTCTTCCTCCGTCATCATAGTTGCAGCCACCGATGTCATGTCCTTCATAATTGAGATTTCGCCGATCTAAATATACGTTAGACTCAGGCCAGAATGTGTTTGAAATGAACACACATAATCGTGGAACCTTTCCCCTCCGAACACGTTTGCGAAGAAGCCTGCAGCGTCCTCCATGTTTACCGGGCCTTCTTTATCAACCTAATTGCGTCCCAGAATATCACATCAAGTCAGTTCTCAGATATTGGACAGCGAACGCACCATTTTCTTGCCATTCTTATCATATACAGCACGCAAATTCTAAAGCAGATATGAGGGTGTGACGGTATCAACTTGGTAGAGGATACGTACAGGATCGGAAAGCACTTGGTATGCTTTGCTATGTCGAACGGAGCGCCATGAGTGGTGTTCTCCATCCAACGACAAGATGGACGGCACACCTAATGTCCTTGAATTTCTCTTCTGCATCAGCTGAGGGGTTCTTGTCCGGATGATACTAGAAATCGCGGAAAGGGGACTGGTCAATCCGAGCATTCATGAAAGCTGAAAAGGTCTGACCTTCATAGCTTGTCTCCGGTACGCTTTCTTCAACGTGGTATCATCAGCATCCGTCGGGACCCCGAGCTAGAAATAAGAAGAGTTTGTTGCCCTTGAACGACAATCCCAGCAATTGTTGAAACTGTAGGCATGAACGGACCAGATCATAGTATTCAGTTTCAACAGGTGCCATGGCGTCTTCAAGCTGGTTCCGGGTACTCCTCTTATCGACGTATGGTCTCTATGCGGAGAACGACCGGATATTAGGAATTAAGTTAACGGTAAGGAAGGGTGAAGGTCGTACGCAGCAAAGTCTTGCCAAAGTCGTCACGGAACGCTCAGGTTTCCCACTTACGTCACAGCCCGAACTACGCTGAGCCGCGGCTTCGTCTTTACACAACCACCTCAGCCCCTTCCCTCTACGTATGTCTATCCCGGGAGTTAGGCGCAACAAAAATATCCTCTATTTTTCACACAACGAACGCTAGGACAGTCTGAGCGGTTTCCTGGAGCTTGGTCGTCCGAGGAGTTCTCACTTCTGAAAAGCTCTGGCGCACGAAATCGTCGAACATCTCGCAGAGCCCGAGCCGTATGCGTTGCTGACTTGTGTTTTCAACCCACTTCTTCGCGTCCCTTGATGAGGCTCATTGAACCCAGAAGTCACTTGTCTGTTGCTTGGACATGGCACAACCTGCGGACTACTGAGCGTACTCTAGAATGGTTTCATATGCTTGGAGGAGTACTGGGCGGTCAGTTTATCCGTTCCTTCGCGCTGGATAGGTGGCTCCTAGAGTAATTTTCATATCTTTTCAGATAGTCAATGCCTTTATCGTTCCGGTGCTTGGGTTAAACCACTAGTACTCGGGATAGGGCAGATCGCTGTGAATGCGAGACTTCGGAGCAAAACTAAACAAAGACGATTTAGAACGCTGCTAGGTTGTCAGGCTTCAGGCCTCAAGGCTGGAACCACCGTCGAAGGCATGAGGCACAAGCGAGAGGGTACGAGACGACCTGTGAAGTGGCTTAGTGATCTACTCGACGCATGCGTTTCCGATACTTGGCTCGTCGAAATTCGTGGCCCAATTCCAGCTCTCAAAGAACTTTTAGACAGGATAAGTTCCCAAGGATCTATGAACTTGTGCACTCCAGTAGCCTTCCACCAATGCTCAGAGTGCTGCCAAGGTCGCGTCGCCTGTCTGAGGTAAGTATTCCGTTTTGGCTATGTAGCTACTCGTTTTCAGGGGAGCGATCTGAGAACGGGTGTTCCTCGCGGCTCGGAAGAGAGGAGCTCGCGCGGTGTTTTGGTGAGCACACGATAAGCATTTTGCAAATTCGGTATCCGAGACAATATTCTATTTTTGTTCAGGCATCACGGAATCAAGGACTATCATATATCGCATAATACCGCGATGTATGCATTTCAAGTACGTCTGTCAGAGAGAAAGCGAGACAGAAAGCTACTCATACTCCGAATCCTAGTTTCTGCGACAGGAATTCCTGATGCACCGGAACCCGGGTAGCATGAAAGTCCATTTTCCAAATCGTCGGGGGATCGACTGATTATCCGCGTTCTCTATGCCACGGGAACAATACTTTGGTTGCTCGAGAAGTGTTGGTTGCGCCACACTGCCAAAGGAAGCAAGGAAATTTGTTGTCAGGGCTTGATCCGCTTACACGTGGTGACGTGGATCGAAATAGCCGCTCCCTCAATTGGCTTTTCTTCAGGCTTCTGCCTCCTGAGTTGAGTGCGAATGGTCGTTCTCGCTGGGTATGCTTGGGTATGTCTCTGTGTTCTTGAAATAACCAAATGATTACCGTTGCGGCCTTCCTCAACGTTTCAATGGCAAGCCGTGGGTTTCGCCATCCCCTTACAAGCGCTGGCGCTTCTAGACGCAGCCCTCAGGCTGGTGCAAAGCGGCGCCTTGATCATCTCGCCGGAAGGGGATCCGTATTCGCAGATCTCTCGGCGAATAGGAGTTAGAGTCAATTTCCAACCACTTCCAAAAGCATGGCCATTGGCAATCTCGACCACGCTGTGGACGATTGCGCACGCGATTCATCTCGAAGAATTCCCCTGAACGCCGTCGTGACCCCTTCCCATTACGCTCCTCGGGCCTCTCTCCGGGTCGCAAAAAAGGTATAAAAGGGCTCGAGAGACGCCAACGATTCCTCAGCTCAGGTAGCACCCGCTGGTCGGTCTAACACACACACACACACTCGTACTCTTCTCTCGACAACCTTCTCTTTCTTACGCGTCCCGTTCATCCATCTCATCCTCTTCACGCCTATCAACTTCACGATGTTCACGAAGACCCAAGTCATCGCCGCTGCCGTCGTCGCTGCGTCCACCCTCGCCGTCAATGCCGCCCCAACATACATGAACGAGGTCGCCGACGTTGAGGTGTGTTTCTAGCTTCCTAACCGCTTCTAGAACCTTGCTCTGACACTTTTCTATAGGCGCGCGGTTTCGGAAACGGCGGCTGGATCAAGCCCTCCGCTGGCAAGAATAACAAGGCGAAGACTCGCCAGGCTCACGAAGTCGCTGCTATCGAACACCACAAGTCTCAGGAGCCCGGCCATCCTGCCGTCGCCCCCGGCAACACCGCCACTGTCCATGACTCTTGGCACCAGAGCAATAATGGTCCGGTGCACTCCACCGTCAAGTACGCGGACTCGAAGGGGAACCATGTCACCACCCTCCACATCGGCAAAGACGGTCATCGCCAGGAGGGTTCTACCTCCAAGTCTCACCAAGGAGGCTGGTGGGCTCCCCCTGGCTCCCCTTCTCGTCGTGAGGAACTCGAGGTACGTTTTTTTATCTTTGGTTTCTCCGCGCTCAACGCTGATTCGTGTCTGTGTTTCCAGGTGCGCGGTTTTGGTAACGGCGGTTGGATCAAACCCTCCGCTGGCAAGAACAACAAAGCCAAAACGCGTCAAGCTCACGAGGTCGCCGCTATTGAACATCACAAGCAGCAAGAACCCAACCATCCTGCTGTCGCCCCCGGTAACACCGCTAGCGTTCACGACTCTTGGCACCAGAGCAATAATGGTCCGGTGCACTCTACCGTCAAGTACGCGGACTCGAAGGGGAACCATGTCACCACCCTCCACATCGGCAAGGACGGTCATCGTCAGGAGGGTTCCACCTCCAAGTCTCACCAAGGAGGCTGGTGGGCTCCCCCTGGTTCTCCTTCTCGCCGTGAGGAACTCGAGGTAAGCATCGTCTTTCATTCTCGTTTCAGATCATTTTATTCACGACTTCACCAGGTGCGCGGTTTCGGAAACGGTGGATGGATCAAGCCCTCTGCCGGGAAGAACAACAAGGCGAAGACGCGTCAAGCTCACGAGGTTGCTGCTATCGAACACCACAAGAAGCAAGAGCCTAACCACCCCGCTGTCGCCCCCGGCAACACCGCCACTGTCCATGACTCTTGGCACCAGAGCAATAATGGTCCGGTGCACTCCACCGTCAAGTACGCGGACTCGAAGGGGAACCATGTCACCACCCTCCACATCGGCAAGGACGGTCATCGCCAGGAGGGCTCTACCTCCAAGTCTCACCAAGGGGGCTGGTGGGCTCCCCCTGGTTCTCCCTCTCGCCGTGAGATCGAAGACATCCTGGCGCGCGCTATGGAGTTCTACGACGAGCTTGACTAGATATCCAGCGGTACTGTTATAAGATGTATGATACAGAACTTAGAGTCAGATTGTAGGACAATTTACAGAGTTTTGCGAAACTTTTTGTGACTTTCGGAAGATGCCTCATACTCCTTATCTTCTCCACTTGCTCGACCAACTTCGACTTCGACTTGAGGGGTCATTGCCTCTGAAGGGCGCGTCAAAGTGAAGCTACCACTTTCGAGCCGAACCTGCTGTCCTCTGGAATCCTAAAATAAACCTTTGATGTTAAGAAAACCCATTTATCCCAGCTTTCGAGTCCCCACGCGCGCCACACTGCCAAACGAAGTAAGGTCCCTTCAAGTTCGGCATCAGGATTTGACGCCGGCTTACATGCCTCGATTTGCACAATTATTGATAGACGCCCAGCCTTCTAAGCGCGCGATGGGGATGTGGTCGTATTTTGCTTTGACCATCGCGCAAACGTCGGTGCTTTGTGGATGCGTCCCGGGCTTGCCGTCGGAAAAGCGCAGTACTTACTGTAGACGTCCATATATAGCTCAGGGGATCCGCACAAAGTCGCCTTTCCGTTACATGTGGCGCCGATGCGCCGACGCCGTCCCTCCGAGTCTAGCGAGTCGCGCTAAGGTAGGAAAGGGCACGAGAAACGTCAACGATTATTCAGCTCGAGTAACACTTGTTTATACTTAGGTCTAACACACAGCATTCTTCTCCGAGTCTCGACAACTTTCCTTTACGGTACCTCTCGAGCATACCTCCTCTTTTTGGACTGCGCGATTATCACGAAGACCGAAGGTGTTCTTTTAGCTTCTGGGACTAACCCAGCCGATAATTTCCTTGCTCAGCGTGCTATCGAACTCTGCGGCGAGCTTGAGCGAGGGTCTTAGTCGTACCGTCGCAAATGAGAAGTACTCTACTATGATAGCTCGTTGAGTAATTTATGGAGTTACGCTGTGTAGCCTTTCGAAAGCCAAGAGACACTTCAGCTCTCCCGACAACTTCCAGAATTAACGGCCCTTGAGCTCGACCGGGTTGTTTCATTTTGAAGGGCATAAGTCAGTATCTTTCGTTGACGTCAATCTTTGATATCGGGTCTTGACTCTCGGCCACCAGGCCACGGGTCGGGGTAATCAGGAGTAAAAAATGTACAGAATCTCTGACTAACGGCGTTGAGCGACAAAACGATTTGTGATTGAAGACCAGGACTAATGGGATATACAGGAATGGGCCCCAGGATGATGCTAAACTAGATCTGAAAAAAAGGTGACGCTCTTGCGGAAGAATACAGGAGCAACAACCGAGTTGAACATACAGTGACAAGGTTGTACGATAAGATGGTTGCAACAGGATCTACTTGAATGCTCGCTCTTAAATGCGCGCTAAAAACAGAGTTCTCCTCCAGAATAGAAACATGTGTAATGCGAAGTAATAATGATAATAAAAATAATAGTGATGTTGGGTGAAAAGGGGGACAAATTTATACGCTTACATGACGGGCAATTAGTCACCATCTCCCTCCTCCTCCGTGTTAAACCTGACTGCTTTCTTCGGCTGCGGCTCGGACACACTATTCCGTGGGGATGAAACTGCGGAAGAGACGAGCGACGTCGGTGCCGATGCCGACCTGTTCTGAGGCAGGAAGCGAGACATGCGGAACTTGATAGCAGCAAACGAGCGAGGATTCTGCGACGCAGATGGTGCTAATGATGTGATTGTTGATGTCGACGGCGATGCGCTCGAGAAAGCTGGGGTCAACGCCGGACTGCTTGATGACGAGGTCACCGTCGTCGATGGCTTCTTCATCGACGAGCGAGTCGGAGGTGAAGGGAGGGTGATGGGTGTCGATCTGTGGTGGTGATGGTCGTACGGCTTCGCGGAATGTGGCGCCGAGTTTCGCTGGGAGAAGGCGTACGGTGACGCCGCAAGGGGTCGCAGATGAGGTGTCCTTGAGACATGAAGGCCCATGGCAATCTGCTCTATCGTGGGCCGTGACGTCGACGCTGCCTCGTGATCTCTGAACTGCTGCAGTGACGTGGGGTTTGATTCCTCGTACGTCGAGTGCATGCCAGATTTCTGCACTTGGTGAGCACCTAACGGCAGAACCGTGGAGGAACGACTCACTGAGTAGTCTTGGTGTCGCTTTTTTGGCGTCGACGAGGTATTAAGCGACCGCTTGACTGTGTCCATGATGCGCGAAGCTCTAGGTCGCTGGGAGGATGACTGTGAAGACTGTTGGTCTGAGCTGGACGCCATTTGCTGCCAGACTGGGGTCTTTTTCTCGTGGCCGGACTGGGGGTGACGCGTCGGAAGTAGGGGGGAGGAGATTGCACGGCGGTGGATAGGGCGGGGAGATGGGGAGGAGGACATGCACGGCGGAGTGGGCGGAGCAGAGTCAAGCCGTGATGGTCCCTCTTAACACGCGACAGGTCATAGCGGGAGGTGGCTGTGCTGCTTTCCAAAACATTCAACGAAGTCTCAAATCGGGCATCCATTGATCCAAGGCCACAACACAAAAAATGGGTAGTTTCAAGCCGTCAAGGGTGCTTCGGAAGCAGTTCTGCGCACTTTGCAGGCCAGGGTTTTCATCTCAAACTCGCGAAAGTTCTTGGAAGGCGCCCTATTTGGTCATCACTTCAGTGTCACACTCTGCCGGAGTCAGATCGATTTCAGAAACAACATGGCATTCAAATCCAACAAACACATAGACAAAATCTACGTATGCACCTGTAGCATACTCTCATCCTCGTCACCATCTTCGCTACCGCTTTCTCCTTCATCTTCATCCATAGATTCGTCCTCATCCGACTCTTCCTCGCTGTCGCTCTCCTTGAAGGTCAGTGAAATATACTCATCTCCAAGCTGCCCATCTTCAGCTGTCAACATCACTGCGTCACCTCCAGTTGCGGGCACAATCGAAGTATCCTTCTTGTCGTCACCTTTGACAGAAGACGACAGCGTAGGAGCAGCAACTTTCCTGTTCCGATTTGCCCTGATCACATGAGGCAACTTGCATCCTCTCGTCTCGCAAGTACCCTTCTCTGCAAAGTCGGGGCATTCTCGGACGTGCTGGTGTTCACACTCGAGTCCACGATCGCAGTAGCCCAGCACCGCAAAGTCACGGCACACACCCTGCCGAGGACCCACATTTACATGTGGGAACGGGCATTTCTGCCGTGTACAACGTCCCTTGTTCAGGAAGTGCACGCAGAGTGGTGTCCTCTCCGGCGTAGGATCATGCGACAGGTTGCACGTCTCGGCGGTATTCGAGCAGTTGTCCTGTAGGAAGCTCCAGCATATGGCGATTTTCGAAGGGTCGTGTTGATACGGGCACGTAAGTCCGCGACTACATGCACCTACAAAAGCCGTCCATGGGGAATAAAGCAAAAGGACGAAGGTTGAATACGACATATGTGATGGAAGAAGATCCCGAGGAGTGAGCCCAAGAAAGAAGGACATACCTGTTGTCGTAAATCTCGGACAAGGCTTATCAATGTACTTATTGACTCGCTTGCTTGTCGTTCTCTTCGACCTGCATGGAAAATTGTGAGCGCACAACATGCAACACATGACAAAACGCACTGATAAGGTCTCCGGGTATTATCAAGGGTCATATTCCTCCCGCGGCGAGCCTTCAACTTGAAAGCTCTCGCAAGGGGTACATGACCTGGCTTGCGGGCATAAGGATGCGGTCGTACTGAAGTCGGTGCCGGAGGTCCACTAGATATTGGTTTCAAGGGTTTCGGTACTGCAAAGTCCGTCAACACACAGTAGATTACTCGGGCAAGGTGAAAAAATGAAAGCTCACGGTCTTTTCTTACAAGTGAGCGCCTGGACGATTCAAACGCCACTCCACCTAAAACGACTTCCTTCTTCGGCCCACTAGGGGCAGAAGTCGGCCGAGCAGGCGGAATAGCAGGCGGAATAGCAGGCGAACCGCCCGTAGCTATCAAGGAGCCCGCGACGGCTGTGCCGGTGCTGGTAGCAGCCATCGTTGCCGTTGCCGTTGCTGTCGAAGTCGAAGTCGAAGTCGAAGCAGCCGTGGAGGCTGACATCGAAACAGGAGTAGAACTCGGATTTGAACCTGGGCGCACATACTTGTTCGCCGGCCGATAATTGGGGTTGACATAGCTGTTGGTCCGTGTAGGGGGTCCGCCTTGATGATACACCGAGCCTGAGTGGTGGCCGCCGTACGAGTGGGGGCCGCTGCTGTATCCGTATCCGGAATTCCAGGTCTTGTTTTTCTGCGCCTTGTGCTGGTTGATCGTTGCTGGAGGGTGGCACCGGGATCGGTTGGGGGCGGGTAAGTGTAAAAGCACGCAAGTGAGCAGCCGTAAAGCAATGCAAACACGGAAAATAACGAACCTGTCAATCTCTCAATCTCACTCTTGATTTGCGCCTCTGAGGAAGAAGCCATCTTGATCCTGCAGTTCTCTTCGTTACCTAGTTCTTGAGGGTGTTTAGTTGCCTGAGGGTGTTGAGGTTTGAGTCCTTGGGTCTTGTAGATACCGTCCTAGATGGTGGTTGAAGCTTGAAGGTTTGCCACCACGATTGGTCAGCAGATACCCTCAACAATTACCAAAAGTGGGAAATGACAAAACAATAGCCTTAGGTTTGGAGAGAGGCTGACACAAGCTGACATGTTACAGGGCCACTCATGATGAATCTAATTAACGTAAAGATAATGTAGGAAGAGATTCATCGAGGTCGTGAAGGATCGTACGGCAGCCCAGACTTCCTAATTGCACCTGCAAGAACGTTGTCGACGTCCGTCAGGCTTGTCTCCTTCCTGAACACCTCCATGAAGACTTCCTCTCCACCTGTCTTCGGTTTCTCTCCAGAGTCATTAGCGCCACCAATGCCGCGTTTGACAATATGCCAATGCTGTGGATTCTGTCCTCGAGAAAAGACCTCACTGATGTCAGGGTCACTGGCGACGTTCAACTTTGAGTACGTTTTAGGTGTCAAAACACGTAGATACTCACTTGTCTAGTATCGCCTTCGCGTTGAAGAGATGGCTTGATTTGGAGACGAAGCCTGGTGGGCTATATGTGTAAAGCCCTGTGGATATCAAGTAACGATCTTGCGGTTGCAGGATCTTGGTGGCGGAGGGGAGAGGGTCCGATATGCTAGGATTGGTGGACGCGCTGTCAGTGAAATCCGACAATAGAAAGTAACCGTAGAGCACCTCTTCAACCCAGCGTCATATATGGCCGACTCTATATCGTCGAATAATTTCAGAGCCTGCTCAGCAGCCGTTTGTAGGTCCCGTGTTTCCGAATCCTCGTCTTCAGCCCCTTCTTGATGAGCATCTATGAGCGCCAGCATAAAATCTCGTTGCTTAATTATAGCATAAGAAAGAGCAAAGGTATAACTGTTCCAAGCTACTCACAATGAAATAATGAATCGTCGTTCTCCTCGTTGCCGTTGGGTCCTCGAATGGTGCCAAATGAAGTCTCGTCAGAGAGAATTCTGGCAATGCAGGCGGAGTGGGAGGAGGTGATTCTTCAGCTGGACGGGCAAAGATAAGGGACCGAGATGGAGAAGATGCAGGCATCGAGGGCAGGTCATTGCTAACCGGTGAGATAATAACGTCGCTCGGATGGTCCCCCGTTTTAGATGAGCTAGACGGGATATCCTGGCCATTGGGCTCCTCCTCACCCCCGGCTCTGGATGCTAGTGACATCGTCTCCGAGGCTATGGCGTCTTCCAGAGCATCCGTATTGACTTCAACGGCGAGGTGACTCCGAGCATCGTCCTTCTGCTCTTCTGGCTTGTTCGGTGGAGTCTGCGGATTCTCCTTCTCTGTTACGATACTCGCAAATATCTCTGTCGAGGGCTTCGAGGCGGCAGACTTTCCGAATGTAAGATATCCAGGCCAGTTCCACTTCCGCACGTCCAGGTTCATATTCACGGCGGGCATGGGAGGCATCCCGAGGAAGTTGGCCCCTCCACGATTTGTAGTGGCATTAACGGAAGCCTTCGCGACTGCTGCAGCAGCATCCGTGGGTAGTCTGCCTCGGATGGTGTCTACAGACGAGGCGAGTGCGTTGAGTGTGTCCGAGCTCGGTGAATGATCTAGTTTGGGAGGAACCACTGAGGCTAGGTGGGCGGTAAGGCTTGCAGGATAGCGTCCGGCCGTGAATCTTGTCGAGGGTATAATATGTTGACGGGAAAATATGACTGGTATTATGTCGGCAGAGAGGGTCTCCGAAAATTCGTCAAGAATGGGTATAAGGGAGGCATAACAAGGAGGAAGGAGGGGCCCTGTGAGGAGAGTTCAAGAGAGAGACTTTAACCAATCGAAACTAACTCGCCAAAGTCCTCTCCAAATTCAGGGCTTTCTTCTATGGTCCATGACCAAGCCCACACTGTCCAATATCGTTCTAGTTGTAGTTCCAGGGCCTGTTGACCCAACCCATACAAAATCGATGTGAAAGACCCATGGGTTAACTGCGTAAGACTGAGCTCAATACATTGTTCTCCGAGATGAGGAGGGAGCAAGCGAGGGCCTAGATCGAACACACCTTGAACCTCTCGTAGCCATTCATAATATGCGCGCGGATAGCACCGTCATGGACCGATCCGTCCTGGTAGTCATATATCGGCGACGGTGGCTTCTCCTTCTCCTTCCCTTTATCTCCCGGTTTGCCTGTTGATTTCGCCTTGCTCTTCGGATCGGGCGCTCGAGGGACTTTGGCAACCTCAATAGCCTAGATGACATGTTACGGCGATCCAGCAGCCGATGATTACGACTAGACTGACTGCATGGATCCAGAAATTAGGTTCTGGGGAGATCATGATCATCCGTTTCGACTGCGAGTGAACGTTGCTGCATGGGTCATGTTGGCTGAAGAGTCTACCAGGTGGCAGTAGGATGAGCGGTTCGTCTTGCCACCGAGCGAGATAACCAACTCAGCGAAATTTATCAACGCCTTGGCGAGGCCGATCTGCCTGAGCATGCGATCTCTCGACACTGCTCGCTCTCTGGAGGTATAGAAGAGGATGTGTGCTTGCTCTTCTGCATCTTCGTCGCCTTCCTCGACAGGTTCCGTTGGTCGAAGAGTAGGGTTGTAGATGGTAAGATACGAAAGGGTTGGTGGGATACGATTCATGTCACGGTCATGGCGCAAAATACTGGACTCATGTTTGAGAAGGGTCTGCGCGTGACGTAGATGGCGAGGTGATGACAAGCTGGACCGGCACCTATCACAGCACCCAGTAAGAACCGCTTAGTCCATGGCTAGACGAATAAGATGCAATGCAAAGTGTTTAGAATTAATACAGATATTGATACACTAGGTGAAGGTTGTAGTAGCGGCGTAAGGAAAGCGTTCGTATCATGGTGCAAAAAGAGTGGAAGGACGTAGGAGGCTTAGGCTCCTGACCGTGTTCCTGAAAATATGAGGGAGAAATCTAGGCGGTTTTTTGGTGGGCATTATTCTGCGTGTCCATATCCTCATCGGCGAGCTCCTGCGCACTTGAGTCATTGAACGGATTGACGTCCGAGATATCGGAATAGGACGGCGTGGCCTGGTTACTCACTACATCCCACTCTGGCGAACCGTCACGCCTTAAAACTTCCCGGACTCCAACGTCATAGGTACCCATAGTAGTATCCCATTCTGGATCATCTTGTTCAAGGTCTGTATCCAGATCTATTTCTGCCTCGTTGGAGGACGTTGGTGAGGCCTTGTTAGAGGGATCTGGAAAGTCATATCGTTGAGTGGAGAGTTCGAGAGAATCGAGTGGGTAGGATACGAGCGACTCGGGTTGGTAATCCTCAAAGTCTGGGGGATCGTCCGTAGGAGGGGAAGGAACGGAGGAATCTCCGTTTGAGCCGCCGGATCGCAAAGTCCATGGGTCGGTATCTAAAGTTCTGCTGCCGGAGGAATATCCTGGTAAAAACGTCGATCTATCATTATGCGCATAATCATTGGGTTCGTTAGGAGGTGTTGGAAGTTGTGTATCAATAGAGACCAGTGCTTTAGGATCGGCATCCTGACTGGGAGCTAACTTCGCCTCTTGGATCTTCTGAAAGGACTTCCCACCAAGTGGGGTGGTAGCTCGACGGCGGTAGAATAGAAGATATGCATTGGCATTCTAGTAAAGACGAAGTTGTGAATAAGGTAGAAAATTAAGATTAAAAAACATACCACAGACTCTGAGGCACGGGCTTGACTGACATAAGAGTCGTCGAAGTGGTACCATTTCCCCGTCAAGTGGTTGGAAGCGTAGGCGCGATAATGGCCACCTCCCAGCCCTCCAATATGTTCGTCGACAGCGTACAAGTCGTATACAAGGGGTTCATCAAGGTTCTCGAGGCCAAACTCTTCAAGATTGACGCCTTGTTTGAGCAGCTGTTTGGCAATCTGCCGCTCTCCAACCATGCTTTCAAGGTCAAGGCCCTCAATTGGAAAGTCAATGTGCGTATCGATCTTATCGCGCAACGTCCGATTGTTGCTGAACCGCTTCAGATGAACGACTAAAATGTCGGGCACCTTCCAGAGGTCGAACTTCTTTGTCGCTTGTTGATGCTTCTTACACTGCGGACAATACCATAGATCGTCCTCGCCAAGCTGCTCCATCTTTGTGAACTCGTCGAGGCAGTCCTGCAGAGAGATGCCCTTGCTACGCTTTTCAGCACCAGCCTTCTTCGACACCTCGTACTCCGGATGTGTGAACGTGTCCCATTGGTCCCAGAGTGCGGTCTCTAGCCGACGTGAATCTCCAAAGTAGTACATCTTCTTGTCTTCATCAAATTCGCAGTAAAATGCGTCATCATCACGGAGAAGGATACCATCTCCCTCCACTTCGTCCCGTCGGTTTTCCCAGGATTCCCATCGGTTAGTGGAGGAATACACATTGTAGGCTGTTCCCAGGTCCTTGTGATTGATTTGGAGACGGAGGCTGAAGACGTCTTGCTTCGCGCCAACCCTACGCAGCTCCGTGTCCAACGGGTCGATCACCTCTTCCTCGTCGATAGACATACGCTTCTCATCGACGATATCTCCTTCTGGCACCAATGGCTCGACTTCGACAACCTTTCCGTCCTCAGTGATTTCCGTAAGGGTGTCGACAACAGGGAAACCATTCTGAAGTGGGATCTTTTCAACACGCGAGGTGCTGCCTACTTCCCAGGCATATAGATCTCTTGCATTGGAGGTCCACCGAGAGAGCCGATTGACGACAACTTCATACATGGCTGCCACATCCGTTGCTTGTTCATGATTGATCGGGATGACCATAGGATATCCGAACAATTGCGGAGATCGAGCACTGAAGTATGAGGACCGAGTCTTTGCGTCACAGAGATAGACTGGAATAAGGAATGGGTCGTCCGCTTGCTTCTTGTACGCCTTGTTCTGTCGCGCCTTGCAAGGAAGTTCGAAGCATACAATAGTATCACTGTCGGTCATATCCCCCACAAGAACACCGTCGTCCAGGTTCTTGTAGAAGCGATGGCTAAATATCTCCATCGTCAGAAGCTGTGCGGGTTAGGCGTTAGCGTGTTGGCAACTTAATCAGAAGTCACACAAACATTCTCTGGATTGGCTTCCATCCATCGCCCAAGCAGGACACGTAATTCCTTGAAGGAGGCATCCCTGCTAATTTCCACAGGAACCTGTACAATGTTTAGCACGATGTTCAGGCTTTCAACGTTAATACAAAAAAATTACCTTAACGTGTGGCTTGTCTAGATCCCATGGAACATAAAAGATTGTATGTCTCCATTTTTTCGTCACCGGGAGTGGCAAAGTCAAGTACATGAAGGGATCGAAGGTGATGGAGACCTAGAAAGGCAGCATATCAAGGTCATGCATGTACAAAAGCGATGACCTAAACATACCTTCTTACATTCGGGACAAACCAGGGTACTCTGATATTGACCTTGGAAGAGATCCACAATCACACTATCGTTTCGCAGCATATAACCTTCCCAAGACTTCCTCGCCAACTTGATCAGTTCAACATTTCCTCCACCCTCCCAGTCTGGCTTTTCGACGTATGGCTTCTTGATGACGCGGTTCAAGTCTTCATGCAATCCATCTAAGAGGAAAGCTACCAGCTCCTGCGAGTCGTGTTGCTGATAGCCGCTGAATTGAGGAGCGAAGCGTTGGAGTTGCGTCTTGAACTCCCTCGGAGAGTAGGATGTCGCCATTCCACTGGTGGCCCAGATGCGGCCCAAGAGAGAGCCGAAAGCTTCTGCAATTGCACCGCCCATACCGAGTGGGTTATCTCTGTTCAACTCGTCTACATATACCTCGCCTGCATGACGATGAGATTATACCAGTAGACAACAACCAGGATGAGGCTTACTCAGGAAATAATTCGTCAATTCTTTGGTGTGTGCCAGACATTGAAGAGCAGAATTCATGAAGCAAGTGTTTCCCCTAGCCCAATGTCAAAAAATTCGATGGACAAACAGTTGTTAGACCCACATGTTTCCGAGACCTAGAATTCCTGGTTCAAGTGTCTTCGCCATGCTCTTGCTGTTGCTTGCCAATGTAACAGCAGTCGACGGAGTCTTCGAACTCGCGCTGGAAAAGCCATTGTACAGGCCAGATGGTTTGAACAAAGTGGTTGACGTCGAAGAGCTATGGGTAGTTGCCATTCGGTTGAAGAAGTTGTCGCTCGAGTTAAAGAGAGGTCGTGGAGTCTCAGTAGCTGGTAGGAGCTGGATCGTTTTCGGTGCTTCAACAATCCAACCATCTGATTGCTTAAATTCGACAACGAACGCGTCCTCTGACTCCATACCCTCTTCTTCAAGTGTCTTGCTACTCTCTTCCACTATCTTCGCATCCGCCATCGGGAGCTGAGACGACAAAAATTCGACCGAGGCCGACTCGTCTACGGCGATGCCCACCTTCCAGACACGGTAAGGAGTGTTTTGCTTGTCCAATGACACAGCCTCCGAAAGCTTCGAGCAGAGTGTCCCCATCGTCTCTCCTGCAGATATAGTGATCAATGCAGGTGGCGTGTTAGCATGATCTTGGGAGGATTTGACAAGTCGGAAGACTTTGAGCCGAAGTGGCAACAACTCTATTGCAGGAAGTTTTGCATGGCCCCGCGCGATAACGGGTCGGGGCAACGGATAGGACGGCGTTCCATACCTACAAAAAACATGAACATAAGCAAAAGCGACGAGGTGGAAAACGATGCGTACCATTGCATGAGCAAGATCCAAATCTCTTCTGGGACGTACTCGACATCCACGCCCTCAGCGAGAGGCGACCGCAGATTGCCATACGAATCCAGAAGAGCGGAATTGTCCACGGCACCCAAATCTTGTTCAGTGATGGGCCCTTCCTTGTCTACTTCGCCGGTGCAAGCCTTTGACCACCGCTTGTACCAAACTCTGGAGACCAGATACCACGTCTCGCCGATCTCCATCTTCCTACCCTTCCCCTTGTCGACAATGCTGAACTTCTCCTCACGCCGAACTGATTCCATTGACGAAGGAGGTTGGGATGGTGGCGGAGAGAGAAAAGTCGGTATGTCTGCCTCGCCTTGTTCTGCCATGTAGGTGTCAATATCTTGATTGGAATCGCTAGCCAGACTCAGAGGAGACGGGTGATCGGTGCGTGGGCTCCGAACAGAAATATCGTTGGAGTTACTATCGGCTACGGACCGCTTTACAGAAGAGGTAGATGCACCGGAATCGGACTGCATCGACTGACTTCGCTGTCTTTTACGACTAGGCGGCGCAGACGGGTCTGGGGAGTCGAGTGCGTTGCAAGGCGACGAACCTGAGGACGGAGTGAGAGGCATGAGCGCTGGTGGAAGGGATTTGAAGCACGTAAGGAACGATGGGCCACTCTTTATAACAGAAACGTAAAGCACAATAGCCGAGAAAAAAAAACAAAGCAGGTTGGTCAATAACTTTTGAGGGGGCACCAAAGACGCGTGTAGCAGTTGTGACAATGTCACGCATCACACCCCAGAGGTGACACTGAGTCTACTTATTTGAAGTTTCTGAACCTGGTATGGCCAGACTTCTCTTCCTACTTAACCCCTTGTGAATGAACACCCATGTCCGTGCAAAGTGCGTGCTCTTGCGAGTGCAATTCGTTTGCTCATCCATCTAGACAAACACCTCTTAAATGATCCTTCATCTCTCGTTCTCGATTCCCTTAAGGGTCTTTGTGCCATAAATCCACAAATCGCTCTCGACGCTCGCAATAAAAGTGCGCTGCATGCCCCTACGGAGACTCTCTGTCTGTTTCTTACGGCCGAATAGCGGTCTATGTCAGGGATCATGACCGTTCCAAGGTTGCGCTGATGTGCGGGGGTGGAGCTGGGCATGAACCAGCCCACGCAGGCTTCGTAGGTATGGCATCGTCTCAGGATCACCCCCACGTCTCTCTAATATAACCTTGAAGGACAGGGAATGTTGACATGTGAGCTTTGCCTCACCTCGAGCCCAAAAACGAGCCCGAAACGTGCTATGTATTACAGGTGCTGTCTCGGGCAACGTATTCGCATCTCCCAACGCCAGCCAAGTCAGACAAGGCATCGACCTCATTGATAACGAAAAAGGGTGAGCCTGGCTCTCCACTTCGCTCCGTGTTCAATTCTCAAGGCGTATAATTAGCACCGTCATTATCGTCAAGTATGTTTTTTGACATCAGTGGGCGGCGATCAAAACTTCATGAAGCTGGCAGAAACTACACGGGAGATGTCCTTAATTTCGGACTTGCGAAGGAGCAGTATGCCGCACTCCACCCAAAGAAGTCCGAACGTTTAAAGTTTGTGATCGTTGGGGATGATGTTGCCGTCGGACGGCAGCAGGGAAAAATCGTTGGTAGACGGTACGTCGTAAAACGCATCACATTCGCAATCCCAGCACTGATAGACCCTTGTATTCTTTGCAGCGGTTTGGCAGGCACTGTTCTTGTTTACAAGATAGCAGGAGCAGCGGCTCACCGCGGTGCCGATCTTGGCGAAGTTTATGCCATCGCCACCTGGGTTGCCAATCGTCTTGCAACAGTCGGTGTTAGCCTAGGACACACCCATGCAAGTTTCAATGCATAATCTCTCCTCAACCTCCTCTCATAATCCTGTAGGTTCCAGGCACCTCGGAAAATTTGTCAGACCTTTCACCTTCAGAGATAGAGATCGGAATGGGCATACACAATGAAAACGGACACAGTCGAGAGTCCCCCATCCCAAAGCTGTCCGAGCTCATTCCAAAGCTGATAGATTTGTTGACATCGATGTCCGACCCAGATCGATCCTTCGTCCCGTTCCAAGGCAAAGACCGCGTCGTCGTTCTTGTGAACAACCTAGGCGGGTTAAGTGAACTCGAACTTGGTGGCGTCGCTGGTGAAGTCAGAAAGGAGTTGGACGCCCGGGGGTTCGAAGTTTGCCGTCTCTTATCTGGGACTTACATGGTAAGTTGCGGTTGTCGTTTGGCCCTGTCCAGCTTGCTCACACACCTCTAGACAAGCCTTAATATGCCAGGGTTCTCTATCACTCTGCTCCTGCTTCCTGCGGAACACGAAGCCGACTGTCCTGCCGCCGACTACATATTGACCCTCTTGGACGATAAACCAGATGCGCCAGGGTGGAAATGGTGTCCGCCAACAGCTCCTGTCCCACTGTCTCAGCAGGATGCAGCCACCAAGGTTGTCGAAATCAGCGGTGCTGATCTCGGGGGTTTCTCAGCACCAAATCCGCGAGCATTCGTCGACAGCATCACGAGAGCCGCAGAAGCTTTAATCAAGTCTGAGCCGGAAATTACCCGAATGGATTCCATCGCCGGTGACGGTGATTGCGGCCTCACATTGAAGGCAGGTGCTGAGGGTATGTACCAACTAGTTGTGTATTTCCTCGCTCATGTCATGATATGTCTTGCCCTGCAGGGGTACTTACTAAGATCGATTCTGGCGACATCACCGGTCAAGACATCCCTCGTTCTATCATCATTATCGCTCAAGTCGCGGAAGAAGCTATGGGCGGTACGAGTGGGGCGTTGTATTCGTGCGTGTCTTTCTTAGACCATCAACTGGTCAACGGTGGTTTAATGCTTGCGTTTATTTCCGAAACAGAATTTTCTTCTCCGGTCTCTCTCAAGGCCTCCACGCCAACGCCTCACGCGACGCCCAAGTGACTCCTCAAGTCTGGGGCGAAGCACTTAAATCTGCTCTCGATAAGCTCTACGGCTACACCCATGCCCGACCACCTTCACGTACTCTCGTCGACCCGCTGGAAGCTTTCATTCAAACCTACGTGGCGTCGAACCAGGATTACGCCAAAGCTGTTGCTGCCGCAGCTGAAGCGGCTGAACACACCAAGACTTTAGATGCAAAGGCTGGCCGCAGTGCGTATGTGGAAGGGGACAGGTTGAAGAAAGAGCAAATCCCAGACCCTGGGGCTTGGGGTATCAAGGTGATTTTGGAGAATCTGTCCGCGTAGTAGGCTCTGAAGCCGTATGCGTGAGGTATCGAGGCACGAAAGAAGAAAACAAGAAGTAAAAAAATTGTACTATCAATTCCAACATGTGTATTACCACCCGTCCTTGTGTACTACTAGCAACATCCTTGACAGAATCTAGTTGTGTCGTGCCTGTCTTTATTCTCATTGTGTCACTTATCTAGAAAAGTGCGAGAGGTCTTCACACCATTCGAAAACCCTGTTCGCGACTCGCTCGATCAGAACTGGATAGTCTAAATTGTGGTGGGGTATGAAAAGACCCAGATGAGCATTGACCTCGTCCTCGACGCCTGCAATGAGAACGTTCTCCCATCTTTCCATACCGCCGAGGAACTGCCCCATCCCGTTGGGAAGGACGACAAAGTGCCTGCCTGCCTTCTGTTTTTCTGATTTCTTCAAAGCGTTCAGTCTATCTTTTTTTTCCTGCTTTGCACGTTTCTCTTCCTCCTTGGCCTGCTTCTCTTCCTCCTTGGCCTGCTTCTCTATTCCCTTCTGAAGAGCTTTCGCCTCAGACTTCGTTGGAGCAATAGATACAGATTGCTCTCCATCTGGGCCTCCCTTAGAATTCGATGACGGAATAATCCCATTTGCGAACAAGGCCTCGTTGTTGTCAACTCTTTCGAAGCTCGAAGATCGGCTGCTGATCGTCTGCACATCCTCTTCCCGAGGCTTCAGCTTCGGGACCGTCTGCGTCCAATAATTCACCCACTTCCCTCCCTCCCAATTCACCAAACCCGTATAGCGTTCCTGGAGTCCAGGAGGGTCGAACATGCAGATTCCGAACTGGAAGCGCTCGACGATCCAGCGCTTGCTCGCGGAGAAGGGGTCGTCAGCGTGCTTGCGGATCCAACGGACGACTGGCTCGTCGGCATGCTCTTCGATGAAGGATATGGCTTTTTCTATGAATGGAGAGGGCGACCGGCTGCGTGGGGGCGATGAGAGCGAATGACTGGTAGAAGATGGTGAAAGCAGTGTGTCTCGGGAGACGGAAGACTGGATGGAAGAGCTATCGGAGGAGTATGGTGCGCGCTTGGGATGGACTACGCAATTGTCAACCATAGATTAGAAGAAAAAAATGTAGCTTGTATCACTCACTGTGTTGCTGCTTCTTGAACGCCTCCCAATCATCCGTAACATGCTCGTCAACGACGTTCACCTGTGGGTGCTGGTTCATCGACCCCTCTGTCTTCTCCTTTTCCTCATCGCCTTTCGGTAGCAAAGACGCAAGGCCAGTAATCACGACGTGAGGGTGCATGCCAAGGTATGGAGTATCAAACGCTATCAAACCGATCATACGCTTCGGTTTCGCGCCAGGGTAGCTCTCTGGGTTATTCGAGTGGTCCGTGGCCGCCTCTGCAGCCAGAAGACCTCCCATAGAGTGTCCTAGGAGGATAACAGGACCTGGAGGTTGCGTAGAGAGCCTGCCATGAGATGGACCATCAGTGCTGCGGATTTCGCGGGCTGTGAGACTTGCTACTCACCATTCGAGAAAGTTCCTCGTTGCATGCGATATCGGTTTGACGCTCTTGTAAGTCGGGTAGAGGCTGCTCTGGATCTTGATGTCGAGGTGCTGAGGTATATGAGTAGCTAGGTACTCCTGGAGGTGTCTCGGGAACGACTAGCTGAACAGATCAACGTTCCCGTCAACAGTCCTCCCAACTTCGCTCCCACCTGGAAAGTGGTATCGTTCCCTACACATCGACCTTGTCAGTCCTGCAGGTCGTCATATAGAACTGAGGCCGACAGACCTTGAAACCCGTGGATGTAGACGAGATGGACCAAAGTCGGCATTTGTTGCTAAAAGGGAATTAGTCAAGGGGTTCCGAGGCGTCCTTAGCCCAGGTGTGAATGACGACATTTATTGTCGGGCCTGTGACGCTCAGATTGGTGGGCGCTTCCATGGTTTATGCACTGCGCAGCACACTTGCACACCTTCAGTGCAGTTGCTGACTGAGGCGCTGGTGTAGAAGCACAGGGCTCGGCCGTTCACGAAGGAGAGAAGCCAGACCTCTGACCTGCAGCCTGTGAATAGGATGCAGCTCGACAAGGAGTTTCGAAGAAATTTCATTATTGGAATCATGTATGTAGGTAACAAAGAAATCGTGATGTCTTGTCGATACATAATGGAGCGTACTGGATTACAACGGCATTCTCGCCGTAAGAAAGACCAAAAGACCAACCAACCAGCAACCAACCGACCGCATAGCAAAGGAAGTGAGGTGGGGTATTTTATTTTCTATCGTACAGAATCGTTTAGGCTTACGCCTTCTCGTCGCCCGAGTGCCTGAGCTTTGCGTCGTGGTGCATGAAGTCGGGGCCCTCGGCGATGAGGCGTCTGCGGTACTCGAGCGAGTTCATGGGCAGGGTATGGGTGTACATCAGGTCGATTTGTTCGAGGGACAGGCCCTTGGTCTAGAGAGCGATGTCAGCGATGTCAGCGATGTCAGCGATGAGGAGGAACCAACCGGAAAGGGAAACATACCTCGGGCACGCAGAAGTAGGTGAAGATGATACAACAGAAGCACGTCGATCCCCAGATGAAGAACACTTTGGCTTCGAGGCCAGCAGATCCAGGCTCGTTGTTGACGAGGTAGGGCGCTAAAATAAGGAATTAGCATTGAATCGAAGTAACTAATATGACAGAAAACTCACTGGCATAGCCAATACCAAAGTTCCATAACCAGTTGCTCGCCGTCGACATCGACATGGCCTTCGCGCGAAGCTGGAGCGGGAAGATCTCGCCCGTGATAACCCACGCGATAGGACCCCACGTCGAGGCGAAGAACGCGATGTAGAAGCACACGAAGGCGATCAGGACTTTCTGGCCCGCAACGTTCGTCACTGAGATGGTGACACCGATGATGGCGACGATGTACTCGCACAGACACATGCCGATCGCACCCACGAGGAGCAGGCGCCGACGTCCGAAGCGCTCGACGCCCCACATGCCTGGCAGGGTCATGACGACGTTGACGACGTTTGTGACGATCGTGATGACGAAGGGGTCGTCGATGCCTGAGTTCTTGAAGAATGTCGTACCGTAGTAGAAGATGAAGTTGACTGTAATAGCTGTCAGTCTTTGTATTTCTCGATAGATGAAGAGACGTACTGCCGGTGAGTTGTTGCCATGCCTGGATGAAGATACCAGTCAGGGTACGGAGAGCAATCCTGTTATGCGTGAACTTGAAGCAGTCGAGGTAGGACGATTCGCCAAGCGCGACTTCCTCCTCGAGGTTCGTGCGGATTTCGTCGAGCTCAGCCTCAACCTCGGGGCTGTCGGGGGTCTGTCCGGTAAGACGGCCGAGTGAAGTAGCAGCATCGGCGTGGCGGCCACGCTTGATGAGCCAACGAGGAGATTCGGGGAGCAGGCACATGCCTCCAGCAAGGATGGCAGCCCAGGCGAATTGAAGGGCGATGGGGATTTGGTAGGCGGAGGCGTTGTCGCGGTTCTGCGTGCCGTTGTTGACGATGGCAGCAATTAGGAGACCGATAGTAATGGCCCATTGATAGCTGGCGACTACAGCGCCACGGATCCACTTGGGTGAACTGAGAGGAAAACGGTAGGATGAGCAACGTGCTCAAGAGAAGGCATATGACTCACCATTCGGATTGGTACATAGGCACCAAGCAAGAGATGAGGCCGACACCGAGACCTGCAAATACACGACCGACAACGAAGAGGGGAACGGAGGATGCGACAGTTTGCATGACGATACCAACGCAGAAAACGAGGTTGGCGAGGATGATACCCTATAATAAGGCGTTAAAAACCTGAACTACTGCATTATCAAGGACGGGGCGTACCCATTTTCTACCGATAAAATCTGTAAAGACAATTAACAATAGGAACGCTGAAGTAGTTGTATTGACATACCGGCAACTGGGGCAGCGAGCAGGGCACCAAAGAAGGTACCAGCGGAGAGGATGGAGACGACGAGGGATTCTGTTGAAGAGGAGATGAAGTAGCCCGTCGGGTGCTTGACAAGGTCGGTTGTAGGATGGCCGAACTCTCGCAGCCAGGCTTTCATCTCTTTGATACCGCTGATGACGCCGGTATCATAACCAAAGAGGATACCACCGAACGCGCTGAAGGCTGGGAGACGTGGTGCAATTTGAGAACAACATAGAGGGTACGAAAGAGATAGGGAACGCACTGGTCATCGCAATTCCGGCAAACTTGTTCTGTCGGGATTGTTAGCCAAGGTTGGGCAAGGACGAGGGGACGAAGTACCTTGGAGCCGGAGGCGCCAATGACATGGCCTCCAGTCGCAACGGGGCCTCCTGGCATTGTAGAGGTCGATGAGGGGTGTAGGATGTAAAGGAATAGATTGAGGGGTGCCGGGCCTGATGAACATGGTGGGCTCTTATAGTCCAGAACGGCGGGGACGAGTGCATGTGGTTGCGTGAGGGACAGATCCGATGCACGATCGCGAAAGTGACAGGCGACCCGATTTGCCCAGTTCCTCCACTGCCCGATTGAGCGCTAAGGCCACGCGACCGGACTGATCAGGCGAATCAGAGCTGTTTCTCTGCAGCACTGGCTGTCTTCGCCCTGGGCCCGTTCTCACCCCCTGCGAGGCCATCACCCTCTGCCAGGGTCCTCGACGTATCGACGCCAGTCCTCCATTCCATGTTGGAGATCCCCAGTGTCCCCATGGGCCCGTTCCCCGCGGGAAAAAGAGCCCAAGGCACCTTTAAATCATTTAGCTCGCGTCAAATTTTTTCGGCCGTGCGCTCCTATGCCGCAGCCCACTCGCAGCGCGTCTGTACGTTTATCCTCGCCTCGAATTTCAGAGCGTCCGACGACGCGCGTCTTGGATCCGCTTTTTTGATATCAACTTATTTTTGGAATCGCGGAGCTCTCTGCTTCTGCCCACATGGAAGATCTTGCTCTGGCCCTTCCCCCACCGCAACCAGCCCTCCTCATCCCCGTCGGGCGTTCGCTCCTAAGCGCCCCATGGGGCGTCCAGAACCCTTCTTCCCCGGCCGCCGTCCTACTACATTTTTTCATCCCGATGCCCCGCACATTGTTCACGACTGATGCAGTTGTCCTTTCTGCTCTTTCGTCCCAGAAAATCAAGGAGGTATGTCTGATTGGGACGATGTCCGAGAATCTCATCACATGCGATGGTCTCGGGGGAATGCCCTGACTCCAAAATGACCTTTACAGCCACCATCAGCCATCATCATGATCAGAGCACAACAAAACACCTCCGTCTCTAGACTCCAAAAGTCAGCAGAGAGCACCAGAACCGCTCAGTCATCATGAATGACATCACGACCTGCTTGCAAAACGCGTACCCACGTTTCCTCGTCCTCTAAAGCCGTCTCCCATGGCAGTTTGCTTAACACCTCACTTGTAGCTTCGGGATAGCCTTCCGAAGCGTTCTAACAACGCTCGTGGAGCAACTTTCTAAATTTACAAAGTCATAATTGTGCAACCGCGTTTCGAATTTATCTTTTTGACGGGAAGATCCTGGAAGATCAGAGTGAGCAGGAGTCTATTTTTTGGCATCCCCGATAATCACCTTTGCTTGATTCCGAGTACATTCATCCCGATTTGCTCTTTCCGAGGAAGAGGGCTCGCGTGGCAGGGTTTGCAGCCGTCAAAGTTCTGTCCGGCGGAAACTGCAACGTGTTCGAGGATTTCACCGCATCGATTGTGGCAGAGAGACAGATCAAGTCAGGCCGAGAAGCGATTACTCAAAGGTCGATTGTCGGACACAGTACGAGGTTACTAAAGTACATGGAGTCATCCTTCACTGAACGGAGCAAGAAACAAAGCATTCGAAAAGCGTCGTTGCCAACAAGCGCCGACGCAGTAGTCATCGATTTGATGACGGCAGAGTCCAAAGACGGGCGCCTAGATGCCACACACGCGAAGAGTCGATCGAAGGGTGATCGTGATCTTACGTCCAGTACCACGTTTTACCGAGTCGATCCTGAGTGAAGACGTCAGACGTCGGATATCTAGCGTCCTCATCAACGACGGTGACGAGTGGTATTCAGTATGAAGCTGAAGACGGACCTCGGCGAGGCTCGACGCTGGAAGAGTCCTTGCGGATCCGGAGACGTCCGCGTAGACCGGATAGGCGACCTCGGAATAAGAAGACGCGAGTCGGTGCCGGGCCGCTGGAAGAGACCCGCGATGAGAGCAAGAAATGAAGAGTAATGGTGGAGGCCGGTTGAGTGCAAGGAAATAACGCCATGGAGGTCAAGGCTGAACATATACACGAGAGGGTGAACGCGCTGGCTCCGAGCCGTAGAAGTAGAGCATATGGAAGAGGAGCAGTGCCGTTGTATCGGTTTTCCGGGCTGCTGAACGGAAAATTCGGAGTACCTACAGGAGCTTGGAGCTGGGGTTGTCGTTCTGATTCGCTGTGGAGGTGAATTTGGAATCGAAAGGGGAGAGGTCAAAGGGTAGTTGTCATTGTCAATCGTGTGATGTGATTGGTCAAGGGCTCTTCCCGCACGTGATTATGCTTACCAAATTTTTGATGAATTCCGAATTTGCAGAACCGACGCGACCCGATCGTGCTTCACCAATTCGTCCTCTTGCAAGTCCGATTCCCTGCACTTTTTGTTGCCGAAATGGGCCAGACGTCCTCGCGTGTAGAACCTACCCCATTGCCCAAGTCTGGATGCCCTGTTCCCCACGACACACTCGCCACCTCCCCTGCAGCACCAGCAACACCAGCAACACCAGCTAAGTGCCCCATCGACCACACCAAGCCAGCACAATGCCCCGTCGAGCACTCCTCCCCCTCTTCCTCAAGCTCGCAGCCAGCCCAGTGCCCCGTCGACCACGACGCGCTCAGCCCCCTCAACCAAATGCCCACTCTTGCCCAGACGCCTGCAAAGCATCAGACAGTGGACCTACCCCGGGAGCGGACAGAGTCGTCCATCCCGCGGGACGGGTCGGCGAAGTGGGAATATCCTTCACCGCAGCAGTTTTATAATGCCCTGGTGCGCAAGGGTTGGGAGACACCGGAGGAACACGTTGTGACGATGGTGGAGATACATAATTTCTTGAACGAGGAGGCTTGGGAGGAGGTGAAGAAGTGGGAGCGGAGGCATAATTTGTATGGGGGCTCCTGAAAGGCGTGTATTGGAAGGCTGATTATCTGTCCTTTTTGCAGTGATGATAGTTTGCATCTGGCGCGGTTCAAGGGACGGCCAGGCGAGATGTCCCCCAAGGCACGTCTGTACATGTTCGCCGGCTGGCTTCTTCCCTCTCGATTCAAGTGAGCACCTCTCTTCTCTTCCCTTCCATTCATCAACTCACGTCTTCCCTCTCTCCCAGTACCGAGCCACCCTTTGACCGCCACGACTGGGTCATCCGGCGCAAGACGGGCGAGGAAGTGCGCTACGTCATTGACTACTACTCCGCCCCTCCCGAGCCCGACGGCTCTCCCGTCTTCTCCCTCGACGTCCGGCCGGCGCTTGATAGCTTCGGGAGCTTGAAAGACCGCATAGCGGTTGCGACGGAGGACGTGTGGACGCAGTTCAGGGAAAATGGAAAGAAGTCTTCCGGGTCGGGTTCAGGTTCATCGTAGTACCGTTCCGACTCCCAGGACAAGGCGTACTGCTTATGCCTCCCACGCGAGACCCACGTTTTCGACGCGACGATTATCGATCATGAACGGATTGAATACTTCGACTCCTCCCCTCTCCTTGGATCGTTTTGGATATATTTAGACGACACATACCTTAGATCTAGTGGTAATGCTCGCAAAAGTAATACATACATCTACTCGGACTTTGAGAAGCGAAGCCTCGTCCTCCACGCGAGCGGAAGCACAGTAGATTCAGAAGAGCCTGATCTCGAGAAGAAGCACTCCGTAACGCCGTTGGCTGGGGTGGAAACTTCAAGGGTTTGTTCGCTCAAGCTCGAGAACCTGAGGTCGATTTCTTCAACGTGAAGCAGTTCAAACTTCTCTGACTTCTCCTTGTGAGAATGTGGCACAATTGAATGGCCACTGCCAGCCCTGACGATCTTCATCGATAATCTCGGGTTCCCCAAGACCAGGGTGCCAGGTTCCTTACCCTGGTTTTCATTTGAATCGCAGTGAAGCAAAATATACACCTCTCTGCCAGATATAGGCGATCTTATATTCAGCGCCCCATTTAGGCGCCGGTACGTTGTGAAACTGGTGTCCTGAATCATACTGATGAAAACCCCTCGCTGTCCTGAATTGATACGGGCACTCCTAGTACCAACCGCGGAGGGAGACTGACGGAGCGGGTGTTAAGTTATTAACGGGCCCATCCGATTATGATATCGACTCATCGCTCGGACTCGGAGATACCACCCGGTCGCGTGGTGTGGCGTACGTGATGTAGATCTCCTCGTTGATTTGTGGGTGTTTATACACCTCGAACATCGAAGGGCTCCGGTTACTTGACCCTCCCGTTGTTCTTAATCCCCTTGAAGGTTGGGGATATCGATTGGTTTTAACTGAGTCTCGGAGAATTCCAGAATCGTTGGGTGTGGTACTGGTGGAACGGTCAGCAGAGTTTTGTCATTGCTGGTAGGATGTACGCTGAGACGCAGTGCTAGAACTTACGTTCTTTGAGGGCGAGGAGACCTTCGCAGTTGAATGTTGATACGCCGGTTCCCATGAAATACACCGTCCATTTATCTTGGGAATTTGGAAAAGCATACATTGACAAGGCATAGGTATGTACCACCTGACCCAGCACGCTGTGCCTAGCGATAATTATGAGGTGACCCAGGATCCATTTTTTTGGGGTCCCGTAGAAAAGCCGCTGGTGTCCCCTATGGTTGCGCGAATCGCGAGCGTCCAGGAACCTAAATAAAATTGATAGGTATTGACGAATTGGAGTTTCTGGATTAGTCTTCTCAGCTCCTCGGGTGAGATATAAAGTAGACGCTCCGGGTTCAAGTCAAAGATTATCCTGAAAGCTTTCCGGCCAGCTGCTAATATTTTTATCTTCCGCAAGAGTGCTGAGGAAGTAAATTGACTCTCTTGCGACAGCATTCTCCTGAAGTTCCTTTTCCACTTTTTGGCCAGTCGTGCATAAATTAGGTTACAACATACAGAAAATAGCTCTATACTTAGGCGGGTATTTCCTTGCTTCGCTTTGCCTTCATTTCTCCGAGTCGCCACTGGCAGCTCGGGCGTCATAGGTTTGTTGGTAGCGTGTCGCTATGTACCGTATGTCAAATTTATCTTTTAGACAGTCCAAGTCATTTAATTTGCCAGGGAGGTTGAGTAAGGCCTACTATTGGGTAGTATTCGCCTGGATTTCCGTACCTCTCGCGTGCGCCATACTAAATCATATTCACGTGATGTGCCGTTCGGCCGAACGCGTGATGAAATTCCCATGATCGGAGAATGTCGAAATTTGGGCATCGGCCCAAGTTTGTCAGTGACGGTACAGTTTCCTCTATCCCCTCCTCTATTAAATTATGCTGCCGCGGAACCTCCAAAGTCTCGTTGCCCGCAACGCGAACCGTGGTCGCGTCCTCCTCGCCCGCCAACATGTCTTCCCGCCGCCGTTCCGGATAGCCAGCGCAATACAGCAACAGCGTACGGCCGGGTTCCATTCGTCATCTCGCCGACAGAACGAACTTCCCAAGTCACCGTTCCAAACGTTCGTGGACGTGCTGAAAGATGAATTGAAGAAGAGTAGGGAGCTGCAGGAGAACGTGAAGCAACTACAGGGTGATGTGGACAAGCTGCAGGACTCGGAAGCTATGAAACGGGCGAGGGCGGCATATGAACGCGCTCGTGTACGTTGGCAGGCTTTTCCCCTGGGCTTTCACACTTTAATTGACTTTTTTCTTGAATAGTTGGTTTCTAGTATCAAGGAGAACCCGAAGCTACGCGCCGCCGCCGAGGAACTCAAGAAGACCGGAGTTAAGGTCGGCGATGCCGTTTCAGAGGCGTTGAAGACGATGGAGGAGAGTGATGTCATGCGTGCAGTACGTTTTGTAGCACTCTCTGAATCGAGTTATGTTCAAATTCCTGTAGATTTCACGCGCCTCGTCTGCTGTCTCATCCGCTGTTGAGAAGTCAACGGAGCCTATCCGAAAAACAGCAGCTTACAAAACTTTGGCGGAAACACTAGTCGATGCACTAGACGACAGTGGAAGCGCGAAGCATGCTGGCTTCGAGGAGAAGGAGGCTCGTCGTCTACGTCGGCAAAAACGACTAGAGAAAGCTGGCAGAGCTGCCGGTCTTGGCCCGGCCCGGATAGTAGCAAATCCTGAGTGGGTCCTGATCAAAATTTCGTTGCCGGTTGACCATTGACTGTCTTATGATAGAGCTGGAGAAGCCCTGGTTCTGCATAAGGACTCGCCAAAGCAAGAAGCATGGAACCGACTGAAGGAGACGAACCCGATTCTCAAGTCAATAATGCAAATGCGTCAAGCATACGACGAATCCGAGAACCCGGTGGTCTCTTCTATGCGGTCTGTGACAGACACAATTGGCTCATGGTTCGACGAGAACGAGACGGCTCAAGTCATGCGATTGATGAAGAACATGGATCCTACTTTCAACCGCGAAACCTTTGAGCGGGAGTTGCGGGAGTACATCGTGCCGGAGGTGGTTGACGCGTACCTATCAGCAGACCAAGAGGCCTTGAAGGCGTGGTGTGGGGAGGCTGTAAGACGTTTTTGTCTTTGACTCCAATTTTAGAGGTGACAATCTCTTTAGACATACAACGTGCTATGGGCGACCATGGAGCACTTCCTTCGTCAAGGTCTAATCAGCGGCAGCAAGGTGCTAGATATCCGCCAAGTGGACGTACGTTGTTTGAAATCGTCCCTCTTGTCATCGTTGCTGATTCTGTAGCGCAGGTTGCTGAAGCAAAAATCTTGGAGAATGAAGTTCCCGTCTTCCTCGTCTCATTTGCTACTCAGGAGATGATGCTGTTCCGCAATGCGAAGACTGGCGAGATTGCGGTAGGAGCTGAGGACAAGGTGGAGCAGTGCACATACGTTGCTGCGATCACCCGGATTCCGGAGGAGCTCGACAACGAGCTGACTGGTGGTTGGAAGGTTATTGAGGTATGTTTCAATTTCTCTCGCGAACCTATTTGTTTCTAACCTCCAACATAGATGGCACGTAGAAGTGCAAGAGCATACCTTTAAAAGTACTAATACTTACCTACTCGTACTCACTCCACATAGATCCTACATTCGCATGCTAATCTTGCTATCCTTAATCCACCACTCATTGTTGTCCGGGATTGCTTGCACAAACAGGTCTGGCTACCAATGTGTACCGACGTTCGCTCCACGGTGAATGCGCTACGCAATTCCTCATCACTAGTGCCAATTCGACTGCATGTAAATGAACGAGTTCGAATAAAGGCCTGGCATTGAATATCGAAGAGTAGTGAATAAGTAGTGGAGCTTGAACCTGGTTGAATTGAAGAATCAAGACGCGACGAATGGCATGTGACACGCCAGGTTCGCGTCATTCCCACGCTGAGTTGAGCAAATGAATGGACAGAAAAGTGGCTTCGCGTTCTGTTCTCTCTCCCTATGTCGAAAGCAAGGTCAGGTTTAGGCAGCGTCAAACGCGACTGGTCGTCTAATGACGTGCTTCACGAGCCTTGCTCATCGCAAGAGATCGCGTGGCCACCAACGCAAGCCCCGCAACCGGCTGCACCGCCTAGAAAGCTGACAGGCTCAGAACTGCGGCTGAAAGCGATCCAAGAGGCTCTCGCAGGATATCCCCCTGCTGTTCCGCCACCACTCGCGAAATCGTCTATTCAAAACAAACGTGCAAGTCCCACCGCCCAGCTTGCTGCTGAACCCCAACCTAAACGAGCTCGCCAGCTGCCCCCTGATTGGCCAGGAACCGACGCGTTATCGAAGCCGAGTCTGTCAGCAAAACCTCCTTCAGGCTATTCGCGAACCAATTCGAAGTCGACGTTTAACTCTCCTGCGAGCTCTTCGGGGACCAGCGCGCCGAAGAAGATTGCTCCGGTTTTCCTGAGCCAGGAGCAGACACAGATATTGAAGCTCGTTCAGGATGGAGACAGCGTGTTTTATACGGGATCTGCTGGTTCGAATGGCATTTTCCCTCTTGTTTAATCATTTCTCATACAGCATATAGGAACTGGAAAATCTGTGCTGTTGCGCGAGATTATCAAGACCCTGCGGAAGAAGTATGCCAAGACCCCCGACGCGGTGGCCATAACTGCATCTACCGGTAAATAGTCCGCATATGCATGGTGGATTATCTGATTGCATCGTCAACAGGTATTGCTGCTTGCAATATTGGCGGTGTGACAATCCACTCCTTTGCTGGCATCGGGTTGGGCATCGAACCTGCAGAAGACCTGGTCGTTAGAATAAAAAAGAACAAGAAGTCAGTGACCCGGTGGAATAGAACCAAGGTCTTGATCGTGGACGAAGGTAAGTTATTCTTGCCTAATCAGACATTGTTGGAGGGCCTCACAATTTATTCTAGTGTCCATGGTTGATGGCGATCTTTTCGACAAACTAGAAAGGATCGCCACCATCCTTCGGAAGGCCGAACCATTTGGTGGCATCCAAGTCAGCATACATCTTGTGTTTGTCAAATTGCGTAATAAATTGACATCCTTTAGCTCATCGTGACAGGCGATTTCTTCCAACTTCCACCAGTTACCAAAGGCGTTCAACAAGTCAAATTCGCCTTTGAGGCCGAGACGTGGAGGAAAACCGTGCAACATACTTTCAACCTTACGAAGGTCTTCCGTCAAAGTGATCAGAGTGCGTTCCTTGCCAAATTCTATTTGCCAGAGCACATTGTGACCAATCGTCAACAGCTTTCGTGGACATGTTGAATGAGATGCGGTTTGGAAATCTCTCTCAAAAGTCCATCCAATCTTTCAAGAGCCTTTCACGAGAGATCGAATACGATGACGGCCTTGGCCCTACAGAACTGTAAGGGGACACTGTTGTCTTTCTGTCACAGGCCTTTCCCCCTTACATCGGCTCCACACAACAGATTCCCAAGGAGAGAAGACGTCGAGCGATCCAACTCTACCCGCATGTCCCGCCTGCGCACCACTGAAGAAACCTTCGCCTCCATCGATGGCGGGTCCATCACCGACCCGAACCAGCGCGAGAAGATGCTCTCCAACTTTATGGCGCCCTCCCGGCTCGTCCTCCGGGTCGATGCACAAGTCATGCTCATCAAAAACGTCGACGAGACGCTCGTCAATGGGAGCATGGGTCGGGTCCTCCGGTTCGTCGACCCGGCGATCTACGGCACCGAGCTTGATACGGAGCTCATGGCTGGTGGTGGCCCTGGAGGAGGGATGGATGCAGGTGTGGTTGGTGCCTCAGCGTCGAATTCTGGTGTGGGTGGGGATAAGAAGAAGAATGGGGCACCTGCGGCGGGTGTGAGGAATAAGCCGTATCCTGTTGTTGAGTTCATGCTGCCCAATGGAGGCAGGCGTCGTGTGCTTGTCATGCCGGAAGTGTGGAAGGTCGAGCTCCCAAGTGGGGAGGTGCAAATTAGCAGGACGCAGGTGGGTTATTCGTCCAACTTCGTTTCTTATTTTGTTGATTGAGCCGCTTTCAGCTGCCCTTGATCCTCGCCTGGGCGATGAGCATACATAAGTCTCAAGGACAGACGCTGGATCGTGTCAAGGTGGACCTTGGCAAAGTTTTCGAGAAAGGTCTGTTTGGCTCGCTGGTTATATGCACTTCTTTCTGACCCAAGATTCTTCTCTAGGCCAAGCATATGTTGCCCTTTCCCGTGCAACAACTCTCCAGGGTCTCCAGGTACTCAACTTCGATCCGAACAAGGTATTCTATTTTCTCGTCATAACCCTTGAAGGTGTCTGAACTGCTTTACAAGGTACAAGCCCATCCCAAAGTCGTCCAATGGAGCAAGACGCTCAAAACCATTTCCAACGACGATGATTGAAGTTTGAACCTAGAGTTGTAACTGTTATCGACTCTAAAGGGACTGTAATATATACCACGGCCAGCCTCATCCCTTATTTATCATCCAGCCGATTGCTCCATTCACCTTACTTCCCTTCATCGCCAAGTATAAGATGCTCATTATAATGAACAACAATAAGAATACCTATCACATTTGCATTACACGTACATTCGGCTGATGCACCTACAGGAAGGGATTTTACTCGTCACATATGCTTACAGGGTTACAGCTTTCATTCAAGTTCATGAGTCGATCCTGTATCAAGCGACTTGCGAGTCAATCCGAAGAGCCCCAGATGCTGCCAAACAGATCGGTGCTGGATGAGTCGCTTATATCAGGCAAATCCCACCTCTCGACTCTTGACGTCGCCACTCGCCGCTCGGCCTCTCGAGGCATGACCTCGCACCTCGTCCCCTCCCTCGCCCCCACCTTCCTTAGGGCCTGCTCCAAGCTAGCCTGCTCCAAAGCGGCGATCCCAAAGCCCTGTGCAACTGATAGCGTAATCGTTACCTCCCTCAGCTCTGGGAATAGCGTAGGATTAGAGAGAAGGTTGTCGAGCTCGCGCCAGTCCCGCCAGTACGCCGGCCCGACGATCGTGGATCCCTCATGCACAGCGAAGGTGTGCAGGTCGAGGCTGAGCCGGGAGAGCGAGCTTGCAGTGGACGGAGAGGAAGAGCCTGAGAGGAGCGAGAGGAGCCAAGGGATTGGGGAGTAGACTTCGGTTGACTCGAGGGCGTGTACGTGGATTGAGTGCAGGTTTGGGCTGTTGGAGAGATTGAGAGGGGTCTGTGGGACCGGAGCTGTTGAAGGTCGTTTTTATTCTGGGGTCAGTGAACAGAGAGAAGCGAGGTGAAGGACTTACGAGGTTCGTCCCATGCGTATGATTCTGACGCAACCTCCAGTTCTTCGAGATGGGCGCCTGCAAGGTCGAGGAGTGTCTGCACGGGCTGCCATGACGCCGTAATACCCTGCGTAACAGCCAGCTTTGACAATGAGATGGAGTCAATACTGTTCATCGAGAGCCACTCGACCAGCTCGTCGAGCATGCAGTCAATATACAGCTCTCGCAACTGCGAAACCGGAGGAGTCCCTACTGGGTCGTACGGCACCTGGACCGAGATTCCTTTCATTCTCTCCATCTCGTCCCTGTGCTCCCAGTCCTCAACATCTTCAAGCCGGAGGTTTGCGAGGCGGAGGACCCGTGGTGCATGCAGCTGTCCTATGACCTCTGTAAGGTCGTGCTTTGATTGGAAGAAGCCTTCGGAAAAGGAGACGGAATCTAGAGTTGGCAGGGCGAGTAGGTGAAGGCAGGCAATCTGTAAGTCGGACGAATACAAGCGCCACTCGCGAGGCAGTGCGATGCTGAGCGTCCGCACGGATGTTAACTGTGATATAACACGCGCCAGCTCGCGAGCAACGGGACCGCTTTCGCCCTGGCTGTCGTTCGAGTGAGTATACGCCCCGAAATCGAGTGTCAGGGTGTGTACGATTGACGGAAGGTTGGGACAACGTGTAAGTGCCTGGAGGAGGGCGACCAACTTCTTCGCACGCGCCCTGTTTTCCCTCTTGATTTCGTGGTAGCCGTGATGAGAAGTCGTCCATTTCTTGAGGTTGAGGTCGAGGTGGCCGAAGAGGTGGTGCCGTGCACGTGGTGTCCACGAGGATGCAACTAGCGCGCAGGATCTGAGGGCCTCCACATCGTTGCTGAATGTGTCGATAATGGCGTCAAGGATCTCTTGTGGGAGTTCTCCAAGCCTGGAAGGCCCCTGGACGTCTTTACTAGGTGGCTCGCCAACGTAGACAAGCGCTGTAGAGTTCGTCAACGAGACGGTGGATAGTTTGGAGAATCCGAACACTGAGTGATGGAGTGTGAGGATATTGGCCATGTCCAAAGAGCGTCGTTCCTTCTTTGACCTGCAGTTTCTGCGCCGAAGTTTGTGGTAGGCCTTGTGAGAGAGGCTCCAGGCTTTTCGAAGTGCTTTTCGGAGGCGTGTAGACCACGGCTCTCGACGAATGGGGCTTGGCATGCACCAGTTGTTTTACCACCTAGGCTTTTCGAGAGTACAGCTGTTGAGAGTTAGTTTGTACGCGTATTAGTCGCGCTCGAGATGATGGTGAAAGGAGGGTGTGTAGCAGTGGCATAAAGGGGCAAATTGGCCAAACGAGGCGAGTTGCTCATTTTCGACCTCCGCTCCCACGACTTGAAGTTGAAAAGAAATCGACCTCTGGGCCTGGCCACGTAGGAGTCAAAAACCCAATGTCGATATTTTATCAAATCCTCATACCTTGATAAAATATCGACATTGGGTTTTTGACTCCAAGGGCTCTTTGGAGCTCCTCGTCTTCGGCCCTCCATCATTCCGAGCGACTTCTGGCCTCTACAAAAGTTGATTTTGATTCATCTTCTGTATGCACGACCTGCAACGGAATGCTCTAGATACACAAAACACGCCTTGGGGCGTCGTCGACGCTGCCACTTGCAATTATAACTCTCACCGTCAGAAAGGGGACATGATCCTGAGATTCGGACTCACCTTACACCACAGCCATTTAGGGTTGGGAGTGCGGCCTGAGGTTGTACCAGGCCAATGGGTGACATGAAGGTTAAGAGCAGATCGTCCAGCAAGTCCGCTTGTATCTGCATTCCTGCCGACGGCAGAGTGCACTGCCGAAGCATGCCGAATCCAAGAAATTAGTGTAGTGTCAATCACGACCAAACAACATCCCTCTAATTGTCCCCACCGTAGCCGGCACCGCGTCTCTACTTACCAACCCGCACTCACGCCTGCCAGGTCAGCGCAAAGACAATGTCCACGTACAAGCTACCATGGCAACTTGTAGCGATAATGCAGGATCGTTAGCTTCTCCCGTCTGTCGACGCCTTGTTCTACAAAGGTGAGAATGAGGGACAATGTCACAATGCATGCGCCCTTGCCTTATGTCCGTTGCAATCATTGTTGCCCCATTGTCCATGCTGCACCTATTGGAGCTCTCTGGTATAAATGCACGACTGCTGGCGGCTTTGACTCCTTGCGATCTGGATCTGCCCCTGCTGTATACCTCCCCCACCTTACGACCTGCAATAGATTCGGCACCTAATACCACCTCTCACCACTGCTCGTAGACTCGAAACCAACTTTTACACTCTTTCAGTGGTGCCGGTAGCTGGTCTACGTCTCAAACGAATCCTTGCACGTCTACGTTCCCGCGAAACCTCACCAAAACCTACACCTCTCTCCGTTACGTTTATTCAAGACATGGCCTACATCCGCGACCCTCGCTTCTCCATGTCCTTGGTCGAGCCTGCTTTCGAGCCCCCAACGTTCGTCCTTTCTTCTGAGTGTTCTTATCTCCGTGTTTCTGATCGTCTTCTCAACAGTGCTCCTCGTCCACCCCGTGTCTCATTCGCAAAGCACTTCGAACGGCGTATGATCAGCGTATGGAAGATCATCACGCGCAGTACGCGCAAACAACCCCGCGACTCCTTCATCCACTCCGATTTCGTCGTCATCACAGCCCGACGACGCAGTACCATTCGGGGTCCGCGCATATACCGAGTCTAACGACCCACCATATATCCTACGCCACATTCACGGACCAGAACGATCATCTAACTTATATTATGGACTAATTTAGGCCTTTAATCTTCCTCCTCTTCATTTTCCTACCGGATCTATGGGTTTTATGTTATAAGGATAGCACTTGCATGTATGTATCACTGAGTACAACAATTGGGACACTTGGAATATGTACCCTCTTGACGATTCCTCACTCGACGTGTGGCACTCCCATAGGCCGTTGACCCCTTCGTACTGACTCCCAACAACATCAGTCATGCCAGCAAACTTGTCGTTTCTACGACGGTTCACCGACTGGAGATTGGTTCTCTGTCAACTGTGCCCACATTGAAAGGTAGCGGGCCCCCAGGCCCCAGGCCCCATTTCCGAGGATAGGTCTTCTTTAACGACCACACAACGAACAATCATTGATTAAGAGTAAAGTTCAACGTATATCACTTGATATAAAGTTCTTCAGAAGTCTCAGAGCCGCTAACAGAAAGTACCGGTGCTTGGATATCGCCCCGGACTTGTGTTCAATGTCCCCGGAGAATGATAGCGTTGCCTGGAGTATCAAGTCAGTGTCCAAATTCCGGAAGTTGGGCTGTTCTTCCAAAGGTGCACTCGTGTAATCAGAGTTCTATCAGGCGATGTGAGGGTTCATAGAAAAATTAGCATTACATAGGATATACGTAGATATGAATGAAGGGCCTAGACATAGAATACAGGGTATCAACTTGCAAACATTCAGAAGCATAGCATATATACAGCACATAACAGAGAAATTTTACCAAAGAGCAGGATTTACAAGGCGAACATAGCTTCATACGTCGAAGTCGAGATCCAGGCCTGGTGGGCTATCCATCGCCTTCTCCTTCAACGCAAGAGCCCGTTCCATCGCGCTATCAGCGTACGACGCCGCTAGCCCCTTGTAGTAAACTACTGCGTCCTTCGCCTTGCCAAATAGCGTCTTTGTGGCTTGGTGCGCGGTCACTTCTTTCTGGAACTTCTTGTCGGAATAGGACCACATAGCTTTCCAATATCCCCATTGCTTAGACTGAAAGCATATACGTTAGGGTGAGAACGAATTATGAGCGCGAAAGAAACGCACGTCGTGATTCACAGGCGTGCTGTCGTCGATATCCATCGCAAAATCATCATCGTCATCTTGGGTACCTGAAGGCCCAGCTTCAGCTTCTGAAGAAGATCGTTGTGTTGGGCTCTCAGGAGTCGGCGGCGGCGAGGTCCTTGGAGGAGTGGGCCGACGAGGCAGAGACTGAGGGCTGGGGTACGCAGCAGGGTTGTTTAACGACTCGGAGCGGCGTATGGGTGTTTGAGGTCTGCAATGATTAGCAGAAGAAAGAGACTAAAGTCAGAACAGAAAAAAAACAGAGAGGAAAAGACGTACAGTGGCCGCGCAACGATAGGCGCCATGTGATCTTCCTCCTGTATGCCATTGAACTCAAAAGCACCAGAGAACCTGGAAGGCCCAGGAGTAGGGCCACGAGTTGGAGTCTGGTAGATTGAGTTTCCAGAGGAGGATGCTCTTGAAGGCGATCGGGGAGTTGGATAAATGACGGTCGTGTTGTTGCTCAGCGGTGGTGGAGATTGACGGGGCGGCGTGCTGGGTCTAAGGAGGACCAATTTAGACTCCAGTCAGAATGAGGGTCAAAATTTGATACACACGGAACTTGAGGACCAGCAGACGAGCCTTCAACAAACTGGTCGTCGATGCTATACAACCCGTCAGCTCGTCCATCGACGAAGAAAGGAATCTAGGTCGTACTCCATAGCATCCTCTTCTTCGTCCTCCACCTCAACTTCACCAGAAAGCATTCCAAACCCGAGCGAGCACTTCTTCTCGTGTTCTCTTATCGCATCTTTGAGGTCGTCGTTCTCATCACGCACGTCCAGAGCTAATTCAGCATACTGCAAGTTGGGACAGTCAGCATTGGGTCGAGGTAGAAGATGGTACTCAGAGGAAATAAATACCTGGGCTTTTGTGGTCCGCTTCTGATAAACCTTGTGCAGGCGCAGACGCAGATGCTTGCAAATGGCTCGGTGTTGGTCGAATGGCGACAGGCCGCTGTGCGCGGGGTCTTGTACCACTCGGTCGACAGATCTGAGACTAAAAAATTTCAAATCAAAATCAAGGTCCAGTAAAAGACGCACTCAGGAACTCACATCGGTCTTAGGCTGTCCTGAATGGTGACGTACGCCGTCTTAGCATTGGGGTCAGTCCTCTTCCGAATATAACGATGCTTGCGCTGCAAAAACATCCTCAGCATTATGGACAGTCAACAATCATGCACAGGCCATTTACTAGTTCATTGAGAGCGCCATTGATGTATGAAACATGTCGCTTGCCTAGTTTCTCTTCGTACGCCCCAGCCTGGTGTGTAACTGCACAACAACGAAGTCGCTCAATCATCGTCGGCTTCATGGATTGGAAGGATGTGTAGGACTCACTTTCCTCAATGATAAGCTTAACATCAATCGGGTGTCGCTCGTCTCTGAACTTCCATAAGCCAGAAAAAGTGCCTTGAAATGGGGAAGGATAAGACTTGTTTTGCAGATTGGGTGGCAGAACCACTCACGATCGTAATAATTAAGCCTCCTTAGAGCCATCTTCTGAATGCCTTGCTGGTAGTGTGCTGCTGAATTAAGTGTTGCAAAGGGTAGAAAATGGTAGCGAGCGCAGCTCGGGGTATTAACGAGGAGGGGGGCTAAGTTACTTCAAGTGGTGAAAGTGAAGAGAAAAGTGGCTTCGCAGAAGCCTGAAATAGGGAGAATCTTGGGGAGATGGCATGCTGGAAACGCTCTTTATGAGTGTCGGGTTTACGAGAGGAGTCAAAGAGGTTGCGGAGTGTGAGAGCCGCGCGTTCGAAAGGCCTCTTTGTCGACAATTGCGTCGTGGTAAGACATCAGAGAAAACGGGAAAACGGGCTTTCTCCTTATGGGGGTTAGACGCACGTGTCAAGGTGGCGTGTGGCTGTACTGCCTTGCAATCCTTTGTCCTCAACTGACACTGTTTTCGAGGTAATACTGACATTCAGGATGTTGATCCCAAGCTTTTGGCCACCATGAAATCATGTAAGCTGAGCCTAATCATGACACCGGAGCTCTGATGAAGAGATCACAGCATTTTCTTGATTTTATTTCGATGATAAGCACAATGTTCAGGATCCTGCGCAATGGCATGGCTGCAAAATATTTCTATCTACGTTGCGGTAAGCTGCAGTACTCTTATTCTCACACATTTCCGGTGATAGGGCACCATCTTCCAGTCCGGGTCTTCACACCGACGACAGCCGTGGCATGATGGTACTGACTCTCGCAGCCCTTCGCGATTCACCCTGCTCGTCTCGCCGCTGTCACACATAGAGGATGGACTTCAAACTGCTGAAGCTCCTCGATCACGTATGACTAATACCCCTTTAACACAACGCCGACGCAGTGCATGGGTCGTTCGTCGAGACTCGCAAAGGATTGCTTCTAGACGCGGACCTCGCTGTCGACCGGAACTTGCGTAAAGAGGCTTATTCACTGTTGAACAAGACGCTCGGGCTGCGCACAGAACTTGGATCCGGAATGGGCGCCTAGGCGAACCGGCGACTTCGTGACAGTGGCCGCTGACGAATCCGGAGAATCCTCGAGACGGTTGATTCGAGACCTGGAGAGGTATATATAAAGCACGAAGGCTGAAGCCCCCCTTTGTCAGTTCTGCAGACTTCCTGTCTCTCCTGCCTTGAAGCACTTCCACTGTGGTGATACCTTGGATATGGATTGTTGGTGTGCCTTCTTCTGCCTCTCGACGTCGTAAAGCAACTGACACGAAGTATCAGATGCTTCAAGGTGACCGTGAATTGTTGGTTGGCTACGGATGGATATATGGATGTACGGATGCCTGGTATGTCATTGTCCTTTTGTGTTGCAGTTCGTCGTCCTCATGTAATAGCTTCTTCACTCTTTAGACAGCAAATCTCCTGTGTTACGACCGTCGGTGCTTGGTGAGTACAACAGATTAAGCTCTCGCGAAGGATCCTTCGGATGACTACCTGTTCTACGTAGATCTCGTTGCTTGGGGTCCCTGCTCCGGAAACTCGATGGTTGGAGATTCTCTTTCCACATAGAATACTACGTCTGTAATTTAAGTCTAATGCCAGTATTATTATTATTATTATCCTGAATCAGTGTGAGCTTTTATGGTCGAAATAAGCCAATTTAAGGAGGAACCCAAAAAGTCAGGCTCACGTATTTATACTCCTTTCCAAGAATTACTCCCGTGTTATAAGGTCGGATCCCGTCTGTGAGATGATATACCTTGATCCCACCATGATACCATCTTGCCAATACACACCAAATTGGTGCATAGGTGGGCCTGATTGTGGAAAGGGGCCTATCCCTATCTGGAAATGTAAGGGGTACTGTCCTCAGGATTCGAGATTATACCGAGGACGGGCGGGTACACCTCATGACAGGCGGTTGGAAGGCGCTAACCACATCTCCCGATTTCTCTGATGGAGGGATGCAGAGTTACGTCACACCTCACAAAAGCTCATTGACAGGGGTGACCCCTAACTATTGAGAACTGTCGGCAAACGGCGCACTTGCCTTCCTCAGTGATAGGAACTTTCAGTGGACAATTAGAAAGGCTTCTGCTCCCGGTATATAACGTAAAGGTATAATATACTATGAGAACATTGGTATGAGTGATAAATAACGAACCTTGCGCTACCCGCTCAAGAATCTAGATGCAAACGAGAGAACAAAAACGAAAGTCTACCGTCTAAAGAACGAAGGAGTCCGCCCAGTGCCTAACGACACCCTCTCCGAGCCTGTGGACCTCAAAGCGCTTCACATCCCTGCAAATAATCATTCCATGCGAGTTCGCCACTGTGGGGAAGAAACCCAATTCTTTCTTGATGGGCAGAGTGTTCAGCCACGACGCTATCCGCTGATGCGTCGGGGTGATGATAGGGTGAGCCTTTTTGTAGTCCTCCGACTGGTATGTTGGCGAGGGGTCGGGATTGTCAATGAAGTCCACTACAGCCTCCTCCATCTCCCGTTCGAGCTCTGCAAGGATGTGCTGCAATTTCTGTTGGCCAGACGTGTGCACCTCTAGCTCGAGTTCTTTGACTCTCTTCCGTGAGTGGTGAGACGCGAGCAGGAACCGCATAAGAGCAAGCGAGACGAATGTTGGGATAAGGACGGGCAACAGAGAGTAAAGGAGCACGTTAAACGGAAATTTGAATTGAAGGAAGGGCGGGACGAGGGGTCTTGTAGGTGCGAGGCTCTTGAACCATTGTCGCGTAAGGACGGCGGGTTTCGGCGGTTTTGGAGGAGGGACGTCGGGTACGGCATAAGTATCGATTACACAGTTATATTTCTCCTTCAGATTTCTGTTGCAGCCAGTCTTAGAAATAGTGAACGAGAAAGTGAGCTTGCCAGTGACTCACATATCGATTCCATTTGTATCAGCCTCAGCGAAGGGATCTGAGGTCTCAATGGCCGCTGTTACATACGGCACAGTGATATCATTGACGCTGAAAGAGAAAATGGTGAATCCAACAGGTAAATGTCTAAAGACTGGGTTGAAAACGCACGCATTGGCATAAATTCTGATGTGCTTGAACTTCGCAAGTGCCTGGTAGAATATACGTTCTACAGTGCGCTTGTTAACACTGGATCCACAAAAACAGAAAAATTAGAGACATACCTGGATCCGCCATGACGACCAGCAAAGGCCGACCCTTCGGCGACCATTTATCAACGCAATAAAACTGCTCTCCTGTCCGCGAGAGTAACTTGGGTCCAAGGGCCGAAGAGAGTGTGGAGAAGAATGAAGGATATCTTGGGAGACCACAATGAGGAGTAGCGATCGTATTGAAGTTTATCGGCTCAATTTTGTCGAAGAAACCTTTCGAATGTAGGACGCTGCATTTAACGATGAGAAACCTGGCAAGGTGAGATGGCCGACGGCTCGAACTCACCCAATGCAATAACGAGCGATGAGCCCTCCAAGGCTGTATCCCGTCACCGAGAAGCGAGTCACCCGTTGTCCTTCAGCTTCCAGGGTTTTCACTGTCTCCAGGACCTGCCATGACAGATGCCGAGCGTCAGTGATGAAGATGGATCAGTGAAAGTGTGCTTTGTGAACATACCTCGCTCGCAACCCGTTCACCTCCCCAATCCGCTCCGTCGTATGTCGAATCTTCCCGGATAGTCTCGGCGACGAGGACGTATAACGACATGCCGTCCGTGGCTTCTGCTGCGTGGGTCTCGCGTGCGATCCTGGCGAGCTCGGCGAGATGTCCGGGGTTGCCCCACATCCCGTGGACGAGAACGAGAAGATGCGTCTCAGCCATTGGTCGTCGTTAGCGCTGGCGAGGGAGTCGACGAAGTGTAACTGGAGAGCCCGATGAGTGGGGGGGATTTTTAGAAGAGACATGTGAAGCATGATGGGATTGGTATATAAGCATGACGAAGGCGATGCCCGATACAGCGGACGCAGCTTGATGCATCGGCAACTTGCCTGCGAACACGCAACCTCGGTCCTTCAATGTCGGCTCGTTCTGCGAAGAGTACGAACCGAGACCTTCATGCAGTGCACAAGGAAAACAAGGAATAAAGGAAGCGCCGAATCTCAAACAAAATTCCTCATGGTTCTGTTCTATCGAGGTAAGAATGCAATTGCATGCATGCATCTTTTATTGCCTGGGTTATAAATAATACCGAATAAGACAAAGAAACGGAAGGTTGTGAGCGAGTCAGGACTTCGAGGAAGACTTCAAGTAGTGCAGGCCTGCCAGCCTGCAATGTGCACAAGTACGCCACCACCAGCTGCCCTCAGACGAACCTTATTTTTGTGGAGGTTGGGTCGAGCTCACATCAGTTAAAGGAACCCTCGCGGCGAGCGTATGACATTGATTGAAAACTCACTCAACATCAATCGCAGAGCGTCTCAGAAGTGCATTAAGTATATTGAAGATGCGTTCACGCACACCATCACCATCAACCCATCCTAGTCTTGATGTCCTCATCAACGATAAGAAGCAGAGAAAGTCGAGGAAGTGCCGGCTCCATCGAAGGTCTATTCCAACGCATGGCTTTCTGCCATTCGGTGGTGGTCGTGGCGCAGCGCGGGTTCTTCAGTGATCAGGAGTATCTGATAGGAAAAGAGGAACAGACGACAGATGGCCTGGTGTGATTCATTCAAGTTGAAGTGGACGGTTTCGAGTCTAAAGGATGAAGTATCTGAGAAGCAAGGCATCAATGAAGATGGCACCGACTGTTTCAACAAATCTCTTTTGGCAAAGTGACCTCAAAGCTAGGGATAGGGAAGTACGTACAATTTCAACCGTCTGCAAAGGCGATGCCGGGGATGTCAACCGTTGGGCTGAAGGTGTCCGGATAGAGACAAGAGCAATGGGGCAGGAGGTGGGTTGTATCTGCTCCTCCACGCCAGATTAAAGATATGGTTTCTTCCTAGATATATGGGACGAGGTAAATATCGCGGAAGGAGTTCCAGCATTTGTCAGAGCATGGACTTGAACATGGCTGCTTGAGGATCCACAAAACTTTCAAGCTGATGCATTCCGATTGGCGTGGTATTGTCCGACAGCACATGTTCCAAAGTTTTCAGTCTTAAAGGCTTCAGCACTGACGGCGATGGATGAAGGACGAATCCAGACGTTCTGAACTGGAGCCCAAAAGTTCGAACATGCAACCTCATCTTGGAGCTGGAAATAATCATCATACCGGAGAGTATAAGGCACATACAGTAAATCCATCTGCCTGCGCAGAGGGCGCGATTTTTAAGCAAGAGACAAACCGAGGCAGGAGAGACGCTGGTGGTTGAAGTTGTGACGAGAGTGGGAGCCGAGTTCGTGCGCCGGCTCGCGGAGGTGGTAGAGGAACCGATGGCCTGTTCAATTGCGGTCTCAATCTCTGGCGGTTCGCGCACCCTTCCGGAAGGTGAGACCTCGACTATGGGCATGGAGGACTTGTATTAAGTGGGAATAGGTGCAAAGAGGTACAAGGTAGTTGGACTGTTGAGTAACTTGAGACTTGGGTTGAACCGATTCCGAACTTTGAACGTTGAACAGAGGAACGATCACGTGCACAGATCTGACATCATCGAATCGGAATCCGATGCAGGGGAACTTGAAAAATACACCCTCTTTCCTCCCAACCACCTCCACCCATGGCAGACAAGGTCACAGAAATCCCCACCACGCCATTTGACGGCCAGAAACCTGGCACATCTGGACTTCGTAAGCGGTGAGGCTTGGGCGAGTTGTTTCCACGGTCAATACGTACTCATACAGCTCAGTGTCAAGGTTTTCCAACAGGAGGTGAGATGACGCGCCTATCTGGTGGTGCTGCCACTAAACTGCTGGCAGCACTATACCGAGAACTTTGTTCAGTCCATTTTCGACTCGATTGACGCGAAGGACTCTACCATCGTCATTGGTGGTGACGGACGCTTCTTCTCACCTGAAGCCGTCCAGATCATCCTCAAAATAGGCTCTGCGAACGGTGTTGGGAAATTCATCATTGGGAAGGATGGGATCTTGTCGACCCCTGCAGCGTCGAACGTGATCAGGAAATACAAGGCGACTGGCGGTATCCTCTTGACCGCAAGCCACAACCCTGGCGGCCCCAACGCTGACTTCGGCATCAAGTACAATGTCTCCAACGGAGGCCCCGCGCCCGAAGGTGTCACCGACCAGATCTATGAGAAGACAAAGACCATCAAGAGCTACAAGGTCATCGACCTGCCCCCTGTGAGCGACGACATTATCGATGCGACTTGACCCGATATCTCATGAAATTGGGCAGATCGATCTCGGTAAGATCGGCGACCTCACCTTCGGCCCCAGCAAAGTTTCGATTATCGACTCGGTCGCGGACTATGTTACCCTGCTTGAGGGTATTTTTGATTTCGCACTCATCAAGCAGTTCTTGCACGAGCATGAGGCCGACTTCCGTGTTCTCTTCGATGGTCTGCACGGTGTTACTGGACCTTACGCACGTGCGATCTTGATTGACAAGTTTGGCCTTCCCGAGTCGTCGATCCAGAACTGCACACCGCTTCCTGACTTTGGTGGAGGACACCCCGATCCTAACTTGACTTACGCACACACTCTCGTTGAAGTTGTTGAGAAAGAGAACATTCAATTTGGCGCGGCCAGCGATGGAGATGGGGACCGAAACATGATCTACGGAAAGGGTGCTTTCGTCACACCATCTGATTCCGTAGCTATCATCGCCCACTATGCTGACGTGATCCCTTACTTCAAGAAAGGGGGCGTTAAAGGATTGGCCAGAAGTATGCCAACCAGCAAGGCCATCGACCTCGTCGCAAAGAAGAAAGGCCTCGAACACTTCGAAGTTCCAACAGGTAAAAATGAGAATGGTTCAATATCGCCCATCGATTGACCATGTTTCTTCGACAGGGTGGAAATTCTTCGGAAATCTCATGGATGCAGGTCGCTTGTCGATCTGTGGTGAAGAATCGTTTGGTACTGGTTCTGACCACATTCGCGAGAAGGACGGTATTTGGGCTGTCATCGGTACGTGCACCCGTTCTCTTGATTATCTTCGTCTAATGTTTCGCCTTCTTTTCAGCTTGGTTGAACATCCTCGCCGCTGCCAACAAAGCTTCGCCAAACAAGCTTATTGGCATCAACGACCTGCTCAACGATTTCTACGCCATCTATGGCCGTTCCTTCTTCAGCCGATACGACTACGAGGAAGTGCCATCAGAAGGCGCCAACGCCCTTGTCGCCCACCTCAACGACGCGCTCAAGAGTGGATCTCTGAACAACACCGTGCACATCTCCGCTTCCTCCGCCACCAAGTTTACTGTCTCCGGCCTGTACAACTTTGAGTACAAAGACCCGATCGACCACTCGGTCTCAAAGAACCAAGGGCAGGTAATCACATTCGATGATGGCTCACGCGTCGTTTTCCGTCTCTCGGGGACTGGAAGTCATGGTGCTACCGTGCGCATGTACGTTGAACGCTACGTTGGACCTAAGGGTGGTGTGGACGCGCTCAGCAAGCCTGCCGCTGAAGGCCTCCAAAGCCTCATCGAGGTCGCGCTGGAGATCAGCAAGCTGAAGGAGTTTTTGGGCGTGGATAAGCCGACTGTCATTACTGTGAGGTTCTCTATTAGATCGGCAATGCTCTCATTACTGACTTTTTTTTGTCTAGTAAGCGCAGAATGGAGGGAAGTAGTAGAAGAAGCTATGCAGAAGTATGTAACATATCTGAGAAATGGACTGTTGATTCGTCGTGAAGAAAAGGTCGTTCTTCCACCTCTGAGGACCTGAGAACAAGGTGAATAAGGCAGTCACCTTGAATGAGTTGATTTTCTTAAGCTTTCTTACTTGAAGCGGCACGGTTGTCAGGGGGGAAATAATACACAGCCTGGCGGGGTCATGCTAAAACAGAGTCGCTTCTGGCGGTTTGCCCAGACATGCGTTGCGAATTCTCGACATCAAACTTTGCGCGGCAGGCACTCGCAAAGAGCGCCTATCATGCGCCAATCTTTCCGCCCAATTCAGGGGCTGACTTTCAGATTAGCAAGTGTAGATCGCATTTAGGCTGTGCCGCAGCGTCGTCTCGCAACGCGCTCGCTCGCACTCGTTGGGTTGAAATAGTAGGAAAATATGATAGGTACAGGCAACTGCGTTTGCGATTTATCGGTACAATCGAAACAGAGGATCTGTGTAGGTACAGCAAGTGCAGCTCGATGGTCGAACATGGAACGCCAGTAATGTTTGGGTCTCCGAAGGTGCCATCGGTGATAGACGGTGGGATCACGAATAGTAAAGTTAGACTGCGAAAGGTTCAACATAAATCTATTCGTTGCAAAGTTAGAGTTTGCCTCCAGGTTGATCGTCTCCGAAGACTTCTGTGAACGCCTTGCCAATCTCGGGAAGCATATCTTCGGTGACCACGCTTCTGCCGTGTTTCGAAAACGCGATGCGGCTGGAGGTTCGGGTGACCATGCTTCCACCGACGGCTGCGAGGAGAGGAATACGCGAGGCTGGGACTTTCTGGTCGCTGCCAGAGAACGTGCATTAGACATCTAAAGTTAGCTATCGGATATTTTGACTGACCCAAATGCACCATCTTCGTAACACCGTCCCCAGGCCATGAAGGTGCCAACGGTCCCACTCAGTACATCGCCTTGACCTCCACATCGTTTGAGACCTCCCGGAACGTCGACATGCACCGTTTCCTTTGCTTTCTCGAACTCAGCGTCAGCTCCTTTCAGCTGACTTGCTTCCAGATCGGCCTCTTCCCCAGTGGAGTCGGTCGAGATGATGTCAACGGGACCTTTCTGCAGGACAGTCACACCACCGAGTTTCCTCGACACCAATGACGCACGCAATTCGCTTGGGGTGTTGGGGTCAACACCGACTTGCTCGCTCAGGCGTTTGAATTCGACGACGTTGGGTGTGAGGACTGCACGTCGGTAGCCTTTGATGATCGACATATCCTGCCCAACCATGTAGAGTCCGTCTGCATCGAGGACGATGAACATCCCGCGTTCTCTCGCCATGGCTACGGCCATCTTTGCGTAAGACTGCATGTAGGGCTCGCGTCCAAGACCTGGACCGACGATGAGCACATGGAGGCGAGAGAGGATAGATTGCAGTTCCGGTTTGACTTTGTCTGATGATCTGCGCGCGAAGCAAGGTGTGATTTATGCTGCTGTTTAGCAACGGATGGTCGTCGGCGCACATTGTTTCGTTCAGGATTGGATGAACGATAAGATCAGGAGAGTAGGACTTGATGGCGCCTGCTGCGGTCGGTGCGCAGATGACATGAGATAGGTCTGCTCCCTAGAGAAGATTAGACAAATATGACGATTATTGTGTTGGAGTTGACTGTACGAATCGCAACGCAGTGATGGCAGCAAAATACGGAGCACCGGTATAGCTAGAAAGCCGTGTTAGTGACTGTCAAATTCAGACAAGGATTCGAAGACTAGGCCTCACTCGAGGGCGCCGCCGAGAACGCCAACACGTCCTGAAAGAAGTGTGAATAACTGCGTGGTGATATAGTGGTGCAGCAACTTGCCAGACTGGCCCTTGTGAAGTGTCCCATCAAGAGGTGGGATGAGCTTTTTTATTTGTTCAAGTATAACGCGAGAGACTGGCATGGATGGGAGGAGGAGGAGGAGAAAGTCGGACTTGTAGGGTGAAGCTGAGCAACACTTATGACGTAATCGCATAATTACGTACGCATCAATAGTGTTTGTTCCTATTCTTGTTTAGGTTGCTTCCGCTTTTCACCACATTTTTGCACGCCGTACAGCAGGATCTCTTTGGCCTTCGCTAGCCCACGAAACCCGTTCAAATGAAACGAACTTTCGAAAAATATGTCAAAGCTTCCTTTAAGGTTGGCCGTTTGTCCACCGTACGGCCCTAAAACACAAGCGCCTTGGGCGTTCAACTGTACGTCATGGCATTGTCCAGAAATAGACATCGTTGGACGGAACAGCAACGAGGGAGTGGCCTGGCAATGGCCCAAATGCCACTCGACGTCGTTCACAACAGCCGGAAACCCCCTTCTTTGACGTCGACACAAAGCATCTTTCTCTCGCCAAGACCCGCAAAAAGTTGACGATCGCGGACCCGCGCCAAAAAGGTACATCCAAGCCGCTCGGGGAAACAAACCCGTAGACGCGCAGCGCACCGTGCTCCATTCCCCCGGATCGTGGGCTTAGACGACTTTCTTCTTTTGGAACTGGCCCGGTGCTCATGTCCCTCATTTGGCGTTACCTCTGCCACCGATCCCACAATTTTGTTGCTTCCGCTTGGTCCCCCGGTCCTATTTAAAACGGTGTCCGTTGGTCGTGTCTCTCCATCGTCTTTCTTCCCCAGCCCTCCTTTCCTTTAGGGCACCTTTCACCGCGAAACCCCTCCCCCTCCTCATTCCCCTCCTCTGCGTGTGTCATGCGTTGGTCGCTCCTTCTCCTTTCTGTTCTCCCCGTCTGCGTACTTGCCGGCAAGTTCCAAGAATCTAATCTGCGTTCGAGCCATGCGAGCCATGCACGGTCCATCCGCTCTCGAGGCAACCCAGGCAATAACACTGGACAGGCCGCAAGGACGTTCACTTTGACGGATTATTACCGGGGACAGTCATTCCTTGAGTGAGTGATGATCTTTGGCAAGATTTCTCCGGTAACTAACTGCCAGTATTCGCAATTCAGTGAATGGGATTTCTTCTCAGGAGAAGACCCCACTCATGGGAATGTTAACTACCAGACGAAGGAGAACGCCGTAAAGAAGCGCCTTGCCTACGTTCAGGACGACGGAACCACAATTTTGGCCGTTGACAATACGTCCACTGTTGCTGTAGGAGGTAGACGCGATTCGTGAGTAGAGTCTCTTCTGTTTGGCAATTTCGGTAGATAACAAATTCGTCATTAAAGCGTTCGCATCAGCACCAAGAAGACCTGGACCGGTGGACTTTTCATTGCTGACTTTTGGTCGATGCCTCATGGCTGCAGCGTTTGGCCGGCTTATTGGTCTCTTGGCCCCGACTGGCCCAACGCAGGTTCGTCGACGACCACGTCACTGTCGCTGCCTTGCATTAATTCATGATCCCAGGTGAAATCGACGTTCTGGAAGGCGTACACGAGCAAGAGACCAACTCGTACACTCTTCACACCTCGGTTGGATGTGAGATGTCCAACATCGACAAGGAGGCGTCCATCTCGAACCAGGTTCACCCCATATGTGCCAGCAGTGGGCTCGACAACCGAGGCTGCGGGTTCTCCGACATTGATACTCGCACGTACGGCAAGGAGTTCAACTTGCTCGCTGGCGGCGTCTTCGCTCATGTCTGGGACGACACTGGCATCAAAATCTGGCGCTTCCTCCGTCCTGAAATTCCTGCCGACATTACCTCGAAGAAACCCAACCCTGCGACCTGGGGTACGCCTGCGGCCTTCTTCCCCTCCACCAACTGCGACATCGGTGCTCATTTCTTCGAACATTCATTGGTGCTGGATACCACGATTTGCGGAGATCTCGGAAACCCGACGTACGCGAGCTCTGGATGCCCTGGAACATGCGCTGAGGCCGTCGCCAACAATGCGAACTTCAAGTGTGAGTCGGCCTCGCGCTTAAGTGGTCGAAGTATCTACTGACCAACTTATCACCTTTTAGTCGCAAGGTGGCAGCTCAACTACATCGCCGTTTACCAATGATCGACGCTTCCGACTTCTCGGGCATATAGAAACTTTCGAATAGATGTACACACTGAGGATTCCATCATTTGTGATATTAGACGCGCACGTTCATTTATACTGTACTGACTTACATTTTATCGACTAACAATATTATGACGAATTCATCTTAACTCCACGCCATTTTAAGGTGGTACGCTCACGCTCTCCTCTGCCAGTTTTGTCAGTCCAGCGCAGTCCGGGGAAAGCCGAGCGCTCATTTCTCGAAACCACTGAGTCCGACATCACAATGAGCTCGCAAAGCCCCTTCCCGATTTCCGACAACACAGGCTCTATATGGCCGAGGAGGGCATCCAAAGTGCGTCTGAGCCGTCGATTTGTTGAGTGCATTCCTGATCCCAAGGCGATTCGGTGATGCGTCTGTAGGCGTGCGCGAGCTGTAGGTATGTGGCGTTGCATGTGGCGTACGGCGTATGCGACCGACCCACTGACGATGTTCCGTGGAACAGGCGCGATAAGATCCGCTGCGACGGTGGAAGGTACGTTCAAATAATTCTCTAGCTACTCACCTGGCTTGCGGCACACTCTCATCGATCCATCTAATCTTCCAGGCCATGCGGCGGGTGCGTGAAGAAGGGCTTCACGGCCGACCAGTGCACTGACGGCTGCGAGGCGTGTCGGCGGGCGCGCCTACGGTGCGAGGACGGTAAGCCGTGTCGACGATGCTTGGAGATGCATGTGGAATGCACTGAGGCTGGGGTCATTCCCGTCTCCGTCCCCACTACTCCGCCCCCACCTGCTCGACCGGCGCGCGGGGGAGATCGGGCCAAGCTGGCGTGCTCGAGCTGCCGCAGGGACAACAAAAAGGTGCGTATCGTCGTTGTGGAATTTTGATTTAGGGAATTGACGTAGGCGGCGGAATCGTGAAGTGCGATGACCAGCGTCCGTGTGCGCGGTGTGTGGCGCGCTCAGAGGAGTGCATCCACGTGAGTCGGGGCCCGAAGCTCGTCAAACTGAGGTGTGAGGGATGTAGGGTGGATAGTAAACGATGCGAAGAGACGAGGCCGTGTAAATATTGTGTCGAGAGTGACAGGCGGTGTGTTACTGCCCCGCGGAGGGGGCGTGGACATGGGACACGAGTCAAAGTGGTCAGTATTAATCCTTTTCAGAAATATCATTATTCTGATGTAGGATAGGCATGTGTGAGCTGCAGGTACAGGCCGTTAACTTGGTATAGCCGGGCTCTTTTTAACATATTTAAGGCGCGACAAGGTTCGCTGCAATGGAGACAGGTAAGCTGAATTACCCCTCCCGAGCCATACAAAAGTTTCATCATGCCGCGCAGACCCTGTGGTGCGTGCGTCAAGAAGGGCTGTAAATGTGTTGACCGCGCATGTACGGCGTGTACACGAGACGGAAAGGCTACAGAATGTACCCACCGCAAAGTCCAAGATGAGGGCTTGTCCGATCCAGGAGGAGGTAAATCTCGTAATTTATTCGGATACACGTGCCTCGCGCTTACAGCTCTCGCAGAACCAGGACCCACTTCTGAGGCAGATACCAGTGAAAATAAATCGGTCACTATGAAGAATTTCCGATTCCACCCCACCCAGGAATATTTGCCTTCGGGGACGCTCAGCACTGGACGCGGTGCGCAAGGGCCTTTTGCGATGGCCTCCCCGATATATCCACCTCATCAGATGCTATCTCAGCCAGCCTACTACCTTCCTCCATCTATGGCACATCAGACCTCGCAGCATCCATCCTTTATGCTGCACCCTCAAATGTGGAGCAACGCGACAGGGCCTCTGTTTTACTTCGACGGCGTTCTCGATCCCAACATGACTGCACAACAGATTACCACATCAAACACACGGAGCTACCTTCAAGGCAATCAGTGACTTACGAACAGCGTAATACCAGTGACTGTAGGATATAATTAGCTTGGGCTCTTCAAATACCATTGTGTCTGTCTAGATAAGATAAATAGCTAATTAGTTGCGATCAGCGCGTTGTTTGGGCGCGCGACGCGTTTGTTTGTGCATGCTGCGGAGTTTGAAGTCAAGTTTGTTTGCCTTGGCGGAAGCTCGAGCTCCCTTGACTACAGCCTCTCTTAGGGGCCACATCCACCTCCGATTCTTCACATTTGCTTTCATTTCCTTCTCTCTATCTGTCTAATACCTCACATTCCTTACTTCTTCTCATTTTGATACCCCTCTCGACATGGATCACGAACCGTTATCCTCGCCTGAACGGTCAATTTGCTTATTTCGACTAGCCGAAGCGACAATGACTCAAAATTTCTTTTGTTCATTGTAGTGGGCCACTAACATGTAAAGTCACCTACTTGGAAAGGAAGAAGGTGTGGCCCAGCATTATTTTGGTCTGTTGGTTCTTACTTACATATAAGCCACACACACAGAGAAAACGGACCCTTTCCAACGAAGCCGAGTGTGTTATCCTCCCCCTTCCCATCCACTCCCGGCATTCAATCTTTCATATGCCGTACAGCTCCGATTCCGATACCAGTGAGAAGTCCAAGTCGACACCCTCACCCATCAAGAATCCTAAGACTCCAAAGAAGCCTGAGAGAAAGGTACGCGATCAGGGAAATCCAGGACGCGTTGGGATCTCTGATACAATGTACATGGCAGACTCCTGCTAGCAGGGGTCCGAAACTCGTTGATGTCGAGTGAGCAACGTTTACCCTTGTCGCTGTCATGCCGTTGAATTCCCGTTAGACTGCCGGGGCCTTCCCCAAAACGCGTTCGACGCGTATCCGATGAATCAACCAAAGCCCCAAGATCTAGGAAAACTACTCACGTCCGGGCAGCCTCTTCTGTTAGCTCCTTGAAGCAGGTGGCTCAGAAAGTCGGCGGTTCACCTGCATCTGCCAAGAAGCCTGAATCGGTCTCTGCCTCAGTCCGTAAACCCAAGTCCAAGGCGTGCGTCGTCTACCCTCTCCACTTTCTTGGGGCTGAATTTCCGGGTAGTAAATCCCTTGCAGGCGAGGACGATTTCGATGACAGTGTTTCTGTCGCCGATTCCTCTATCAGCACCACGAGAGTTCGCCGTAATGAAACGGAACGTATTCAATATTTCGAGAATCAACCCGAGTGCGGCAAGATGGAACCCCATCAAGTTCAGTGCCTCCGGTGCAATAAACCTGTCAATCTGGGCCGTAAGCAAACTTATGCAGTTCGCCCTTGGGAGATCCATAGGGCCCGCTGCGACCAAAAGCCGGCCCAGACCTCTCCGTGAGCTCCGGCAGAATTCTCTTCATTTTGATGGTCTTACAAACTCTTTGCTTATCAGCATCATCCCTGACGCAGCTAAAGAGGAGGTCGAACCGGCTCAAGTCCCTGAATCTCCTGCTGTAGTCCCCTCTACGTTGTTGGTGACTCCAGCGCGCCGCCCGACAGAAGAAGACAGGAAAGAATCCCTAGAATCCGACAAACAGATCGAGAACCTCGAGAAGCACCGCGTCTGTTGTCGCAAATGTCACAAATGGGTTGACCTTTCTGAGAGCATTCCTTACGCTACTGGGAATTGGCACAAGCACAAGGACCGATGCTCCGATGCTGTGTAAGTTATCTTAGCATGTTATCTTCTGTCTAGATATGCATTAATATGAGTTGCGCAGCCCAAGTCACCGCGTCGCGGCTGCCAGGCGCAAGCTCCTTGTTGTCAACGATCCCCAAGCCAAGTCCTACGATGTGCACCAAATCGAATGTGGATTCTGCGGCAAAACTATCCAGCTCGAAGGTGAAGGTGACTTTAATCTTACCAAATGGGATGAGCACAAACTTTCGTGCAATAAGTACGGTTCTTATTTTGGAAGTTCAATGTTGATCACTCATTATTGTCGTAGAACCGTCCCAATTTCGAAGAGCGATAGCGTCAACTCCATTGCATTCCCAAGCCGCTTTTCGCGCCCTCCCCCGTCATCGGCTTCGACCGACTCTACTCTTGTTATCGAAGCCGGTTCATCGCATGCACCCCAGGGAATCAAGCGCAGTCGCGAGGACGATGTCATCCCTGAAGAAGACGAACGGCCTTCCGCACGCCCACGATCCGCGTCATATTTACCGCCGAACCAAGAAGCCCCCAATTCAGTTCTGGGGTGGTTCATGCTCCCATTCCACTCCTTCGTCCGTGGCTTCAAGGAGAGTTTGAAGGACAAATCATAATCCTCCAGGGCCACTGTTTCCATTCTCGTTTGTACCAGACCTACTGTCCATCATTTTGTCTGTTTCGAGTCCTAATCTATGTTCTTGTCTATCCTGTATGGCAATGCGCCTGACTGAATAACTGTTTATGCCCTTCAAGCCTTCAAGCAATGGTCTCCTCGACGCTCCACCTGACTCAGGGTCATGGCCGGCCGCAATATGGCCACGATTCGAATGCAACCCCTCGCCTACAGCACCTGTAACTCGGCGCAACCTGGTGCGAACGGTTTGCGGACCTTGCGGGCTATGATTTGGAAACCGCGGCGGGGTTTCCCGTGGTCTTAATTAGCCTTCGGAGAACCCCATCATTTGCTTAAACATATACCATTGGACTGGCGGCCCCAACACCATTGCTTCCCCTCGCGGCATTCGCTAATGAAAAACCCAGCGCCTGTAAAGCGAAAGTGTGTCTCCCCTTTTCTTTTCCCCTTGTTTATTCCTGCTCACGGCTTCTTTTTTCCAAATCCAGGCCGTCGAGCCTAGATTCCGAGGCCCCAATCACCAAGAAGGTCATTAATTCTCCTCATGTCATCGTCGTCGAAATGATTTACGAAACTGTCCATAGCGGTGCAACTCGGGTCTATCCCCTCTTTCCCCTTCGCTCTGGTACGTATTTTTCGGTCTTGCAATCGCAGCTGAAGTATAGCCACTGAACGAAACCCTCGTACCTTTTGAATTGCATTCGTTTTTTCTAAAGTGATGATCAGGAAAGCCGCTCACCTGTGAACGGCACATCAGAGACTATCACCTTCCCGTAAGAATAGCTTTCGACTACCTTTCATCTTCCGCCTTCTCATTGACTCATCCCCTCCTTCCTCAGCAACACCACAATGCAGCATACAAAGACCAAGTCAGAAAGCATTCGAGAGAAAACACTTCTGGACGATCCTTTGGTGTCTTTACTCGATCCCTATCAAGTGCTGTGCAAGCAGTGCGGTGGGACGATCCAGTTGTCCAAAAAGGCTGCGTACGACCTCTTTCACTGGAAGAACCACAGGAAACGATGCAACAGGAAATTGAAGACGATAAAAGGGAAAAAAACAAAAGTTACTAAAGCCCCGAAGAGTGCCACAGTGAGTACCCTCGTCTGTCAGTGTCTTGAAGTTACTTAGACTTTTTCCCCTTGTAGCCCAGCCTCCCTGCGAGCCCTATGGCAAACGTGCCCCTAAAGCCTATAGCATCGACCTTGTCGCCCTTCCTTTCAGGAAGAAGCCCACGGACCCCGCCGCTCGTTTCCGACACTGACGAAGACCCTGACATTCGGTCTGAGCGCTCGTCGGAAGCGCATTCCCCCGCGATGCCTTCGCATCGCATCCCTGCCCAATCACCGCCGCCCATCTCCCGCCTTTCGTTGGACCCCGTGGAGACGTACATGTCTCGCTCGCATCGGGGATACGTCCACCGCTCTCCCGGCCTGCCGGCGGAGACATGGAAGAACTGGAGCTGGTCGCAGCTGAAAGAGCCGCAGTTCGCCGTCGGAGATCGCGAAGATGTGGATCTGGAAATTGAGGAGGACGAGCGGTCGGAGAGGTCCTCCCACTTACTCGAGAGCGTGGTCGACGAGAAGGCTCACGAGGCTGCCTGCACGTTGTTGTCCATGCTTTCTCAAACGCGTTGATTGAAATTGCCCACACTCATTGCACTGCCCCTCGGCCACTATGTTGATTTTATAGGTCGTGCTATTTTTTCATCCGCTCCGTTTCTATTCATCATCTCGCTATCCCGCTTTGCATAGTCGACTACAGCAGTTGGTTTTTCCTTGTACTCCTATGACCCAAGCCATGTCAACGCCATTACCCCATGTGCACTTCTTGTATGTTCTATCCTGTATCATAGAAATACTTACAAGCTCATCTACGTATCCCCACATCTTTATCTACTTCATGTTGTACCATATCCCATCATTGCTTTCTGTCCTCAATACCTTTCGTCTACCACAAGACCCATACTTTCATTGTCGTACCTCTATCGAAAACTGAATAATTTCGGACCACAACAACAGCAACAAGCCAGGGCATTTGTCCCAACCTGGGGCATGCTATATACCTAACCAAGAATTAACCAGCCGTCCTTGGCGAGTGGTCGTCATCGTCCTGAGAAGGTGGTTGGACAACACCACTTTGTAGCATTTCAGTAATGACCGCGTCTTCTTGGGCCCTGCTACCGCTGGTTGAAGATTAGATATACTGCAATGATTAAGAACGCAGAAAGCCTACATCACGTTTCGAGCAACATCTCTCATGACAGAACCGCTGGGGACGTCAAGCTTTTCTACGCCTGGGACTCCATCAGCCCTCGTGGGACCGAGGTTGAGAAGCATGACAGGTCTTTTCAACTCAAGAGCGCGCCTTAGCAACCTATAGAATTGTTCAGAGTGTGTGATGTACGAGAAGATTTTCATGTCAGCCCACCGAAACGCAGAATAAGTAGCAAGTGTTGTTCCCATGAGTAATAACCTGTCGCATTGATCTATGTCACGAAAACTATAAAGGAATAAATAAGGTTTGTGAGTGAACAAACGATGCAAACGACGAAAATAAGCGCACGAGCGATCTTTGATGGCTGTTGGTATGGATTCTCCGAAGAATACAACTTCGGGCTTATGCTAAAAGCTTGTTTGAGGACTTGTGCATACAAAACGTGACCAAGGACATACCACTGAGTTACGATGTCCTTCCGACCAACAAGTTGGGCAATTTGGTACCACAAAATCACTATACGAAATTCCTAATTGCTCAACCGCGACCTAATATGACAGTTGTGAGGCGCAAATACTTGATTTAGTTTGATTAATACTCACGTCACCGTCGGGGTTTGTTCTCGGTTGGGACCCTGTACGCTCCATCTCTTCAGCATAGAGATGCCATTTGGGGTTCTCTGTTGACAGCCAGTCTTGGAAAGTATCCCGGTCTATGATATGATTTCTGCTGCAGTGCACCCTCTGTCGAGAAATCTAGAGGAGGACGGAGGAGAAAAAAAGGTGCTAACGTGGAGTGTCCCATGAAGCTCTAATATGTTCTGGGCAAGATGTGTGCTCCGCCCTGGGATCTTGCATAATGGTTTGTGGTGTAAGCCATCTACGTTCTGGAAGGCTCAGAAAACTCCATATATCGGGGAAGGGAGCTAGGCCGTACTTGCGTGATGATCCGAGGGATGTGGGATGTGTATTGCAACGCTCCGAGAGCAAAATGCGTAGTGTTTGGGAGAGCATCGCGTACAGGCGGATAGCCCAAGTACGACCGTAGCCTGTGGCAATTTATTCGAATGGTTTTGCGCGGTGTTAGCGCATTGCTCACCAGTATCTCTGTCTGAAAGAAAAAAATATTGAGCTCTGAATGTCTGAAGTATTGTCATGAACGGAACCTAAATGTATGTCCCTTTTCAGTGGAGTCCATAAGTTCATGATAGAATATGGGCCTTTCATTAAGAAGAGCATGAGCCAGCTGCTTCCCAGAGAGAGATAGGCTCCTTTACTTGTAATTCGGGTTCATGTAGCGGCCATCGTCGCCTCTATATGCGCGAATTCCGGAGTCGACGCTGACGCCCGCGCCGGTCAAGATGGTGACATTTCCGGCGCCAATGAAGTCGGACAAGCGTTCGGTCGCCTCTCGAAGAGACTTTATAGACAACGATGGCTTCGTGTCGAGTAAGGCCTTGGGTATGCCAGGAACAGAAACTCGCATGTGACTGTAGCTGCGAAAGCCGGTTATGTATTGCCACCGCCGTCGCTCGGATATCATCTGCTCACCATCCACCACCACACCGCATCCTTCGTTATGAACGCATCTCAGCAGCCCGGGGTCCTGCAAACTCCGGGATTCGCGCACTACTCTCTTGCTTGGTCGCCATTTCACACAACACGGTTGGTACTTGCTTCGTCGGCCAACTTCGGACTAGTGGGCAACGGTCGCCTGCATCTTGTCTCTGTAACTCCGGGGCCTGGAGGTTTACCAGTCTTGACCATTGACAAAAAGTGCGCATGTCGTATTCTTCCTTCTCATATCCGACTGAACGTCCAAGGCGTCAGATATGAAACCCAAGACGGGCTGTACGACGTTGCTTGGTCTGAAATACACGAGAATCAAGTCGTGACGGCTTCGGGCGACGGTTCAATAAAGCTTTGGGACATATTGTTGAACGTATGATATATGTTCTGTCTCGAATTCCTATGTCTGAAGCATTCCTGCCAGGACCTTCCTATCCGAGCATGGCAAGAGCATACGCGAGAAGTATTCTCCGTCGATTGGTCAAATCTCAAGAAAGATATGTTTGCTTCTTCGTCATGGGATGGCTTGGTCAAACTGGTGAATTCGATCAGTGTTTTCGACATTTTCGTTTGCCCACAGTTTTGCTAGTGGTCACCAGAACGTCCGCGGTCTATTTTGACACTACAAGCCCACCATGCTTGTGTCTATCAAGCCATGTTCTCTCCTCATCAACCTGACCTTCTTGCAACATGTTCAACGGACGGCACACTTAAGATATTCGACTTGCGCTCTCCTTCATATGTCAACTCCGGTCCCAATTCCAACGCCTTCTCTAGCCCGCTTTCAGCGGCTGTCCTGACAGTGCCGGCTTCGACAACTGAAATCTTATCAATTGACTGGAACAAATACCGACCCATGGTCCTGGCGAGTGCCGGTGTCGATAAACTTGCCAAGGTCTGGGATTGTCGCATGGTGAAGACTGGAGAGATCAACCAAGTTGGCGGGATCTGCGAGACGCAGCTGATGGGACACGAATATGCCGTTCGGAAAGTGCAATGGAGTCCACATCGACCAGATGTGTTGGCGACGGCGAGCTATGACATGACTTGCAGAGTGTATGTCTATCGAATCTTTCCCAGGAGTCATTTTCTTACCCTTTGCTTAGATGGACAACAACACCGACACCTGGCCGACCTCAGTTATTACACATTCACGATCCGCATACGGAGTTTGTCGTCGGCTGTGGTTGGTCTTTGTATGAGGAAGGTATCCTGGCGAGCTGCAGCTGGGACGGTAGGCTGAATGTGTTCCGAGTTTAAAGTTTAAATCTTGTACTGCTGAGCTTTTGTACTTTAGGGGCTTCATTAATTGTTGTATTCATTTGGATTCTCACTGGTTCTCCTTCAAGTAATTTGCAGCTCCTCCATTTTTTCTTCTCGGGCAGTTATAGCCAACGCTTCTCAAGTTCAACATCTATCCACGAACGAAAATATTCCATAGACAAGCCGATTGTGCTATTGGTCCCTGATATGATTACTGGTTCCGTCCTGATCCAGACAGGGACAAAGAGAGGTCAAAGATAAGGATTTTACACCACTCTTCTTTCCTGATAACACGGTGCTACTTGCGGGTATGTACCTCTACTCGTGGCAAGAACGACACTAATCGCTAAGTCCTTTTTGTTGATTATAAATAGTTGAGTTCGAGGCTGCAGACTAGAGTTCGGCACAATTGGTGACAGTCAATACAGTTTGCGAAGACAAAAGCAACGAATATGCCCAATTCCGAACTCGAATCGGAAGATTTCCTTTTCGACTCTCTCCAGACCCTGTACGACTACCAACCTATCACTCTGACGACATCAGGGGCTCCATTCACTTACACAGTCAAACTCTCGTGTCACCCGCTAAGGTACCAGCTAGTGGAACAGGCTAACGGGGGGCCAGTCACAATAGAGCTACACACGCCCGACACAGAAGCAGCGAACTGGGCTCTACATGCCTCTTCGATCTGGGTGTCGTCGATCTACCTCGCCGACCATATCAGCGAGCTCGACCTAGAAGCATATATCGACTCCCACCTTCAGGCCGAAGGCCCGGTTCGCGTCTTGGAGCTCGGGGCTTCAGCGGGCCTTCCGAGCATATTGATCTCCAGGTTGTATCCCGAGCTGATGGTTACCGTGACGGATTATCCCGATGAGGTGTTAATCAAGACGTTATCGGACAATGTGGCGCGCAATGGTGTGGCGCAACGGTGTGAGGCGTTGCCTTATGCGTGGGGTTCCAATCCGGCACCGATTCTTGGCCAAGCGGACGGTTTTGATGTCGTATTTGCGGCCGATACTCTTTGGAACCCGGATTTCCACGGCATATTCATCAAAGCTCTCAAGTTGACGCTGAAGAAGTCACCCTCGGCGCGGATACACTTGGTTGTTGGGTTGCACACGGGGCGATATACGATTCAAGCGTTTCTGAATGCAGTGATGTCATCTGGATTCGAACTGGAGAGTATACAGGAGCGGGAAACGACCGGTCATTTATCAAGAAATTGGGAGCTACGAGACAACGAGGACGAAAAGGAAAGGAGACGGTGGGTAATATGGATACAGCTGAAATGGACAAGAGAAGCGTTAGCGTTACATGATCAAGAAAGGTAGTTCTGTGGTTTATATGTAGGCAAATCAGGGCAGAGATTCGTATCTACAGATCAGGAGGTCCGTCGAAGTGTTTACCAAGGCGGAAAGAGTACGGGGTTTATCGCGTCGGAATAAGGGCAGGGTGGCTTCAAGAAATGGAAGTGAGAGATGGTCCATGGAGAAGGACGTATAGAGGTATACGTCCTTCGGGTGTCCTTAGGATGGTATACAGTTAAGAATAATTGAATGAAAGTCACTTAGGTATCAATTTAAAGGGCCGGGTGGTACTGGATGTCGTGGCGGATGGCCTTGGTGGCCGGAGGGTTAGGGCCGAAGGTAAGAACATTGACCGGCCTTATACCTCCATGTGGTTCCTGTTACATAGAGAAAACGGCCATCAACGAAGGCGATGGAAGGGGAGAGGGCTCGCTTACCAAAGAAAGTATGACGTTATCTTCTGTGGCGCAAATGTTCTCGACCACCAGTCCATTTGTGGTGGTCGGCGGGAAGTCACGGTAATATTCGCCCGGCTTGAGGGCCGAGTATTTGCCAATGTGGGTCCATGTTTTGGGCGAGGCGGGAGGGACTTCCAGGAACGGCGCGAAGTCGATAATCTTCAAGCGGGTACGTTCGGCACCGCTGGCGGAGCGCGTACCGTCTTTCTCAAGATAAACGACCCGGTTGCCGATGACGTGCGGTTCGCCTGATAAGACGGCGGGAGAGTGTTCCTTGATGAGGCAAAATTGGCTCCAGAAACTCCAAGGGGCCGAGCGTCTATCCGTGGCGGTAGGTCGGAAGAAGGATTCGTTGATCATCATCCAGTGCACCGAAGGGCCGTTCAGACCATTCTGTTTCGCAGTCAGAACGAGGACGCGAGCAGAGGGGTCGCAGTAGAACAAGGCGGGAGAGGCACGAGGAAGATCGGTAATCTCAGCAGTGTTTCGACCGAATCGCATCGTCGATTTGGCCCAGATGGGAGGCAACTCGTACTCGCGCTCGATGAAGACGTTGCGCATGTCGTATATGTTGTAGAGATAGAGGGCCATCTTGCCGTGAATCTTCCTGACTCCGAGGAGTTGATGAGCACTGAGGAAAATGATGTCCTGTTCTTCGAGCCACTGCGAAGGGTTGTTAGCGACGTAGTCAATAGTGGGAAGATAGAGAGGAAATGCACCATTGCCTGGAAGGTGGTCCAGTCGATGAGCAAGTGCTTGACCAAGCCGCCGACGAATTCGATGGTGCAGATGACTCGAGTTCCGCAAAGGGCAGTCGAAACATTGGTGACTGGCTGCGCGATATGCGTTGGGCAATCATAGTGAGATGCTAAGGCTTTCGGGTGCTTGTCAAAATTGGATAAATTGCGAATCCTGAGACGCAGGCTAATTTGACCGTTTGGGGCACTGGTTAAGTGGCGTTCGTCAGAATAACCGCGACGACGAAAGGGGATCTGGGTGGGCGCTTACCCAATTGTGTGCGCAGCAACAATGAGCGATTGCAAGGCGTCTACGGCAACGGACTCGGGCTCAGGGCTGGTCATGTAATGGATATGACGGGTCTGGGCAGGGAGCCGTCCGAGCCGGCAGGAGGGGAGTTCAAGCAAATCCAGAGACTGATTGCCGGCGTAGTACAGAAAATTGCCAGAGACCTCCACGTTAGAAGACACGAGTGAGACCCTGATTTTCTGTTCATCAGTCCACTTGAGTCGGGGCCAATCCTTCTTGTAGGACATCAAGAGTTGGACACGCATTATAGGTGGACGGCTGGCATAAGAAACCGGTCCATCCTTCATGCCGATGATACCAAGTTCGAACCGGTAACGGAGGTGTTGGAATTCCATTACAAGGACGTAGACTCGTTCGAATGTCTAGAAAATTTGAAGTGAGAGCGGTTCTTTCCGATCAAAGTGGGACCGACCTGGCATGTCCGGTAAAGGCTGACTGGATCGAGTTTCTCGAGGATTAAAATTAAGACATCGTTGGAGATTCTGTAGCGCTTGATAGTCGTGACGCGGTGGGGCATCTTGAACTGGTTTTTGCACCCTCATCGCTGGAGTGATTTTATACCCCGCGTTCTCGTCAAAGAAGAAGAAAAAGAGAAGAAAAAAAAGACGCGGTTGCTGCGCCAATGCGAGGTCGGGCCACATCTTTGTGAAAAAATTATTGACAGAGATTGTATTAGCCGCATCACGATTGAAAGACCAGGAAACGGTTGAAAAGGGTGTCGTCGGCAGGCGGCGTATATTGTGTGTGGCGAAAGTCTTTTGTAAGGCATAACGGCGCGTCTCACAGCTTCTTGTAGAGGGTGTCATGTCAACGAAATTGAGTTTGGTGGTGGAGGAGAAAGTTCAGTGATGAAGGCTCTTACGTCGGGTGCGGGAGAGAAGCGCGAAAAATTGAACAATAAGAGCCTGATGGCGGGGAAAAGGTTCCCGAAGAGGTGAAATACCGCATGAGGTAGGTGCGGCCCAGGGCGGAGGGCGGTCAGATGGAAGAAGACGAAATAAAAGAATAGAGAGCCTGCTTGATTGTCTTGCGAAGCTACGAGGTGGCGGCCAGATTGCCGATCTGCTGAGTCAGCAATCGGGGGACCCATAACTGCACGCTGCTCTCTTACTCCGACCACCGACCATTAGGCGCCCTTCATGGTCTGCAAGAAGTGCGAATCCGTGCGTTTTTGTTTCTCCCAAATACCGCTAGACTCACCCCATATCCATAGAAACTGTCTAAAGTTGCCGCCCCCGACCCTTTCCAGGCCAGCTCATCCGCAATCAAGGACGGCTCCAGGAAGGTCGGAGAGAACAAGCTCCTCTCTCGTCCAGGGACGTCAAAGAACCGTTTCCAGGCAAGTCGTCCACGCCTTCTTTGACACAATCAACGTTACTGACGCCTGTTCACAAAAAGCCATATCAGTCCAAATGCAAAGACTGCAAGCAGCCTACCACCCAGAACAAAGCAAAGTATTGCCATGGTACGCCTCTGCCAGAAATTTTAGCGGCTGTTTGTTCAACCTATTCTGCCAGGCTGTGCATACAAGAAAGGTATTTGTTCAATATGCGGCAAAAAGGTCCTCGATACGACTGGTTATGTGATGTCGAGCAAGTAGCCGGCGCTCGTGTCTTCCACGTCACCCCACGTTACCTTCCGAGCACGACAACCGTATTGTGAACGCCATGCTCCCTCTAGGAACCTCGAGTTCGACGAGTTACCACCTAACTGGTTCTCCTGGGAGCGTTGTATGAGATAGAGAGGGGTACATCACGATCAGTGTAAATTAGTATGTGTACATTCCTAATACAAGTCACAATAACAGAAAGCTAAAGCAAGATAGCAATTCGACACTATATTCTAATGGGCATGGACCATGGCCTTGTGCCTTTGTTCGTAGATCTCTTCGTCGATGGTGTCCTTCGTCAGGAACCGCCACACAGTGACATGCTTTGTCTGCCCATATCGCACTAAACGACCAACCGCCTGAGTCTCGCAAGCCGTGTAGATCTCCTGGGATGGGGCTAGCAAAGGAGAAAGGAAGATGGCGTGGTTGGCTGACGTCAGGTTGGCGCCGCTGGCACTCTCGTCCATGACATTCAAGAGCAGGACACGCTCCTCGCTGTCGTTCTGGAACTGCTCCAAGTTCTTGCTCTTCGCGGAAGCGGAACCTTTGATTTCCAGGAACTTGATACGATGCTCCTTGAAGGCTTCCGTGACTTTCTTCATCAAGTCAGGGAACTGAACGAACACCAGCACGCGTTCTTCCTGCGGAATTTGTTTCCTGTGAAGCGTCAATGAATAGTGCATGAATATATGCTGCACTGGGCAGACTTACTTGATCAGGTTGACGACTTTCTCAAGCTTCATTCCGAAATGGCGATCTTTGCCTTTTCGTGCCTCGTCATCAACACCGAGTGTATCGCCTTTCACGACGTTGAGAACACGGGCGGCGGATTTGCACTGACCCAACGCCGCATACACGCATTCCTCCTTCTCCGCACAAGTCCTGACGCAATTCAAGCACCCCGTGTGACCGCAGGAAGAAAGCACCGCGACCTCATTGATAGGAATCTTCTCCCTCTTGCATTCAGGGCAGGAGACCTGCAAAGGAGCGGCGGTCTGCTTCTGTAGATCGCGGACGACGCTGAAATAACGCAGAGAGCGGACACGGCCTACAAGTTCCTTCGTTATGCGGCGAATTTCGTGTGTCTTCTCGCGATGGTCCCAGACCGCCGCCTTGGTCTTCTCCGATAGGTGGACGTCCTGCGACTTGGTCTTCGCCTTAGGCATACCAGCACCAGCCTCGTCGAGCAGAGTGACGACCACGTCGGTAGATTCTTTGTCGTCGACACCCTCTGTTCTGGAGACGCGGACATATTCGGTGAACATAGATTCTTGACCAACGTTTCCGAGGGCCTTTTCTCGCTTGACGCCTTCCTTGATTGCCTTCAGAAGTTCAGCTTTGCAAGCATCGAGTTGCTTCTGACGTTCGCGGACGATAACGTCGCAGGCCTTCATGGCATTGTCTTCTGAAGTCTCGAGGTCGAAGTGCGAGCAACGCTTAAGCAGCGCCTCTTCTGCAGACCTGAAGAAATAACATCAGGATTGAACATGAAGTCGGAATAAAGATACCCACTTGCTTTCACCTAATGACTGAGCAAGACGCTTTTCGCGATCGCTCTCCGTCTTCTTGCCACGTTTGATCGTCATATCAAGCGACCTGAGATGATGCTCCAGCTCGAGATAGATCGCCCGCTCAGCTGCGGGCAAGGTTATGCTTTGAATCTTCTCAACCCAAGGAATCTCGTCGATCTCAGCGATGTTCTGACGAACGAATTGGTCCAAGAATGCCTGGCCGATTTGGTGTCGATGAGCGTGCCATTCGGGACTGTGGACCTCTCGGAAGGAGTGGAATCGTTCGACAGCTGTGGGTGACTCACGTTAGTGTGATTTTACCTGCTAGTCAATTAAGAGGCTTACCAGTCTTCTCTTTGAATCGCTTTCTGACTTCAGCAGACTGGCCCTCACCGTCGTCGTCAACACCGAGATGGATATCCAAGAAGGCTGCAATCGTTTTGAGAGCGGCGAAGTCGTGGATCGGAGGCGTACCGGAGAGTACCCATTGACGATCGGATGTCAAATGGGTGACGAGAGCATGGATCTTGCCGTCGAGATAGGTGTACTCATCGACTACGACACGAGAGAAATGGAACATCTCAAAAGGTGGAGCTTGCATGTCCACCCAGTCCATTTGAACAGGCTTAGATCCGAGTTTCCAAGGGTCGTTATCCGCACGTTTAGCTTTCTTCGCGGGCCGTTCATCGTTGCCGGCAGCCTTGCGCTTGGTGGCTTTCTTCTTCCCCCCTTTGGTCGATGGTTCGTCAACGTCCATGTCGTCGTTACCCGTTTCCTCCGATTCTTCAGCCTTCTTCGACGCTTTACTGCGACCCTTGGCTTTGGGCTTTGTCTTGGGCTTGGGAATCGGCTTTGGTTTCGCCTTGCTTTTGCCCTTTGTCTTCTTACTCCTCGGTTCGTCGTCACTCTCTTCCTCAACGGAATCGTCTTTGTCGGAGTTGGATTCCATGTGAACGTCAGAGTCTTCGCTTTCTTGTTCTTCTTCCGAACTTCCCTGATAGTCAGAGGATGGTGAATCGCGCTTCGTGATCCTGGGCCGCTTTCGCGAACTTGCCGCCGATGCTCTTGAGCTCTTCGTCGAAGTAGCTTCACCATCGCCCGTGACTTCACTGGGCGAATCTTCGTCGTCAGAAATGATGATGATATTCTTCGCAGCGGCGCGGCGTTTTCGCTTGCGCCAATTGCTACCCTCAGACTCGGCATCTACATCGCAAGCAGGAGAAGACATTACAGAACTGGTGTTATTCCTGTCAGCTTCTTCTTTCGAAGAGACCGGGATCACGACCTCCATAATGAGACCCGAAGGCGTTCGACTGGCGGCAGGTCTTGCTGAGGCGACCGGCTCTGGAGTCTCTTTTTTCAATGGGGCTGCTGCTTTTGCCTTGGGCTTTTCTTCCTTCTCGCGATTCTTCTCCTTGGCTTCAGCTGCCTCACGATAGGACTTACCCTTTAATCTCTTGGAGGCAATGAGAGCGGCAGCAGCGGCGGCCTCCTCTTGCACTAAACTTAAAGTTAGCACGGACAACTATATAACAAATTATGACTTACATCTCTTCTGGGATTCCTTTATCTCGTTCAACACAGAGAGAGACCCTTCCTCCTGCAGGCGTTCGACCTGATCCTTAAGCGCCGCCAGATTCTTCTCCAGTTGAGCAATGAAATGACGTCCATCTTTGGAAGGGAGATCTCCTCCGCCGGCAAGGGTTTGAAGATTGTCGAGATAAACGCTACTCTTGAAGATATTGGAAGCGACGATGACAATGTCCGCTTTTTGGATATCCTCGATCTTGACGAGGTTGAGATTAGCAACAGTGGAGATAACGACGACCTTGAACTTGTTTCTCGTGAACTTCTTGACTTCAGAATCCCATTGTCGAGTGAGATGTGGTGGAACGATGATGAGCGTGGCTTTGACGTTGATCTTGCCGGGTATCTGGCCCTTCTTGGAGAACTCCTTATCAACGTTCTTTGACGTGCAATCAATCAAGCCCAAGGTAATCGCAGTCTTGCCATATCCAACTTGATCGGCGAGGACACCGCCTCTAACGAACTTCGGACGTTGCGCCCTCCCTTCTGCTCTCCAGCCAAGCGGGTCGAGAATTGCTTCAGAAATCTCCTCCTCGATGAATGGCGGGGCTTCCATTGATTCCTGGTGGATCATCCATTCTAATGAGCGAAGTTGCTCCGTCCGCAGAGGAATTTTGAAGTTGGGGGGTTGGTCGTGCTCCTTATCGCGTTTGTTGCTGAGAATGACAAACTTCGGCAGGTTTTGGGTAGCAGCTGGCGTGAAGTTAGTATCCAATCGCCCAGACAACGCAACCTTCTCCGTGCGATTCTTGGTGGGTAGACGAGAGACGGCACGGTGAAGAAGAGATGGTATGTTGATGCCGACTCTGACGAAACCTGTCCCATCATCGGCGAGTTTCAATTGAGTGACGAAGGGACTAGGGCGACTCTTTAAACGACGCTCGTATTCTCCTGCCTGGACTGGATCTTCGACAGCCACAAACTTCTTATTTCGAAACACCCAATGAAGCTCTGGCGCTGTTGGAGCGCATCTTTCGCAGTTCAAGTGGCTTTCTGGAGTGTCGACTTCCTGCCAGTCGCGCAAGCTGTCGTCGACCTGGCGAATACGTTCCAAAAGCCAGGCCAGCGATTTAAAGGTGCCGCGCTCATGAATCTTGTCGACTTCAAGCCACTTTCCGCGTGACCATTCTGGTCCAGCTTGTCCTCGAAGGGAGACTTTGCATGTCAGCAGCGCGTAGGCGTTACGACAAGCTCCTTTTGAAGCCGGGATTTCCAAACCGTGGGCAGGAACAGCGTACTTCGCATTCTGTCCCGTGGATGGCTGCACGAGGATAAGTCAATTAACATCGCAGAAAAGCCGAAGCGAAAACGTACCTCAATGGAAACTGATTTCGATTCGACCCACTTGAAGGGAAGATAGCAGGACACCGTCTCCTCCTCCTCTTTACTGGATTGCCGCCATTTGGGATCAAGTTGGCAGATTACTGGGCGACATTCTCCATATTCCAGCCTGAGGGTGCTGATGGAGAAGACGAAGCGGTCTTTCAAATCGTTCGTGCGATGAGGGTCGAAGAGCATGAAGAGAGGAGGTAGATCGATGGCTTCCGATTCTAGCTTATGAAGGGCACCGTTCGCAGTGCCGCACTTGTCAAGGAGGGTGTAGACGCCTGAAATATCGCGATCCAATTTCTCGACGTCCCCGCTGCCAACCTGGATCCTGAGTTGCGGATAAACCATCTTAGATTTGAATTTCTCTCCGACGAGGCCAAGTCGAGCCTCCCAGGATGGCACCAGCTCACCGACTCCTTGAATCTTGATGGGAATGGCAGCTGTGGATGGAAGTGCGAACTGCCAACGACCTTTCAGAAGGTCGTCTGCACATGCAAGACGGCCAACCGGAGATTGGAGGATTTGACGAATCTCGGCATTGGCAGGCTCGTTAGCATCGGGATGCGCATATAAACGCCATTCTGGTTGTTGGGGGTGAAGAGACAGTTCCAAGAGACCTGCAGGCGATCGGTAGACCACACTCCAGATTTCTTGTCGTTTCAACTCAACAAAGCAGAGCTCTGACTCCGTGGCTCGCAAGACAGCCGCCATCCAACTCTTCCAAAGGGACGTTGCAACGCCTGTTTCGTCGTCCTGCCGTAGACCCTCTAAAAGCTCCTCCGTGACATTTGTAAGTGTGATGCACATTGGAAGTGTTGATTTGAGCAGCTTGGCAAACTCGGAGGGGTGAACGCGAGGAGATGTCGTCGTATCGATCGGAACGGGATTGTGCTCTGGTCGCCCGCCGCACCTCTTGCAGAAGGAGCTGCCGCAGTCAACGCAGCTGAAAAGGGGTCGCGTGGTCATGTCCACTCGACCCTCACACGAACAAAGTCTCTTACTTTTGTCCGCCTGCGAGAGCAGCTCCGAGAAAGAGCATGCGTGCGTAATCGAAAGATCCAAAGGTTTCTGGACAAGGTTTTCTTCTCCTACGACGCTACCCTCAGTGTCGGCAGAAGTTGGGACGTCGACGTCCATGGTTTCGGATTCAACTTGGGGCACCAAGCCGCCATTCTTGTCTTCATAGGTTTCCGAATCATCTCCAGCTTTCAACAGCTTCTTGCCCGCAACGAGAGCAGCTAACATGCAAGCTCCAACGACGGTCGTTGACATTGCATTTCCTGCTAAGTCCGCTAGCTGGTCCTCCGTTTCACGTGTGAGAAGGAGCTTGTCGACTGGAAGGCCTTGCATCGACAAAGCTTCGAGACCGACCATCGGACCACCACGATTGGTGATATAGGGTATCATTGAGGGCGTTAGGCAGGGGCAAATGCCGACCTTGTTCGAACCGATTGTTCGATCGACATTTTGCGAGAGGTTCCAGACCACACTAGAGAAACTGTCGGCAAGGACGGTGACGCAGCCTCGCGAAAACGTACGTTTTATAGTTAGGATCAACTCCCTTCACTGCTGAGCGCAGAAGACTAATGTCCATCAAGTCCCATACTCGCTCAACTTGGCCGACACCCCAATCATTCCACGCGAAGTCGGGCAGCTTACAGAATCCACCTGAACAAGAGGTCAGTACACGACTAATGTACTGTGAGAGTAAAACCTGCCTTCGTCCCAACTGGTAAGAGGCCGCTTTGAACCAAGCGCCTCCTCAAGCCTTGCTCTCTGGTGACGCGACTCACATCGACCCCAGTCAGTCCTGCCTGTCTTCCTGTCCAGTGCACCATAGCTCTCTTGAACCAACTTTTGACGGGCGGTATGAATACGAGGGTCATCGGATGGCAACAGAAAAGCATCAAGGGTCGAAGATGCGGGGCGTTTGAGCTTCGATGTTACCAAATCCTTCCACGCATCGGGGATGCTGGAGTTCTTCTTGTTGACCGCGATGAGGTAGACTCGGGTCCGTGTGTGAGGAATGTAGTACGTCTTTGTGTCGACCCTTGCGTACGCGGCACTGTACCCACTCTTCTCGAAATAAGTTTGAACCTTGTCCCATGGCGCTGAGCACACGTTCTCGAGGATAACGATTGGAGGTCGGTGTTGCTTAACCCACGACATCATGCCACGGAAGGTTTGACCAGACTCTCCCTTGGCGTCAATGTCTTGCTTCTGGGTGTTCAGGTTGGAATAATCGACGCACGACGTGCCGGCAACTAGCATGTCGACATCGCCGGGAACTGGAACCAAAGCACCATAGGCAGTATGGCTGGTAGAGGGACGCATTAGAGACTTTTGTGGCGACAAGACAAAAAACGTACGCTTCTCCATCACCCAACTCGCAAACATCCCGGAAAAGAACTGGGGGGTGGAAGTTCCGTTCGATATAAGCCTGCTTGAACGGCTCGATTTCGCAGGAGAACACGTGTTCTACCTCGAATTTCAATCCATGTTGCTCAAAAATAGCCTTCTGAATAAGCTCCAGAGCGAGAAGAGGAGACTCCGTCCCGGAACACATGGTCGCAACACGTAGTTTTCGACCCCCGACGTGTTCAGTAACCTGCTTGATGTCAGGTATCCGGCTAACGAGGTCGTCGAAAATGGTAGGAATATCGTTAATGGGGGGAAGATTGGAAATTTCTGGCGCGTTAGACTTGACCTCTTTCTTGCTCCTTTTCTTTGACGCGTTTATGTCGACGTCGACGTCGGAAGACTGGCCCTCAGCCATAGATTGATCGTCATCGCCGTCGGTTGTCGCCTCAGCGACTGTGTCTGAGTCTGGAGGCTCTTCTGGCTCCTTCTTTCCCCCACCAAAGAAGGATGTAATGGCTTTCTGGCCTTGAGTCCACGTTTTCGTAGCCTTTCCTTTCGCCATCCTCGCGGTGGGAAAGAGAGAGAGAATAGCCTCGAAATACTCCCGAGTATTACATATGCAACGCGAACTGTCACGTCGTCGTCACACTGCCGAAGAGCGGAACCAAATTGGTCAAGCCGACACTCACGTACCTAGACAATGTCACGAATAAGGAGTCTTGTCGACCGTTACTTTGGACAGGATGCGCTTGACTGGTTTGATAGGTCTTATCTAACGGACTGGTAATTTTTACACTAACTTGCCAACATTGTGAACTGATATCTGATTGCCTCACTGGCAGGGTGGTTGTGCTATTTATCTGGTTTTTATCTGCGGTTGTGTCTGCTTCCCCTGTTTACGTTCGTGAGTTCTCGCCGTCCGATACCGACATACAATATTCGCACAAGAAAAACCAGTACGTTGACTAAAGAGCGATACTTATTGGAACGTCATAGCATCGTTCTAATCCCTTGATTCTTTTCAAAATAGAGTCTCTTCCTTTCTTAATCACTCGCTGGCTCTCTTTGGACCATTGGCTATCATAACTGTGTTTGGGTCTATCCAACGTTCCCTTCTGGTAATCCACCATGGAGCCATCGGGGTTTGCGCTGCGCGGTAAGCATTCTTTCTCACTACACCACTATGATTCTGAGCATGAGAAGAGGACTTGCTCGCCTCATAACACAGATCCTCAAGCACAGCGTCGGTCAGTGCACTACACTTTTCAACATACCTCCAGTACGAAGCCTGTCCTTTTTTCTAGGTCGGTTGAGGCCCGACTTCCTCGACAGATGCAGATGGGACGAGCTTATCCAGCAATGCGCAGGGTTTGCAAATTTTCTCGATTGTGTAGCCTTCCTTAACCGGTTTGTGGAACAGAAAGGAACAAAACATCGTCGATGGACGCAAATCTTTTCCCTCTGGCCACTCTTCGACGGCGTTCTCAGGGATGGTTTTCCTCTCGCTTTGGATCGCTGGTCAAACAGCAGCATGGTGTTTCAACGTCCCCAAGACCCCGCGAAGCCTACGGTCCGGCCGCATGCTTATGTTCTTCACCACACTCCTACCGATTTTCTGGGCCATGCACGTCGCGGTTACACGCATCCAGGACCATGTTGGTTCTCTATCTCAGTATCTTGTGGTCTCATGCTAACTTGATTTGAGCAGCGACATCACAAGGAAGATGTTGTTGTTGGTAGCCTAATCGGCATCCTATCAGCATTGGTTTGCTACCTCATCTTTTGGCCAAATCCTTTCACACCAACGACATTCAAATACCAAGCGTACGGCCAACCACGTTTGCTCTACACAGACGGAGAACACAGTCGGGTGGATTCCGAATTCGAATTGCATCAGAGATTGGACGACAGCGAACTAAATAATGTGTAGGCCCTAGGATACCCTCATGAACGATGGAACTCGCAAGGTATATTCAATAGGGTGTGGTGATAGTACTCTAAATGCTATGATGAAATGTCCATTGGCGCCCGCACAAACACCCATTTATCTCCGACCTTTTGCATACGTCCTGTACTTGGGACCGTGGTGTTCTGGCTTTGTTGTGTGTCGAATGATCCTTGGGTGTGCTTTGATGTTGAATCCTGCCTAGGGTCTTCTTCCTCGCCTCCGCCGAGCACAATAGCGTCAGTGGTATGAGCACTGCTTCCATACTCTCCAAACCCTTCCTCGAGATTTCGGGCATTGCCGTATGGGTTCCCTCCTCGGCCTTGACCTCTGAAAACCCCTCCTCTTCCCCTCCCTCTTCCCCGAGTTGCCGGGGCATAATTTTGCTGATTCCATCCCTGGTTAGATGATTCAGATTCAACAGAGGTATCCATTTGCTGCCCAGTGCCTAATGCGATGACGAACTGCATGAGTTGTTCTGTCGACGGCAGATACCCATGAGTAACCTGCCACCTTTTTCCGAGCGCTTCCCACGAAGCGGGGGAGGTGTAATCGAAGGTCGCAAGATTAAAACTGTCCATGTCCTGTTCGGTAGATGGTGGCTGGGCGCCTGCTGCTGCACTCGAGATGCCTGAAGATGTATTCGCGGTTACCAAAGGGGATACAGAATTATGGTCAGTTTCAGAGTCGTGAATAGGTGACTTGGTGAGGGTCGGTGGCAATCTGGGATCAACTGAAGGTGTCGGCTTGGGCTGGATTGGAGAATTCGGGAAGTGAGGAGGAGACTGGTAGTTTATTACAGGGGATTTGGGCGACTCTGGGCGTATATCTCTGCCGAATTCGTCTTTCCCTTGTTCAAGTGGCCGTGAAGTAGATGTGTCGGATTGCCAAGAAGGTGGCGACGCTGCTAGCAGCCTACGAGGCGGACTGCCGGATCTCGGCCCCCTCCTGTCACCATATCTACTTGGAGGACTCGGAGAACGGCTTCTTCCTCCTCTACCATGCAGAGGGCTTGCATTTCTCTCTGAATCTCTATAACGGTCACGGTCACGATCATCCCAGTTGCGACCGAATTTATCACCGCGGCCGCGGCTGCGAAACCCATCTCTATACCTTCCTCTCGCATTGTCACGATCGTCAACATGAGGGTTAGGTCGTATATCGGTCTCGGGACTACGGTATCCGCTATGGCTTTGATCGCTTCTTGCCATTTTGCGAGGCTCATCTCGGAAGGAGGCCGGAGAGCGCGAACTACCATTCACACCCGAAGATGACGGGAATTTCTGGACATTTACAGGTTCAGCAGGGGGTAAGGATTGCGAAACAGATGGTACAGAAGCAGCCGTATGAGCTAACTGCTGGATAACCGCCAGTTGAGCGGCGTCTAACTGAGAAGCGGGTACTGCCGTCGCGGCAGCCGCAATCTGCCTAGACGTTTGGATGAAAGGTCAGTACGTCCCTGGAACGGCCGGTTACATCGACTTACGAAACTATTGGATTACCAGCTGCTTGAGTTAACAAAGCAAGTAGGGCTGCTTGCGCGTCTAACGTGGCGACTGGGACTGGAGGGCTGTGATTTGGACCGCTCGGTGGAATGCTACTTGATTGCGAAGGCATTTGAGTAGTCGACGGGTTTATCCGAGGATCAGTAGCTATTGTCTTGGGTTCCAGAGCTGGTATAAAACAAACCAAATTGTACTTTAGTCCTCACATTCACAACGAGAGAGGGCAAAAAATGGAATTGCACCAAGTAAAAGAAATACTTAGCGAACACAAGGAAACTGTAATATGCACCTTTCTCTGTCTCCTTCAAAATATCCGACAAGCGAGACAATATCGTAGCTGTAAACGTGTTTCCCTTCCCCCAGATGTCAAGGATCTTTTTCGTTTTTTCCTGTGGGTCATCGAGAGACGTCAGTGAGAGTTGGGGCACGGAAGAGATTAAAGTGGAATGGTAGCAAGAAGGCTCATGTCAGCATATCTGTGCTCACTCGAGTAGAAACGCCCAAAGAACCGAGAGATTCGCAAAAAGTCACCAGAAGGAAAAAGATCGTACCTTTGCTTCTGAGTTACCGGAGGCCACCATATCTTGAAATAAGCCTTCAACAACACCGGCGACTTTCAAGAGAAAGGTGGCAGAATTGCCAGGTTGAGTATAAATGTCTCCTGTGATTCCATGCTTGGAGGAGTGATGTTTCGCCGCTCGAGAGAGGGCATCGAAGATATAGAGACTGGAGATCTTGGAAGTCGTGGTAGAAAGCGACTTATGGGTTCGGTACAGAATAGAAACGAGTTGAGTGTCGTTCTGATACCAGGGAGGCCGAATTAGTTGAAATACACTAGTAGAGAGGAGACAGTGCACGTACGTCCATGTTTTTCATGGCAAGGTCCGTCAGTTGTGTCATTTTGGACGCAGACAAGCGTTTTGCATTGACGACCTCCTTGAGAATCGTTTCGAACTCCTGAGGACATGTGAGCTTAGATCCTAGCAGAGCATACAGGTGGACTTGCCTCCAGCGATGCCATATGGGCGGGGACAAAAGGAAGCCAGAGTGCAGAAGAACTTTCAGTAGTGGGGAACGAAGAGTGCGATATTTGCACGTGTTGGCCGGCTGATTGTGGTCTGTGCACCCCGAGTTGTCCAGATCAGTCGCCACTAACTTGCGAACAACGCCGACAGACACTTACTCTGTCAAAGACGGAGCTCTATCTGAATCCGAACGTGCTGCATGGAGAACAAAAGGGCGAAGGCGACGCTCCTAGGTGCTGTCCTCCTGTCTTCCTTAACAATCTGGGCTGTTCATTTCCAGCAGCAGCAGGAACGGGAGGTGCGCCTTGGCGGCTTTTAATGAGTGGGCTTGCTCTAATTATTTCATGATAGATGATGTACAAAGGTGTCTTGCGCGATGATGAACGCCGACGCGAGAAAATGAGGCAGAGAGAAGAGGACCTCCGCGAATCTCAGAGAAAGCGCGAAATTTATGAACGCATTCAGACCGTCGAACGTTCATGATAATCTGGCTTATTTTGTGGACACTATGAGCTCAAACTAATTGACATGCGTATAGGATAGGCTCTGGGAAGGTTACATTGCTCTGACGTTAGGCCACTGCAGCCCTAGCCGCGAAGTTGAAGTCCAAACTCCAATGCAAGCAAAGTGCAGGAGCAGAACCACAGCGACCAAGGACCGACGGAGAAGAAATTAATCTTCTTCGCTCTTCTCTTGATACACAGAACAGACACTTTATAAGTGTTGTGTTCACCCGTGCTATGCCGTTGACGAGGCTGAACTCTCAATGGCATCATTAGGGGCAAATTGTAAGCGGTCGGATTGTACAGTCTACAGGCTATAAAACTTAGGAGGATATCTGAATTCAAGACGAAGTCGGTCGTTTGGTTGGCAATCTGTTTTTGTCAGATGTGCATCCTGGCACCTGCTATCCAGCAGAACCACCATCGAGTTGGAAAGAGCTTGCCGAGAACAGCGCATAGGGCCATAAAGAGGCCGCCGTTCTTGTAGTCGACGATAGCGACTGTGGCTGAACGAGGCATAGGTACTACATTCTCGGAGAACAGTGGATAGCTGAACGGACCTGTTAAATCTGAACCCAGGTTCCAGCCTGGATAGCTATTGGTAGTGGTTAGAAGAGAAAACTAGGAAGGGTTCTCCGACGCAAGTTGGTTCCAGAAGTGACAAATACTTGGCGAAAGCACGCACGACGTGTCCAACCAATTGGGCTGGTTTGTTAGCTTGAGAACGCTTCCTGTAGTCCAATATTGTCAAAAGTCGGATCGAGCAGAAAAATTGCGTGCTCATGACATTTTTTGTCTCACTTCCTACATGCTAACTCGACGGAAAGACTACCAAGTATCCCGTCCATAAGAGCCCCCGTCGATTGTGTAACGGAACTATTCGATAAGGGCATAAGGGCATTAGCAAAGTATCGCAGGTAGTTGGAAATCATACCACCGCAATTAAGCATGGGATATGCATCGACTTTGACAGATTCATAATTCGGTATGCATAAAACCGAAAGCCAGGAGGCGTCAATTTGCATGTCCTCTTTATTGAGCAGTAATGAAGAGAATTAACCCACCAACTCCGCCGAGGACGGGCATCGTGAACCATACGGAGTGCAGTTCTTTGAGCAAAGTTTGGAGATTCCCAAACCCCATAACGAAGGCAATAAACATGTCTTAGGAGATAAAGAGTGTCTAGATCGTCTCCAAGAGATACAGACCGTACACTAGAGTTTTGGTAGGCGTACGGTCTTTTAGGAATGCGACATGGTACATGTCTGCAAAACGGAGGATGAGGACAGAAGACGATACGTATGTTGCCACTCACAGACTTGAACAGACAGTAACCCTTACAATGCAGCGTTGACCTGGAAGGGCCAAACACGCTGGAAAAATGGATATATTGGATATTAGTGGCATACCAACGGACCAGTGCTGCCATGCGAGATGCAATATGTTAAAGTATGAATCGGGATCAGAAAAAGAAGACACTCACGTATACTACGAGGAACTCGGTCCTGGCGTAAAATCGGTTCGTCTATCGTCGTCGAAGACATCATAGAAGAACAACAACAAGAGTATCTATCCGGCACTCTCGTATGGAGTGAGAGAAGGAGAGAGAAGGGAGATCGTTTCGGTCGGTATTCCACGCGCTATTTATACGCTTTGCTACAACAGGATAATAGAACGCGCGAAGTTGAACAAGCGGAAACAACGGGTTAGGCGGCCAGCAACTGAATTCCAGGAACAGCCTGCTGCATGATTTATCCTTCTTTACGAGGCCATGTCGTATGAATATTCCCCAGAGGTACAGCTTCGTAGTGAATGAATGCATTTTGTCACCTGGAAGGACTTGTTTTTCTGGATGCAAATTGAAAGGAGGCTTCACAGAAGCCGACGATTCCGATAGCGGAAGCAAGCAGATTCGGGCCGAAGCTTTCTCTCCTTGAAAGGGATGGGTGACTTGACTTGACGTTGTAGACCTGCCTGTTGTCAACTTCTGCTTTGTCATCCCTCAAATAGGTTTGGAAACGAATTGAAGACAGCGGAAGTCACTGAAAAAGAGTCAAGATCAGACAAAAAAGCGAAACAAGTAAAGTGGAAAAGCCCATGACCGCATCTGACACATTCGTAGTCGATTACGAGTAATACACAACCATCGGCGTCGATAATCAGTCAGTCAGTTAGGCAGTCAGTTAGGCAGCACTGGCCGGTGTTGTGCTGATTATCTCGATGGAACACCGAAAGACGTTAGACACTTCTTGTTGACATCACATTCATCAAGTTCGATATGGATTCGCGAGGCCGATCATTAGCGGAAGGGAATGTTCATCGGGCAGGGGGTCCACAAGTTCCTCGACCCAGAAGGCTGAATTGACGCTAATGCATGTGTAAGAATAAGTCAAGCAAGCGTTATATTGGGACTAGGCCGCACCATGGTGATAATCATAATGTTGTCCATTGGACTCGGAAGAAACTGATGGATGACCTGCGCCGCCTAAGTGGATACACCGATGTTATGGAGCATATGTCTTCAAAACTGAACGCCTCAAAACCTCAGAGAGTGCAGCCTATTGAATAGCTGCAATTGTACCTAAGAAAAGCGGTGGTGAATTAGGGATCAAATCAACGTAATAGAGCCCACACTTACCAAAATATCAAGCCAACTGAAAAATTAGAAATAAAATACTAGCAGACCACGTCAAGCTGAAAAAAAACCTGACAGATGCGAACTCGAGTCTAAAGCAAAGCAAAAGCCCCAAAATGCATTAATCAAGGAAAGCAAGGTCCATTAGCAAAGCAGGAGTAAGTAAGGAATCTATACATAGCGAAAAAATACATGAGTTTATGCAATAATATGTGATATCCGTGATGATGGTCGAGACGTTCAGCTGGACGGTGGGAGTCCAAAGAGGTGCATAGGCGCGAGAAGATCGTGTGGAAGACAACCAAGAGAGATGCGCACATGGAGGAGCACGTAGAGGGACGGTATGTCTAGGCTGAACATAGCGGTGCAGGTAGCGAGTCTGAGGGCAGGGCTGAGAGGAGATAAAGGAGCGGATGGTGTGCCGGGACTGCTGGGAATATCGTCAATCATGAAATGTCATCCTCCCGAGTTCCATTACCCTCGGACGTCCAACTGGAAAGCTTAGGTCGTGGAGTGGAATTCCCTACATCACCACACAACTGCTGTCGCCTGACCCTTTGGGCCTTGTACCGAGTGACACTCGGGCCGCCTCATAGAAGACCTCCGAAACTCCTCGGTTGTGCTTCGAACTGCACTCTGGAGAATAATGAGAGGGATGAAAAGTCGTCGGACAGCGTAACATACCTAGGTAACGAGAAGCTCGTATTCGTCTTGCCACCGACAGGCCCTCCTCGTACTGAACGGTATGTGTACCGTATCGCTTTAACCTCTCTTTGACAGCAGGATCGTCACGTAGATCACACTTGAGCGCTATGAATGCTGTTGAACGAGGGATAGAGATGACGTAAGAATGAGTGCTCACCAACAAGCACTAGCTATAGTTCATTATGAGATGACAATGATAGCATCACAAAGGACGGTCGTAAACGAACCTTCACCCCAGGGCAATATTCCAGGATTTCTTCCAGCCACTAGCTAGGGATCAGTCACCAAAGCATAGAAAGGAGGTCAACACCTACTTTTGATTCCACGTTCTCCAACGATACCGGGTTGTCCACGGAGAAGCACACCATGACCACATGCGTTTCGGCATACGATAGCGACCTTAGTCGATCGAATTCTTCTTGACCTGAGTGGTTCAAACACAAAACGCGATCGGAAATAAAGCAGGAGGAGAACAGTCAAGTCGTAAGCCATAATTTAAGTAAGCATTGGTGGCAGGCTCCGTACCAGCTGTATCCCATAGACTCAGTTCCACTAGAGTTTCATCGACGCAGATATCATGCACATAGTTCTCGAAGACCGTCGGTTCGCTGATGAATGATAGGACTTGTCAGGGTGGCGTTGTCGGAACTTGACAGCAGCGACATACTAGACTTGCGTAAAGAATCCTCTTGTAAACACGTTCAGCAAAGATGTCTTCCCTATTTTACGATCCCGCTCAGCAATCATTGAGACACCCATCAGACACGGGGACGTACCGCATGCACCATCGCCACAGACAACAACCTTCAAGATCCATCCCTCAGTGCCTGTTGGTATACGCAACTATGAGCTAAACTGCTCACCTTCCGCTGTATCTAAGACCGGGCAGATAGTTCATAAGCACTTGTACGAATCAACTAGACGCCAGAGGGAAACGAACTGGTCTGCTGCGCCCGAAAGACGTCCCTTTGCTTGAGGATCCACACAGAGACATATCTTGAGATTGCGACAGATAATCGCGTGCTTTCGTAGATGGAGATTGTAACGTGGCTTGGTGGATGTAGGAAAACGCAATGTAAAAACAAGTACGAAAGGGGACAAAGGAGTGGCCCCGTTTGCTGCAACATATGCACGTGATCTGTCGGTCCGCTGCTGTCCGCTGTCGATCGCAACCACTTGTGGTCTTCCTCTTCACACTCTCGTCATCAAATTTCACCAATCTTTCAGGCATAAATATTCTGTACAACAAGCGATACGTGACTTATATATCAACAGAAATATTACAGGTGAAATGCATATCTTATCGGCGTCATATACCTTTCCTCACCAAACCAAACTCTATCCTGGCAGCGTCACGAAGGAGACAACAGGGTAGCAAAAAGGGAGACAAGCACTGTTCGAGACGAAACAGCACACGACGTCAACACGGATCCGTCCTACATTGACATCGTATTGACGAAATCGAGCCACGTTGACTGCATCGTCCCATCTGGCGACCCCGATGCCCTTCGCTGACCGGAGCCACTGGCACCGCCGCTCGTATCCAGTATGAGGCTCTGTTCGTTCGAGAACATATTTCCATTTGTGTACGTGGAGGAAGAAGAGAGGCCGTAGTCGTAAACCGGGAAGTACTGTGGCAGGCCACTTTCAGTCTTAGTGACGCCGCCAGAGGTGTCCATGCTGTGGTGTGCTTGCATGGACTGCTGGTTCTGCATCATTGTCTGCATAGATTGCTGTTGCTGCTGTTGCTGCTGCTGCTGCATATAGGAACTCGGCTCAGCATGGAAACTCGACTGCAAAGACGACATCCCGTAAACGGAAACTGGCGAAATATCTGGGTCTGAGAAGGATCCACCATCGTTCGAGAACGAGTGGTTCTGCGCGTCCATGGTATATAGTTGTTGACCGGTCCCACTCTTGAAGGTTTCCAGATACTCTCGGACGTTTTGGGGCAGCTGGTTGTGCATCCCTGGCGAAAGCGGTAAAGGCACAACCGGATTTTGGGAGGTCGGGGAGCGGTCCATCAGTACTGGCGAAGCAGGTTCTTTCTTCGAGACCAAACGTGTCTTGCCACCAAGTACAGCCAGCTCGTCGTGATCTGGGTCGGGTGTTGTCGGCGAGCCAGGGTTGTACCGGTTCAACGAAGGGGATCCTTTGCCTCTTCGGAACTCATCTAAACTGAAGTGGGCCTTCTCTTGCAAATGCAGCATAATGTTCTGTTCGATCCCGCCATCGTGTCAGATAGATTTATCGAAGGTGCCGATCTCTTCGGGACGACTCACAAGAACTTTGCTGGCTCTGAACCCACGTGCAGCCTTGGAGAACAATTCGCATGCCGAGTCCAACTGGACAAGCGCCGAAGGCGCCAAGCTCATGGACGGACAACGAGTAACGATCGAACCCAGAACAATCTAAGCATCAATTAGTGACAAGTCCAGCATTGAGAACCAGGTGTAGGACCTACCGCGCACGAAAACATGTGTGTCCACAGGAACCAGATCCTCTCGCTCGGTTCTTTGAGCTGCGTATGCAAGTTTCGCATCATCGCAACTAACGAACCTGCGCTTCGATAAGCCGCAATTACTGACGTCCCGTACGGACTCCCGAGAGGGTCTTTCGGATGATCACTAATGGCTCGTGCGAAGAAGCTCCTGTGCAAATAGAGGAGATCTATTCACCGAGGGGGAAATCGGCAACGCAAGTGAAGACCGTAGATGAGTCCTTTTCCCCTGATATTCGGAATAAAAAGTATGACGCACTCATTTCCCGGATCGCAAGGACGATATGCCGTTGCAGAGTGAGCATGACGGTGTCTGGGTAACCTCCTTGACGAGCCTCAGAGTTATTACCAAAACCGGCGACCTGGAGGATCGGCGGTACAGGGAACGCACGCAGCTTGCGGTCAAGCTGGAGAACTGTGGCATACGTAGGCGTTTTGGCGCCGAACGCTTGATCGTGCAACAAGCTCATGCATTCTGAAGTAAATCGATGCTTCCAGCCGTTGACTGCGTTGCGATCGTGAGTAGATGTTGCAAGGGGCCAAAATGCGGCGCAAAACGAAACGTACAACTCTGTTCATCGGAATTATCATCCAAGTGGGGCATCTTGCAGTCAAAGTGCGGAAGCGCAAAAGACGGAGGACGTCCATATGTCAAACACTGCCACGAATCGTACGTGAACAGTTCCCAAAACAACTCGCGGCGTCTCTTGGTTTCCACGGGATCGACACCTTTCCATCGTCCGCTGTCTCGATCTACCGTGAAACAGATATTTGTAAGTGCCATTCTGAACATGGCACTCGGGTAAAAACACTTACGAAGACCGATCTGCAAGCAGAGGGCACGGAGGCATTTTTAGTAAGGGTGCGGGGTGGAAAGGATGTCAATAAAGCTCACACTTTGGCCAACTTTGACTGCAAGCCCCATTGTGGCCCAACGAGCACCGGAGCTGGTTCCATGCCGGTCGGCCAAGAAGAGGTAGAAAGTCATCAGATACTGGGCACATGGCACGTCAGCTCTCCTTTGGCACGCGCCGCGTAAGCGAATGACACTTACCAAAGCCTGCACTGCATTGATCGTTGGGTTATCAAAGAACGAGTAGTGAAACAGAGAAGCCCGTGCGAGCTGGTGATATTTTTCTGCTTCCAGGTTGTAGGCTGGTAGAGAGGTTTCCATCAAGGCGCCGATAGCCAAGACCATGAACAGCAGAGAGAGACGGTGTGCCAGGAGCGGGTCTTCGGTTATCGGGCCGTTCTGGTTGTAAAATTGGGAATAAATCTCGCTATCAAATGACTCGATATTGATAGGGTTGTACCTACGAGGAGCGAATGAGTGGCTGTTTAAACGAGAGATAATGGGTGCTTACATCCACGCAGCATGGGTGTAGTAAGTAGTCCGCAGCTGAAGCGCGGTGTCGGCCGGTGGGAGATACCAGCATAAAGTTTGCAGCCCGACGTTATCGTTGAAAGTCATGGGCGAAATCGGAAGCGACGCAGCGCGAGTCAGAATTTTTGCGGGCAGGACATTCTGTAGAGCAAGTAACTGGTCGTCTTGAAGCTCTTCGTCTTCTGGTAGTTCGTTCTAAAATTAAATTCAATACCAAACCCCAAGTAGGGCATTACGGATGCTTGACTTACTTGGAGGAAATACTACGGGTCATGGATGAGGTCAGAGGTAGATGACAAGGAGAAGGGAGTGGATGCTTACCCATGAATTGGCTATCTGGCCGTAGTATTTGGTTTTCCCAGAGAGGCTTATAGATAACGATCCAAAGGCATCAACGACATCTGGGTTGTTTTCCTCCTCCTTGATGGTTGTCGTGGAAGGTTTGGCGTGGTTGATGTCGCGCTGTAGTGGAGCCTTGATTTTCAGCAGCTCCTCAGAAAGAAGAGGGTGTTGCTCTGAGGATAAATGAGAATGCGAGGCCCGTAGCGCGTCTTCCAGTTCGCGGACGCGATTGGCCAGCTCATTAATCTTCTCATGCAGCTCCTGCGTGGAGGCAAGGACGAAACTGATTCGCTTTGCGTTGAATACCTAAGTGGGAAAGCCTGGAGATTAAACATTTCTCACCGATTTCCGAGTCCAGTCGTCAGAGCTCCCTGATTCGAACGATCAGAAAGAAGGCCGTGCACAGCGTCTGGGTGGACCTACATCAGGGCAGATTGCGCCACACCCTCTCTTGACGCACGAGCCACAAGGAATTCCTCGATCGCATCGTAGCTTGAGCCTGTGTAGAGGCGTTTCCGAGGATGTACGGCGTATCAGTCAGATGAGTTTTCCAGAATAATTGGGCGGCAAGTTCTCCGCACCTTCGACACTCTGCACAGCTTAAGCGGGTGGCTCCCTTTCTCCGCTTCTTGGTGGGTGAATCGGGTTGGCTGGGCGGGTTGTTCATTCTGGATTCATACACGGGGGGACGGTGGGCTGGGGCGAGGAGGGGAGGAGATGATGGGGGAAGGAGAGAAAGCCCTTGACAAGGATGGTGCAAGGGCTTCCCGATTGCAGATAGCCGAGTTTCCCAAGTCAGGCACGGAGATGGCCGATCGCCGATTTACTTCCGTTAACCCTGTGGCTGTGCCCTACACTCCTCGACCTCCTCTCCGCATTTTACCACTCTACTTGCCGGTCCCACGCTACAATACAGTCTCCTCAGTATTCCACATGGAGCTGTACATCTGACATAAGAGTCTCAGCTGCTGCGCTGCAACGGACAAGGACATTGATTGCTACTTAGCACACGTCACTGGTGGACCTCACTGAGCACTGGCCGTTCTTTTTTTATTTCGCCGCCTAGTAGGCTACTGCCTTTGATACCCTAATGCCCCAGCCCCAACTAGATCCGCTCATCAGGCTTTCGGCCAGATATTTGTTTGCGCAGAATTTGTGTTTGTGTCATACCCTCGCAAATTCTTCGTCCCGACGCTCCTGAAACCCACCGTTTAATTGCGAACAGTACGCAGCGGCCAACCAGCGCTGTCTAGTTGTCTTCTTAAAAGTCCCATCTACTCAATTGTTTGTTGGCTTTTTCGCTTAATAGGCCAAGAACACTCACTTGTTTACACAATCCCTCCGTACCATCCGGAACTGCTGCGAACTGCAGCCATCGATCCCGATTATCCCGAACCGAAAGATCGTTATCGAGATAACGACAATTCGCTTGTCATCACCATACACAATTTATTTCAGTAGTAGAAAACCGGTAAGTTCTCGCGACGGTTGCGAAAATCTTGGCACGCGTAAAGGTAATGCGCCACGCTCTGATCCGCTCCTTCGCCCGCCTCTCTATCCGTCTATCCGCTCATAAAGCTTCAGCTACAGTCAATGACTATAACACTCGGTGAATGGCCGTCAAAGGAGTCAGGATCGGCGGTCGTCGTCTTTCATTGATTCACTGATGGCTCATTTTTTACGACCTCATCCTGGTGTGTGACATACACCCGCTTACCCGTATGGTGTGAATTCCCATTCCTGACATTCACTCTAATACCGTATTCAACTTATCAACACTTCAAGTAAGGTTATAGAAGCCTAGGCAAGCCTCCCATATACGACTGAAGGCTGTGAAGAAATGGTGCCCAATTTCTGGAGGCGATGAGTAATCACTGCACATGCTCGTCCCAATTTAACGTATGTGGTCACTGAAGCCGGCGAAGGGAGCCGTTTCCCCGAGCTTTCCATTCAGTGGGCACCTTCTGGACAAATGTAGAGCTGACTGGGCTCGCTGCGTTAAGCTTCGACGGACCCCGTACATATTAGAAACACCTGATCAGCCCCCTGTTAGGCTTAACGACCTATTCTTATACCCACAAGGCACCTTAGGGCCGGCCCAGAACATTCGTACGATGTTCCGAGCGGACACATTCCACCGCGGTTTTCCAATCGAAGTCTCCATCCTATTTCTGCTTATCCACGAGGCATCCTTCCTCTTATTTGTTGGAAGAAGGTTGTTCCACTCCTGCTTTACGAGCGCTTCGCCGTTGCGCTGGGAATTATATCTTGTATTATCTTGGAGCTCAGAATAATTCAGAACTCTTCAAAGCTCCAATCGGCCATCCCGTTCGCTAACGGAACGTTATCCCCGAGCCTTCGCGCATTGACTGGGGAGCCATTCCCCAGTCAGCAAGCTCCCGATATCATCATAACTTCTTCATGTTTTGGCGCCCCCACAAAGACAAAGACTGTACGCCACCAAGGGGACCCCACATCTGTCACCTGCCAGTTTGGTCCTGCGTTATTCCATTACCCAGCCGAGTAGAGACGACAGCACCACCTTCGGCGAATTACTGTTTGGGGCGCGCCTACCTACTTGAGCGTCATTTTACCACCGTAGGGGATAGCACGCTGATTCGAGCCTTGGCTCCGTATGTAAATATGTTGTCATCCGACCTCATTAACGCCGCCGCCGAACATTATTTGTGAGCTAGTATATACATACTTAACGTGAATCATTCCTGTTTCGAAGAGAAAAAGCAAAACGGTTACCCAATCCCCTTCCACTCAAAGAGCGTTTCATGAAACACAAATTTACAACCACCCGTTCCGTATTCCGGTCTCGTACCTCCATGGGTCTGGGCGTGCCAGGGTCTGTCTGCCAGGGAGTGACACGCTCAGAAGCATATTCTCTGATCCTCAACATTCGCACTTCTTCTGAAAGGAAGAACCGCACGCTTTCCCGCCAAAAATATCCTATGACAATCAATCCAAGAGGCAACATCTCGATAACCTCCATCAACGCGCGTCGTCCGTCCACATGGCTTCTGCCTGTTCAAAACCCTGTCTGGAAGCGAAGTGACATGTATACGTACATGTTGCAGCATCAGTACATGTCACAGCATCAGCAGCGCCGGGGCATCGCAATGCGTGCAGTCTGTTCTACTGAACCCCGACCTCAGGTGGCGCGTTCACTACCATGCACGACGCACGCGATGATGCGTGGTAAGCGGCAGGCGCCACATTTCCTTCTTTCGGTGTGAGAGCAGCGATCGAAAAAGATCGCCGTGTGTGCCCGCAAAAGCATCCGCGGACGTCGTCTGTGTGCTGCAGACATTAATATATGCAGCCAGACTATCGGAAGAAAGGAGTCCATGCAGGCCGATACAGCGCAGCGAGTCTTTCCTCCCCTTCATTCGGCCCGCGCATGAAAACCCTAGTAACGTGCCATGCAACAGAAGCACCCCAGTTTTGAACAACGCTACGACAGAGGTCGACTCCGAGTATTATTGGCGCTGATGTGGATGACCTGCGCGGTTAGTGGTCCGTCGCACGCTTCATGAGCGCCCTCCCTGCCGCCAAGTTTCAGATTAATTTTCCATTGTTGGTAAAACGCGCCCCTGACCCCGCTCAGATATCGGCGCGGCGCACGTTGATCAGCTTGCTTGGCCAATTGACTCGGAATTTTAAATTGAGCGCCCGCGAGCCTCGTTCCCCGATCGATCACATGTGGGCTTTTTTCTGTTTTGGGCACATTTCTTTCCATCTTGAGCCCTCTGCTTTGGACCTCGATCGTGAATCTAAGGGTCTAGGCCCCCTATCATCATACTTACCAGGATATGGCGCTCATTGCACAGAAGTTCTACACACAGAAGAGCATTCAACATTGCTTTTACCATTTTCCCCATTGAATAAGAAATAGAAATGCATGTAACCCTCATCGAAATAAGTAGAGAAATAATCAAGGCAAGGACCGACACCCTAATCGCAATAATAATAAATGCAGTAGACTAATCGCTAGGGCGTAGAAACAGAGATGTCATACCAGGTCATAAACGCATCATATCCATTTAATTATTCGTTCCGTCGTTCGCGGTTCGTATCCTTCCCCGACATGCTGCAATTCAGAGCAGCAAGGAAGCTTATTCCATCCATCCCACTATCCTTAGTGGAGAGCCATAGCACGACCCAAATTACCTTAAGCCAGAATCCAAATCCATCGACTCGCTCACTTTCACCTCCCCTGTCCGGTCGCCCCTCGAGAGATTCGTAACATCCCGAACCACGATCCCCTCCTCAAGAACCTTATATTCCCCACCTACAGGTGCATGATAGCCTCCTGTGCCTAGCCCATCGATATCTCCACCGGGGCTCACAGGCTCAGCCACACTCGAGGTGTCTGAGTAGCTGTACACCGAGTCGCGCGCAGCAGCGTTTGTCTGGAGGTGTGGTAGCTTGACTGGTTGCGGTTGCTGTTGCTGCTGCGAGCTTGTTGACGACACGCTTGAGCGGGAGCTGAACAGACCACCAAACTTGCGCGATAGGGGTGCTGCACCGATTGTCGTTGTCCCATTAAGCGGTGAATACGTGGCTGGTTGGGAAGCCACCTGGGGGGAAGGTGCTGAGGCGGAGAATGGGGCTGTACCCATGCTTGACCGTAAGGGCGTATCAAGTGGGGCGGCACTTCCCCAGAGTTTGAACCCCCACCCGCTGGCCGTTCTTCGGGGATCTGCCGAACCCACACTCGTATTTGGAGGGCCAGGCATGTTCTCATCTCCAGTCGTCATAGTTGGAGGTGGGGGCAGCTTGACAGCCGTAGCACCGATATTATTCTCTGCGATGAACTCCCGTAGAGCCTTGACACACGTCTCGGAAGCCTCTCTAGCTTCATTCACCTCGCTTAGATCGTGCTTAACCGTGTCGAGTTCATCTGTCACAGTCTTCAGCTTCGTTCGTAGCGATTCCATTTCAGCGACGGCCTCAGCAGCTGCGGAAACTTGCACATTGTCGTACTCTCCAGGAGAGTGGCGCCCGTAGAACCCAGAGTATCTCCGGGAGCTGCTGGACGCACCAGATAGGGCAGCTTCCGCGGATGCGATGTTGAAGGCGCGGGCGTTGGGGCTTGGTGAAGGATCTGGGGGAGAGAAAGTACCGAAGGCAGAATCAGATACGGAGGAGATACGTCTGTGGCCGCCAGGTCTCCCTTGACCTGATCCAGTCAGAGGTGCGAATGATGCCCGTTTAGACGAAGGCGGGCTGACCAAGGCTGCGAAAGATGACGCCCGAGAGACGTCAATGGGGGCAACACTTTGTCGTCTGTTCTCGGTCTGGAGTCGCATGAGACCTCGCCTTCGCGGAAATTTAGTTAATGACAATGTCAGGCTGAAAGCCAAACGTACCTGCTCTCCTCTACCTTAGACCGAAGCATCGCAATCTGTTCCTCGTCCTCTTTCATCTTCCTCCTGGCAGCTGTAAGTTCTTCCTCTGCCCCAGTAGCCTTCTCTGTCATCAACTGGAGCGCATCCTTTGCGTACGCCTCTTGTGTATTGGCGTGCGCCAGCATCTTGATCAGCTCGTCTCTTTCCTTTGTCATGTCCGCCAACGACTGTCGCAATTGTGTGACGATGTGAACAAGTACATCGGGGTCAGGCAGCATTTCCGACCCGCCTACAGCGCTCTTGACGCTAGCGTAGCTGGTCGTCCGACTGTGTGCTTTGGGATGCGTCGTAGTGTCGTAGCCCGGTGTAATGGGTGGGCTTTCCATCGCGAGTTGTCTCTCGAGCTCGAGGCTTAGATCAATCGAAAAGCGTCCCTGCTGCTGTTGCAATTTCTGCTCCGCGTCAGCGTCGCTGGACAACGGAGCCTCGAATTCTATCCTGTGGGTGTTCTCTTGGTGCTCGTTGAAGGTGGGCGTGCGTTCCGAGGGAAGTCGTCGCGTCGGTGTACCCGTACCGCTGGCGCTGTGGATGCTGGAAGAAGAGCTGGAGATGGATACAACAGGAGGAAGTGGTGGCATGGCTGGATAAATAGGACGTCAAGCTGGCGTCCAAGTGGATTCAATTGAGTCCCGAAGATGAGTGCCAATGGGAGGCTGACACGGCTGCCACGAATGGAAAAATTCGCCGATGAATGGTGGTTGCAACAGGGAGCTGAGGCCGAAACCACGGGCAAATTTGGCCACGGCGGGTTGCGCAGGTGTCTGGTCGTGCTAAAGATAATCCATGCGGTCAGAGTATCCAGGAGACAGAAGCTCCCATCACGTGCGATAATTACCGAAGGCCACATCGGACGCGCCACACTCCGAGGCGAATACTCAGAAAGATAAAAGATACATCGACACTTGATCGACACGTTTGATTTTATTCTTAGGAAACATATTACACAGGATAACAACGCTAAGCTGGTATATGCATAACCCTCTAGCTTGCAAGGTATTCGAATACGAAAACAGATAACAACATTCACCGCGCTCCAACTTACACTCCGTTCAAGACACATTTCAACTCGGGGCAGTCATAAAGTAATTTTAGTCCTTGATCCTTTCTTTCATGGTTATTTGCCTCTTTACTGTTGTTTTCTTGGCCGTCACCCCGGTCAGTCTGGCACCATGAAGCAGTAAAACAAGGCTCACTTTGGTTTATTCAGAGGAATGGGTCAGAGGGTCTATGCAGATGATGCCGTCTCGTTCGCTCCATGGGTAGCCCCAACGGTGGAGCCATTCACGAACACCGGTCGCAAGTCGGGATCGAGAAGCGCCACGAGCAACGTCCTGTGTCCCAGTGTGCTTTTCCTCTCCGACAATAGCATAGGCTGAGATATGACCATCAATATCTTTTCTTGGGATATTGAAGCCGAAATAACATACCAAGACCATAGAAATGTTCACGTTCGAGCTGTATTCCAATCAGACGCAACGTCAGAAGAATGAGAAATAAGAGAAACCCACCGCGAGCAAGAACTGCTCCAACACGTCAGTTGCCTCATTCGAATGCAAACCATGGAGGTCCAACATGGCTTCAGTCCTCTCTTCCGCACTCGTCTCACTTGCACCTCCAGTCCCAGGGCTGGCAATACCCAAGCACACACCGAGCCCGCTGCCGCACGTCTTGCCTCTAGCTGCCCTGTCTCCTGGGTCGTCCGACCACGCCGAATCCCTAGCCCTAACTGCCTGCTCTGCAACCCTGGAGCGTTCACTGACAAGTTTGGCAGCAGCATCCGCCATCTCCACGCTCATCTTCGCGTTCAGCTCGTGGCCCTCCCTGCTAAACCTCTTGGCAGCCGCCCCATCGCCTCTCCGCCATGCATCAGCAGCGCGAGAAAGGCACGCGTTCCTCGCGGCGCCGAGCTGGAGCCCGCGAGAGCGGTAGGCCATGTACATGCTGTTGAGCGACTCGCCAGTCGGCAGCGTTGGCAAGAGAGCGGGCGCACGTAGCTTGAGGCGCGGTGACGGTCTTGGAGCCACGATCGCGTTCTGATGGTGCAGATTGTCAGCAGCGGATCCCATAACCTCTCGCCGTGCTCCAATTGGGGTACTTGCATTGTTTCCCACTTCTTCCGTCTGAGGTACCTGTGGAGGAGCAGGCTTCTTGACGGCTGCAGCGAACCTCGTCCTTCCTGGATCCATGTAGGGCGTGTACTTGCGTCCTCGAGCAGCTGCATTATTTTCGTAGCCGAGTGCCGGGAACTCGTCGGATGGGGCACTAGGGAGGATGTGTGCGGCAAGTGGTCCAACGCCAGGAGGTACGTTTGCCCGAGACAAGGCTGCGTTGAGAGACGAGATGTCGACATCCTTGGGCAGATGGTGCAAGAACTCGCAGTTTTCTTGTTTCGCACATGTGCCTCGGAGCCAGAAACGACAGAGAGCACGCTCGAGGTCGTGGCTAGGAAAGATATCAGTATTGATGGGCTGTAGCAGTCAAGAGGGTTGAGAACACACCTGAATCGACAATCTGCTCTCAAGCATTCTCCAGCAACAAAATACCTACATACCCTATTCCCACCAGGAACAGGCCGCCCGTTGACATATCTGGGAGCCGGGCGATTAGCACCCCCTCTAATGCCATTAGCAGGCCCGCCGCCCCTGCCATCCCTCCCCACCAACGTGACTCTCGCGCCCATATGCTGCATCCTGGGATTCTGCGGACCCTGTGTCGCCGGTGGCGACACGCGATCGACGAGCCACGCCATCGCACGATCAAAGTCAAACCCATTCACAGCCAGAGCTTCTTCGAGCTCCGAGGGCGCGAGGGAGGATCCAAACACTGAGCTCAGGACGTCGAATGGTGTCATTCCGTCGGTCAGCGCTGCTGAGGCCTCATCTGCGTCCGGGTCGAGGGGATTCTGTTCGGGCCCATAGCCGTAGAAGTGGGTCTGGTTGAAGTCAGGCGAGGTTGACCACTGGTTGTTGTCGAACGTGTCGAAATCAGATATGGTGATCGAGTGGAAGGATGGGATGGGATTCGAAGCAAAGGGATCAAAGGGATCATCTTCGTCATCTTCCACATCTTTCGGGCGGTGCGAGGAGCGTAGAGAAGACGAGGGGGTGAAAGCACGGGCTTGGTCAGCAATCAAAGGGGCGGCGATGGCGAGGTTTGAGGTGGCGCGAGGGGAGTTGTGCGCCCAGAGGTCGGGGGATGGAGTGTCTGCCCGCAGAAGCGAACCAGCACTGTGCGACGCAGCTGCTGAAAGCGGGCGGGGTATGGGTCTGAACTCGCTTGCTTTGGCGTTCAAGAGCCGAGGCGAAGAGATCGGCGAGGCAGGCAGCGAGGCAGTGAACTGGGCCTGCGAGACCTGTGCATGTGCTAGGACCGGCGAGGATGAAGGTGAATAATCTGATTTGGTGTATCCAATTGGGGCGAGTGGCGACGTCGCAGGTGTATGCGGCCGTCGGAAGACATGAACCAGAGGTGATGCGGGCGCTGAAGAGGGTGTATCTGGGCGCCCGGGGTGCAGACGCGCAGAGTGGGTGGAGGCACGGGACGACGGTCTCGAAATTGGGCGGCGTGTGGGAGTGAGGAACAGGAATGGCACTCCAGCTACGTCGTCGCGGTGCTTGTGCATCAAGTCTAGCGCATTCTGCTCAATCTGTATCCTGTATTCAGCCCTAGGTAGATGAAAACCTTCATAGACATACAATGTCGTCGTCCATTCCAAACGTCGTCTTGAGCAGCGTCTTGAGTTCATCCTCCTTCTCGTCCACTAGCAACGACACAACCTCGTTTACCAGGCTCTGGGGGACTCGGTTGTAGTCGTCGTTCTCGGCGTCGCTGTCGTAGTTCTCGAGGGGTTTGTATTGGCGCGCGATCGCTGAAAGCTGGGCCCGAGTGTGGGGAAACTTGCCACCTCCCGATGGCTCAAGGCCATTGCTGTTGTTTCTTTGAAGGCCATATGGAGCAGCGTTCGTGCTGAGGGGGTCGAAGGCAGTCTGGTAAGTTGGCATTGCCATGTTGGCAGACGGCGCTACGGCCGGGATGAACGATGGTGGGGGAATGAAGTTGAGACAATACTTCGCTTATTGATCCCGCTTATTATGGTCACAACAAAACATTGATCTCAACCTTTCCCAACAACTACCACATCGTATCGCAATGGTAACTGCTATAATGCTCATCGAGGTCCAGCTTCTGAATCCCTCTGCAAGTTGGATTCGAAAAGCTCCATCAGCTGCTCTCTCAAGGCAGAGTTCACTACATTTGGTGGCAGTGGAACGACTCAAGGGATCACTTAGTGGGTCACCCACGAGTCCATGCATGGAAGGGCCCAGGGTGTGATACTCATCAGGAAATGAACGCTCCCTTAAATAATGTACGAACCATACATATTCAGAACAATCGAACCTTTCTGGACCTTCCAATTATCTAACACTCCATCTCCTCGTTTATGGAACTGCAGCTCAACCCAGCCACCCGCGATTCAAGTTTTACCGTGCGCCATGGGTCTCGGGTTCCTCCTGGCATCTTCGTGGACTACAACCGAGGGTTTGGCGACGACCAAGCAACACTCTGCGACAGCTGCAGGACACCTCACCGCATACCCACCTCGAGTCAATATTTAGGCTATGCCGGCTAAGACTTCTTTCTGATCGCCCATATCCCGTTAAGAAGCCATTCGATCGAGAATAGTTTGAATTACAGGTCCTTGATCGCTCGGGAATATTTACTTTGGAAGAGTTCCTTGGTTCAGTCAACCAGCAACCTCCATATGCCAGCCCTTCGCTCGGAGGCGGTGGCTATACCGATCCGTCACCCTTGACTGGGAGTTCCTCGGCCCAGAAAGTCGTGCTAAAAATCCTGTCAACATAAAGTCATCGAAAAGGAATATTCAAAATGCCGGGTCCACGGTAGAACTACCCAATCTCCCGAGTATGTCTTCTATCCACTTTCGCGTTGTTTCACACAACTCTAACCCCCTCTAGCGGAGACAAAATGTCGACGGTCGACCCGAATTGGAAACAAAGGTGCCAAATGCGGACATCGCCAGCCATTAAGCGGGCGTCAGCTTTTTCAAGTAAATGTAGATCGCGAAAGGAAGAGAAAAATCCACCTCGAGTGTCGCGCCCTCGCTTCAATTGAACATCACTCATTTCCTTCCCACCTCCCTAATCACCCGATCTGCTAGGTTCTTCCGCTCTCAGCTACTCTCTCAAGAATTGAATAAAGGCATCACGTTTTACACTTGGTAAATTATCAGCGCACACGGTCTCGACATACTTACTATTGTATGATGCTCACATCGCTCCAGATGTTCTCTTCATGTTAGGAGGCTGACGGTTTATGTATACTGTTCTTGATCAATAGCGGAATAAAGCCTACCGCGAACCGGAATCCATTAATTGGACTACTTATGAGCTTCATTAATCATGCATTTTAAATTTAGTATATTTACCTCTGTCGTCTGGAGTCTTTCGATGCTGTAGACAGCGAACGTCCTTCCTAATTTGGGAACCGGCCTGCCAAAGACGGATGCCCCAAAAAATCGTCGTCCACAAGAGTCCACAAGTCGCGGGGTCAGTGCTCATATGACCTTTTACCAAAGGATCTGATCTCAGACACGACATATAAAGGCCCTCCCTGGATGAATGCGTCTTTCCTGCAAATGCCCACCATTTCTGAGTCTTATGTCTCCCCTTTCCCTTCATCCACAGTCGTCCTTTCCCCACCAGTCTGAGCACGATGTCGTCGAGGCCCTTTGCTACACACCAAGCCTATTTGTTTGTCCACTCTATCCGATATGTCCAGTAGCCTCTTGGTGCGTTCAAAGTCGTCTCCTTATCTTCCGCTCGTGAGTTCTCTCTTCGTCCTTTGTGCCTCGCGGCCCCTGCTTGTCCTTGGCTCTGACGAGATCAACGAGAGCGTTTCCTGACCTGGTTTGCGTCACTTGCAGGAAATGTTTAGTGGTCTTTGGGCTGAGGAGGATGGGCGAGATAGGTAGGACTTGTGCTTACGGCGGTGACCAGTCGTTTTTCAGTGGGGAGGGTCAGTTCAGAAACCCACACATCCTGCGGGGGTTTTTTTATATAAGCGTCACACTTGAGCTTCTGGAGTAGTTCCCCCCTTGTTCTCTCTAGCCCGTATCGCTCCAACCATATCATTAAACGACAAGTCTAATTCAGACTAGTACACGTTAACGACGCTCGCTGGTGTAAGTACTTGGACGCAATTCAGATACACGGGGCAGCCTTACATCGCGTGCTGCTTAGAGGTGTGGAGCCATTGGAATAAGTAAATCAAGTTCTACCAGTATACGTTGGGTGCTGAAGCGCTGATAGCCTGGTTGCCTACTATGTCGGGCGTCGCGGTTGTGCTCTTTGGCCCCATCGCCCTTAACTTGGAAGTTCTTGTACCGATCCTGTATGACACTCATCTCCATCGTTGGCCTTTATTTCGGGTCATACAAGAACCCAGAAGCTATTCCAGCACAGTAGGAAAATAATGCAGACAGCTATTCTATTGGCACCCACGTCTTTCCCGCATAGATCAAAGCATCGCTGGACGATCACGCTCGGTGATTGCCATTGATTCTGAGAATGTTTCTAAATAGGTGAAGGTGGCGCATCGACCTAATTGTATTTTTCCAGGGCAGCAGAGTACGTAGGAGGCTAAGAATACGACTACCTTGCCTGGCTGATTTTCTCAACACCAACAGAACCTAGTTCATCAAGTCAGCGCACATGACAGTCTTCGTTCAAACGACACGTACTTCTCGTTATGTATCCATGCGATGTCTTCCGGTTTCTCCTTCAGGTACGACTTGAATGAAGACAAATGATCATCCCGCGCGAATGTCTTCCCCCCCGTACTGGTCGCCAGCTTTCGTAGCTCCTGAGGCAGTCCCCACACCTCGACTCTCTCGACCTTGTGTTGCCTTGCGTACTCCAGTATCTGGGCCAGCAGCTCCAGAAAGTGTTCTGGTCTTACCCTGAGACGAGTGATGATGAGAGCATTCTCGTCTGGCAGGCGTATATCCAGAGTCCATGAGGCGAACGTCGTCGGGTCCACTGCGTCTTCTCCAGATCCAGACTCTGCACAGATCGACCAGTATTTCGGGATCGGTTCCAGTTTCTCCCAGAAGTATTGCAATCTGTGGTACTGGAATCCCGCGACGCCCTTGTGCGGCAGAAATGTGACCTCACTTTGCTTGCCCGTCGTAGGGGCTTTCATCTCGTCGGCGAGGAGTTTAGCATCAGCGTCCCAAATCTCGTAGGTCGAGGATCCATCAAGCCATTTCCACGCGAGTTGGCTGGTTTCCTTTGCCGCCAATAAGGTTTCGTTCTCAGAGGTCGCAGGAAGGCTCCAGGCCGTCGCGCTGGGTTCGGTGACAATCCAACCCTGGTTCGATTCTCCGTAGGGTCCACATTGGGCATAAAAATCCGCTCCTACATCGCTGTACAAGACGGAGAAGGCGGCATCGAAAATGTGATCTGGCCGTTCTGGAGGAGTACCCCACTCGGGCGGGAACTTGTCCGCCGGCAGCGTCGATTTTGGAGCGAGAATCCAGTGAAGGAGGCGCATCATGTGGCGTGCGTACCCTTTTTTCCTGTGCTCAGCTGGAGTGAAGACCGAGGCTACGCCATAGCAATACACTTTCTGAGGGGCGTTCTTGCCCTCCAGTCGATTGACGAGGAGCCCTTCTCGACGATACCTGCAATACAGAAATTCAGAACCTTCATAATTTGCCAGATTTCCGTCAAAGATCCTACGTTTCACATGAGCACAAGAAATCCAGTGATTCAAAGGTATGCGTCTCCCGAGCAGCGAGAATCCTGTGGATAAAGTGTTAACTCTTCATCCCAAACTGCGTCGATGTTTCAACGCACCAAGTTGTAAGTCTGCCATCTTTTGCGACTTCGTGATTATCCATCCTCGCATCGCGCCGCAAATAAGCCTCCAGTGACACCCCGCGTCCCCATTGAACAAACGACCGCTTGCGTGATTCATACACCTGTGCTGGTGTCGCTGGAAAAAGCGAGAGAGAAGAAAGAGGTAGGACCATATTTTTTCACTAGGAAGATGCGAAGCGAGTTGGAAGGCGATTTCAAGCCTTGATAGTGGATCTTCTGGCTATGAGTCGACGCAAGTCAGACCTAGGCGGATGTTATGCAATAAGGACGGAGGGTCGGAGATCATGGCTGCATTTTGTCCGTCGGGTTCGGTCTTGGCATCTTAGGGATAGTGTGGCATAGAAGCACTGGTAAGCAGGAGGCTGGAGCTGAAAGAAATCAAGGCCGGCCAGGAAACAGTAGATCATTCAGTCTAAATCTAATCTAATCACCCTCCTGATCCGAGAAACAGTTCACGAGAAATTTACTTACAATAAATTACAACCTAACCCATTTCCATATGTACTTCGGATTGTCAGCCGCAGCACATCCAGCTACCGTCTCAGGTCGACATCGTACCTCTTCCCTTCAACCTGTATCGTCAACTCCTCTAAACCACGAATTTTTCCCCGCAGTAAGGCATCCACCCTCTCAACAACCCTCTCGACCTTCGTGTACGTGATTCCTCGACTTAAATGCGGGCCTGTTGGATCGTGTCCTGATGCCGAGGGCTGGAGCTGAATGTGTATCGACCCTATAAGGGCATTGGAATCTTTTGGCCAGAAGCGTGGCATGGTGTAGGATGCGAGGCCCTCAATTGTGGACAGCTATTGAGCAAAGGTTGTCATTAGAAGGAGTTAGAAAGAAGGACGAGGGTCTGCTGACCTCCGCGAGTGCTTTTTGGATGTCGGCATCGCGGTCGGACACATCCAGAGCGAGAACCTTCCCTGTATCCATAACGAGAGGGATGACGCTTGCAGCGATCAGCACGGCGATAAAGAGCGAGGCGATAGGGTCAAAGCCAGTCCAGCCATAAAATTGGATGAGTAGTGTTGAGATAATCACGCCGACAGAGCCCAGGGTATCCTTGACGGAGAAAATTAATACCTAGTTCATTGCAGCATGGAGAGGAAGAGGATCTTACCGCCATAACATGTAAGAAAACACCTCTCATATTATGACTATGGCCTTCATGGTCATGTCCATGCCCATGCCCATGGGAATGATCATGCAAATTGGGCACATGCTTTGATTCATGGTACTTAGAGAAATGATCGTCGTGTCCAAACGTATAATGGGGCGTCAGTGGTGTTGCCACAGCGGGAGGCGAGACTGGTGAGGCCACAGGAGTGTCGCCCATCTTCTTCACCTCAATCGATATCGATGGTCCTCGTGAACGGCGCTTCGCAACATGTCCGCTGGTCATTGGTCTTTCGGACACGCTGCTTGTCGACATGGATCGAGTGTGGCTAGAGCATGGAGGAGGGCCGATTGTTGTGTGGCTTGTATGGGTGTGCGAATGCGTCTGGGTATGATCGTCGAGCGGAGGGGGTGAATGCGAGTGAGAATGCGAGTGGGCTTGTTCATGACTATGACCATGAGAGTGAGAATGGTTATGGCCGTGGTCATCCTCGTGCGTGCCGTGTTCACGGTTGTGACTATGCGACTGACTCTCTCGAGGAGAGGGCGAATGATCTTCGCACTCTTCCGAAGAGTGATTTGCTGAGGAATGTGAGTGAGAATGAGAATGCGAGCTCATAGGAGGCGAGGGTGCATGAGAATGTGAGTGAGAATGAGATTGCGAGTGTCCGTGATCATGATCATGGTTGGCCATAGAATTCGATGAAACGGAGTGAGAATGGCTATGAGCAGATTCAGGTGGAGATGCGTGCGAGTGGCTGTGGCTGTGAGCATGAGCTGAACCAAACGAAGGTGGTGCAGGCATATGAGAATGATCAGAATGACTGTCGCTGTGCGAGGATAGTAAATGGGAATGTCCATGGGAATGAGAATGCCCACCCTGGCACAAGATTAGTGCAATGAGCAAGATTGTGATAAATCGGGGGCATACATGATGGTGATGGCCACCCATAGCAAACATCCCAAATAAATTAACTCCGAGGCCCAAGGAACTGACAAGCAGAAGTTGGCTTGTGTTCATCTCGGGTGGTTCCAATCTAAACGAAGGGCATAAGCAGAATGCACATAAGACGAGAAAAACCCATTCGCTTACATTCTCTGAATTGCTTCAAAGATGATAAATATTGATATTAATATCAGGAATATTCCATTGGCAAACCCGGACAACGTTTCAATCCTCCCATACCTGAGAGCATTGTAAGGTACTTTTTCCTTCTATCGCTCTTTGAAAAGAACACCCACCCATAAGTAAAGCGTTCGTTGGGGTCCCAAGTGGCCATGACGGAAGCGAAAAGACCCACTCCAATAGCCATGCAATCAAAGGCCATGTGTATAGCTTGAAAATGGTTCAGCTTGTTGGACAAGTAACAAAATACATAGTAGACTCACCATCCGAAATCAAACCCAAACTATTAGTCCAAACTCCATATAGCATCTGAATGAGCATGTAGAACAAATTCAACATCAAGAAGTAAAATATCTTTCTAGATTCTGGGTTGGCGAGGATGGTCTTTAGGTATGACTTAAGGAGTCTTGCAGTAGGTGTCCGAGGTGGCGCTGTAAATGCATCGATGTTTTTTGGGTACATTCCTGGTGGTTGACGGTAAGGACAACATGGAACCTCAGATATAAGGGCGGGTGTATACCAATGTAAAGGAACAGTCCGATAAATATATCTGTCCAGATGGGACCTTGCCTAAACGCGAGGATACCGAGAACATACGAGGAAATGAGCAGAGTTGGGAAAGAAAAACCGAAGTGTTGGGGTTTGAAGGATAGTTGATTTGACGACTGCATGGTGAGAGGCGCAAGGAATAGCAAGGAATATGCAATGATGGGGAGTGAAGCGAGTGAAATAAGAGGAAGGACGGGTGTCGGAGGGAAGTCGAGCTAAAGGTAATGACATTAGGAATGAGACGGGTATAAACCTGTATGTCACTTACCAAAACCGTTCGAAAGAGATAGAATGGAAGGGCAAAAATGGTTGCACCTAGTGTACTTGCTGCTGTCGTGAATGTTCCTCCCAGCGAGGGAGATAACACTGCCTGGGTGTGTTCCAAAGCACTTGAAGTCAGAGCATGGAGAAGAAGGGCGCCATAACCAGGTGCGTGTCGCCAGAAGTCTGTAACAGAGAGCTGGGTATCTGACAAGAATGATACGAAAAGTGCTATAGCGATAGCAATGGCTTTTCGTGACTACGGTCCGTTGATCAGGCAGGACGAGGTAGAAAGCAGCAATATACTCACAGAAGAGGGATTGATTATGGAACCGATCCAATAAGTTGGGAAATGTGTGAAGAGAATGACCCTGAATCGCGGGTAAATGGGGACCTTTTCTTTGAAAATGCGGAGAGCAGAAGCATACCGTGTAGCTGGCAGACGATATAGAGTTGTGAATAGGCAACCATACTGCACGAACTGCAGCAATGACGCTGTACCCAATACCGACCACTAAAGATGTGAATAGTGAGAATGAGCTAGCGGAACCGAGCAGACGACGAGATTAACGGACCTCTATGCTCTTCCGTTTCGCCATCTGCCCCGTCATGCCTTCCCAAACCAACACTCCGAAGCCACCACAAGCCAACACCCGCATCAACACCCAAAATACCCCAACATCAAAGTTCAATAGCCACTCCTTGGAGGCATGCGCTGCGAAGACGAATAACACATTCGAGAGCAATATTCGGGGGACCAGCTTGCTCGGAATCCTGTGAGACGCAAAGGAAGGAAGGCAAACGCGGGGCAAAAGTACCGTGTCGTGTCAATGCAGATCTTTTGCGGTCTGAGGTAAGACTTACGAGGTAGAGAGCACCTTCGACGATTTCAAGCTGATCTTGCTCCTCGTGTGAGCATCTGGCGCAGGCATGCTGCCTCAAGAAACGAGGAGATGGTGGAGGAAAGCAAGTGGAAGTATTATAATGATGGCCAGCGCTTCCGAATTGGTGTTCACGAGCACGTCTCGGTGCTAAATCAAGAATTTGAAGAAATCACGGAGTCAAACTTAGCACGACAGAGATCTTCCTCCGCCACCACCAGCATCTCCTATTTCCTTGGATGCTTCCCAGAACTCCCAGAAGTCGGTGATCTTGTTCGACAGACATTCAAGATGTCTTAGCTGGTGGAGCCTGGAGCACCGCGCGCGCGACTCGCTTGGAAAGCTCTGCTTGATGCGGTACTCATTCGTTCGATCTGCAGTCGAATCACTCACAAAAGCACATCGGAAAGAACAAAGTAGGCTGGATGAACATGATGTGAAGGTACGGATCTATGCGGAGGATAATCTCTGATGAAATATTGGTTTAACGAATGAAGGAGAGGTATACTACGTATAGGTGGTAAATATACAGGAGAAGTCTAAAAATTATAAGTAACAGGACAATGTTGGGCAAAATGCAAGATAGATGAATTGATGACATGGACCCGAGAGAAAGTGTGTATCAAATAAATAGCTACAGTTTTGTATGGTATCAAAGGTATGCAGAGAACAAAGCCATGGTCGTGCTGGGAGTATATTACATGTGAGAGCAAACATGAATAGCATCAAGAGTAAAAAGTAGGTAGCCTGGCATGATGCCGAATCGACAGTCGCACCAGCTACAAGAGAGACTGACGCCAACCAGCATCATATCATGACTTGTATTGTGCCATGAAGTTCTGCCATGAGTCCTGCAAGTCATGAGGTGAAGGCCCTTCTTGTATATGTGAAGGCAGGTATCCGCCTCCATTGCCATTGACGTACCCAGGCCCGTACCCGTTCATGTAATAAGGGTCATGGGCACCCATGTCGATAGGGATGCTCTGAGTCTGGTGGTGGGCGGGCTGATGGGGCTGATGGGCGGGCATATGCCCTGGCATTTGATACAGCATTGTTATATCCGGAGGTGTATTATGCTGCGAGTTGGGCGTAACGGGCATGCTAGCGGAGTAGTACTCCCCTGGCATGTTGATATTGACGTTGAAGTTTTGGATGTGGGTATAATTTTGCCAACCCGAAGACGACGAGGGTTCTTGTTGCGGTAAATACACTTGAGACTCGGAGATGATTGGAGGAGAAGAATGCTGTGATGTTGGGCTGGGAGCGGACACAGAAGGGGATGAAGAGGAACGCCGAGAAACCAGTCGCGTCATACCGCCCAGCGCAGACAATTCATCAACTTCACTCTTGATTTTTGGTCCATAGAAAGCAAGGCGGGTCGCCGTTTCAGACAGTGTTGGCAGACTCACATTCGACTGCGCCATGTGTGCCCTATCTTTCAATTTAAGCAGAATGGGCTTCAGGGCATGATTGACGTCAAAAAGAGTTCGAGGGGAAGAGAGTAGAAAGGGACTTACGAGTATCTTCCCTGCACGAGCGTGATCTGAAACCCGAGAAAAAAGATTATAGGCGGAATCTAAATGGGACAGCGCTGAACGCGACAGTGCCATCTGGGACTTGGCTGCTATTGACCCCAAAACAATCTGCCGCCCAACATTAATCGAGATCGGTCGGGAATGCTCGGAACTGGACTTACTGCACAAGAAAAGACATGCGTGAATAAGAACCACATCCGCTCAGTCAATTGTGGGTGTTGATTGAACAAACTCTCAACAAGGCCCACAAACGTAGTTGCACTGGTATACGCAGCCAACACAGAGGGTGAATACTTGCTGCCCATCGGATCGACGGGGCTATCTTCAAGAGCCTGAGCGAAGAACCCTCTATGCATGTAGAAGAGAGCTGTCAGGAAGAAATCAGGTTGCGCGAAAGACGGATTGTAGACATAGTAGACGCACTCATTTCTTTGATAGCGAAGGCAATATACCTCTGCATCGTCAGTTCAACGGTAGGTTGCTCGACCTCGCTGGTGACGATCTTCGCGCTGCCGAACCCAGGTACCTGTAGGTTCGGCGGCACGTACCAAGTGCGCACCTTCCTATCGAGATCTTGTATGACCCTGTAGTTGGGTGTCCGTGCCCCAAAAGCTTGATCGTGTACCACACTAAGACATTGGGCCGAATATCGGTGCTTCCAGGCTGTGACTAGGAGAAGCCGGGTAAGTCTATGCGCTATGATATTATGCCGGTCTTGAACCTACAATCCATCTCCTGTTCGCCGTCACCTTTCTTCATCGGTTCAGGCGGCAGCTGATTATCGATGTGCGCGGTCGAGAGCGATGGGGGTCGCCCGAATGTCAAACTCTGTCATGGAACAAAAAAGATGGTACGTGAGTAAGCCCAAGGTGTGATTGTCGGCGAGGCGAGACGGCCCACGAGAAAAATGCGTCCGTTATCGGGTAGCACACGACCGCCGATTTGACAGATGCCACCAAGAAGAGAAGGGCCGCCAACAACAAAGTAGAGGAAATTTAACCTACCTGCCATGAATCGTAAGTAAGCAGTTCGTAGAACAAGTTGCGTCTTTTTTCCGTTTGCTCCGAGTCGAGTTTCCACCTCCCACTATCTCGATCTATTGATAGCAATCCCACAACCTCGTCAGCATCAAGGCCAAAGAGTGGCAATAATTGCAACGTAAAAGAAGACTCACGAAGTCCAACCTGTATGTTAGGAAGAATGCCAGCGTCAGCACCCACAACTCGAAATGAAAAACGAATGTGGAAAAAAAGAGAGCCAAGAAAAACCAAGAAGCACGGTGACAGCATGGCGGTGAGACAAAAATATCGGACATGCAATGAAAATGCACGACGAAAAAAAGGACAGTATATCAAAGGAGAGAGAAAGGAAATCAAGAAAGGATGACCACTGACACTTTGCGCTAATTTCACGACAATTCCCATGAGTACCCATCGTGGGCCGCCCATCTCCGATAGGAACATGAAGTGGCACATAAGCAGCTGTTTTTAGGCGCACAATTAGGTGCCGAGCAAACCAAGTCGGACGGAACAGGGGTACAGAGTCAGCAGACGACTAGTGGGTCTTCAAGTTATAAACACATACCAGTGCTTGGATGCCGGTGATCGATTGCTCCTCAAGAACGGAGTCTATCGACAGCGCAGCACGGCCGAGGTGATAATATTGCATCGCCTCAGGCGAGTGTGCAGGCTTGTCTAGATCCAGCAAAGCTCCAAGGGCCAGGACCATACAGAATACAGCCAATTGTTGCGCTGTAAGGGGGTCGAAAGTTCCTTCAGTGTCGTAAACGTGTCGAAAAATCGTCTCGTTGAAATCTCTGGCAGTAATTGGGGTATACCTGGGACAATAGTAAGTATGCTAGATGGAATGGACTTGGAATGGACTTGCATCCACGCGGCGTGGCGGTAATAGATGTCAGAAAGCGCTCTCGCCTCGACGAATCGAGGGAGCTTATTTACAATCGTTTGTCGAACAGACTCTGCCGTCTTTCCGACTGGAGCTGCGAAGGGAAATGCATGACTGAGCCAAGAAAGATCTGTTGGCCCGGGCGATTGAAGTCCGTTCGAGAGCGAGTCTTCATCGTTATCGGAATCCCCTTCGATCTGTACGTGACAAAGGAAACGCAACAAACGAGGCGTGAGTTCGAGGTGGGAAAATCGGGTTTGGAAACCTGAAAGATGTAAGGCTGTACCTGAAGGAGATACTGTACGGGGGAGAGAATTTATACCGTCAGCGAAGTCCAGCACAGGAAGCCAAATTGGTGGAGTAGAAACGGACAAAACATACCCATGAATTTGCTGTTTGGCCGAAAAATGTGGACCGCCCGTCATTTGATATGGAGCTATTCCGGCAAATAGTATGTCAGCCATTCGGGGCAGGCGAAATGGTATATGTCTGAGCAAGAAAGGTGCTGACTGAAAACACGAAGAGCACTTACAGAGATCCCAAAGAATCGATTGTATCCTCTGTTTCTGGTTTTTCTTCTTGTGCAGGAACATCCAGCCTTTCTCGTTCTAGTGGGCGTTTTATTTGCAAAAGTTCTTCGCTTAGAAGTGGATGGGCTGTATGGGCTGTAAGGGCGTGTGATTCCGAGAGCGCATCTTCAAGATGGCGCACGCGGCTGGCCAGGATGTTGATCTTCTCGTGCAGTGCTTCTGTGTTGGCAAGCACAAATCTACCCTATAGATTAATCTCCCACTTTGGCGCCAGGACTCTCGTCTGATGCACCTGTTGCCTTTGCCCGTAGTGAGCGATCCTTGAGGCAATAGGCCACCGTATATCAGAAACCGCAGTTCAACAGCATGTCTGAACGAGAGCGCACATACCATCAGGACAAATAGCTGCGCAACCCTTTTTGACGCAGTTGCTGGAAGGTCGGATGACAGCGTGATTAGGAAGCAGCAAAGACAGGTAGTTGGGTCTCCGTACCTGCACGGAAACGCGCGACTACACCTGTAATATGCTTGTCAGCACTCGAGTCCACAAAACCAAGAGTTCCGTCAACAGAGAGACGGACTTTAGCTTCAGCCTGAACGAGACACGGAGAACGGATTTTCAAGTCAGAAACAAGATGACTGCGATTGGTCGACGGAGCGCGCACCTCCGACATTCCGCACAAGAAAGCGCTACTCCGCGGCGCTTAGGGTGGCGTGCAACAAGTGAGCTCCCAGAGGCATCGTCGCGTTGTGATGGGTATGGCTGGGACGTTGGCGATGGCATTGTGGGGAAGGAGGTCGGAGGAAAGGAAGTGAGGAAGGGCGGAAGTATAAAGACAAGATGTCGGCTACGAAAGTACTCCGTTCACGTTGGCTAGTTTAGGAATTTTTATTTATTTCGGCTTCAAGATCATATCTTCATTGTTTGTCTGTGCTTGAGCAGATTATATCTTGTTGTTCCCTCATTTTTTTACATCTTGCTTCGAACGACCACGACCTCAGGCCTCAACGTTCAACGCCCACGACGTTGCTCTTTCTGTGATTGTATTGGTGAGTACTTGCCTATGTCTAGCTTTACGATGAGATATCTAGATGACGAGTCTGAACCTGACGAGACAGAGTTTCTCTGTTTCATCAGAACGTGACGACTCATCAAAACTATACCATTCATGCATAACTGATCCTCCATCTATCGCCTCCGCGATGACACTCTGCCAACTTTTTATCCTTCTCGCACGCGATTTGAGCGCTGAAAACTGACACATCTTCTCTTTCTTCTCTCTTAGGATTTTCGATCTCACGCGGCCACACCTTCTCACTCTTCGATCCCCGTCCCCGACCCTTTAAGCTTAAGCTTCCTATCCACTGCTAAGGAATCACTCCCTCCAAGGAAGATGGCCCCACGCGACGACGATTGGTCGGACTCGGATGAAGAGGAGCTGTCCGAAGTTGAGACCAACGTGCTACTTGGTGTCCCAGACGGCAACGTCGATATCGACATCGATGTTCTCGACGCTGCCGTTTCTCGTATTGGTGGACTCCCTGTACGAACATCCCCAATCGTGTATTACCTCATGCAGGATATATTGACTTATTCTTTTGCAATATATCTCTGTCGCACATTCTAAAAGGCGCTCCTACCTTCTCGTGAACTCCTCATATCATCCTCCCACTGCAAGTCGTGTTCGCAGCCTATGGAGCTACTTGTTCAGATGTGGTGCCCATTCGAGGACAGCCCGATGGATAGGGCGCTGTACATCTGGGGTTGCGCGCGTTCAGGTTGTCAGGGCAAAGAAGGCAGGTGCGTTTCCCAGTTTCACTCTAGTCACCACTGCTGCACGTTATTTCCGTTGCGCTCCGTCAGTTGATGGCCAAACGACCGAGATGGCACCCATTTCCGACCGATATAGACTGCTGATTCTTAGCGGTTGAGACTGTTTGGTCCTCTTAGCAAGTCTGTCGACAATATCCAAACAAATATAGTCCTCCAAGCCATCTTTGTTCGTTCGTTCCCTCCTTCCAAGCGGCTGGTGAAGCAGGCGGCGTTTCTTACTGGACAGTTGACGATGACAATTTCCTGAGCTCAGCAGTGCCGCGACCTTTTGTTGAGCGACGGCGCCCATTTTGACTTTATCTCCTCATATCATTCTTCCGTTTCCGACTTGCTTTTCCTGGCCTTTCTACACTCGCTGATACTGATCACATTACAGTGTACGCGCGTGGCGAGGACTGCGATATAACGAGAAGTATGCCCTTAAGCTGGAGGCCAAACGCCAACGGAAGCTGGAGCGTGAGCGGGCGAAAATAACGGCCGACGAAGAAAGGATCCGGCTGCAGAAGACCTTGGCTAGCCCGAAAAGCAACCCCTTTGCGGTGGGTCTTATTCAAGTTTGAGGCGTGTGGTGGTGCGCCCACAAATACAGGCTTCGCACATCGCCTCCCCCAGACGCTCCGTGCTGACGCGTTGGGATCAAACCACTAAATTCTCATGATTTTGTCCGATTCGATGTCATCGAGATTGTGTGCTGACCGATACTTTTCCTATTTTTACGTTAGATGGCCGGCGGGGGGAGTTTGGGAGGAAATAAAGGGAATATGTTTAATTTGGGCGCTCAAATCTTCGGCGGCACTCCTTTGGTTCGTGCTCTCCCCGCGTCTCCAAAGCACCCGAGGCTGATGGATGATGGATTACTCTTTCAAGTTAAATGCTCAATCCACACCCGAAGCGACCCCCGAAGATCAGGCAAAAACTGTCAAAGATGAAGAACTCTTAGACGATGAAGACGACGACTCTAATTCAGATGCCGATTCAGAGGAGTCGCTCCTCACTGCGATGGCAGCGACAACGATAGGCGAATCTCCATGGAGATCAGCCCCCTCGTACCCGGCGATCTATTTGTCCACAATGACGGAATACCTACCTGCTCAACCGAAACCGCGAATCCCGAAGGGTGTCGCAGTGGAAGAACTCGGAGACGACAAGAAGGAGAAGGACGTTAGTTGGTCGAAGGAGATGTACGAGAATTCTCTCGACGTCGATCAGGTATTTGAGAGATTCACAAAGAGAGTCGGAGTTGAGGCTGAGCAGTGCGTGAGGTCAGTGGTGTTCATGTTGCAAAAAATCAGATTCCTGACGGTGAAGTATTCAGGTATGAGCTGAAGGGTACACCACTGCCTTTCGCCTCCGATAAGACCTTCGATCTCCTTTGGCCTGCTCCAAAAGAAGATCCTCTTCCAGTGACGAAGCCCGATTTCAAAGTCGTACACTCTCAAGCAAGACAATATAAAGCGACAGCCGTTCCATTTTGTCCTTCTTGCAACTCCAAACGGGTGTTCGAATGCCAACTTATGCCCAACCTGATCAACGTTCTGCGGCTGACATGGGAAGCGGAGGATAAGACCAAGAAGCTCACAGATGAGGGGCGGCGGAAGGTCGTTGAACGGGCGTTGAAGGGATTGGACAAAGACCTGAAAAGGGGGATGGAGTGGGGGACTTGTATGATTTTTTCTTGTGAAAAGAACTGCTGTCTCGAAGAGGGGAAAGAGGTGAAGGAAGCATGGAAGGAGGAGGTTGTATATATTCAATGGGATGTTTGATTCTTTCATAGAATATATTCTGCGATCTATATGACAGAAAGATTCTCAGCCTCACTGGTATTCACGAAATTGCTGGCGGCCCGGATCTGACGCGCCTGCTGAGCGTGACGAACTCATGTGATATCGGCGATCAGTGACAGGTCGCGTCGTTGACGGAAGTCCTGTCACACCGTCTTAGAAACTTGTTCTCCAGCGGTTATTTCAAAGTTAACGAGCCATTTCCCCCGCAAAAACACGGGTCCATAAACTCTCCTTTTCTCTCCTTTGCCTGACTTGACGAAACGAGTGTACCGGCATGGTAGAAGATGACGAATTCGTGGAAACCTCCGATGTAGAAGAGCTCGAGGAACTGCAGAAAAATGGTAGAAGATTGTCCAAGGGCTCAAGTCCCAAGACTGCCTTCGTTAATTTGCGCGTAGCGGAGTCACCACCCCGGAAGCGTATGAAGGTATGTTGACCAGCTCAACGTTTAGTCAACTTGGCCAATATGTTGCGAAAAGCTATTCCACGAGGAGGATACAACGAATGACCATGAACCAAAGCCGGCCGCATTGACCAGTCGTTCTCCACTCAAATCTGTCTCATCGACATCTCCTTCTCGCAACGTTTGTGGACTATCTGTATATGGGTCGTGTCGCGTACTCAATGAATTCTTACTCTCTGCAGGAAGACGTGATGCCAAAGGACCAACTATCAAGGGCCACGGTATCACCACCGAAATCGCTATTCACCACAAGGACATCTCCATCTCCCATTCGGTCTCAAACATCCTCTACTCTTCCCCTTACAATGTCTCCAAGCCCCGCGTTTACCTCCTCACGTTCGCCCACCCGCACCCCGCCCAGTGAATTTGAGGATTCAGGAGAAATATGGGACGAGAAGGCCCTGACGAAGGTTTCCGCTCCGTCTCCGGACCAGTCGCAAGACCCATTGCTGCTGGATCTCAGTTCACGTAGTCCGAGTCGAATGTCTTCTCAGGCTTCACCTTCGCGACCACCTCTTGCTTCTATCCCGCTAAATGAAGGTCAGGAAATGGTTGTAGACAGTCTTAAACGTGCTATGATTTCGCCACAGCAAACTATGAATCCAAGTACGCCACACCGTGAATTTGTTGCGACACACTCCCAGTCACCGGATCCTCTTTCGTTGTTTCATCCATCACCCTCTCCTTCTTCTCGCATTCGGCCTAAATCCCATTCTCCTGCTTCAACAAGCCCCATTGCTGCTGCAAGCACTCTTAACGAGCTACTGATATTTTCTCCAACATGGTCTGCCTCGCGGTCGACCTCTTTGTCACCACTATCTGCAGCGCGCAACTTCTCTTCAGCGGCACTTGGTCAGCCCTCAAGTCCGACACGAGAAAATTCTGCCCGACCGTCTTCTAGACATTCTTCCAATCCTCCACGTGATCGAACTGGGGACGATGCGTTGTCTGAAGCCGCCATCCAGGCCATTGTTCAAGAAGAGCAACAGTCCTCTCGTTACTCGCTGCGCCAACGACAGCCCGCTCAGCTAAGGCCATATACCTTGGATCAGATACATTACGTTCAAGCTCTACAGGACAACCCGGAGGCTATCATAAAGCTCAGGAATCTCCCTTTACATCGACATCGGCATCCAGATGATCACTACGAAGAAGAGGACGAAACACAGCAAGATCATGATGCAGAATGGGAAGCACAGGAACGAAGAAGATTACGCCGCGAGGAACTTCGTCGACAAGCCGAAAATGAGAGGCGTTCTGAAGGCAGAAGCTCTTATGAGCCGCACCGTCGATATGACGCTCTTCTCCCAGACTTACCAAGTACGGATGAAGAGGATCGTGAGATGGACGCCGTTGCGAAGGAAGCGCGAAAGATCCTTCGTGCGAAGGAAAAACAGCGCAAGGTCAAGGAGAAAGAGGAACACCAACGGCAGAGAGAAGAAAAGACTCACAACCCGAAACCGTATCCTTTCTCGAATGCAAGATCCACACGTGGAGCAACTCCTGGTCCTTCCAGCCTCGGAGCGTCGTCCTCCAGGAACGACGATCCAACGGCCCAGGTTCGTCTCCTTGATGTCCTTTTATCGCCTTGTGCTCAGGCCTCTTCAGGAAGACCACGATCCCTTATTTTCCTCCAGAGGTGTAACGCCACTCTTTTCGAGCCCAGGACCTTCCTCAATGAATGCTCGTCGGTCCTCCACAAGATCGCCTTCACCACCCAATGAGGACGACGTGCCTCGCGACTACTTTCATGAAGACGATGAGTTCTACATGAACAACCCCAACGAAGTTCCCATGCACGGAATTGCAGAAATTGCAGAACCAGAATCTGATCAGCCTGCCACTCTACCTCCCACAAGTAGCAGCCCACGGATTTTGCATGAAGATGTGATTGAACTCGACTCAGGCGATGACCAGTCGCAGGCAGGACGAGATCGTCGACACTCTTCCGCCGGTTCTCCCGAAATTTTGCTTGACCTTCCGAAGTCGAAGAGACGCGTGCTCGGGAAAATGATGCCCGCTTTCATGATCAACAAGTTGATCCAAAAAGGAGAATCATTTTCCAAAAGCAAACCTGACAAACGTGTTCGATCTCCTAGTCGCTCTCGCGAACATACAGGTCCATTGGCTCCTGGCGAAACGAGAGTCAGAAAATTCGCCAATCCCAAGGATATCGGGGATATCAAAGGGGACTCCGAGAGCGAAGAAGAGACGCATCGAATTTCAGGCTCTAGCTCAAGTTCTAGCCCCAGTGATCATACATCTAGCAGTGAAGACAGCGATTCCAACTCTGGTGATGTCGAGATTCTTCACACGTACCGTCATCGATCTCCGCCAAAGCCTATACCTGAGGTCATTGATCTCGTCCACCATGTTTCCACGTCGGAAAACTCTTCTGATGACGACGATATCCAGTTCTTTGTTCATCGTGAAAAACCTGCTTATCGCAGGAAAGTGACGAAGAAGATGGGCGATCAGAGTCTCATCGATTGGATGTTGCCCCGAGTCCGTACCACTGGAGGAAACGGGAAAGATCGCCAACAAGCCAAGTCCGAAAGGCGTCAACGCCGACATCGCCCTTCCGGCTATAGAATCGATGTCATGACAAGGGGCAGTCGTGGCCACGGCAGAGAACGCCAAACCCTCCTTTCTTTTGATAAATTCGAAGAGAAGAAACATAAGCACCGGATCGATCCTATCATCGTGAACTGGCGTTCCAGCACGGGAGGCTCTAAGTCCTCAAGGCAATCTGCAGCCAATCAAGAGAGTCCTTTCCATGAGGATGTTAGCCACCACGCCCTCCCAGGAACAGACGATTATGTCATGGCGGTTCCAGAGCATGGGCCAAAATTGAGTCGCAGAGGGAGGGAAAAGTTACGGAGAGCCCAAGCAAAGAAGAATGGTATATACAGTTTCTCGTCGGGCGGTGGCCGACGTGTTACAACTGGCCGGAGCCGGGATAACGCCTTCTTCACTGTGGACCTGGAAGATGAAGGATTTCATCGAGCTTTGGCGCCGCTTTCCGCTGGGAGTGCCGCAGGTTACGAATGGCCAAAGAAGTATGAAGCTCCACTTCATAAAAAGGCAAAGACACACTGCAAGACCCAATCGACTAGTATTGCCCAATCCTCCGAGCTTGCACTTTCACAAGGCAGTTTGCACGATCAATTCTCAAACTCCTCTCAGCTCAAGGAAAGTAACAGCGTGCATATTGCAATCGACCTCAACATTCGTCACCTCCTTTCTGGAAAGAGTTTATCCCCCTCTTGCTACATTCGTAAAGGCCGACTCCATGAGCTCACCAACGTCGTCTTTGGAAACCAAGAGCCTCCAGCACCGGTCTCCACGATCTTACGCGGCTATGACCTAGGGCCCACGGTGGGTGTCGAGAGACTTTGCTCGCTTTTGCCCAAACTCTGCGATTCATTCCTCGATTTCTCGGGCGGCCTTCCTGATCCTGATTTTGACGAATTGGTTGTACAGTGGGTCCAAGCGGCACACGCTCTTCCTCATCTTGTTTCTTGGTATCTGAAGACCTCAGAGGAAAATCACAGGATTCTTTTGCAGGAGACGGTTGAAAGGGAAATTCTTCGTCTTGTGGACGAGCTTGAAAAATCGACCTTGACGTTCATTGACATCCCCGCCCTGACAACCACATGGTTTGCTGTTGATATGGCTTCCCGCCTTCTTCCTTTTCCGTCGACCTTGCCAGCATCCAGCGGCCTTACACACCCTTTAAAGTCATCCTCGTCACTCTTGATGCGATTTCTTCTTCAGTCTGACATCCAGAAGGTGTCTGATGTCGTTCAAAGCGACAACGGGTTGGACAGCGGGTCCAGAGACGCATATGCGGCTGAGTTGTGGGTTTGCTTGATCCACCTTCTCAATGGCACTACACAGGGAGTGCAAACGAAAGCGCCGAAGAACTACGCTTTCTGGACAATTCTAACTGATCTCGTTCAGACGAAAGTTAAAATATTCAATGCAGCTCAAAGCTTGAAAGTGAGCGAGAATATTTGGTTAACCATCTTCACCGTTTGCTCCCTTTCCCAATTCTCCATTCATGGGATGACGACGGGTGAGCCCCGTCTCCCTGCATGTTGGGATCTCGTTGCCCTCGCCTTAAAGACAATCCGGCTGACTGACAGCGCTGAACAACTTCGCGACCTTAACCCTGTCAAGCTGCAACTCCGTGATCGATATGTTGGTTTGGTAACAAGCCGCTGCGCCCATCTACGAGAGAAATGGCAGTGGCGGCTTGATGATGGTTCGCCTATGTTCAACCAGCTTGCAGAGATCTTCAGAAGCCGCAACTTTGCAAACCTGCGCCACGAAGACGAGAAGAAAATGCCTAAGTTCTTTGTTGCGAGGAATTGGGAGTATCTGTCTGCTCATGGTTCTTCAGAAACCGCATTCTCCATCTTCCTCAAGTTAATCGTCCAAGCCGCACGAGACGACGAAAAGAACACAGGCCGCAAGTCTTCCGCGAAGGTCAAGAAGCTCCTCTCCTTAGCGGTTCCGCTAGGTTCTCTTCCGTTCTCCAAATCCAACCCTCCCACATGCCGTGACTTTACCATGTATTGGAATCGCCTTAGTGCAGTTGCAGTCTCCATTTTTCTGGACCAAGATGACTACGACGATCGAACCAAGAAGGCGCGTCACTACGTAGCCTTCGAGGACGCTGACTACACAACCCGGCATTTGATCATTTGTGGAATTGTAAGGCTAACTGCGCTGTTGATCACACGGAACATTCAAATCACGGCGATGATTGACTGGATTGAGCATATAGCGAAGACCCTTCAACCTGAAGTAAAGGAGTTCATGTCTAAAGAACGGAATCAAGCCTTCGATCCTTCCGAAATGTCTAAAGCCGAGGCCATTCGACTCACGAGCCACTTAATTGCCTCTGTCGGCCAAATTGTAACATCGTTCAAAGATTCACGCCAATATCCTGCTGCAGGACTGCTACGTACGGACACTCATGTTCTTTAATATTGACATTTTTCTAAATAGCTTTGTAGTGGTTTTGAAGCCCTTGCTGATGCTGGCCATCATGAAGACCGAGGCTTTACGGCCCTCGCTTGGTTACCTCACTAGTGAAGTCTTGGCAACGCGTTCGTTGGCATTACCCAAACCTCCTCGCCCAGCAAGATTACCTTCTCGTGTTACGGTTGTCGAAGAGGAAAGTCAAGACTTCGGAGGGATTGATTTAGATCTTGATGGTATGGATTGGGACGCGCCTGGCCTCGCTGAAGCACTTGGGGACGCTCCGTCAAGTACTCCGAATCCTGAACAAATTCAGAAAGAAAACGCACTTCGCGATGTAAGTACGAGCAATGATATATCTCTATGTCATTCTAATTTGCATACTGCTGCTATTGTTAGGCTCTGTCGACGACTCAATTCAAATGGCTCGTGTATAGTCACTTGAAGCCGTACCTTCAACCTCCACCTTCTAATGTTGTCAGAAAAGACCACATCAAAGCCTGCGATCAGTGGTTGCGCCTGTGGTTATGCTGCGCTGACATCGAGACACACCCTACTAAGGTCGGTGCTGTTTGTGTCGTCCATGTGCAATCCGATTGACGCTCTGTAGTGGACTAACTGCTTGACGCCGATTGACAATCTGACGAAGACAGTTGGAGATGAAATCTGGATCTCCCGGGTGAACTTGAGCATCATGTACCAGCTCCTTCAGCTCGATCCGATGGTGTACTTGGTGCGTTATTTGACTATATTCACTCCAACGCAACCTGCTAATATAACGCCATTAGACGCTGATGGATCGAGCAATGGAAGCATTTTTCCTGGCGTTGGTTTCCTGTTCTCTGGATCTTGAGAATGGATATGTTTCCTTTCTGCTTTCAGTCGACAACCTTGCGCATCCTCTGTTTGCCAACGCAACTTGTTTGCCCCCGCGAAAGGCCGAAACAGGAGATTTTGAATTTGCGACTGAGGAATTCATGCAGTTACGTCTGCCACTCATCCAAGGTAAGTCCCTCTGGCTTTTACCTTGAAAGCAAAGGATTTGAGTACTTATAATTGGTTTGGAAGTCATTTTCAGGAACCTGAACGAGTCGCTTCGCCACCAAGTGGCAGGCAGCCGGGATTTGGAACCGGAGAACCAGAGGTACCTACACTTATGCACCAAGATGTTCTCTGCCATGCGCAGCACACGCACGGTACGCTCTTTTCTTGGTACCATCCTTCAAATACTGACGTCTTGACAGGCTTTATTGCAAAAGGATGAAACATCCGACAAGGTGCAGAACTACAATGAATTTTGCAAGCAAATTTTCAGTGCCTTGGAAGAAAATCTCCAGCTTGCGAAAGAACGATGCTTTGAATTTTGGATTGGGTGGGCACGAACACTGGCAATGTGACATCTCTATCATCATTTGTACATATCTTTATCCGCATTTTCTTGTACACACTCGGAACACTATACCATCATCTTGATACCGCACTACACATCAGGCAATTGGAAAGCGAGTGGCAGCACAGTCAAGGTTGGGAATCGTTCCCAAGAGCACTAATGGTGAGATCGGAGACACCAAAGAGGCGATAGCTTCTACAGAGGCTGTCGTGATGAGTGAGCAACCTCCCCTTTCATAGGGCCCGTTGAGGTTCAATCGAATACCCAAGCCGCCGGTACCGCGGCAGCATACATGACAACCTTAAATTTGCATCACCTCTGGGTCTACATCATCGACCACAGAGTCAGAACATGGGACCACTTGTGAAACGTGAAACAAACGCACCGCGAGCCTCCCTTCAGGCTGTTCTTCACTGACACTCCGATCTCCTTCCTCATCCTCGGGGTTCAGCTGAACCGCAACGGTCATAAACCTGTTGTCCCAACACCCGTGAGATCCGTTGAAAACTCATCGACCTACAGGACCAGACTCACTTGGCAGCATCGAGCCCAGCGAAGATCCTCATTGCGTGGAGGTCCACCTGAAGCTGTTCGCACAAGTCAGCGGTCTGGCTGATTGCTCGTGACATCCTTCCAAGGCTGCTGGCTAGCTGGGCGTAAAGTCGCTCTTTTGCCTGAGTAGCATTCGTTGGTACTGCGTTGGTGCTATTCATCATTTTGGTCAAAGTATAAGTATGGCCGAGAGGGTAAACGCGGAATCGTCGCCGATGATCGATGATGGACTAAGTTGAAGTTCGAATTGACGCGCCGTGAGAAAACGCGGCCAGGTGATCACGTGCGTGATTAAGAAACGCGTGAAATTACAATAGGGGTAATGACCGCACCGCGTCACACGACGGTGAGGCCTCAATTCAGTGCAGATAACATTCCGACCTCATTTTGACCATAGCTAAATACCTCTGCTCCTACACGCATGACTCGGCACTCTTTCGTAGTCGACGACTCGAGGGTTTCACTTAGTACTATAGGGACCAGGCAACTTACAAGGACGGTTAGACACTCGGAACTGACATTTGGTACATAATGGACTAGAATTTTTGGGAGATCCACCTTCAGACGTCATGTTAAGATAGAAAAAAAGAACATCAGATTGCAGGCCTCTTACACGGTACGTCGGTATCCCACCCATAGTGATAAGCAACTGCAAACACGCGCAGGGGCTGCGCCTGAATTCACAACGATATGGCTGCCAGAGTCCACATTAGTGGCGATGTTTCCTGCAAGGCTGAAGGAAACATCGTCTCAGAATATTTGTTAAATAATGAAAACAAATAATCAGGCAATTCCTAATGGACGACGTGGACAAGGATGTGGCGCTTAACGTTACGGAGGAGGACCAATTACTCACATGTAGCGGCAGCGGCAAATTCTCGAATTTGGGCTTTAGAATGGCCCTGAAACTCCGCGGCTCATTGTATGGCGAAAAACGGCAAGGTCTGGGCCAGCAGACTGGCGTCTCTCCAGTCAACACCCCTTTCAAGCTCAAAGCTGGAGTCGATCCCAAATGGTGTATCTTCAAGAACACGGCGCGGAATATTTCTCACTCTAAATATGCGGTTCGTGTTAATAGAGCAAGCTCTTCGGCTGATAGCAAGCAGGCTTCTGCCGATTGCCATAGAAAGAAAGTGTGGCCCAAAGTGAAACATCTCTAGAACGCCGCTTTCTGGAAAGGGACATGCCTTATTTGGGCTTTTTCAGAGGTAAGCTAGCGTCATCCACACCGTCTCCTAGTCGTTTCTAATTCTCCGCCGAGTTGAAGTCAAAGGTGCTGAAAGCGAGAAGCGTAGGCCGTTTTCTAGTCGAATACCGGAAGACATGCGGCAGTGTGCAGTGGGTGAAGGTTGGGGTCAATTCGCATGAGAAACTTCAAACATGCTGCCTGTCTCTGATGGCATTCGTGCGAGCTGAGAGGGTGGTAATGGCATTAACCAATCAATCAGGCCTTTCACTATCATCCACTCGGTGACGAGCAGAGTTACGAGTTACTTTGCCGCTATGTCAACTAGAGGGCTGATGTTCAACTGTTTGCAGGGATGCATCAAGGTCTGAAGGGAGTGGAAGGCGCTTGGAGTTGAGGCCCAAGCGGCGGCCCCAGTTTTACAGATGGTTTCAATTTGTCGGTATGCCCTCTGATTCCCTGGTTTTCAAGGTAAACCCCAGAAAAGTAGGGTTCAATAGCTAGGGTCGGCCGACTTGTCGGGAGTCGGAATTGTGGAAAACTCTGCTCGTGGTAGTTGTGTATGGCGGAAATTAATTTCGCCGTCTACGAAGATGTTACCAATGTTTGATTATCAAGAAAATCTTGAGTCAGAAGTCACAGCGAATGCTTCGACTGTATGAGATGGGGGACGATAAGTGTCGGAAGGAGCTCGGGGCCAACTGCCCTTCATTTATTACGTGGACGAAATGAAACAACACCAGCAATTTGGTCGCATTCAAACTCTAGTCATTCGATAGAGCTCGAAGTAGGGGGTTGAAACACCAGTGGACTGGGGTGGATTTGGATCATTGCGGTCGGCGGTGCCGGACTCTTGCATGGAGTCCAGAGGAGTCATGTGGAATCCGATGCACCATTCGGAAGAGTCGGGGCGGTACCGTTGAATGCTGCCTCGAGGACAATCCATTCGGAAGAAGGGAAGAACAAAGGTCGAGAAGTAGTCGTGTACATGTAACAACTAGTAGATCAGTGTATCCTGTGTATCATATCTTAAGCATAGGATTGGGTATTAGAGACAAGAATAGGACTTTGCGGCACAGTAGGTAGCTTTGGTCGTACGACCGCTGTTGATGAACGTCGAGGAAGGTAATACTTTCTGATAAGATGTGACGTCGTGAAAGAGATCGGGAAGCATGATCAGGTGATTTATCCGAGCTCGGCTAGCCAAGAACCATGGGGTCCTTGGCTTCAGAAACTCTCTTGCCCATTACTTTGCGTCCCCCCTCCTTTTAAAGGTGATGGAACTTCAAGGAGAATTGAAAACCCCGTGTCGCAGCTCCTTTATCAATGGGAAGGGGCGGCTCAGCTTGAAGCACCGTCACCCAGATGAAAGCGATGACACATGGCAGATCGGAAGCCTCGAGGTGGCCTCGATCATAGTTTCGGCATCAATGGCCGCGAGGAACACCTTGATCAGATCAGGGTTAAATTTTATCGATGAGATATGTAGGACATATAGATTAGATGAGATTCGTTAACAGGAGACTACGTTCTGGCGTCTGTTCCAACTTGGTCATGGGGGTGAGCCCGGGAGCACAAGTTGAGGGCAGTTCAACGAGCTGGATCTTGGATGCTTTTATTGTGGGGTTCTCGCTCGGAAATGCCGTGTCTGTCTTCTGGATGATGCAAGATAGACACAGGCTATGTTAGAAATAAGCAATGAGCGTGGCATGCGTGTGGCGTGAAGGAGAACATCTAGGCCCTATTACGTTTGGGGGTTTATCTGCGGGGGACAATGTGGGTGAAGTTGAGATATCTCTCGACAAACTACGACTTCAAAAAAGGCCACAATCAACGGTAGGATTATTCCAATTTTTTGGGATTTGAAAAAGGATCACAAGACTAATTATCCCAGACCTTCAGATAGCGCAGCGTGGACGTGAGTGGCTTTTGGCGGTGAATTTCCTCTTGCCGAGGAGGATTTCGGTGGATATTTCCAAATGGGGATAGCTATGGGATTATTTTTCCATCAAAAGTTTGGAAACCGCCTGTCGCCGTCTTCCCTCTTACCATCTGCGACCTGCACAAGGCCCGCAGATTGCGCGTTCGAAATACAAGCTATCACCCTGGATTCTAATCGATCCCCATGTTCAGAACCAGATTACAATGCTCAGAGATCGTTTCTTCAGTGAGTTCGACTCGATGTTGTTTTACATCTCGCATGCTCACAACCGACCAGTGCATCCAACACAAGCAGCCAGTTCCATGTCGCCTTCTCATTCCTATACGGTAGTCGCCCACGACGACGACGAAGACAGCGATATCTGCCCCGTCTGCGATGGCGAGTGCACTTGCCACAAGACGACGTTGGTAGCTGCAGCACCAATACCAATCCAGCAGCCCGTCGTAAGAAGTACAACAGGACCGTTATCCATGGTGGAGCTCAGTATGAGATATGCAGCAACAGCCTCTCCCCAGCCCCCCAATTCCCCTTTCTCTGGCCAGTCTTACCCACCGTCTACACCTACACCGCCTACACCCACACCTGCCCCCCAAAAACCGTCTCTCAAGATAAAACTCACCGTTCCAGCCAGCATGCTCGCAAAACGCCGTCTTCAGCTACCAGGCGGGTCATCCAGCTCCAACCCCACTCACATCAAGAGATTATCCAAGAACGCAGGCGAGACGACATCCGACTGCGCGAACGACGGATACGAAAGTTCGGATGTTCCAGCGCCTCCTCCAAAGAAGCGAGGTCGACCCCCCAAAGCAGTCGTTGCTGCTCGTCATTCGGCAGCCGCCCAACTCTCCCGATCATCTCCCTACAAGCCTCTCAATCCCAAGTCAGCTGCACCAGGCAAGCAACAAAAACGATTAGCATCGAGCAAAGTCAGGAAGAATCTCAAGGCACGCGCCGCCATTGCCAAAAAAGTCGCTGCGAAGCGCCGACGAGCTGCTTTGAGCGAGGACGGAGGGGAGTCCTCGGAGTCCTCATCCTCTGATGTCGAGATGGCTGAGAGCGGCCTTTTCCCTACCTTCGTCTCTGCGTCCGCCATTTCTTCGAGTGTGTCCGACTCGTCGTCGTCGTTGTCAGACTTTGACGACTCAGATTCGAGCATCGAGGCGGAGGAGGAGAGCTTTATTCTTGCTGATGTGCATGCACACGACAAGGCCCGCATAAAGCGCGAACTGCTTGGCGGAGATGATGCTTTACAGAAAAAGCGTGCTGGGAGGAACAGTGACTGGGTAATTCGTCCGCGTGAGAAGAGTGTGGGTGGGAGCGATGTGGAGATGGACGTAGACTCGGAAGGCACTGAGGAGGAGGGCGACGAGGAGGGCGACGAGGAGGATGCGGCGGATGATGAGGACACGGTGGAGGAGACGGCGCCGTCGATCATTGGGATGGGCATGAGTATGGAGGAAGACGAAGAGACGGACGACCACCACTACGTTGGTCTCGCGACAGGCTGGTCGGACGACGATGACGAGTCGAGTTTCGACGCTGATTTGTTCTTCGCCAACTTGTCCGACTCTGATTCGGACTCGTCCTCTTCTCAAGCACCTTCAGTATCAATGGGCGAAGAAGGCGATCAGTCGGATGTATCAGATTCCACCCAAGGCCCAAGGCATGCCACGCTGGAGAGCCTACCGTTCGAGCTTGAGGAGAGCTGGGACGGGCAAGTCGTGTTCACAAACGGCAGCCTCAGCAGGGGCCTCGTCGACATGGAATTCGAGGAGCGTGCATCGCGATTCGTCGTCGAGAGTAGTGTGTCCCCCGAGCGACACATGCGTCGCACACGTCTGGGCACTAGCGACCTCGAGCCCAGTGAATCTGAGATGTCTGATGGTGGCTATGAAGAGGAAGACGCTGAGGCGGAAGCTGAGGGTGACACGACTGATGAGGAGCTCGTAGGCGATGACGATCTGCCCAACGAGCGCGCGATGCGTTTGTTCCACCTCCCGATGAGTGTCTCGGCGATCAATCCCTTGTCGACTGTCTCCCCGGCCGTCAACTCCGTGAAGAGGCAGAGGGCGATGGAAAGGCGGCGGAAACGATGGGGTGGGGAGAGCCCCAGGGCGGCGGATATTTTGGCTGGCAGGGTGGTGTTCTGGGGATCTGATGAAGAGGAGGGATCTATCAGTGAAGGGGAGAGGAGAGCGGAGGAGGCTGGAAACGGGAGACAGAGAAAGGCGCGGTTGGTGGATTACGGCCGCGACGGTACTCAAACCACGGCTGGATCGAGTCGAGGAATCGTCGGGTCTGATGCGGAGGATGTGGCCAAGAGGTTCAAGACGCCTACCAAGCAGGCGCCCTTTGGCCCTCGACGAGGCGTCTTCTCGCCCTCCAGCGACACCAAACAGGCAATAATTGGTGAGGGTAGGAATGGAGCGGACGTGCCTTCGCCTCATCCGAGGTTTAAAGGACGTGGACGACCAAGGACAGGCCCTGGCGGGGGTGGGCGATTTAGTTCGGTACGTGTTTACTTCTTCATGGCCTCTCGTCTTGCGCCGTCGGTCCTATCTGTCTTGCGGGTTCATTGTATTCTTTATCTTGCTCTCTTGCATTGCTTTTCGTCCTTCGTTGTTCGATTTGGACGCTATCTTTCTTTATCAACCTTCGATCTTGTATTGGTGTGGTGGACATCGCCATCGATCAGCGAACCAATGCATGCACTCGGCGTCGACACGGAGAAGTGCGCGTGCTTCCCATGCTTTTCAATGGCGATCCGTCTGCTTTTCGTCTATCTATTGCCCTTTTTGGAGTCAATCTTCTATCGATATCTCTCCTTCAGGCGACGACCATGTGTACTCACGTATATCTCCCTTTCACCTTCTAGGTCGAGCACCTCTTGCGCAGGCATCTACTCCAATCCATTACCGCGTCAAACCTGTCCAACTCCCTTACCAGCGTTGCTAGTGCAGACGATACCTCGTCACCAGGTGGTCCATCGGCTGATAGGTCTCCATTCCAGTTCTTACTGACATCTACTGCCGCTGTCACCGCGAATGGGTCTGAATCGTCCGACCTTGCTGCCGTCGTCGAAGCCGGTGTCCTAGCCGATCCCATCGAGCTAGACGACGTGCTTGAAGCTTCTTTCTTGGATGATACAGACGCCCCAGCCCGGGACTCCTCTGTACCGCCTCCAAGCGAGGACGACGCTTCGACATCAGCGGCTGCCGATGCTGCCGCCTCCAAGAACCTCAGCCGGTGGGATCTCATTTCGGTCGGCGCCTTCCGCCACTCGAGAGAGAACGGTAGCTGGGACGGACGTCATACCCCCTCGTCGAGTGCAGACTTTGGCACTGCAATGAAGAGCAGCCCGCTCAGCGCTCTTTTATGGCAGACAGGTAGTAATGGACCACCCAGGCCTTCGTCTGCGCCGAATTCAACCAAGATCAAGTCAAGCAAGCACGCGAAAAGGAGAAGGATCATGATGGGCGGGTCGGGGATGTCGTCGCCTCTCATCTTGCCCCTGTCGGGTGATCGTTCCCCGAACACAAGCACCCCACATACTCCCACATCAGCGCCGACCGCTCTAGCGAAGTTCGGCTCCAGTAACCACGGGTTCGACGATAACTCGGAGAAGAAACAGAAGACCCGCAAGGAGACTCGTAAGGAGAAGAAGCTCAAGAAAAAAGGCTATGGTCCAGTACACCAGCAGCATTCGCATCATCAGCCACACCATTTCCATTCCCACCATCATCACCCGAATTCGAAGAGTCGTGCGACGAACAGCACTCAGAGGACCAATTTCTTCGCGAATTCGGTGCCACCTTTGAGCTTGTAATTATAATCCTCTATCGTCTTTATCTCCACATCCACCACATATCCCGTCCTCGATCGTCTCGATTTCCTCCACCCCACACGACAATTCCATCGACGTTCGACGCATAATTCCTTGACCCCAACGCATCTGCACACAACCAGTAAACCCATCTCTCAACGAAAACGGAGGACGTGCAACCGAGCCATTTCACATCGTCCTCCAAAACGATGCATCCTCGACATCCATGATAACCACGTGCTATAGTTGCTCAAAATTATTGCTTCCAGCAGTTCCTCTTTGAAGTCTAATACTGTTTTCTCTAAATTATAACCCAGGCTCGAGTTCGAGCATTGACTGGCGTACATTTGTGCGCGAAGAATCGACTTGTTTGTTTGTATCCATTTTTTTGATCCCTTCATTCCCTCATCCCATCCCATCCCATCCACACTATTTCCATCCACGATCCTCTCGCCAGACCCCTGCTACATGTCCATGCTGAACCAACTTCCTGGCCTATCCTATCCTATCGCCTATTGCTCCTCATCATTCACCTTCCAGGGCCAACAACCAACGAACGAACGATCAACCGAACCAATATTTCCCTTCTCAACCATTCACACCTCTGGCGTCGCTCTCTCTTTTCTCTTCTGTTAACTGGATCAAAACCGAATCAACCGTGTATTTTTGGCAGTTCCTATCATCCATCATCCATCGTCATCATTTCCTTTGGCCGTCATCCCCTGCCCCAGCCATTTCTCATCATGCATTGCTTGTAATCCCATCCCCATGCCATCGAATTTTAACAGCCTTCCTCCACCCTTTGAATCCTGTCCTTGCGGTCCACCATATAGCCCACCGCTGCCAACCAAAAGCCTCCTCTATTCCATCGTCATAGATACCATTCGGGAGATTACTTTCACCCCCTGACATCACGTTTTTGTTCACTTTCTACTTTACTTCGTTTCATCGGAGCGAATCTTCATGGCTTTATCTTCCCTGCTACGAAGGAGATGATGCAAGTCGCGTCGTTGGGCGCATTGGTTTTGCTTATATTAGTGGGTGTTTTGTTGGTTTGGGAGAAAGAGCATTCTGTATGCAAACCGAATAAGAGTTCGTAATTTATCCAACCCTTCCGTACCACCAAGGACGACGACGTGACTTTCAAACCTCGCGTATCTGTGCAAAAGTCAGACACTCAGAAGGCTCCTTGTATTCTTGGTCGACATCTTGGAGGTTGTATCTTCGATTTTCAGATATCAGTGTGGCTCCGTTATCCCCCGGTCAATCACTATGCATTATGGCTTAGCGTTTATCTACAATAGCCTGACTCGCGGGAATCCTGTCTGAGTCGCCTGACCTAGGGACCTCCATGACTTACAGGTGACGCGTAGCCTAACTGTCCTCTGAATCCCCCTTATCTCCGTTCTCAGCTAACTTTGTTCAGACCTCTTCAGCTATCTTCATGCAATTGATGTTCTCCAGCATGATCATCGACAAGAATATCTTCGCTACACAGGCCCCTATTCGTACCCCTGTCCACGTAATCGATGAGTATGAACAAAAATCTAATGTTCTTATTGCTACATGACGGTGTCGAGCCTGGCATATTGACGAAGACTTATGGCGTGGAACTCCCAGAATGTGCGCCACAATGCCTCGTGAATACCTCCCTTTTTGGGAAACGCATCAGAGGCTTGATCGGGCTTATCGGCTTCGAGGATGGGACTTCGTGTTCATCGAGAACACCTTTGATAAAGCTGTTTCCTCGTTGCCTCGGCTCATAGGTGTAGCATAATCTGCTGCGTATTGATCTTATTTCCCCGCATCCAAGAATAAAAACCCGCGTCGTCTCGTTTTGTCCAGAAACGTCCACGTATAAAGCCTCGCGGCCAAGGAAATGCTATTTCTGCTGTTAAAGGTCTACTTACTGTTGGGTGTTAATTTCTATTTTAATGGTATGGATTGGCGGAGTCTGACGCCGAGCAAAGGGCTGTCCCCGGCTGTGGTCCAATTCCGAGGCTTTCTGTATTCCAACGTTTCGGTGAGATATGTTGGCACCAAGAACTTAAGGACGGAGATTAAAATACCTGAACAATTCTTCTCCACTCTACAGTACTCCGCTGTTTCTCGGGCTTCGACATTGCGAGTCCATGTACACTTCATGGTTGTGCAATCGGATCAGGCGATGAAATGTGAGGCAAGCGTCTTCTTCGCATGTTTTCGGCATTTCTCCCAGCATATCTTTCTCAGTATCATCACTATAAGATGCCTTCGTGACCCTTGACCCTGAGCTTGACCAAGAAGGACCAACGCTCCCTCGGACAGTAATAATCGAACCCAGATACTACTTATATACTTACATTCGAACGCTCTATATTTGCCTTATGACAGAGGAGCAGCTCACTCCTTGGTGGGCAGCAGACACACCTGGACCTCGTTGTTTATAAGCAAGCGATTACTTCTGAGGTGCAAGTCGTCCCAGGCCAGGGAAATCTTCCATTTGAAAACTTCCAATGTTTCTCCGAAGCAGGGCAGGGAAACAGTATTACTAATAACAGACAAGAAGGTGCAATATCCTGGCGTTCCGCCTTCAAGTTCAGACGTGTAAAGCTCACAATAAGCACTGATAAGACTTACGTATCGTAACAGAAGCTGGTAGATCCGATCCGAAGTTGCAGGTAAATATACTCAAAATATCGGGATAATTTCTCTTCATTGATCGTAGCACAAAACATCGCGTATGTGATTGTTTCCTGACCCCGAGAAACCAGTCAAGAAGCACTCCAGACTCCAGTCTTCCAAATGCGTTTGGAGCGGTCCGATATATATCTGCCAAGATTACCAAGCCATAGTCTAATATTAGTCGCGTGATCGAATGTTCAATCACTCTGCTCGAAACTTTGCCATCTCCCTCCTTTCATGAAACCCACATCGTTGTTATAGCACAATATCTCGAGATGAAATGCCACCGCCGCATGTACGCTCGTCATCCAACGACAGGACTTTTTGTGTAGGTCATAGCTCTGCCGAATTTCGCGCTCCTGCCGCAATCGTATCGCACACAGCTTCCACTCGAACTACCATGCACTCTTTCCGCGAACCTCTGTGTTTTTATTACTTCATGTGTCCCAGGACACTCGCCAAACCCCACCTAAGCGTCAGGTGCTTCCCATAATTCCCCCGGAGGAAGACCCCACGGGGAAGACACGATGCACAACGTTTTCATCTCCTCTTTCCCCTCCAAGGTATTCAAAGCACACCTGACCTCGGGCTCGCTTCTTCTAACAGGACTCATGGTGTCTTAGGCGACATCCTTGTGTGTCTTTCCATCACCACAACGAAATCTGTCGATAGGTTTACGATAGACTCCGTTCTAGCGCCGTGGGTCGCCTGAAAGCGTTTGGCATCGTTCGTACGTGGGGGACCTGGCTTCCTTCTTCATCAGCATTGTTCAAGCACCCTGCCAATGTGCCAGAGCTTATGTTACACTTACCATTTAATTCGGTCCGACGATCTCTAGCATTGCATGACCAGTTAAGCAGCAACAAATCTTGGGGAGAACGCGAGCCACTTCCCCAGCGTCACGAGCGTGGCCTGAGATTTGTGGCATGGCAAAGATGTGGCGCCGCTATTCGGGACTATAAAAGGGTCAGTTATGGGCACCTCTCAACCCAAGCCATCGTCTTCCACACCCACCCATCTATCTACCTCACGATAACCCAATAACCATGACATCCCCGCCCTCGTCATCTTCTGAATCACCTTCGAAGGCACCGTACCCCTCTTCGTCCCTGTCCAGGTTCGACCCCTTCGCAGAGCATCCTTTCACCAACTGCTCTGTGAATCAAAACATCCCCACACAGCAGTCCAACCACCACGGATATGCATATCCCTACGGTCCTTCAATGGCGAGCTACAGTGTCACATACAACCAATTTCCGCAGACTTCTACCGTAACGAACGGCCCCCCTTCGAGCAGCACTCCAAGATCCTCGCCGAAGCCCTACGGCTACTCATCCAATACCGCCATTCCGTTCCGTAAGGAGACTGCGTCACCTGAGCTGGGTGATGTGTTGAGGGCCAACAAAACCAAAGCGCCGAACTCTCTTTCCAGCTCGAATCTTCCCAAGCATCCTTCTCAGCCGGTTCCAATCACGCATCCGCGAAAGTATTAAACAAAGAACGCCGCGGTCATCGCCCTCGTTGCGCGACTCGGATGCCAAGCAGGAGCCGTATATATTCCATCTAGGGTGAGAGGTACTTTGGACAGGCTATGATATCGGGACACTCGTGATACGATTATCCCCTTTCTTCTCTTCGTACAAATTGCATTATATTGTACGTCTTTATGCCCAGTGACTTGGAATAAGGTTGACATCTATTGAGACGGCTCCTAGTACTTATGGTCCCTTCCATCTGTCACGAACTCCCACAGAATGTTGACAGAATGCCACATTCTTCAGCTTCCTTTCCACACCTTTCTGTCTCACCACGTCGAAACCTCACGTTCGCGGGAGTAGTTGGAATATTACTCCACGTACATGTTCTTTTGCTGTCCCAAAACCAAACGTATCTCCTTATTTTCTGTTTTTGACGATCCTGCAAGTGCGAAATTCCTCCAGGTTGCGAGCGGCGATAATTGATGTGAGAAACGCTGACTCATCCTCTGAAAGTTGAGAGTCATCCAATCGTTTTAACTTTTCACCACCTCACGCTACATAGTATCACAGTGAAGGTCGGAATTATGGAACGTCGCTGGAGCTCGCAGACAGAAATTGACGAATGGATTAAAAGGCGCAACGATTATCGCTCCTCCAAACAGTTGGCTCCATTGAATGAACTTCGTCAAGATGACCCACATGGATATCGCAATGCTCTGGAGAGGGAAAGAAAGACCTTACTTTCACGTCTAGAGACCCTGACAACGCGAACGTGGTCCTGGCCGGTAAGGAGTCGCATTTCTATTCCGATTTTTTTTTTTACAAACTTTTGCAGGTTGACAAACCACCAGTGAATGAGTGGCCTGCGCCATTCAATGGAACACTCTATTTGCCTAATACCTACTATCAACGCCATGGCTTTAGTAAGGTAGGCAACAGTTTGCTCGGAACCTCAACAACAAATTCTTAATCTCTTGATGTACCTTAGATCCAATTTACCGAGAAGCAGAACCTAAACATCATTGTTCATAGTTTTTATCAAGAACGGGTAGGACCTGAATACCCTGGCATTAACTTCGTGACCCAAGATGGCTTTTGCAATACAAGGTTAGTTTCTGCCCTCCAAAACCAACCTATGCCGACTGTTTATCTTTTAGAAACGAATATCTTGGGCCTAGCCCGCGTGTTGCGGGTTATCAGTTCGACGGGACCAAGCGAACAGCAATTATAGAATGGTACGATGACCATCTGTTTCACAAGTGGGTTGAAGATAGACCATGGAAGATTGAAGTTTATTATGATCGCAACGTGGAAGGCTGGGTCTCCAAGGCTCGTGGGGATTTTTGCAAGAACTACGACTGGAATGAATATCTAGGACTGGAGTCGTGAAAGGCTCCTGGGCCATCAGAAGCTTCTATGGATGCAAAGGCGAGTTAGTGCAGATTCCAAGTCGGCTCAAAAATTCGACTGATGCATCGGGAAATCATTTTATTAAGAAATCTCATCATGGTCAGACTCCGCGAACCATAGCAATCGTTAGAATAAGGCAAGACTAGATGCAAGAACCGGTACTACCATTGACGCCAATGCCCATTACAACATAAAGTAGAGGTTGTATATGTATCCGAGTACAAATTTCTCTACGTACCATCTAAGGTCATCGAATAATTTACAAATCCTAGAAACGATGGACTCATGCAACACGGCCACGGTGCAGGTGTTCTGTCGGCGAGGTTGTGATCGTTAACCTGGTTTTCGGAACGAAAGGACGTGCTCTAGGGTTCAACAGGCGACGTGCAGCAACAGCGTTGGCCGATATGCATGAAGGCGACGGAAGAGGCAGCACAGCATCCGCTGTAGCAGCTGGCCACACTAGAGCAAGTCGCTGATCTTTAGGATGAGGAGTCATGGGTGGTGTAGGTAAATCTCCAAATGGGAATCCTTTCAATGGCGCTGCCGGTAGGGGAGAATACATCACATCCTGTGGCCTCGCTTGCACTGAAGTCGGCTGAGGCATAACCGGGGTGGTTGTCGCCTAGACGAAAAGTCAGACAGCTGGCAACAGCTGAATACAGAAAGGCAAACTACCTCTTGTTCTGAAAGCCATTTCTCAAGGTTTTCGAGATCAAGCTTCAGCTGATGCTCGCTCTCAATGGCGTCACGAAGAGCTGGTGATGCTAGAACGCTGTCGGGTGTGCGACTGCCCATGGCAATCAAGGACCTTTGTATTTCATCGGCGCTGGGGCGATCTTCCGGTTTCTGCTTCCAACACTTGATGACAATATCCCATAGTTGGGACTCGCGAGCAGAAGAAGCCGCCGGGATATTGGCACGACCACCAGAGACGACAGTGTACATGACTTCATAGAAGCTCATTTTGCTGTCTCTGAACGGCGCATTTTGGGTAATGATCTGCTCTGATGTCAGGCAATCAACAAAAACATAGACTAAGACAATGCACACCTCGTAGATAGTGCATCCTAGAGCATATATGTCGATCGCCCGAGGGTTCTTGGCCGTAGAGAGCTTCGGGTACAAGAGCTCTGGTGCGGCCCAGTTGACTGAAAATGCCAAAATCGACGATCCTGTGCCGATGCGATGCGAATCAAGGATTGTGGTCAATCCAAAATCAGCGAGGCAACAAGTGCCATCATCTTTGACTAGGACATTCGTCTGCAGAATAATAAAAACGAGAACATTTCCAAAAACGCGAGAAGCTTACTCCTTTGATATCCTTGTGCGCAACAGGAGGATCGAGACTGTGCAGGTATTGCAGCCCATTAACGATATCACATATCTGATGGTGTGGATATCAGTTTATGGCGCAGTATTTAACTTCAGTGAACAGTACAGACTGCCAAAAATTTATCGAAATTCGGGTGGCATTTTATGAATTCCATGAGGTTTCCATTCTTCATCCAGGGCGACACAAAGCATGGCCGCGGATGAAAAAGGTCCATGTCCGCTCCAAGGAATTCAATGACGTTCTGGTGCTTCAGCTGTCTCCACACCGTGACCCCGGTGCTGAATTCCTGTAGACATTGTTATAACAAAGGAAATGACAATTATATTTTTCCTACCTTGTTCCACTTCCCTTCAGACAGACCTACAGTGCGTAAGACCCTAAGGCAGACAAGTTGGCCAAGTCTCTGCCCAGTGTAAATATCCTGTACGGTGCCAAATGAAGTCGGGAAATTGGACAACCAGGAAGAAGCTCACCGTAAACCCTCCGCTTTGGATGATTTGTTCAGAGAGGCGTGTTACGCCATGAATGAATATCGACGGTGGCAAAATGTACTTCCTCGCAAGCTCTCGAAGGCAACGGAAGGCTCTTTTGCGATACGATGGAGGATTCCCAGCGCTTGTATCATCGACGAGCTATCGAAAACATAATGAACAAATTACAATCAAGAAAGTAAGTACACACCCGTTGTAGCAATTGCGCAATGCAAGTTAAACATTCTTCATCTGTGTCATCAAGCACAGCCTTCCAGAGCTGCTCTTTCTCCGGCACGATTATGGCTCGCAACTCTTGGGTAGTGGAAGGAAATGGTGCAGTGAATCGAGACGTCGCGAAAATAGTGCCTTGCGTACGGTCGATGAAGACGAAGTAACCGACAGTCTCGACGGTGGTGGAACATTTGAGTCGGTATCCAGGATGAAGCAAGGCATTGAATCCATATAGAAGGGAAGCCTTGTACTTCAAGATTCCCGCAACACGTTTGAGAGAGGCAAGGATATCAGAAGAATCAAGAAAGTCCCTGCAGAACACATTTTCGTCGGACCCCGCCTTGTAGGACAGACAAAGAAAAAACGATGCTTACCTGCGTCTATTTTCTACATGTAGTTTGACCTCCGAGAGAAACAAAGCCCATTCTTGAGGGCATCGCTGCTGTAGATATCGTTTTACAGAGCGCAAATACGACACGCTATCCTCATCGGTCATTATGCCTGTGGGACGGTGGCTAAGAATAATAATAATAACGAGTTTTGAGCTGAGCGGAGAGTGTGAATGTAGAATTAAATCTACGAACTCACCTGGGCTCCTATTTAAGCAATCAGCGACAGTGGCATTGACCCATACCCCACGTGTAGCGACGACGTTTAATTCACTAGAATAGGCAAAGAATAGGTCTAGTTCTTTGTGCATCCTCGATGCAAGAATGCCTTGCTGGGACAGCGTGGCAGAGAAGAATATGTTCGCCGGAGTCCCCATTAGAAGGTGTTCAATGCTGCGAACAGAAATGAAAGAATTCGGAACGATTGCTCGATTTTGAGCTATGCTATACATGATTTACGTTTCCCCTTCGACTCGGGGCATCGAAGATGAAACGATGAAAGAGCATGGCGCTTGCAGTGGCTGCCGACAGGTGTGTTGGTTCGACAGTCATGGAGAGTACACAAGATCATCGGCTCCAGATTTGGACTGGTCATTGAGCTCGGCGTTTGCCGTTTGCCGTTCCGACTCTTAACGTTTTTTTTACTTGATTTACATTTGATTTTCATAAGTACTGGCTGGAATGCGTCGCCATCGTTAGTAAATCGCGCTGTACACCAACGATTTGCGTTGGCTTCTATTATCAGAAGTAATTATTATGACGCAACCATTTACCCACCCAATCCCGTACGAAAGATTCAGAGGTCCCCAGTTTCGCTGAAGCCGGTGCATTCCCGTAACTAAGACTCTGCTCTCTCATGGAGTCCTTGTTTCAAGGACACGTGTAAGTAGCCTCTCTTTCATATTATGGAGGTCTAAAATTGCTTAGACTCCCTGACAGTAGTTTGAACTTTGAACGAGTCATTGGAGAATCAAATATACACAAAATACATCGCACCGGACTTATCGGAAGGAGTGACAGACGGAAAGTTCGAATCACTGGCGGAAACCTCGACCCACAGCACATTACAAAGTGGATCAAGCAGGCCCATCGAAGGTGCGATCAACGGCAGAGTAACGGAGCTACCAAGCTCGTTGCGAGAAGAAGTGACCAGCGGGTAGGTACAGTCCGTAGGAACAGACAAGTCTTTAGGGCAGGTGTAAGTTTGTAAGTTGGATGACCGCATCGTGACACGGTTACGAAGGTCATGGAATACACTACCACCGTTGATTGAAAAGTGGACCAGTCCTAAAGTAGTGGGAAGAGGCGGTGCTATAGAGCGGTGAGGAAGAGTCCATCACGGCTTGCCGTAAGACGACATCGTGGCTCGAGCATCGTGTGGTTGCCCACACGGGCCAGTGTCGTGGGTAGCGGGGGATTGAGAAGATGAAGTTGCGTCAGTGAAACTGGGACCACGAACGGCAGAGGAGTGAGGAAGAGGAAAGGCATGGCGAAGAGGAGAGGACGAATACAAGGAGAACTTCGCTGCCTGAGGAACCCTAGGACCACGCGGGGAGGAGAAGCCACCTAAGGGTGATTTCGCGTCTGCCGGCGTGCTGCCAAACTGGAGGCGGTGTGCAGAAGTGGAAGGCGGTGCGTAAGACCAGCCTGCATGATGTAGTTGGCGTGAAGTTCGAGGACCGGGGGTTGAAGGAGGGGTGGGCAAGGTCAGCGGTATCTGTGTGTTGATCGCAAGCCGTGACGAGGAAGAGCCACGACTAGCCTTCGGCGCTTGATTGGAGTCTAGACTGACTGCCGTATCAAGCGCCCGATCGCCAGGACCGGAAATGAACGGGACATTAAGTGTATTTCCCATAAACTCCGTGTCCGAAACTTCAGGAAGCTCAGCGTCACACATAGGGTGCGAGGGAGTGTCCGGAGTCCGCAGCCCCAAAGGGGCCCTTTGAATCGCTGCTGGCTTCTTCGGGGCGACGATTGACAACCGGTTGATGTTTTTGCGATAACCTCCTGGAATTGCGTCGTGACAAGGGTGCTGTAGTCGAGCCCTATCGTGGCTACTCGGTGCGTCATCCTTCGCTGGTAATGAAGGATGAGAGCCACTGGCGCGACCACCGTGATACGCAAGGTTGGAAACTGTGGCGCCTTGCTTCGGCGATGGAACGTGCATCTAAACAAGAAATTAAGTTGATTGGTCAGAGCAGTTGACAAGGCATTGCTTACCTTGGAACGAGTTTCCTCCAACCAAATTTCCACCCCGCAAAGATCAGGCCTATTTCCTGGATGGAAGTCATCGCTCCCCTCGGTTTTCCATGCTTGCAAGAGGCCTCTCGCAGAGGGTGTCCTGCCCCCGATGTCTTGCAGAGTGTTCTTGATAAGCCGGATTTCCGGCCTGTCTTCCGGCTTGTGCATCCAGCAAAGTTCTACTAGCATCCAGAGGGTCAACTCATCGTCTGTCCAATGCCCGTTGCGAGGATGAGGTGGAAGTGGGGGCCTCTCTTTGTTGACAACTGCAAACATAATGGCGAGATGGTGCATGCCAGTGTCGGAGAAAGGTGGCTTTCCAGTGTACATCTAGCGGGCGGCAAAGGCGTTGAGCAATGAGCTTTGCCATGCAAGTTACACAGTTTATGCACCTCATATATCGTGCAGCCCAGGGCATATATGTCACCTGCTTTCTCGCTTTTGACGGGCACGAGTCCGGGATCCATTAATTCCGGGGCGAGCCAGCAAACGGAGCCTGCGAAGGCGGGTGAGGTATAGCCAGATAGACGTTGTGATTCAACAATGGAGGAGAGTCCGAAATCGGCTAGGCAGCATACGAGGTCGTCGCGGACGAGAACGTTGGCTCCTTTGATGTCCTTGTGCGTAACAGGAGGATCCAGTCCGTGAAGGTATTCAATACCGTTTACAATATCGCACACCTGTTGAGTGGTTAGGTGTAAGGCTAGGCTGGCAGATAACAAATAGAATATTGCATACTGAAGTGAATCGATCATGATCAGGATGTTCCTTCAAGTACGACATGATATTACCATGGGCAAGCCATGGCGAGATGAAGCAGAATCGAGGAGCGAATAACTCCAAATTTACGCCTATCAGTGGCAAGATGTTTGGGTGATTCAATTGCCGCCATACACCAAGTTCAGCACAAAATTGCTGGAGCGCTCATGAGCAAAAATTCAAGTTGAACGGGTCGTGTTATACCTTAAGGAAGCGCTGACGGTCATCTACGTTTGTTTCAAACATACGCAGGACACGGTAGCATACAGGGATACCCTTCAGCTCTCCAGAATAGATATCTGCGAAGGCACCGCCATCTTCAGGAACGAGTGTCGCAGCTCGTTTCGGGATGTCAATAAAAACGGATGGAGGTAGAATAGTCATTGCAGAAAGTTCGCGGAGACATCGGTATGCACGACGCCCGATGGTCGGGTCACAGGGATGGTCGACGATCTGCTAATTGGTTAGAAATTGCGTCGTGAGGCCGGATGGACGCACGACTAAAAGTAGTTGCGATAAGCAAGCAAGCCAGCCTTTGTCAGGCCTTGAAGCGAGTAATTTCTTCCAGGAATCTTTGTCGACGTATCTTCGAAGCTCTTCAGTTGTCGAAGGGCGTGGAACATCGGCGTATGAAGTCGAATAAATAGCAGCGTGAGGCCCGTTGACGAGGACAAAATGTGTCACCTCTTCGCACGGTCTAGAGAAGTGGAGTCGTTGGTCTAGTCGCAGAAGTGTGTTGAACCCGTCAATCAGGTTGGGGTGCCTGCGCAGAACGGAAACGGTGTGGAGGAGAGCGTTGGCGTAGAGTTTATGATCTTGCAAGCTATTGAAGGATTAATTGTAGACTGGAAGAGGGCGAATAAAAGCCAACGTACCTTAGTACCTCGATCCATACTTGTAATTTAGCGATAAACTGCTGGAAGGTGACTTGATCAAGAGTTCCCTCAACGAGGGTGAGGTAAGCCCTCGCGCACGGAACATCATGCGACAGGTCGGGAAGTTGGCTCATGAGCTTCCGGATTGAGTCGCATGGAATAGGTATTCCATCCAGTAAAGGGAGCGCAAGGACGAGGAGGAAGGGATAGCGGTAGCGTGAAGAGGGGGTGAGGCTCTGCCGTTTCTGGTGCGCGAAGTTATATCAAGCCGATGTTACATATTCGCATGGTCGTGGTTGTAAAGCCGCCTCGTTTTGATTAACGTCATTTGACATGTCGCGCCGTCTTTTCATAGCATTCGGGTTCGCGGATATTAGGCGTAGTCTCCTTGAAGTTCTCCCTGTTGGTCGACATTCAGCTGGAGCTACAGCAATTTGGCTCAGGAAAAATGGGTCCTGAGACGAAGAGTCCATTTACTTGAGCACGGAAACAAACAGAGCGCCCATCGAAAAACATGTATCCTCGCCGCTGCCTCGAGGAAAGATGTCAAGAAGAGTCAACGACCCTGGCTTGGCTCGAGGGCTCTCAGATCTCAAATATGATAAGATTAGATGTTAAGACATCCAAACATTGGCAAAGGGAGCACCTCATTCCGGCAAATTACATGCTCATCGAGAATTTCGCAATGAACACCGTCGGTCATCCGTCCCCCAATCCAATCCTGTACATTTCAACGACCAACTCGCAAGTCTCTCTGTCTCTTTTCCCTTCCAAAAGTTGATAACTTTTGCCTTTATAGCCCGCTATGTCGTCGGAACAGGTTGCTCTCCTCGCCGTGGCTCGTATTGCCTACCTGACGGCAGATGTCGTCGTCGATGCACTCCCACAACCTCCATCAACATCGTCCTTCGCACAGGAGTACAACAGTCTCGCCAGAACATCAGCACACAGGCCTAGAGTCGTCTCTTTGCCATTCGGTGCAGATGCTGGGTCCACCATTCTTCGCAACGGCGCCAATCTCATGTCCTTCACCGCTATCGCCAGTTCACAGCTGCTAACACGTCTCGTGCTTCACCTTGGAGAAATCTCCGCCTTACCAATCGTTCTTAACTTAGCAGTGCAAGACGACCTCTCAGATGTTTTGTTGCTCCGGGCCGCCGTTCCGTTCTTCCTTCTTTCGACATCGGCCCAGCAAGCGCATGACAATGCCCTCCTCGCGGCACGGCTGGCAAGACTGGAGAAGAAATCAGTGGTGCATGCATTTTATTCGGATAGTGCGACAGAGTCGTTGGATGAAATCCCCGAAGAAAAAATCCATCCCTTCCTTCTGTCGGGCAAGCGTCCGAGTCCGACAAATGGCCATGTGACGAATGGCGTCAATGGGCATGCGAATGGCCACCTCACTAACGGGCACGCTGTGGCGGTTGACGGACAGGATGTGACAGGTTTATTCAAGGCATACGAAGCTTCCGCACTAGACACACTTTCTTTAATCCGACGGCCCCTACACGCCATCTCATCCCGTGGGACCTCCGAACCTCACACCGTCATTTTCATCCTTGGAAGGGAGGAACTGCCGGAGATGGATGGGATTTCTATAGTGTCAGTGAGCCTCGCCAACCCTCTCCCTCGTTCACGTATCCTAAACGCCATCCCTCCCACTGCAACTCGCGTCGTTGTTTTGGAGCAAGTGTACCATTGGCATTCCAAATGGACACCTCTCTATCTTGAGGTTGTAAGCGCGCTGCAACAACGGAGTTCAGAGCAAGATTTGGTCATCCAGGCTGGCATCCTTGGCGGTTCAGGTCAGGTTGACGTCCCTGACGTCCTCAAACTCCTCCAGAAGTCCATTGCATCCCCGACATCTCGCCTCGTCCTTGGTGCGATCCCCTCTGAAAAGTCAACGACCGGTGCCCTTCCCCACGTTCCCAAGCATGAAGCATCCTACACCAAAATTCTCTCCCATCTCTTCAACGACCACTTAGAAATTTCGAATTCACCTGACCTTGTTGCATCCCAAGGAGAAATTGCCACGACTCCAGAATATGCGTTAGGGCGCGTGCGAGGACAATTGGACTCACGAAGTGAACTCATTAACGCTGTCCAGGAACTCCTGCATGACGGCGAGCCCGACGCCGGCTTGCATTCTTTGTTGAGCAAGTGGGTCTTAGCGAAAGACGAACCTGCCAAGAGCAAATCTCTCGGCGAGGCGATCGTCCAGAATCTGGAATCGGTATCTGTGGCGCACCCAGCAGCCCAGCGTATTCTCGCTTTGCAACATTTCTTCCCTTCACGTTCAAGGTGGATCATCGGTTCAGATGCTTGGTCGTATGATCTCGGATCCTCGGGTTTGCACCATGCCATCGCTTCCGGTCTCGACATCAACATCCTCATCATCGACACGATTCCATATTCCTCCCGCAATACCGTTGATCCTCATCGCCGCAAGCACGATGTTGGTCTGTACGCAATGAACCACGGAGACGTTTTCGTTGCCAGCGTCGCTGTATTCTCGTCGTACTCCCAAGTTCTCCAAGCGATCGTCGAGGCCGACCGGTTCAAGGGTCCCAGTGTCGTCCTCGCGTATCTCCCATACCAAACGGAGGACGCCACTGCCCTTGACATTCTCAAGGAAACGAAACTTGCGGTCGATAGCGGTTACTGGCCGCTTTACAGATGGGACCCAAGCAAAGAGAAAGCCGGACAGGAGCCGTTCTCGCTGGATTCTGATGCAGTCAAGAACGACCTCAGGCAGTTCCTCGACCGCCAAAACCATCTCTCTCAGCTCGTTCGATCGAAGCCACAGATGGCGGCCGACCTCGTCAGTAGTTTAGGCGAGACCGTCAAGGAAGCCCGTAAGAGGAGAGCTCAAGAGGCGTATAACTCCCTGCTCAGCTCGCTTGACGCGCCTCCTCTTTTGGTCCTGTATGCGTCTGACGGCGGTGCTGCGGAGAAGAAGGCGAAGAGATTCGCGAACCGGGCAACCGCTCGCGGTCTCTCGACCACGATCGCTACCTTGGATTCGTACACGCTGGAGACTTTGGGTCAGGAAGAGCACGTCGTATTCGTCACTTCAACTGCTGGACAAGGCGAACCCCCGCAGAACGGACGGACTTTCTTCAAGTCCCTCAATGCCGCCCTACGTGGGGACCAGATTCTCACGAAAGTGCGGTTCTCCGTTTTTGCTATGGGTGATAGCCACTACTGGCCGCGTCTGGAGGACGCCCATTACTACAACAAGCCGGGTAAGGACCTCGATGCCCGTCTCGAGAAGCTAGGTGCGGAGCGCATCGCCCCGCCCGGCTTGGGTGACGATCAGGACGCCGATGGTTCTGAGACTGGGTACAAGCTATGGGAACCTCTAGTGTGGAAGGCCTTGCGTGTCGACTCGGTGGAGGTGACAGAGGCGGAGCCCGAACCCATCACTAACGAGCATATTAAAGCCGCCTCTGGGTATCTGCGTGGCACGATCGCGGAAGGTCTGGAGGACACTAGTACCGGTGCCCTTGCCGCGAGCGACACCCAATTGACGAAGTTCCATGGAATCTACCAGCAAGACGATCGGGATATTCGGGAAGAGCGCGAGGCCCAAGGCGTCGAGCCAGCGTTCAGCTTCATGATTCGTGTCCGCATGCCTGGAGGGGTATGCACACCGCGACAGTGGTTGCAGATGGATCAGATCTCCGACGAGCACGGGTCGGGTACGTTCAAGATCACGACACGAGCGACGTTCCAGTTCCATGGTGTTATAAAGCGTCATTTGAAGCCCGCTATCCAAGATATCAACCGTGTCCTGCTTGATACCCTCGCTGCCTGCGGTGATGTTAACCGGTATGTTGCCTTTTCCTTCGTCGAAAGCTCTGTGCCAACATCCGAGCTTCCAGAAATGTCATCTGCTCTGCCATCCCCTCTCTTTCAAAGCTCCATCGACAGGTCTACCAGTTCTCCAAGGAGGTCTCCGAACATCTCATCCCACGAACGACAGCCTACCATGAGATTTGGCTGGACAAAAAACTCGTCGCAGGTGACGCTCTCAAAGACTTCGAGCCTCTATATGGTGAATTCTACCTTCCAAGAAAGGTCCAGGTCTCCTTATCCCTTTCTCTTCGATCGCTGACGTTGCATATAGCTCAAAGTTGCTGTCGCTGTCCCACCTACGAACGATGTGGATGTTTTTGCCAACGACCTCGGGTTCATTGCCATTGTCGGTCCCGATTGCGAGCTGCAAGGTTTCAACGTCTCCATTGGAGGTGGCATGGGTGTGACACATGGAAACAAAAAGACATATCCTCGTGTCGGGAGTCTCATTGGTTTCTGTACACCAGAGCAAGGCAAATATGTCGCGGAGAAAGTGATGCTGGTTCAGAGAGACCACGGCAACCGTGCAGAGTACGTTGACCAAAAAGCTGTAGCTATGCTGTTTTCTAATTTTTTTTACAGCCGTAAGAACGCTCGTCTGAAGTACACTATCGACCGTCTTGGGCTCGACGTTTATAAAGCCGAGGTTGAGAAACTCCTGGGCTATCCCCTGGAGCCCGTCCGTCCCTTCACCTTCGATCGCAACATTGACGACTTCGGCTGGCACACGGGCGAGGACGGTAAACATCACTTTACGATGTTCATCGAGAACGGACGGATCCAGGATGAGCCGGGACGCGAGTTCAAGGCTGGTCTTCGAGAGATTGCAAAGGTTCACAAGGGCACCTTCAGGCTGACAGCGAACCAACACTTGCTTGTGTCCGACATCCCTGGTAACGAGCTGCCGAAGATCAAGGCACTCTTGAGTCAATATAAGCTCGATCAATTGCAATTCACAGGGTTGAGACTTTCGAGTTCGGCGTGCGTTGCGTTCCCAACATGTGGATTGGCAATGGCGGAGTCGGAGAGGGTGAGCACAATTTCATCTCTTGTGGTGTATTTGTCTCTAATGATATACCCGCTGTCTTTAGTATCTCCCTGTTCTCGTGGACAAGGTGGAGAAAATATGCGAGGAGAACGGGTTGAGGAACGACTCAATAGTCATGAGAATGACAGGCTGTCCCAACGGCTGCGCTCGCCCTTACGTTGCTGGTGTGTTATCTTTTAGAGCCTCCTTTATCCCCTCCCTAAAACCGCTCGCTAGAAATTGCATTTGTCGGTAAAGCACCAGGAAACTATGCCATGCTTCTTGGAGGTGGCTACTATGGCCAACGACTCAACAAAATTTATAGAGGTTTGTCTTATTCCTCTTCTACTAGCAACCACGCTGATGGCCAACCCTCATCTGCCTTCAGAGTCAGTGACGGAACCTGAAATTCTCGGCATTCTTCGCCCCATGATAAAACGGTACGCCCTGGAACGACATGACGGCGAGCACTTTGGCGACTGGACAATACGTGCCGGATACATTTCTGCCACTACTGAGGGCAGGCTGTGGTACGAAGGTGCAGGTGGTGAAGGTGTGAACAAGGAAGGTTTTGTCGCTGCCTAGGCGTAGTCCCGTTGTCCACGTTCCAGCATCTAGTCTACCCCGCCTACCAAGTCGCGCCGCTGCGGAACCCCCTAGCACGGACGATTCCCAAATAGAACGATCTCCCAGAAAATCTCGAACAACTATGTACAAAATAATTTAATCTTTCTGTAGATCTTAAATAAAAGAAAGACGGCACCTCGTCAAGCTCAACTCGGAGATGTTGAAGGACGTCTGAGACTGGTTGTCGTGTATTCTCAAGCAGACCTAGGCTGATTGAAGGCAGACCAAGGAACACCCAGATGAGGGCGGAGAAGAGGAAACACCCTTCTCCCCTCTAAATGGAGGGTTCAAATATGAATATGGGCTATGCAGCGACAATTGATACTGTGAAGAGTTACAGGGGTGTAGGAACCGACTAAGTATTCGCTGTTGGTCCAGGGTGTGCTCGTCATATATCTCATGTCGGCGGATGGACCTGAAGATGCCTCAAATTGTTCTGCGGGGGAGGTCGCCGGTATGGGGCTTGTCCAGTTCGACTTAAGCCGACGAATCAACTGGTCACGGGCGAGTTCTTCCAGACAGTGGACAGTGGGCACTGCGACAGAAAACGCGGTTGTCAGTCAAAGGGTACCGAATGACGACATCGCACTGCTGCACACCTTGGCCCTCCGGGCCTCTCAGCGGTTGCATCTCTTCGGACTCGGACGTTGCTGACCTTTGAGGATTGTCTTCGGCCCATGATCTCGTTGACCGCCACCTGGGGTGCTGACACTTCAAGAAGTCAATGACAACCTGCTGAGCACTTGTTGCTCAAAACTGACCACGAGCCTGCCAGGTCATGGGTCACCGGTCAGTATTGATGTCCTTCTTGCTCGTCCAGGAAAGCACCCACCCATGAAACAAATTGTTATTTCAATATGATGATAATACTACGTCGCAAACGATGGGCTGGTGGAGGATGATGGAGAAGCAGGATGGAAGAGCTTTATTTAAGGTGCTGTGTCAATCACGAACGATTATGTACAAGTAGTCCTGGGCCCTGGCTTCCTCTGCCACAAGGCGCGCCAGACAAGGCAACATCACGGTCTGACATGCCGAATGGCAGCGAGAGAATACGACCAGAGCACCTTCGGAACATATCAGGTTTATAAGCCATTTAGCATTGCCTTCGACACCAGAGACGTAGGTGCGGAGTCATACTATATCGATAGAACAGCCAAGCACCGACTTGCGAGTACAGCAAAAGTACAACATCCTCCTCCCACTGCACCATTTTGCAACAGAGCCTGACGAAGAAGGGGGCAGTTCCTTCAGAGTGCCTTGCCGCTGGCGACCTTTACACGATTCCAAATTATGACGACCGATGGATAATATACACTCCTCCGCCAAAAATCGGGAGTTATGGGATAGACTGGGGCTTGCATATGCTATGCTGAGGTAATAGTTCGCAGTAGTAGTCGTTTGGTGCTTCCAACTTGACTTCGGGGGATCCTGTAGAAACCCTGCGCCGGTCCGTCGTTATTTCTCTTTGAGCAGCGATAGCAGAGTCATCTGAACATCTGAAGATAGTAGAGTAAATGTATATGGCCCATAAAACACTTTGTAAGGAGTTCCTGACCTTTTCCAACCCATACACATTATTTCTTGACGCCACCCTTAGTACCGTTGGCACCACGGATAGCGTTTGTTGCGTTGTTGAGCTTGCCTGAGACGGTGTCGTTTGCATCAGCTTACACTCCTCTCGATGTGTGGCACGACTCACCCATAGCGAGGTTGCGACCTAGATGATGGTGGTTGAGAGTGAAGCAGTTAGCGGGCACTGCGGGCCCAGGCTCAGCTGTAAAATGCAGAATCCGGATATCAACTGCACTGCCACCGTACTTGACATCATTCCCTCTGCCAAATGCCACCATGAGCATGATGCTACCAGCCAACTTTCGGTTACTACCTTTTCCTTCCTCAGGGATCTTCTATCGCGTTGTGTTCTTTGATGCTCAACCTCCATGCAATACTTCTGTTGTTTAAGAAGGTTCGCTTCACCCTCGCGAACATCCTCAGGTTTCCTGCGAGAGTTGTTTTGTTTCTGACGAAGTTGCTGCACCGCCTTCTGGTTAAGTTCCGAGCACTGTCTTCTCGGGGTAACGAACCTGGGGCGGACTCGAACTTAAAGCTCTCATCTAGGGGATGCATCTTGAACGATTCACTTGGCCAGGATACTCAGGCCTCTGCAGAGTTCAACCCCACCGGGAAGCTGGAGAACTTGATAGAAAGTGAAGCCGAGGTTCTAGACGATGTAGTATCCTATTCCAGCATCCCCCGAATCGGACAGCAAAGTCCAATGCCTTCCAGCAGCGTCATGGAGCACACCATCACCGTGTCTTATGAGTCACCAAAGCCAACCCCGACCTACCGCATGTCCGACGAGATCGAGAACTTGGTGGCAATTACAACGAAGGTGGAGTACGAGCGCTACGAACGGAATGAGCCATAGTAAGTTGTCTACCCGGGTTTTGCACATCTCTACTGACTAATCGATCCTTTACAGTGAAAGATATGACGACCAACCTTATACAATTGAGCCATTCACCAAGTCGTTTTCTCGGTATGCTCTGATGCTTAGAGCATCCAAAATCTGGAAATAAATCTTCTCATTATCACTCCTTGCTAGCCCAAATTTACCCGATGGTTGGATAACGTTCGTTCACCCAGAAGGTGTGCGATACTTTCTGAAGGAAACCCGAGTAAGCCGTAGTGTGTCGGATTCCCGAGAGCGCGCATTCACTTACCTATCTCACCTCGCCACTATTTGATTTTGCACAGCCAATACCTGTTCTAACCGAAGCATACATCTACAGCCCGGAAATCCACAAACAAATTGAGAGCTATATCTCTCAAATATTCTCGTACATCAACCGGAATTCAATCGCCTTTGAAAATTCCTTCCTTGTGCTCGAGCTGAGGCAGAGCGGCCGCTGTGGATACTACTTCGTTGACCACATCAACAAGTGCTTGTTCTGGTTAGATCCTTTTGAATTCAGTCACTTGCTGGACCCCCTCAAGATTCCGTATACAGCCTCTCTTGTTGGTGAGCACCGCAAGTTGTCTCCGACGTCTTATTGACAATTTCCGAATGCACGATCGATAGGTCTGGTTATGCATTCGCACTACTGGTATGCAGATCTACGGGCTCTTCCGCAGTTAATAATTCAGAATTGCTCTCAGGTACCACAACGAGCTCTTTCCTCATGTCTATCAGTCGACCGAAGGTGACCTCAATGAAATCTCTGACATCTTGGTATACAGCATTGGAGGTTTTTCGTCGTCTCCATCCACTTGACAGGCTGTGTTCTAACAATCTACAGACCTCCTTACAGCCGGTCCGAACTCGGTGGTTAGCTATGATCTTGATACCTTGAAAGCGTCGTTGGAATTAGTAAAGCATTTCCAAAAGCAAGGTGTGTGCTTCCGTATTTGCACTTATACTTCTACTAAGTGGCGCGACATGTAGATCAGTCTCTTCAGAGTCGATCTCCTGGCGGAGCTCGGTTCATATGTGCGTCTTTGCACCCATCCTTCAGTCGCTGCGTCTTACGATGTATCATCAAGATCGAATGGCATCCTACTTGTGTAAGCCTGCCAATGCGACACCCTTCTCTCTAGCCCTTGTATTTACGATATATTTTCAGACCACGACAGGTTCCTGAACCTCCACGGGGAACCTGGTGCTCGGCTGGATGCCGGTCAATCGATTTATGGGCCTCAGCCAGAGAAGAATTCTCTTCTGATGAAAATCCTCTCGCCTCTGATGATTTATGGGCCCGATAGCCATCTATATCGACTGGAGGAGACCACCGTTGATTACATGGTCAGCAAGCGAAGCTGGGAAGGATTTGCTGAGAAGATCTTCGAAGAGTGGAGGGAAACGATTCTATATGCGAGTTTTCCCTTTACTTATGCTGGTTCGAAAATCTCAATGCTGTTTGATCAGGCAACAGTCGTCTTGAATGCCAACGTCGCTTTCCTGGCCATCCAGAGCGTCGATGAGGCAGCAGCTCCTCATCGGCGGACTGATTCCCAACGAGCAAGCTATTTCTCCGTTCTCACCAGCCTCGGCAGCATCATCTTCGGATTGCTGCTGGTACGTCAGCACAGAGAGGTCATGACTGTGGGTCGCGCTACAGCTTCAACCCAGCATCCGAAATTGATCGATTGAACTGTTGTAATCCAGACACAATTCGTCGTCAACAGAAGTGCGTCTCACATTGGTTTGGAGACTCTGGCAATGATGTTCAGTCTACCATATACCCTTCTCATGTGGTCGTAAGTCTCCCTGCTAAGCATCTAGTATCTATCTGGCCCTCTTTAACATGTTTTTAGGATGATCTCGTTTCTGCTCGCTTTCCTGCTTTTGTTGTACCATTCACAGGATGTGCTTGTCATCAGCCAAACATCAGTGGTATGTTTCGCTTACTTATTACTGTTGTTTTGGTCCATTTCTACGGCGTATGAGCGTGATGTTTATCGGTGGGAATCGCCCTTACAAAGTTTTTCTTTGCTATTCGGAAGAGGTACACCTCAGGAGAACTCGAGAGCGTGATAAATTTGTATGATGTATTTATCTACACGCTCTTTAGTCCGGCCAGACAGAACCTTGATGTCATCGCCATTATCTGCTATCCTCTTCGGGAAGGTGGGGTTCCAAAAGGGGCTCCCAAGAAACTCTAGGAGGGATAAGACGATTAGTATTCCCCGTAGGATGCAACAAGCCAAAGTATAACGTCCGTTAAATTAATCTACACTCCGTGTAATCCTTCCTTCCTTCCTTCCTTCCTTCCGTGATATTTAAGGAGGATTGGGATAGATCGGCCAATTGGGAAATCCCATATGCTATGCAGAGGCAATGGCTTGCAGTAGCAGGTGATTGGCGCTTCCAACGTCGATCTCAGAGGTGATCACTGAGCGGTAGGCTAAGCCCCACCTGACCGTCGATTTCTTCTCAGGAAATGATACATAACCTGAGAGTTCGATGTTTAAAGGTGACCAAATGTAATGTCAGAAAAATGTATGCTGCTTGAGAGTTTCTACCCATGTGAGACTCTATTCGTGCTGTTTATCAGACTTAGCGCCGGGTTTTGACTTGTCAGACTTGTAGTCAGGCTTCGTCTTGCGGCTCTTGACTATTGCTTCTTCCTCGGGGATGATCCTCTTGGCATCTACGCCAAAAACGGCATATTACGAGTCCTATTGCAGGATCGAGCCACAGTGACTCGTCCGAATGATTAATGTACGGTGATCTCAAGGTGTGGCACGGACTCACCCACAACGGATTGGTGCTTCGAGTCTAGCTGGAGATGACGGTGGTTGAGAGCGAAAGTATCCATTTGAGGACATTTTATCAAGCGCCAGGGACGGACTGATCGACTTCTCTTCTGGACAATCATTGATGGATCCCGACGCCCAAGTGCCAAGGCCGGACATCTCGATTTTGGTGAGCAAAAAAATTGACCAAACGACTTCTCCGCCAGATGGCCCGCTTGTACTAACCACCCACAAGACGCTGAAACAAGCACGCAGGTCGTCCAGGATTCAATAACCACGGTTCATCACCATCCAGACAGTCTCTATTAGCATGATGGAGCCCGAAAGAAATAGTTCAAGGTTTATTCTAAAGAGGGGAGTGTCGTATCAATAAAATGGCGCAAGACAACGCTGCTAGCACCAGAACCACTGGCATATCATGCTTTCGCGCCCTTCGCCTCTTGTATCTCCGCCAATGAATCCCCAAGAGCCTTTATGATCGTATCTACATCGCCCCTCTCCTCGTCCACGACCGACACGCCCATATGACCAATCCTGAAGTACTTATCCTTGATATCTTTATGCAGGCCGCCAGCAACGACGACGCCCTTGCCCACCAGCCGGGGTAGGAGGTCGCTTGCTCCAACGCCCTCGGGGAAGTACAGCGCCGTCATACCGTTGGCGGCCTCGCCAGCGGCGAGGGGTACCTGCGAGAGGCCAAGAGAAGATGCTGCTGATTTGATGCGCTGCGAAGCTGCCCGATGCAGCTCGAAACGTTTGGTGATTGAGGGTAGGGAGGGGGATGTGCATGCGAGGATAAGGGAGAGGGAGGCGTGGAAGGCGTAGATAAGGTTGACGGGTGGTGTGGCGAAGTACGCGGCGGAACCGGATTCGTAGGCCTTCATGATCGGCAGCCATCTAGGAGAGTAGAATTGAACTTGACGTACTTCATGATATAGGGTGGACGACTCACTTTCCCCAGCTTGCGTAGTAGCTCCCCTCTCGCACACCACGCTTTTTCCTCTCCTCCCACACACCGATCGCTTTTTGGCTTGCCGCGAGGATGCTCAGGCCCGGTGGTGCGCCGAGGCCTTTTTGGCTCGCCGTAAGCACGACGTCCAGGCCCCAATCGTCGAAGCGGATCTCCTCCGAGGCAACAGAACAGACGGCGTCCATCACAACAAGAGTGTCTGGCGAGACGCGATGCACAGTCTCTGCGATGCGCGCTGCGTCGGAGAGAACGCCTGTCGACGTGTCGACATGGGTGAAGGTGAGGATTTTATACTTCTTTTCTTGAAGGGCGGCCGCAATGCTTTCGAATGGCACTGTGCCCCCGATGGGCGCCTTTATTTGGGTCACGGAAGCGCCATACGTTTCGAGACTGGATCGAGATAAGATGGCGGATAAGATAAGATAAGATCAAAAGTCGACATACCATTCGGCAAAGCTATCTCCGAAGTAACCGCTGTGGAGGACGAGAGCTTCTTCACCTGGCTCGACGAGGTTGGCCGCGACCTGGTTGGTAGGGGATGAGTCAAGCCACGCGTCATACCACCAATAAACGGCGTGCGCACCTGGTCCCATCCGAGCGTACCACTCCCGCTGATGAGGAAAGGCTGGGCGTCTTTTGTGAAGAGCACCTCTCTGCAGCAACAGATGCAACGGCGGCGTGGTTGGGTCAGCGAGAGCACGAGTATTCACGAGACAGTACACACCGAACCATGCGGATCGAGTCACCGAAGACGGGGATGAAGTCGGGGGAGACATGGGACATGGAAGGGTGGGCATTCGCGTAGAGGACTTCATCGGCGACCTCGATGGGGCCCGGGATGCTGTCGTGGCCGTCCAACAACGGTGAGCTGGCATCTCGACGCGCGACATACTTGGCACTTACACCAGGAGTCTGACGATAAGACGCGGTATTCAGCACGGTACACGACAAAGATACGAAAACAGCGTACTTGTGGGGAGCCTGCTTGAATGGGGGACGTTCTGTCGACGTGGACATGGTAAAGGCTCGACGGGGGATGGATCGATAGGAGGAGGTAAAGAGACGAGCCGCGAGGGTGCGCGTGGATGATATAACGATCATAACAGGGCACAACACGTTCGTGGAGAGCCTCCAAGATATCGTCGCTGCTGGCCGTCCCGGACCTCCGTCCGGCCTCTCTAACTCCGGAGGCAGGGACGCCGGCACGGGCTGCCGGACCTGTGTTTCCCAGCCGTCGGAGTGCGGTCTTCCGTCGCTGATGTCATTCCCGCCGGATCAATGCTAGCCTGCACTTCAAAATCGTATTTGTATCTTCCGTTCACTACAAACGGGCTGAGACAGCCCCGCCTGCCTCTCTCATCGCTTCCTCGAGCACTCGAATCATCGTATCCACATCACGTCCGCCATCGCCTACGACGCTCCATCCCATATGTCCCACACGAATATACCTCTCCTTGATCTCAGCGACCAGGCCTCCCGCCATTACCACACCACGCTTCCCGATTAGCGGTAGGACATCCGCGGCCACAAGCCCAGACCCGGGGGGCACATAGAGCGCCGTCATGCCGTGTGCTCTTCCGTTCGCCTCCTTCGCCACTTGTATCATCCCTAACCGCTCAGCAGCAGCCTTGACTCGACTACTGGCCCGCTTGTGCAAGGCCAGTCGCTCTTCGAGGCTTATCGAGCCCTGCGTAATCTCCAACAGTGATGCGTGGTATGCACGAAGGAGGTTGACGGCGGGTGTACCAAAGTACGCCGGCTTGCCTTGGTCGTAGGCCCTCATGATCGGCAGCCACCTGCAAAATCGATCGGTCAGCCACTTCTAGGTCAGCCGTCTCGACATAAAAACGCACTTTTCCCAACTCGAATAATACGACCCACTCTTCACACCTCTCCTCTCCCTCTCCTCCCACACCTCAATCGCTTGCGGGCTCGCAATCAATATGCTCAACCCCGGCGGTGCACCCAGCCCCTTCTGGCTCGCCGAGAGCACTATATCAAGCCCCCAATCATCCATCCGCACGTCTTCCGAAGCTAAGGAACACACCGCGTCCAGCACAATGAGCGTGTTCGGACTGATGCGCCTTACACACTCCGAGATGGCTTGAGCATCCGACAACACGCCGGTAGAAGTGTCGACGTGCGTGATCGTCACGAGCTTGTATTGCTTATTCCGCAGAGCACGCTCGACATCGTCTATGCGGATTGTGCCGCCGAGTGGGGAGTACACGACGTCAACTTTGGCACCGTATGTCTGAAGGCTTCATAGCCCAACAAGCAGCTTCAGGACAACATGGAAGCAGAAACCAAGATAGTAGCCGACGTACCAATCTCTAAACCCATCACCAAAGTACCCCGTGTGCAGCACCAGCGCGTTATCCCCCCTCTCGATCAGGTTCGCACCGACTTGGTCCCATCCAAGTGTGCCGCTGCCTGCAAGGATGAAGGGCTGAGACGCTGCATGGGATGTACGCACGACTTGTCTGCCCGTGTGAGAAATGGAAGGTCGGAAGGTCGGGTACGATGTGGGACAGCGAGACGTGTGGGTTACGAGGGACGAGCGTCGAAGGAGTGGAATATGGGGAGAAACAGGGGGAGTCAGCCGAGTTGAACCGTTGTGTGTTGGAAGGAGACGGGGTGTAGCAATGGGGGGAGACACGGGCAACGGAAGTCCAGGACAATCCTCTCGCACGTCGAGGACACCAGTTCAGGGATTTGCACCTTCACACCTTCAGCTGCACCTCCCTTCATCCCAGGCAACTTGTCCATGCCAACGCCCCGCTCGAACGACGGTGGGGTTTGGGTTAAGAAGAGAGAACGCACCTCGTCATCCCAATTGCCTCCTGGAAGATCTTCACGAACTCTGGACCGACATGCGAGAGTGGTGGCAGGCCAAGTGCGTGCTGGACGGTCGGTGAGAGCTCGATAGGGCCTGGTATTCTGCAGAACGACGACAGGGAGTGAAAAGGAAGATTAAATTAGCCCAGGTGAGTCTGCGTTCAACGCTGGAGGGTCCACGTACGCAAGGAGCTTTTTGCTGGCTGAGGACATCTTATGTCAACGAGTGAGTGTTTTTCTTCTCCTTAGGGTTTTATGTATAGAAGGAGTGCCGTTCAGTAGTGTCACTGAACGTTGCGTGCTGGCAAGAGATTGTGGGAGTCGAGTCAGAGTCAGGCGGCTTCTAATGAACTGGGCCCCAGTACGACGGCAGCCTCGGCGCTTTTGTCCCGAAATCTTTGTCAGGGTCCGATCGCGTATTTGGTACTACCGCCGCGCCGGGATGCTCTGGTCTTTATAGTCAGGTCCAGTGGTCTTCACTGTTCAGTAGGTGCCAAAAGCTTACCTTTGCCTCGCCGAACCCCCTTTCACGGCAAACCTTTATACGTATCTCCTGATGTCTCCGATGGAGAGTTAAAATTGGAGCAATAGTGATTGGATGGACGTCAATACGAACGGCGTTTCTGGGGCACGATCCCAGTGATCGCAAATTTCTTGTGTTGTTTTTTTTTTTGTCCTGGCGTATCATCGGCCAATGCGCAGCTCAAAGGTATTTTCGGTTGTGCCAATTGGAAGCTGTGTTTTCAACTTGCGCGATAGCAGTAGAGAACAGATTGTTCTGCTTTCGATATTCGCGTCAGGTGCCATTTCCTTCTTCCGGCCCGCTTTCCAGAAAATCACCCACGTGGCAGTGCGCCACACAAACTCCTTCCGATCTTTTCAAGGTGTTGCTTTTGAAATTTCCAGTTTCTGGTAGTCCTATGCACGAGACACACCTATGTACTTACCACCTGGTCTTGCTCATGGGTAGGAGATCAACATTCGACTTTAGGGCAATCATTCCATGAACATGTATTATTGAAACAATATGAAGAGAAGAGGCAAAGTATATCCAACCTCAGTATTACGGAACTATCGGCCAGCGACAACCCTGGGATCGGCTTCAACAACACCATTCGCCAGCCCGCCTCCGACGATCGAGGCGACGGTCTTCTGCATGTCCGTCCATTCCGACTCGCGTGGTAAAGCCATGTCGCCAATGTCGTAGATATACAGTCGTCCGTCACTTCCACCTAGGGCAGCTCTCCGGCCATCCTTCTTGTCCCACTGGAGCTTGTTGATCGCACGTCCTGTACCGACGGTGGTGGACACAACCGGTACCTGAAGAGATTGTCAGTGAATTTGAAGTAACCATGATGAGCGAAACCAACCTCGGTGTCTGTATTCAAATTCCACAGGTCAAACTTCCCTGACCCATCAACCATCCCAAACACCGCAGGATGTGCAGGATGCCACTTGACATCGTACACATAATCGTCTGCCTCGTCGAATGAATACAGCGGCGCGACGTTGTGTGGCGTCGTAGAAGGCTTTGCGAGGCTCTTCGCGCGCCAGAGTTTCACCGTCCAGTCGACCGAACAGGTGAGGAATAGGTCGGAGAAGTCGACGGGGCCAATGAGAGGATGGAAATGTAGGCCCATGACGGGTCCGGAGTGCCCTTTGTAGACGTCGTACTGGTTGAGCCCGGCTTTGGCTCCAGCCCTGTCGTACCGATTCGCTTGGTATACGTTGCCCTCCTCCGTACCGACCCAGAAAGCCGTCGTTTCATTATCGGGGAAATCCAATGTCGTGATGGCAACCTCTCCAGTCTTGTTGTGGCCGGCATGAATAAGTTCGAGGGTTTCCTAAGGACTAATAAGGACCGCAAACGAATTTATCTCAAAAAAGGCCACTTACTTGAGGCTGAGCCAGCATATCAACCAGCCAACTGCAGACGGTACCATCGGTACTGCTTGTGATCAAATTGTGCGCGTTTTGAGTCCCAACCATCTGCATAGCATAGACCGGATGTGTATGTCCAGCGGCTGAAAGGGGAGTTTTCAGAACGGGTAAGTGTTTCGAGCGAGTATCCCATAGCAGGATTTGACCGGAATACGTTCCGCCGAAAATGAGATTTGAATGAAAGGGAGAGAATGTCACAGACAAGACGTCAGACTGGGACGGCCGTCAGCATAACAGTGACCAGAGAAAGGATATATGCATACTTGTGAGTGGAAGACGAATTCCGGCCGTTCAAGTAGATGCAGATTCCATACGGCGACTATACCGTCAGGTTCGTTCAGTGCTGCTGGGTTTTTATTATAGGATGCGACGCTGAGTTCTGGATACTGAGAAAAAAAAGTCAATTACCGCAAGCCATTTTAGGAAGATAGTGAAACACACTTTCGGCGACCAGTCAATGTCTGTTATTGACCGATATTTCCCATATCGTTCGTCCCAGAATTCGCATACCCGTTTGACCCGCTTTCCTTCGGAATCATCCCTGTCTAGAGATTCAATCAAACTATGGAGGCAAAGGGGTTGTTGGCCTACCCTCCGGATTCTGCGTTGATTGTATAATCCCGGATATAATCATAACCGTCGTTCAGTGCTCTCTGAACAATCTTCGACGACTGTTCTACGAAGTCAAGGAACTCAGGAGCAGCGAGGATGCTTGCGCGTTCTTCTTCCGACAACTCTATACAAAGATAAATATATGGACAATGCAGATAGGGCTTTGGGACTTACCTCTAATCTCCTGTTCTATTTCTTGATCAAGTTTGACACTCTCCTCCTCCAGTTCCTTCTCTCGAGCAATCCTTTCTGCTTCTGCCTCTCGCTCACGCAACAGGCGTTGCCTCACTTCGTATTCGTAATCTGGGGATGGTTCTGTCTCGACGAAAGTTGTTTGGACTTCCTTGTTGTAGATGACTTTTTCCTACAGAGGGATGAACCTCAAGGTGCAGGAGGTTGCTGAAAGGGTCGCTAACCTTGTGCGGAAGCTCAAATAATTCTTGCTCGATGTCGATAAGATCAGGGAATGTTCTTGGTACCATGGTACTGATTATTCGGTTTCATGAGAATGATTCCTATCTCGTAGAACGAAAGACCAACCTACCGCTCCATGACATGATCTGTGGCAGAATTGCTTGAGCCAACTTGAGTAACGCTGACCACGCTAGCTCGATCCTGGACGTCACTTTGCCGACTTGCTCTTCCCGATGTAGATTGTGAGAGTCCAGTGTGCACCGGCAGACTTGAAGTCTGGTTCATGGAGGGTGTCCCAGGTATTGAAGAAGATGGCGTAAGGTCTCCACTGTCCAGGCCAATTCGGCTGCCAACTAGCGCGTTTACGAGTTCATCTACATCTCTCCGCGCCGCAGACGATGAGGCGGTAACCTGCCATACGTTTGAACAAGTGGATTTCATAGGACGAGCCCACAACGTACGTCTGGTGTCCTCTCTGCATCTGCACGTTGCCGATCCGCTCTCGCTTTCCGTAGTTGGGCAAGCTTCTCCCTCTTGGCTTCGATTTCCTGCCGTCGTTTGTCGGACATGGTGGTACCGCGAAACAATGGGGGTGGACTAGTTGAGAAGCGCGACCGTGTCCACTGTCCTGATATTTAGCGGTGTTTGCTCTCAAAGGTGGAAGTCACGTCGAGTCAAGCACGCGTCTTATATACTCACATGATTTGGTTTTGATCTCCTTCGCAATCCTACTCTCCAGATCGTCCCTTATGTCCCTTATAACTCCCAGTTCACATCCAAGAGGCGGAGGGGCCACTAAAGGAGGGGTCAGGAAGCATGAAAACAACCAGATATATGCACACCCACTGCCTCTTCTCTTCGTCGAGCCTCCTCGAAGTCGAATCGGCTCAATACTCGGACTGCTAGGCCTTTCGCTAACTCGTGTCGAAAATCCTCATTGCGAAGGAATATTCGACCCAGTCACTCATTCTGTTTGGGTGTCCAACCTTGATCACTCACTTCTTCTCTGGCGAAGAGGTTTCTTTGGAAAGGGAGATCTATCACGAAGTGAACCTAGTTGGCTCGCACGACAACTCAATATCAGGAAGAATGCGGGAAAGCGTAAGTTTTATTTCTTTCTGAGATTATCGACCTCGCCATCGATCGATTAATAGTGAATTGTTGCGCACAGAACTCACATCTGAAGAAGTGACTGCCAAACGTCGAGCAGAGCGAAAACAATTCAAGCTCGATCGAGCACGAGCTATCGCAGCAGTAGCGGAAGAAGCAGAAACCATTTTTGCGACAGAAGGGCGTGTCATAACCCCTGCTCTATCTGGTCCTGCAATCCCTTCAGCCGCTACTTGGAAACCAACCTCACGACCACAACCTTCAGAAGAAGAGACATCACCACCCACCCCAGCTGAAGGTGTAGCTGAAGACGCACCAGAGGAAGAAGGGCCTCTCAGAGATGTTGAGCATCTCCAACTTACCCTTCAAGAAGCTTTTTTCCTTCTATGGACGATGGACTGTCTAACAGTGCTGGATCCTCAATCCGTAGGTTGTTCCATCTGCGTCCACTTTCCTCAACTCATTTACCGTTTAAAGCTCCAACCAATGTCTCTAAAACAAATTTGGCTTGCTTTCCAAACAGCTGAGCTTCCTCCCCCAATACCAGCGCCCTCAGACCCTTTTTCTGTTCTCCGATTCGACAACCCGTTCCTCATCAACTACGTCGTATACCACCACTACCGCTCACTAGGTTGGGTTGTGAAAGGTGGAATTAAATTCTGCGTGGACTATCTCCTGTACAAGAGAGGTCCTGTTTTTGCACACGCAGAGTGAGTCTCATCTCTGCCAGATGACCATATCTTCGATGCCATCATTTCGCAGACTCGCTCTTGTCGTCCTTCCCGTCTACGAGGACACAGAAGACCAAATATCATCTCCACTCGACCTCCAGAACTCGTCTCCTTTCTCGTGGTCGTGGTTAAGCACAATCAACCGTGTAAACTCTCAAGTGCAAAAAGTAAGTGTTTTCTGTGCTGGCATCGAAAATAAGCCATAGACCGACGAAATTTTGAACAGACATTAATACTTGTATACGTGACTATCCCTGCCCGGTCAAGAGTCCCTTTAGATGTGCTGCAATCACCTGCCTGCCTGGCACACTACTCTGTCAGAGAAGTTGTCCTACGGCGATTCATCCCAGCCCGGATGCGCGACTGATTATTCAAGATGTACCACTTCGAGGCCACTTGCTAATTCCACTCGTTCAGAATGTCACACCAGCTCTTGGGGATTAAATGTTATTTTATTCCGGGAGACAGAAACCTGCTATCTGTTACACCTTGATACACGATATTCTAACACCACCCTAATGTTGGACCCGGTCGAACATGGCACGGCGAGGACATCATCGACTACCGGTGAAGACGGAAGAGGCCACGACGAAGGGATAGAAGGGGGAAGGAAAGGACAAAGAACACAAAGAAATAAATAAATAGACGATGCACAAACGATGTTGGACTTGCTGAAAATTTTAGATAGCACCCTTGATCATAACCTTGCTATACTTTTCTTCGTACATCCGATGGAGCCCAGGTATTGATGGCTTACAGTCGAGGATCTTTTCCGCGTCCGGGCTGTTAGGATTCGTGAACGAATTCACGTTGTGCTTGACCAAGAATGTCCGCGTCTCTTCCAGCGTTTCGAATGCTAGGCTCTGCTGGAGGAAGGGAAGCGTGACTTTCAGGTAACTGTAGACACGATAGGGAGCAAGTTAACAATTCTGGTAGGGGGAAGACAACTGAAAAACACAACGCACGCTTTTGTGATGACCATAAGCGCCTTCGTTCGTTCTCGATCAATGAAATGGTCCATGATGTATGCGCCCATGTTCGGTGCTTTCAGATACAAATCACATAACCTGCAATAGTTGCCGATCGCCAACGCTCTCTGCACCGCAAGCGCGTGCTGCACTGCTGCATCCGCCTTCTGTCGGGGTGTTAGCTGACCTACGTAAAGATTAAGTTCTATGAGATATAACGTCAGCATCAAATTGAAAAGCCATCGCGGAAGGGTGGTACCGCTTCGATTTCGCCCATGAAGGAGCATGAGAATGCGATAGGCAGTAAACTCCTCGACTTTGCCCGGGATACCCAGGTCGTAAAGTGTCTTCAGAGTTGCCTGACATTGATTGTATTCCATCATATCATTCTGGAAAGTAGTTGTGAACTTCAGTTCAACACATGGGACTAAACGGCTTACGCTCTCTAGGGCCATACGAGCATGGATTTCATATACTTGCACAGTGAATTCATTCTTAATTCTTTGGACCTACAGGAAACCTCGATGAGAAGATATGAGGACGTAGTCTTGACGGAACGTACTGTCAAATCTTGTCGTAGGCTCTTGAACTGATTACAGATCCAATCATACGACGATCTTTCCCTCCACCGCTCCTTGAGTTGGGCGAGGGTTTGCTGAAGGACAGAATAAGGGCGTATAGTCTCCGGCTTTGGTTCGCTGGTTAGTCGTAGGTAATCTTTGAAAATATCATGACAAGTTCCAACAATGGTATAGCGATCCCAGTCGATGACGTTCTATGCGGAGATGAGACGAAATAGACTGACAATAAACATGACACGTACCGGATCGCCTTCGGGCTCGTCGTTATTCATATACGGGGATCCTGATCTCGAAGCCGTGAAGAGATGTGCGTGATGATTATTTGTCTTGAAGGCCGGGGTACTGCCTCCGTTCCGGAATTTGTTTCTCTCGATCTCATGCTCACGCTGAAAACGCTCTGCTCTCCGATTTAACGCAGCCTGGTCGCTGAAGTCATTCGAACCATAGACTGCGGCGTACTTCTGTGCTGCTTTCTCCGCTTTCTTGGCTTTCTTCGATGATGTAGAATTGTTCTCGAAGCTGTAGACGGATCTTGATCAGCTCCAGAGAACGTAGTGCAGGGAGGACGTACCTCTTTCGTTTGAGGTTATTGAAAACGGGGGCAGGTTTTGGCATAAGACTACCATGGTGTGAGTAGGATCTTGCGGAGAAGAGTTCATGGCCCTTCACCTTTTTAGTTGCACCCCAGCCCAGTCGGTAGTCCATAGTGTATGGGCGGCAAAAGAGTCTGATATTACCTGTTTAAGTTCAGTCTGAACTTCTGCTCTGTTCGCATCTGTTATCTGGCCAAGGCATTTGGCAACCCATTCTCTGTCAATACCTCAGCACGGTCACACCACACAGTAGATACTAAACCCCCACATACTTTAGTGCCGGAGGCCAGGATTCTGAAGACATAGTTCAACCTGCAATTAACGATGAGTCGGACAAGAAATGACAAGAGGGAAGATCCAGAAGATCCAGGATAGTGACTAGCAGGTGGAAACAGTGTGTACAATGGACGTCAGTAGCAGACCCGAGCTGCATGGAATTGTTCTGACCAGCCTGATTTGTCAGCAACCGAGAGTTGAAAAGGAAATATATACCCACGAATGATCTCGGCCCGCTCTGCCGGCCCACACCTGTGTTCGTCGCGTCCACGCCCGAACCACACCCAAACTCACATCTCGCAGTCAACAATACTCCCAAGCCAACTCAGTATCCAATAAAATGAGTATTTTACGCCCATTTAAAGCTTCCGACATGTTCAAGTTCAACAACATGTACGTCCTTGATAGAAAATCGAACTAAGCACCATTAACCGTGTTTCTTGTATACAGCAACCTGGACATATGGACAGAAACAGTAGAATCTGAACCTTCCTTCGCAGTTTTTCTCACAAATTCACTGATGTCTGCCTCCAGTACGGCATTGGATTCTACCTCAATTACCTCTCACGCTGGCCCGATCTCTGTTGTGTGCAGGAAGCACCAAGCGGTCGCATGATGGGATACGGTGCGCAAGGCAGCCTCCAGCTACATATACTCATGCTAACGACCTCTTCTTCCGCTTACAGTTCTTGGAAAAGCTGAAGGCAGCGGTACAGAATGGCATGGGCACGTCACAGCACTAACCGTCGCACCGGAATACCGCCGACTCTCGCTCGCTCGCAAGATGATGTCCCTACTCGAAATGGTCTCTGAAGAGATCTACAAGGGATTTTTCGTGGATCTTTACGTCCGATGCGCGAATTTGGTGGCCATCAACATGTATGAAGGAATGGGCTATAGTGTGTACCGTAGGGTAAGGGAGTATTACGGAACACTTGGAATAGGAAAGGGTGGAAGAGATGAAGAAGACGCCTTCGGTATGTTCAGTCTGCTATGCACTGAACCTTCTTTGAAAATTTGGCAGACATGCGGAAACCTCTCGTACGAGATGTCAATCGTCGTTCTGTCCGGCCAAACGGAAGAGATATCATCGTCAGTGCACACGATGTTTCATAGTCTTCGAAAAGTCCCTATCAATTACGTGCTATCCTATACATTACATCTATATTACAATCTACATAACTCAAAGCGTCAAAGGAGGAGGTTCCTCAGCAACAACCGGAGCCGGAGGCAGGAGGGCGACTTTCTCGTCATAGAAACCCTGCAACCTCACCTTATCCTCGCAAAACTCGGCCATCTCGACTCTAATCTTCTCGGCGGCGGCTGCAGGCCGGTGGTCCTTGCTCTTCATCGTTCCCATTCTCCCAGGACCCATCAACCGATTCGTCAAGAATACGAACCCCTGCGAGCCCCCCAACACCTGAACGAACGCAACCCCAGACTGATGCACAAATTGCGAATAATGATACGGCGAGCGTCGATACGAATATACGACGTCGACTTGCTCAGGATACAGATCCTGTGCCTCGACGTCCACAATGAAGCCGAACTTCTCAAGGAGCGCATATTCGAAATATTGCCCTGGGTGCATGCCATCGTCAAAAAGCCGCTTGTCTAGATCTGGAATAACGGGGGGAGGAATTGCTGGGCGGATCGGGAAACATGACTGGAAAGCGTTCCGCTGCTGTATGTCGCTGATCTGAGTAACATAGGCTTCGACGAGCTTCAGGCCATAACGCTCGATGGACCTATTCCACACTCGGAGTTGATCTTCGATACATCTTGCCGTTGTGCCGATCCATTGGAGCTCGAAGTGGAAGACAGTCGCTGGATTATGGATAATGTCATGATGAAGAATCACCGACTCTGCTTGATCGCTTCGCTGAAGAAAATGCAAAGATCAAACTAGGAACTACGACTTATAATCAAGTGAACAAACCTTGTGTGGATCAATGTCAATAACCATAGTTTGGCTGAGTATAAGCCTCTTCTTGTTCTTGATCTTGCTCGCAATAGTTTTGGAAACGTTCTTGCTTTGGTTCTGATTTGCAAATCGAGAGCTTCCGTCTTCGGTGATCCGTCTGAACCAATACTTGGGAGTTGCTGCAGTGTGTAGCGAATACTCTCCTTTCAGGCGATAGTAGTAGTGCCTGATATGCCAGATGAGCACAATTCTCCTCGAAAAAGTTGGTCATCACTCACCCATCCAAGAAGTTGTGACGCCCGCGACAGTGTTCAAACAAGCCTTGCTCTTGCAGCCTAACGCCCCACTCCGTACCTTGGCTTCGTGTGGAAACATCTCGGAACTCTCGCACAAGCCAGGACACGAAATCATATCCAATGAAAGAATCAGGGTAATGTCTATCGTGCCATTGATAAAATTTGATAGGCACACCATCCTCTTCGCGCATGGCTTTCGCGATTGCGCCAAGAGACATTTCTGCGATTTCTCGTTCGCTTTTCATCTTCTTCCGTAGGGGACCCTGAGCGTGGATTTGGTCTAACCGATCCATGAGGGCCTCATCAAGTACGGACATAGCAGGGTCGAGCGTGGTTGGCAGGAAGCGGACGGGCGGGTGCGTGATCTTGTCGTCAGGAGGTTGCCAGCGAAGCTTGGTGAACTGCTCGGCCAGTTTCTCGATTCCGAGAATACGAGCCTCCTCGTCACTCAATTTCTCTTCTGAAGGCCCAACCTTGACGTGAGGAGGCTCTGATGTAGGAATGACAATGAAACGCGTGCGCCAATATCGGATGGACTCATTGAAATCATGCTCGTAGCCTGCAACAAGCATGTCTAATCTAGCAAGGAAGACCAATAGTCAACCTGCTGTAAAAGGGCGGAGAGACGAGGCAAGGTACCTATTCCACCCATAGTTCTCAAGCCCATGGGATTTGAATTCGTTCTTTAGTTCAGTATAGCCGCCTAGCAACGAGGTCAGTATTTTTACAAAAAGCGAACAGTAACAAAATGGTATTGACCTCCAAGCTTTGGCCAGATCAAACACTTATACGTGTACGGCGGGGTGGGCACCGTCCTCCTGACGTACCGTTTAACCTGGATCGCTTCTCCAGTATACGATATTCGATGGATTTCCTTCGACATGCTCAGATATATAGAGTCAGTCGTGGAACTCAGAATCTCTGCTGCGCCCGCAGGCCGTAAGTCCGGGTCGTCTTCTCCCATGTATGATTTCGTCCGCCTGAAGGCTGGTTTCTCGTCTTCACCTTGGGCACTTCGCGTCTTAACAATGAACTGAAACCCTTGTGCAAGACGGACAGCTGCCATACCTCGCATAACGACGAGAGCCCAAGCCCGGCGGAGGTCATCCGCAGATCCTTTGACTATCGGCGGCTTGACGAGGAAGGAGCGCATCTCGCTAGGGTCGACAAGAAATTCATACGAGAAGACGTCATATGAGGAATCCAACTCGATGCTCGAAGGGAAATGCTCGACGGTCAAGGGCAAACAACCAGGTGTGACAATTGACTTCCACTTTACGTCATGCTTGTACATGGGCTGAGGAAATATGTGCTGCCAACGACGCGCCAGAGAGGCTTGGGGATAAGAAACGCTAGACTGGGGTTTGGTGGGGTTAGTGATTGTTCCGGGCGAAGAGGAGAACGAATGCGCCAACGCGCTCGTCCCACTCCGGCGCTTTCCAGCCAATATCTCGTCTCTCGGTGGCGTGTTTATAGGAGAACGACGTATGTACGACGTCCTATGCGGAGCAAGAGTTGCCTCTTCTTCGAACGTTCGGCTTAGACTTGAACGATTGGCCGCTTTGTTCCTGATGGCCATAGGCTGGATCGGTTGGACTGGTTGGGTAGGTTGTGTCGAAGGAGCAATGGTAGGCTTCGAAGAGGGTGGCATATGCATTGAAAAGGAAGCAGGCATAGGACTCGATTTCTCGGAGAGCGGATGTTTCTCCGCTGAATGAGAGGGAGAAGCCGAGGCAGACACCTGTGTCGTCTGTGGTTCGCTAGGCCCACTCCTGAAGGGGTTAAAAAGCCAGGATGGTGCTAGTTTCGAGGCAAGACTGCCCTTAGACAGCGTCCCACTACGAGACGGCGTCTTGGAAGAGGTAGACTTCTCAGAGCGTGCAGACCGGATAGAAGACTGGGATGGTGAGGTGCCTGGCATGCCAGGCATCGGGGTAGTAGCCACATCTTTGCTGGACGGAAAATCCTCCGGTGGTAACTCTTTGTGTATGCGCACTTTCGGACTCTCTTCAATCGTGTCAATCCGATCGAGCCGAGTGGATTGGCGATGCGAGGCTCGCTTCTCTGAAGTTGGCCGCATAAGAGGAGCTGCTGCCGAAGGAGCGGCCAAGGAAGTCGTGTTGTAGTTCGCCGTCAGTGCGAACGTATCAAGGTCGAATTTGTCCGCTTCGGCCTTCGTCAAACCAACGGTATGGTCTGCTGTTTCTAAAGGCGCTGCGACGTTCTCTGGCCGATCCGGAATGAAAGGCACCTCGATGCTAGGCAACACATCATGTTCTAGCAGTCCGAGCATCTGTATCTCATGCATCTTCGCTCTTGAGATGAACCTAGCCAAGATTTGCTGTGCTCAGAGACAAACTGCGGATTTGGGTTAATGGAAGAACATACCTATCCTGACGGAACGGTAAATCCATCTGTCTATCCCAGAACGTCGTCGACATCCAGAATGGTTCCCACCAAAAGGTCTTCATTGGCGCACCGTCCTTGGGGACATTATCTCCACCCCACAAAGGATCCATGGACAGCGGATCGAACTTTCTGTCATTGCCATCCTGTTTAGCAATGGGTTCAAATCCTTGGAAACTGAAAATAGGACTTTGATGTAGCGGTGGTTTCGTCAGCAAGATAAGATCAAGGACGAATCCCTGGTCCAGCATACGGGTGGTCGTCAATCGGAGCAACTTCTTCGACACACGGAAGTAGCCGGTTCCGGGGGAGATGAGAATGGTAATTGCTCCAGTCAGATTGAGCGACCTGTCGACGTAGTGTGTCTCCGTAGGATTGAGACCAAGGTTCAATGCCTCGAGTATCGGACCGTCTTGGGCATATGATAGTCGACCAACAAGCCTGACCTGGGTAGGAACATTCGTGGAGTCTTGAAGTCCTCGATGGTAATGGTGGGTTAAGAGAATGTCGCGCTGGAAGTCCCAGAAGGAGTTCTTCAGGCTGACCAAAGTCGGCTTCCACTCATGTATGACCTCGAGATCTGTGATAACCTTGTAGAAATCCTTGTACCAGTTCCCTTGGTCGTCCCTCTCTAGTGGACCTGCAGCGTAGGTGATTTCAGACTCGTCGTAGAAGACGCGCGATATCAGCACGATAGTGACGGTATGGTTTGTCCCTGCTTCTCGCCATTTCTCAAACAGTGCTGGCAGGAAAGAGTGCACAATCTTCTCGTTGTATCGTTCTCCGTCTCCAGCAAACTCCCAAAGTTCTCTGCAGACCTGGATAAAGATGGTAATCTTCGCGGAGAAGGAGCGGTAGATTGCCTTAGTTGAAGAAGTCATGTAAGCTGAAGAAACCTAAAGGCCGTAAGTGAGAATGTTGTCAAACAGGGCTTGGTGCACATGCCTTCTTGCCTCCAATATAAATGTTCTGGATTTTGGCAGCAATTCCTCCAATGAAAGAAACCTCTTGATCTTTGTATATGCAATGACCGGCCAGATATTTTCCAAGTCTCCACATATCGTTCCTCCCGAGATATTGGTCTTGGAATATGAACTCGACATAATCAGCGCAACAACTAGATTTATCGACCTATCATGAAGTTAGGGCATGGAGCTTGAACTCAAAAGCAAACTGACCTTTGTGAGGACAACTTCGTCATTGTTGCGGAGACTAAGAGAGTCAGCAACTGTGCGAGGGAGAGATATCTACAATATCCATAATCCGTACATACGTTATACGAGCCCATATAAGCACGGAGCGCACCTGAAGTTGAGGTTTCGTACAACCTTCATCCTTCGGAACGATGAAGAGGAACCCAATCTCTGAATTGCCGTCATTGTTGGTTACTCTCAGGCAATCTCCCTCTGCAACTCCAGGCCACCACAATTGATTAAATTGGATTAAGGCCGACTCTTTGACATCATGGAACCAGGCGTGAAGAACCTTCGAATCTCCTAACTTCAGTGGAATGTATGTTGGTAAAGCTCTGAAGCTCGATTGCGCCGTGTTGGAACGTCTGCGTTCATACTGGGACTGTTCCCTGGAGGCAGCCATGACAGCGTCGGTCAAGAGTGCTTGTTCATCCAGAGTGAGGCTTGCAATTTGAGGAACGCGTCGGCTGTGAACGATGATGTTGGGTGTGTTGGTCTAGGAGCGCTATCTTGGCGCCACTTACTGAGAAAAGCGGCCCGCCGGCCCGCCTCGAAAACAGACACTGACTAGAGACCAAAATCGCGTTCTTTCACTTAGTTCTATTAAAAAGCAACTAGCTCGAGGTCCTATGTCATCTACGGAGGTATATCTCTAATGTGTTTTATCAACAGGGGGATTGTAGACTGGAAAGAGAATTTGTTAGAAAGCGCCAACGAAAGGCTACGACGCGACATACTAATTTTCCTGTTCTTGATAACACCCCACTTGAAGCGTTTGACATACACACTGATGGCGAAGAGAGTGGAGAAGATAATAACAGCCTTGATTCCGTACTTCTTGCGCTCGTCGTGCTCTGGTTCAGCTGCCCAGTTCAGGAAAGTGACGACATCCTTCGCCATTTGCGACGTTGTCGCGGGAGTGCCTATCATTTTCTGTTAGCGGGCCAGGAGATGGCAAGATGCATTACTGACCATCATCATATTCAACGAGACCGTCGAAGAGGACACGAGCCATAGAAATGGCACCACCAGGGAAGTAGGGGTTGTAGTTCATGCCTTCACGAATTTCAACGCCAGCAGGAGGGTCGACGTAGCCAGTGAGAAGAGAGAAGATATAGTCCTGAAAACCGCGTGAGCTAAAAGAGATGTAGCAACTGCATTTACACTCACAGCACCACCGTGGCGAGCCTTGACGATCAAACTGAGGTCGGGGGGAAGGGCACCACCGTTACTTGATCGGGCGGCCTCCTCGTTGGGGTAAGGAGCAGGGAGGTAATCCGAAAGCTTCCCCGGTCTTTGGAACATCTCGCCCTCACCGTTCGGCCCGTCAGTATATTCCACCTCCTCAGCCATGGCCCGCGTCTCCTCCACAGTGTGCGACACGCCAACAAGATTGCGCCAGGCGATGCGGTCAAGCGAATGGCACGCGGCGCAGACTTCACGGTAAACCTGGTATCCTCGACGAATGCTACGTAAAAGTTCAGGAAGCAATGCGAGTCGGATGAACTCGGTCGTACCTAGCGTGATCAAAGGTGTCAAACCAGCCATTGTGCGACCAAGGATACTTGGATGGATGGAGGCCCTCGTCGCTGAGATGGCTCGCGTGTACTTCTCCGAGGAAAGGAAGGTTGCCATAAAGGTGCGTGTACCAAGCAATTGTACCGGCAGTGAAAAGAGAGACGGAAACCAGCGTCGCGCGCGAGCTCATGACAGACTGCAACAAGATAAGTTACGACGCCTCGTAAATGAGGATTCACACCTACGTCAAGAGTGCTTGAGCCAGAGGCCTTGGACGACGCAAAGCGGACCTGTGAGGAACTTGTGAGTTGCTGACCGAAACCCGGCGAGAAAACAAGGTACCGGGCCGGAACGCGTGCCATAGAGAAGCGTCGAGGACCGTGAAGCCCCTACGCTGGCCGCTTTCTTGAAGGCTCCAGCAGAGAGCCTCGACAGCATTTTGTTTGAAGGATTTGGGAGAAGGAGAGCTGGCCGTCACGCCGTGATCCCGACGGGTTGAATCGGAAAATCCCACAGCCAATCAAATTTCTTGGATTGTCCCCTCACGTGAATGCATCCTTCAACTCGGTACTCACATCTAGACCATTGTCAATAACTTGAAAGCAGAGAAGGGGCGAACTAAAGGAAGCAAGTGAGTTTTTATTCACGGCACAGAATCTCTTCACACTTGCCGCACCAGTTTTATTGGACTTCAGGTAACCTCACGGGTCCATCGTAACTTCAACATGCCTTCCTCTCAGAGCTGTTGAAAGATTTTCCTGGGGTGACTGTGTACGCTCGCGACCATGTCGTACCAAGACAGCTCTCAAGAATTAAAGATCGTCTCGGTCGAGAGCAACAGTGTTGCGACTTTTGCTCTCATCTACGTATGATCTAATCGTTCTTCCTGGCCACACTGGTCCGGCCAAACGTAGCGTTTCCTGATCCTCGGCTGGAGGTCCTTGATTTACTTCAATTCTCGCAGCAGGACCATTTTCCCGGGACTGAGCACCAAGTCTTTCTTTCCCCACGTCATGCGCTATGTTTTTCTCATTGGTTCCTCTATAAGACGCTCTACATACAACTCCACCTCATCGAGTCCGAGATTCTTTGCCCGCACACCTCCGTTCAAATAGAGCGCAGTAACCCTGTATTTAAGCATGCCGTCGCAATGGAACCTCGAGACACAATGGAATTGTCATTCAGATCGCGATTATGGTTACGTTGAGCTGTCCGGTAGTATTGACGGTTTTGTCATGGAGTTATCTTTAGAATTGACAGGGTTGCGAAGTCCAGAGGAAAGTCCACATAAAATTGAGAGAGCTGTTTCAGGACAGAAGGAAGATATGGGGGCATACTAGAACACTAGAATGGGGGCTATGAGTACTGAACACAGTAGAAATCCTGCAGTCCCACTCCTCGAGCCTCTGGAGGCTAAGCGACCAGCGTGTACGTTTGCACCTTATTAGAATATACAGTCGCAAATTTCTAGCTCGGCCGAAGGTTCAGTTAGACGTCGCCAAGTAACACGAGGCAGCAAGTACACACCATCCGCGCAGCAGCACAAGCACATACCCGCTAAGCAGGCCATGCAACCAGTAGACGCCCCACCACCACTTTTCTCAGGGGCTTGTTGCCTGTAGTCACGTTGCGATACGTAAGTCTCTAGCGCCAGAAGAGTTTGAAGTCTACTCACACATAGACCGTCTGAGGAGGAGGTTGCGGTGCGTACCCCTGCTGAGGATACCCCTGCTGAGGGTACCCTTGAGGGGGAGGGCCATTATAGCCACCCTGGTATGATTGTTGGGGTTGCTGCAAATCATTGAGCAAATATGCGTTGGAGTCAAGTAGATTCCAAGCTCACCTGCGGGTAGTAACCGTCCTGTCCGGGAGGAGGACCTAAATGTGAAGAACAAGACTGTAAGCAAACGTCCAACACCAACTGCAAGCGATCCAGAGAATATGCGTTTTTCGACGGACACCCCACTCGGAGGTATCGACGCACCTTGAGGGGGGTAGTAGCCACCACCCTGGGGAGGTCCGTATTGCTCCTGGGGCTTTCCTGCGTTGTAGTAGTCGTTGGCACTCATTTCCCGGCAGTGTACAAGGGTGACGAGTGGTGCGAAAGGAAGAGGAGAGGGAGGTTTTTGTTTGTCCGGGTTGTCTCACGAGCTACATGTGTACATGCCGCAGCCGGTGGCCAAGCGCGGACGACCGCCTTGCTCTCCCCTGCCGTGCTTGCATCAAAATACCCAGAACACCGAGACCACTGCAGAACACGATGCACTGCCCCGCAACGATAAGGTGCTCAGAAACACCTCTCAAATGACGAGGGCAAAAATCGTGCAACACTGGTCTGCGCAGCAGCAGTAGCTCTGAGGAATGGTGTCTTGTCCACAAGCCTGCTGACTTAGAGCTGTGCATTGCTCGAAGACCTGTTCGACGGATCCGTGATCGTGTTCTAAATAAAACCCAACGCCTGCAGTAGCGTGGAGATGGCCATAAATACGTTCATGCTGAGCGAATCCGGGCAAAAATTGTCATTGGACATGACATAACAAGATGGGCAGATCCCGTACATCTAGTAGAAGGATGACAGATAAAGCAGCCAGCGCAGCGGAGAACATGGCCTCATCAGTAGAGACTTCATCGTGATCGTGAGTCGAGTCGAGACCATGTTCCATCTGCGTCGGCGTTGTGTGGGTGAGCGAAGTCGAAGAACGAAGTGAAGCTAGATAGAGTAAACCCATTACAGCCAACACTAACGATAGTTCAGGGTAACGAAAGAGCGTCAAAAGAAACATAGAACTGTCACTGCACGTCATTTATCTGGTCGGAGGATATGTCCCAGTGAGCACTCGTGCCCCTTGGCGAATGAAACTTTGGGTCAAGCGAGTGGGTGCTTGAGGAGAATAACAATTCAGTTCAAAATGGCCAATTAATAAAGGAGAGGAACGCACGTGCTGCTGTGTATTCACTAAGCGGAACGGCATCAAATGACCTCGTACGCGCCGAAGCAAGTGGCGTTCCATGCTCCGCCAATCCAGAGTGGCTGGGGCTAAAAATGTAAAATTAAACATTAATTGCGCGTATAGAGAACTTACTTACCCCGTAATCCTTGTGAGGGTGACACCGAGTTGGTACTGACCGCGAGAGCGAATGCTGACGTCAGGAAACAGGAAGAAAAGCCCCATGTTTCCTTGTAGGTCTTCTAGTTGTTCGACGGTCGAAACTAGATGGCCATAAAGAATAGGCGGTGTCCCACTCGTAGGTCGCCCAATGTATGAGCCCGTATCCAAAGGGGTATAGCCGTCACCAGAGAAAAGTGACAGATGGGCAATGAGGAAGGGCAATTCCGCTTCTCTAAAACAAAAAAGTTCAGAACTTTAATTAGAGGCGCTAAAGTTTCCAAAAACGTACGGTATGACGGAATTGCCGGAGGGATCTCTGACCGTCAGCCGGGCGATGATAGGTGGTGTTAAGGGCACACGAGAGAGGTAATTCGCCCCAAATTCCGCCGTTCGGAGCGGATGTTGCACAATCTCGAGGTGATAGGATCTAGAACTCTATTAGAACTCTATCCCATTTGTCAGGCACGTCAGAAAAACACACCGTGTATGTGGGTCCGCCAGAAGAGATGATACCTGAATTCTAGGCTGAGGACGAATATACGGAGCAGGAGAGCTGGGGGATAGATCTGCGATGGAGCTGTGGCTAGAAGGCGGACTTTGGGTCGAACTCGAAGTTCGCGAGGATAATGTGACAGAACCGAACGAAGAGTAAGGTGAAGAGTGTCCGCTGGAGAAGATAGCAGAGAGAGGTTTTTGAGAATATGCTTGAAAGGGAAAGTAGGAGTATTTAATGCGCAAGGATGGTGCATTCATATTTTTCTGCGGTCGGCGGTGCAGCGAGCAAGGAACCGAATAGGCGATCAACACACGACCGCCGTGGTTTTTATTTCTGAGACAGCAAGGTATGGCGAGCTTATTAAAAATAAGAACCAAAGTTGGGTAAGGAAATCGTCAAGGGCAGTGAGGTGGACGACATACTTTTGAATTTGGACGATGTCGACGGGTACGCCTCGCTGTCTTTGATGGCATGAAGGGATGTTGTGAACCCATGAATTGTGACCCTGGCTCGTGCAGGTCGCAGGCGCTTTTCGGGATACAAAGCGGATATGCTTGAACCGATATGCGCGGGCTCAAGATCATCGCCATGAGCGTACACCACTTGGTGTCGAGTTGAGCGTCGTAGGGAATATATGGGCTGTCAAAGACGAGAACATTTTATAGCGTTCAGGCGAGGGGCGCCAGCCGAATGGATCCAAATCGAAATTGGAACGAGGAAAGTCACCAGCTAAAAGTTCTGGAAGGTCAATGACTACCAAATCAGGATGCTCTTCGTTCCGCCATAGCACCGGATGAGAGATTCTGAATTATGTCGGGCGGTGAACCTTCACATACGAACGTCTTCGGAAACCTCACAGATCCGCCAAGATGCGAGCCGGGATAAGGGAGGAATTAAGGTTGTAGATCTATAAGTATAATGACATCAAATGCTCTTCTTCACATAGCTCCAGAGTCCTGCCATGCTTGCCCCTAGAGTTGCAGCGACGACGACGGGTTTGATGCCAGCTAATAAAGGAACAAAGATGAGAAAACCGCCGGGGGTTCGCAGGCAATAAAAGAGCGCACCAGTTGACTTGAATAGAGCGCCTGTCACGGCGCCAGCAGCCACGCTTCCCATCGTGTCGTGCTTTCCTCTAAACGCGTCAATGCTCGAGTTTACTCCATTGTACATAAGGGCTGTAAAATAGCGAATTCAACGGACTTTAGAGTGAATCGAATCGGCTATGGCAAAATTTTACCCATTACACCAGCCGAATTCCCGAGGAATGTACCTCTTCTCGTGACAGAGTTCAGTACGCTGTTGATCCGCAGCCTGGCATTAGAGACGGCAAGTGGCCTTCGAGCGCCTTCCCGTACACCCCATGCGCCGCCAAGGGCTAGTCCTGCAAAAAAAAAAAAAAAAAAAAGGTGAACATGTGACAAATAGAACAATAAGAGGCCTGAGTATTGGTCGTTTGAGATGTCGAGATAAGGTGAGAGATGTCCAGGGAGCAAACGAGGCGTTAAGCGAGCACCTAGACCTCTAAAAGAGTAATTTGAAAGAGATCCCACTTACCACTGAGATACATGGTACCCGTCCCATAACACAAGTCATCGCTCCACCCCCTGGAGGGAATTGCCGTGCCAGCCCCAGGAAGGTCGCTTGTCTTTTCATCATCAAGAAGCAGGTAGTCGAGTTTATCCCCCAAATCTGCCAGCGGATGTAGTTTTGCGGGGTCATACGCTGCCATTAGCAGGTCGGACGCTGTGACTGCATGTTCAGGTGAAAGTGAATCATTTGAACGCGAAAAGGTGGCCGTCTTGAGGATTTCAGAGGGACTCTGCGACGAGGATACGTCGGCATGGGTGCTGGAGGACGACATGGGTGGTGGCCGGGGAATGAGAAACGTGGAGGAACAGCACTGATGACGGTGAGCGGAGAAAACTGGCAAAGTTTCAAGGACCGCGAAGTCTAACACAGTCACGTGGTCATACACGACTCGCGCTGTTCCGCTCTGGTTGAACTCTAACCAACAATTGAAATGGCCTTCGCCGCTCGAGCTGTTCGCAGGATCCCAGCGCTCACATCGTCTGGGGGCCGTATCTTATTCAGAAAACCTACAGGTCGAGCCGCAATTGCCTCCGGAGTCAGGCTGCAGACCGGAATTATGGCCAGCACCAGCGCGCCATCCTCATGGCGTGAGTTCTTTCTTCTTTGTTCAAGCCAGACTAGTCTACAACTTACTTTGTTTAGGCTGGGCATCTTCTGTTACACCCCAGTCATCAGCCTCCGATCCAGCTGAAACCGAGGCCTTACGCTGTCTTGAGCAAGGAACGACGAAGCTCGAAGAAGGCGACGTGCAAGGAGCGAAAGCCCTCTACCAACGCAGTGTGGAGATCAAACGCAACGCCAGCTCGCTTTTTAATTTAGGCGTCACCCATTATCATCTCAGTGCGTAATTTTAACCGTTAGGAATACCCCACATGCCTTATTGTTCAGCACAGAGGAATTTGACGAGGCCATCTCTGCCTGGAAGGAGTCAATAGCCTTACAACCCTCTAGTCCCGACACTCACACAAGTATTTATCCTCCCTGGGACAATTTTCAAACACTTCTAACACGTTTTCTCAGACCTCGCAAGCGCGTACATCATTTCGCCAGGTATTTTGGAACTTCCTGCATCCAGAGCAGCATACATCATCAATTAACCCCCGATTCAGTGTCGCGACCCGATCTGGCTTTGCACCATCTGGAGTAACCCTATATTTCCTCGTTGAGTTTGCAGTAGCTGAAGAATGTCGCTCTAGAATTGCCTCCTCATTGTCACCGGAAGACCCTGAAATTGCATTCAACCACGCTGCAGTTCTCGAAGCCAGTGAGCACAACTTTATCCCGCCCATTGTGTTATATTTATGTCATGAAAGCTGGAAGGCTTGAGGAAGCCCTCGAAAAGTACAAGCGCAGCAAAGAATTCGGGGTTGAACGAGCTGCTGTTCACATTCGTAACGTACGAGCCACCCGGAAATCTTTTTTTCCTATCGTCCGTTCTCACTCCCTCCCTTGCAGGTCGGAGCCAAAATTCTGGGGAAGCAGATGAAAGAGGCACAAAAATCCAAAAAACCGGAAGAGTAAATCAGAACAGGGTCTTTATTTCACCCTTCTCTGCAAAACAGGCAAACCCTTATTTCGTCGTCCGGATTCCGAGTGAGAAGAATGTTTTATGTGGATCAAGTCGAGACTAGTTTGCCCTACTCTTACGCTGGAATAGCCCTCGTTCTGGAAGACAAACACCCACCCAGGTGCAACCCATAGACGAGTTGAGTTCTTTCAATTTTACCTCTCTGTTATAGCTCTTCTTTAATCGATGACGAATGGATCCTGCGAGCTGCCCTCGCCCCGAATCTCCGACGAATTGTTTTCCGACTGTAAAATTGCGTACTGGGACTGACCCCGCCCAGCTACGCGTGTGCTCACACTCGTATTACTTCCACGATGGGGTGTCCTTTGCCAACCGCGGAAACCGTAAAACGGACCGGGACTGGAACGGGAGGCGCAATTACCTCCGAGCCCCCATGCCCCGTTGGCAGGGATTCCATAATTGCTGCGGTTATATCCTTGCTGACTGTGATAACCTCGACCACCTCCTCGATAAGGGTTTCCGAATTCAGGGCCTGACCCCAGAGGGGAAGGGCCTGCATCCGACATCACAGACGTTGAATCGCGTACACGGCGCAAAATGGCGGCGATATCGGAACGAGCATAAACCGGTGAGGGATGATCTTCTGGCTTGACATATAAAATTCGGTCAAAGCCCTCATGAGGAGATGGGGCTTCGAAGTCCGCTGCGAACCGCGACAAGACGGAGAGCCCTTGTTCTGGATTGGTGATGGTGGGATGCCCCGTTCCTGTTTTAATTTAAATTCATCCCATTGTGGTCAGTGAGAAACTGGAAGCCTTCGGAAGATGATTGACGTATTGCCACCTACTTACGCGTTTGTAGTCGGGCTGCACAGGTCTATGTGGGGAAATTTGGGTTCAGAATAGCAATACGAAAGACAGTTGCTCTGGCACTAACCTCATACGGGGTATCGAAAACAATAACCCAGATCGTGGTTCCGGGAACCTCGCGGGCAATCTCGATCCAGTACGAACGTTGTCTGCCATCTATGTTAGCAAACTTTGTTTTCGCACAATGCCAATCGTGAGCAGCCACTGTGCTGGTGTGGCGGGGATCACAGAACCCTCCCACTGGCTCTAGATGACTCACGGTGCATTAAAGTTTGTGCGGTCAACACACACAGAAAAGCCTTGATTTAGAGTTTGGCGTGCCAATCGTTCTACCCTTCGCCTGTCACCCAGATCGTCTTGATTGCATCTACGAAACTGAGGGAAGTGCTGCTGTAGCGCCTCTGCAAAGGTCGACTATAGATACATTAGGAAGTTAGGTTTGAATCAGCTATTAGGTTCTCGCAACGAAGGATTCCAAACGAGTCAAGGTTTGAGCATTGTCATAAAGAGAGGAATTAACGATTCTAGTAGACTCGCACCTTGCCCGACGCGATAAGACCACAGAGGATCAATACAATCTGGCCCTCGATCTCAGAACCTTCTGTGTCGACAGGAGGTTCTAGAGCTGTAGGAGTGAAGCCAGACATGGGTAGTGAGTTTAGAAGTGGTGAACGTTAAGAGCAAGGTCAATCACGGCTGCCCACAAAATGCTCGATGTGTATTGTATATGTCCTAATCATTTCGACTCACACGAAGTCAAATCAACAATAGTCAGAATGTCCTCCAATAGACTTGTGTCATCAGCATGGGAAAGTGAGAAAATGTGTCATGAAACCAAAAAGTAAAAAGCCATGAATATTACAATCCCACATCATAGGTTAAGTAATGGCATTCACAATGAAGCCGTCGTTCGCTGGAGATAAATGAGCAATCCTCCATTTGTGAGGGGAGTACGGATTTCCAGCAGTCGAGGACCGCACTGTCAACGGCCGTTGACAGTCGCCGATGAATTCCTTCTGGCAGACGGACCTGGGGCACCGGATGATGCTTGCTCAGGTGGCCCCTTGTTAGGGTGCTCCGGTATCTTCTCAATCTCCCGTTTCGCTTCTTCCCAAGCGTCCAAATTCTAAGATCAAGAGGATAATTGAAGGCACTCTAATCATGGAACAATGAAAAAAGCACTAACCTTCTTGCACCAATCGCGATGGCTCCTAGCCATACTTATTGCCATCTCCCGCATATCCGCCACTTTTTGACGTTGGAACCTATCCAGGTCAGCCTGGATCGTGGAGCTTGAATACTTTAAGTCTTGCGCGGCGAGATGAAGAGCATCCTCAAGCTACACGACGGCTCGATCAGTGACGGAAGAAATGCCAGAAGGAGGATGATGTGAACCTGTGATATGTTTTCTCTCGTTTTCGTGATCCCGTTCCGACGAGCAGTTTCAGGGTCCACGTCCATGATTCCGTGCAGTGTATAGCTCAACGCGTTTAGAAGGCCCATACCGGGTGTCTTTGTTCGTCTTTTGGCGGGGTTAGGGCCGGGGTGTGGGGGCAGATAACCGGAGTTCGGGGTGGTGGGTTCCCGCTGTTCTTCTGTCGTTTCGCCTTCTGATGTAGGGCTGGCTGGCGAAGTGATCCCGTTAACCCGACCTTTAGACAGCGCCTCTTCGAGTCGGCGGGCTTCTCGTTCACTTTTTTCTAATTCTTCCAGCTGTTCTCGCTTGGTCTCAAGAGCATCTTGCGTCATTTCATATTGAACATGTTTCTGATGTCGGTAAGCCAGAAGTTTCTTGATTATCGAGGCGAACTGCGAATACTCGTGTAAGGGCTCGGCCCAATTCTGTTCTAGATCCTGGAGCTATAGGGAGATAAAAAATTGCTCCTTCGGAAGACGCAAGAACCACTTACAAGCTTCGTTGTTGACATGTACGTCGTATCGATTGCCTGTCCTGTCTTTTCAATTGCTCCAGATAATGTGTCAGGCTCGTTTAAGCTGAAGCCATTCAATGCGGCGCCCAGGTCAGCATGGTCCTGTGCATGTTCTAGAACCAACATGAGTTATTGGATAATTGGATGTTGCAAAGGCTAGTGCAAGAAGAGAAGAGCCGCACCAGACCATCGTTTAACCACTCGACGAGTAACCTTCTCCATCGGACCACTGACATGGTTCGCGAACTTGCTGGTAAAGGCTTCTGAATCCATGAATCGTTGGTCAGGCTGTCGTAGCGGATGGGCGGCCGAAGGATTAGGTAGAGCGGCGTATGCAGGTGAAGCGTTTTGGTCCGTGGGGTTGTGGGAGGGTGCCTTCAAGATGTTCTTTGGCAATTGGGAAAGTGGAGGCGAGTTCAATACCTCGTTCTGATAGTGCTCGTCGATTAACAACGCTGCGCTCAAAGAAGGTAAGGGTACTTGCCCATGAAACTTCTCCGTCCAGGAACCGATGAAAGACGTGTTCGTTCGAGAGTATAGGGTGGCGAGCGAGACGATTCAGAAAGGTTTGGAGTAACCTCTTCCGGCGAGCAATCAGAGTCGCATCCTCTTTCGCCTTTCCTTGCTTCACTGCATAATCACCGATAGTCTGTTTGGACGGGATTGGCGGGATAATTAGTGTTGGGTACAATCGGGAGAGGCTCTCGCGGAGGCTTTCAAATTCTGAATAACGATGCCGGGCTTCTGTATTCTGAACGTCAAGGAGAGAAGCCGAACGGTTAGAGGTGGATTTGAAGGTGGCTCAGTGGTACGTACTCCTGTCTTGATGACGTAGGTAATGTAAGGCGAGCTCGAGTTCAGGGAAGTCTTCTGCGCATCGACGATCTTTGCACAACCCCAGCATTCAAAGGGAGATATTAGAACAGTCGCAGATGGAACATACCAGGATCTCTACGTCCTCCCCGGAGTGCAAAACACGGTCGCGTGTACAACAGAAGTCAGTCTTGAAGTTCGCTTGTGGTTGTCGGTGGGAGCCTGGACTGGGAAACGGTGGACGGTTGATTGTAAGAGTAGGTGAAAGTTGTCGAGATGGGTGCGAAGGGGGGGAGGGCGGCTCGTATAAAGCGACTTGAGATGTGGAGGAAGTCTCTGACGGAATGCGGTCCCCATCTTGCTCAAATGGATTCTCGTCCTCGAAGTTGTCGAGCGCGTTCATCTTCGAACCTAATGGCCCTCGTGAGCGTGAGGCGAGTACTGCGGTTGGAGTCGAAACGGTAAATCCTGGGCGAATCGCAAGCGCTGAGAAACTCCCGCGGTAAAGATAGACCCAGAAGACTCCTAGCGGAATTCAGCACTCGCAGACTGCGAGACACGATTACTCCGTTGACACCTCTGCGCTGTGGGGACGATGAGGACAAGCCTACGAACCGCTTTGTGGTTCCTAGAAGTCCAATGATAATGCGTTCAGGAACTCAGAGCTATGCCTGTATTTGGCTTTGTTCCTCCTTAGTGGCGGCCCGCTACCGAACCTTTGACAGTGTCTCGACTTCAATTGAACAAAAACGATCTTTTAGACGCCGACACGCTGTCGTACATATTCTAACAATTCGAGCCGATTGCCGTGGGTCAGTGGTAATCCTACCCGAAAACCCTAAATCCACTGAACTCGATGCTCTGTTGCACCTCCGGCTCTTCTGCATTCAGGGCCACATTCTCAAACCCTTTCCCGAGAAGTGACGCAAAGAGCTCGTCAATCTGTTCTTCATGCCAGGCATCTGGAACAGGAACAGGTACCATGAAGTTTTGAATCTTTTCATGGACTTCATACCTGACGAGATGAGGTCAGTCTTGTTCGTGTTCAAGCTCACAAGATACCTACCGAAGTTTGCGGCCTTTGCTCGCCTTTGTATCAACCTTTTTCTTCGCCTTTTTCTGCTTTTGGAGGAGCATCCAATCCTCATTTTTGTTTCCGCTGCCCCGTGCGTCGATGATATCTCGCAGGACTTTCTGATAGAAGTCAGTGTCGTCGAAAATTTCGGGATCTATACTCGTGTTGTCTTCGTCGCCTTCCCGGGCTGAAGGGACGCCTATGCGGCTTCTCCTCGCCCTCACGACTTGTGTTCTTTGCAGGAGCTTGGAATGTTCCTGTAGGGTCTCGTCGACGAGTTGCATGACAGACTTGACGTCTTGATTTCCTTTCAGGAATGATCCACGATTCGAAGGAAGAAGGACGGATGGAGCCACCGCTTGTATTTTGGCAGACCATTTCGATAGCGTCTGCAAGATATACGGGTGCAAACTAGAAACTCAGAGGCGTTACTAAATCTGAAAAATATATGTTGAAAGATACATACGCCGTCTCTAGAGCTACAATATCTTCAGTCGCGCCGACAAACACCTCGGAATATCCCTCCGATGATGGATCGTCGAGATTGAGTCTCCGTCGTTTTCGTGCAGGTGGTGTGGTGATGTCGTTGGCTTTCAACAGCGTCTAGCTTAAGGTTAGCTAAACCACCTGCAGTGAACTAGCACAAAAAGCTTACCTCTTGCAGATCGAATAATTCATCTGTTAGCAGCGATGCTTCGTTGAGGAACTTTGAGACGGAATCTTGACATCTAGAGTCGTCGAGATAATCCTTCATTTGGGAAGGCTGGGAAACCTGTTGGAACGAGGATCCAACACAACATAATGGTTCAAACATACTGGTGGTAGTCTGTTGGCAGACACAACAGACTTTTGAAGCCGTATTCGCGTATCGAGTAAGGCATCCCACATTGCCTGCCGATCATGTCTATAGATAGTGAATGCAGCATGAATAAGGTTACATACAATCTGTCTCTTTACGGCATGTCCTTTTTTCGTGTCCTCTTCTCTTGACCTTTTTAATATTGAAGTAATATCTTCGCCAGTTCCTGCGTTCTCCTTCTCATGCCCTTCCCCATGCTGGACGGGCGCAGGTCCTTCGCGATCCTCGGTCAGGTCTTCTTCACTCCCTGACGGAGCTTCATCGTCCGATGGCTCTTCTGACGCGTTGCTACCCTCTTCCTCTAGATCAGATTCCTCTTCTTTGCCGTGTTCAGCTTCTTCTCCTTCGCTCTCGTCACTGGACCCTTGGTCGTCTGACTCTTCCAACAGTTGCTTTCGCGATGCCCGGACACCTTCATATTTCGGATCTGCGACGCTAGGGAGAAGCCTCCTTAGAGAGCTTGACCTATTCGAGATTTCATGAGATAACCCTCGTAAATTAAACGCAAGGACACACCTAACATCCAAATAGTGTTCTCGTGTAACGGATGAGTCTACATGCATCTCTTCGTCAACCTCAGCCTCACGTGCTAATTGATCTTCCGGGTCATAATCTGTAGGTGCTGTCTCTTCCAGCTGCGCTATCTGCTCTGCCAATGATAGTCCTAGAAGGAAAGAAGTGTCATCCAGAAGGTAGATATAAAATGACCAAAGCTTTTACGTACGTCCTGCAACCATCCTTGCTGGTGGGGCGAGAATCTCAACAGTTTGAGAGGTGCACCTAGTGAACTTTTGGGAAAGCACCCGAAATTGCGTATATGAGCGAAGGTAAACGAGAAAGATGGTTGCGTCGTTCGAAAAGGCTGAGTCCAGAAAATGTTGGGTTCATTTATGTCATTGTTGGCCATTTGCTTCGAAATGTAGCAACTTTGTCTTCATAAGGAAGCTGGAGGCCCCTATTATTCCAAGAGATGGACGCTCTGGAGGCGAACGTGCTCAGGTCAGGCAGAGGGACACAGAAGGATCGAAAGCATTCAATCGAGGTCGTGATGTGCCCCAATAAGTGAGGATACCTACTCTACCTAATATTACAATTAGTCCGTATAATACTTACAGGACAGCAGAGCTCTTGGCGCGAATTTAGGACGCGCCAAAAAGCTGTATAGGTTCGTAACGCGTCGTTAACCTCTACAAGTCCGCAGTCTTTGACACCTGCCTCTGCGAGCCCACTGTAGTCTGCGCACGAGTTTTTGCCGCCTCTGCTGCGTCCCGTTCCATCTCCTCAAGTTGAAGCCGTCGCGCGAAGACCTCGTAGCGTATACTGATCGGGGGTGGCTTGTGGATACACTGTTCTGGAGAAAGCATCTTTGGGGGCCGGGCCAGATCCCCACTGACGCGTCTCAGTTGAACCACGGAGTCGAGCACCACGTCGCCCGCATATGTCGTATCGTCTTTCACTTGTCTCGGCATATCATCGAACATGATCGAAGGAACTTCTCTTGATGTGACGTCTACTTGTCGGGGGGTGTCCATCTTGGCCCGCTTCTTGGGTGAGGAAGGTAGCGAGAGCACAGATGCAATAGAATGATCCCTAACAAGAGGTGCAGAAGTCATGCTCGGATGTGTTCCCGCCACAGCTGACAAGAGAATGCAGCCAGGGGGGGTGTGCTCGGGAAGTGAGGGAGGGTCTGAAAGGCGAGGCTGAATGGGGCGCCATGAAGGAAGAAGCAGGTTGGATGGAACGGGGACATGCTGGTTAACCAAATCAGGGTGTTCGCTGACGAAATGACTCTCCAGCATGGCGGGCCTCGAAAAGTGAGGAGATGTGCAGCCTATCCCAAAGGGACATATGTGAGCCAGGAATCGGATAAGAAAAATGAGGTATGTCAGCTACCATTTATCGGACATGGCAGACCAGCACGGTTCATATGAGTCTGGACAATGTGCTTGACAAGGTCATCATATGAGGATAGGGCAATTCCTTGGGAGACACAACGCGGAAGCCAGCATGTGAAGCCCTTTTGCGCCTTTGCGTGAGGGATGGGTATGAGGTTGAAGGATGTTGTGCGTAAGGTTGGTGTCGTACCTTCCGTTGTGCACAACAGTGCCCTTTAAGATGCTGTGGGAAAATATGTGAGGTTGGCTTGTAGATATAGTAGAAAATGAAGGTATCTTTCAAATAAACCGTGTTGTGGGAATGTATTTAATATGCTGAATTTGGGTTTTGGCAATGAAGTCCTGTTGCTGTCATGGAGGAGCGAGTCGAACACTCCCCAGCATGAGATCAGGCATCACCACTTCAGTGGACTTCATAATCAATCTTCCTTTCATCACTGTGCCCCAAAAAAGCGCAGAAAATACAGGGAAAAATAAAGAAGAAAAAGGGAAGAAAACTCCAAAGTGATAACATACCTCAAGATAGGCATTCCAACTTGCCAGCACAATTTTGCACGGGGCTGGTTTCTGTACAGTTCCAGCTGTATTCCATTCACACAGCCAGCCTGAACACTTAATCACATTTTTTGAGATACCAAGGATGTCCTCTGGGCAAAGGTGGACAACCTGAGGAGATGTGCTCATAGCATACTATGCTTTGGCTAGCTGGATGCTGCCCAACCAGCACAGTGATGCCTGAGGAAGTGCGTTGCGCCAAAAGTCGGAATCCGCTAAGGAGTGGATTTGTTATGTTGGAGAAGGTGTTGTCAGTGCTGGTGTTTGAGCAAAGAGGATGCTGATCCCCACCCTTGTGGAGGAAGGATTGAAAGGGGGAGCAGCTCAGGAAAAGTTGGACATCATTTCCTTCTTGGGATATTAACAGTGACTGAGACGGAAATCTGTTTTCAAAAATATTTTGATCATCAAATTAAAGCAAGCAGAGATGCTTTGGGGTGTTGTATTTTTTGTGATTTTTTTCTCTAATTATTCCTAAGGTAGGACATTCTATTATGTGAAAGGAAGTATGATTTAAGGCGGAGGCATGTTGAAAACGACTGTGTGATGACATCAGTGGCATCAATCCGCCTCACAGTTCCCCTCTGACAATTTCACCCAGCACCAGCCAGTCCTTTTAGACGTGCCTCGGCTGCCCTTGCTCTTCGTTCCCTCTCAACCTTTGCTCTCATCTCAGGTGTCAGCCCAGCAACACCATCACCTGCTCCAGATGCTCCTCCAAGCCTCCGGGTATTTGACACCTCCTTCACCTCAGATGTGACTGCAGCAGGTGGTATGATAGGTTGTTCCTTCTCCTTCTCCCTGTCTTTGGCTTCCCGCTCCTTGACACGGTCCTTTAACCCCTTCCTCCTGACCTTCTTCTTCTCCTCACGTCCTTCCTCCATCTCCTGGCTGAGAGCACTGGGAACTCGAGCAGTTCCAAACCAATCCCACCAGTCCGGATGCGCAGCCGCACATCGTCGGAAGATGTCGCGGATGGCCTTGGTCTTGGCGAGATCGTATGCAGCTCTCCGCGAGCCTTTGGCAGGACGTGCTGCGTCAGAGGCATCCGACTTAGGCCCCTCCTCGTCTTCATCGATGTCACCGAGCTTAGCTGACGGAACGGGAATGGTGGGATCCGCCTGAGCTTCTTCGAGCACCCACTTGACTATGTCTTCGTGCCCGGATTGCACCGCGATCTGAAGGATGGTCGCTCGTCTCTCGCCTGTCCATTCCGGGACCAGAGCATTGACACCGCCGATATTCGAACTCTCGCGATCGAGGAACACCTTTAGCGGTTCTAAGCGGCCTTTGTACACCATTTCAAGCAGACGGTTCCATTTGTCGCGTAGGGCTTCCTCCTCCCTCGTAAGCTTAGGCAGCTTCAGCTTCTCCGTAACCGCAACTGGTTGGATGGTGGGGACTGGCTTCGGCTTCGGCAGCGAGGCAAGATAGGCTTCATCCTGCAATTTGAGTTCCTCCTCTGTGAAGTGCGAGATTTTTGGGCGGACAAGCTCAAGAAGACAGCGATTGAGTTCTGATTGAGTCTAAAGCATTTGATGAGTTGAAAGATTTAAAAACGTAAGAATAGAAGAACGCACAGGACGACGGGTGGGGAATGGGAACGTTCTCAATCTCTCATCGTTCTTGGGGAAGACTGCATCGGCATAATCGTAAAAGATCCGACGATTTGAGATGCTTGCGCGGATCCAAATTCTTTCGCAGGATGCAATCTCGTCGGCCCATTCTCCCAACAAATTGCGTATTTCCTATAGGTGCTCCCGTTAGAGGATTCCTGGAAAATTGAAATGTGAAAGAACATACATCTCGGAGAGCCTGTTCACCATAACGTCGAAGAAGTGCACCAGCACTTTTTGCAGGCCCTTTGGCATTATCATTAGCGGATTGTGATCCACCTTGCTTTCGGCGAGCTGATGACGAGGGATTAGAAGCCATGAACACTATCACAGAAACCAGTACTCACTCGTATATCGGTGGAATGTCTTGTGAAGCAAAACTTCTGTGTCAGGTTTGAATTTCTTGGGCTTCTTTTTCTGCCTACTCTCAGCTTCGTCCTCTAGTTCATCTTCGGGCGAGCTGACTCGAACAACTGCTCCAGCAAAGTGACCTCCAGCAACCATAAACATAGCCCATTTCCGTCCATCGGGCACTGAAGACTGAAGCCTTCTCAGTTCGTATAGATATTCACCAGATTCTGTATTCAGTGGCAGGATAGCGCGATAGATTCCGACTTGTGTAGCAGGAGGGGAATGAAACCAGGTGAGAGGTGTCAGAGGCGCATCTTTGGAAGACAACTCGGGTGAGGGCGAACGAGTTGTGAGACGCTTCGCTTTATTCAGTAGTGTGTTAACGGCGTCAGAGTCTTCCCCATCGCCGTCGGATGATGCTGAACCAGACAACGAGTCGTCGAGTCCTGCAGGAAAGATCAGCGAGTATTCCGTCTGAAACTATCTTGCATGCGCACCTTCGACTAGTTGAGCAAAAGCTGTCTCGGTAACAGTCGTACCTCCATTGAGCCGCGTTTTGACGTTGTATCTATGCCAGTCCGATCTGAAATGCGTGCGTTGTTGGTCGACGTCGAGAAATATAGCCCCTTGGCAGACGTTGCAAGCTCGAGGGCCCGATTTAGAAACAGGGTCAACAGGGTCGGGAGTTAGGACGCGTGTCGGTGCTCTGTTTACAAGGTTCCTGGGTGTCAAAGAGTCGAGCAACTCTGCCGGAAGTGCAAAGATGTTATAGTGGGAAGACTGCATTGCGGTAAGATCGATAGAGGTGAACAGAAAAGAATGCTTTGACAATCTGGAAAATGACGCTATAAGAAACCTTTTTATTTTCAAAAGGCTACACAGGTGCGGGTCCGACGGGCCACAGATGACTGGGACGCGACCTTAGAGGCAGTGGATGTGGTGGTTGGAGCAGACCCTTGTTGACTCGATTAGAAAGCCGGGAGCGGCCCGCACCCGGAGATTGCCGGACACTTCGCGCATCGCCAGATATGGAAGCATATTTCACGCCTTGACCAAGGTCCACGTTTGCGACTCGTAAAGACGGCCCTCCATCGCCGTTGCAATCTTGGTTTCATTTAGCTCCACACACGTCGCACAATGGTGTCTGCAGCATTTGCTGACAGACCTCTCAAGAAGTTGTGCCTATTCGACGTCGATGGCACACTGACGCCTGCGCGGCAGGTATGTTCCATGCTTCACGCTTCTGTTGATTGAAACCAAGACGTCATTGTAGGCTGTTTCTCCAGAGGCGCTCGAGACCCTTCGCGAGCTGCGCAAAAAGCTCGTGATTGGGTTTGTTGGAGGCTCTGATTTGGTCAAGATCACGGAGCAATTGCAGACTGGGACTTCGAACAGTGCGCTCTAGCTTTCTTGTCCCTACCAATGATTTCTTACTTTCTTCTTGCAGTTCTCGACAACTTTGATTATGCGTTCGCTGAGAATGGTCTGACCGCGTTTAAGCTTGGTAAACCTTTACCATCTCAGTCGTTCATCGACTTCCTCGGCGAGGAGCGTTACAAGCCCCTCGTGAACTTCATTCTTCACTACATCGCTGATCTTGACCTACCAATCAAGCGGTAAGAATGCTAACTCTGTGTTATTAGCTCACTCATTGACTTTGGCTTCAGCGGAACCTTTGTTGAATTTCGTAGGGGCATGATTAATGTTAGCCCCATCGGCCGCAACGCAACGTGGGTAACGCTGCCGGGCGTGGACCTCATATGCTGATTTCCCGGAAAGAATACAGGAGCGATACGAATTTGAAGCTCTTGACTTGGTACGGAATGATCGATAGTTCTTCAAAATTATTCAACGTACTTGCGACAGAAAAACGGTTATCGAAAAGCTTTCGTGAACATGCTCAAGGAGAAATTCCCAGAATACGGCTTGACTTATGCTATTGGTGGTCAGATATCTTTTGATATCTACCCTAATGGCTGGGACAAAACATATGCCTTAGGCCGCGTCGAAGATGAGCAATTTGAAGAAATACATTTTTTCGGCGACAAGACATACAAAGTAACCACGCTCTTCTACTTCTGAGCTCCTTTATATTTACATTTGAACAGGGAGGCAATGACTACGAAATCTATACCGACCCTAGAACGATTGGGCACTCAGTTGAGAACCCTACTCAGACGATACAACTTGTGAAGGAACTCTTCTTGAGTAAGTAGAATTAGAGAGAGAATTGTTCAAATTAAACTCGGAGAATCCATCATGATATTTTGCACTTACTTATATACATTCCTGTTTGCAATGCTTGTTTCAACTTTCAACTTGTTCAGCGAGGCGAATGTTGGACCACCGGGCCGGGGTTGATTACATAATAGGCCTTGGATAGAGCCCGACCCAAGTCGAGTTCACGCGGTCTTACACACAAGCCACCACTATCCCCGAGGTTGACTCGAACCTCGCCCAGTGAAATCTAGACGTAACACGACGCGAAATGTCGGCTCCAGCTACTCAAGCCAAGGAAAATCAACCTCTAACACGACAGAGGTGCGGATCCCGCATATTGATGTCGCGAGCCGCGACGCGTCTCTGATGCCTTACATATTTACGCGACTACAGGACTGAAACCGACTTCAGCTTATTGCCAGCTACCAAGAAGCGCAAACTTGGGTCGACGCAGTCGTTTGGATCCCAGGGGGTGTTGCAACAACCATCATTCGCTGATGTTTTGGAACGGTTGAAGGAGGAAGGCGCTAATGGGCCAAATGGTATGCCGTATCGCGTCAATTCTATCCAGATATCGGTTGCTCACTTATTTAACCCTAGGTGCTGAAGGAGGCGCCGACTGTTGGGCACGGCCACCTCTTCCTCGTATCGACGAGAAACGCGATTCAATCGGTACGGTTTCGTCTGCCCTCTGATTTGAATAAGGCGCTAAAGACATCCTGTGCAGTGTTTCAGCAAATAGATGTTGAGGCCTCTTCAAATCCTGAAACCGGCGCAATAATTTTGAGGATGTTTGGCGTTACAGAGGATGGACATAGCGTTCTCGCCACGGTTACCGACTATCTTCCATACTTCTACGTTCCTGTTCCTCGTGGGTTCACGGATACTGATATTGAACCATTCCGCCAATACTTGAACGTGTGTTACCTTGTCTTTTGAAAGCACACAATAACTCACGGGTTCATATAGGGCATCTTTGATAACGTCGTTCGCAATATTGAGAAAGTGATGCACAAAACACTGATGGGCTACAGAGGCGACGTCTTAGTCCCTTTTCTGAAGCTCACACTTTCAGAACCTAGAAGTGTCCCAAAAGTACGAGATAAGTATTCACATCCTCTCTTCCATGACAGCGACAGGAGCCTGATATACTTTGACTATATACGCTTCTTCGACCAAGAAGGCCCTGGATACAACGGTTTCTTCGATGGAACGCATCAAACATTTGAAAGCAACATTGTATTTGTCCTTCGATTCATGATCGATACCAAAGTGAGTCTTACCCAACATCCTCCTATTTTATTCTCAATCGCATTCAAGGTTGTCGGTATGAATTGGATTGAAGTACCTGCTGGAAAATATGCCATCACCCCACAAGGAAAGAAGCGTTCCACATGCCAACTTGAAATATCTATGAGGTGACTCAAGGCCTGTTAGTTACACCCCATTGCGCCTCCGCTCACAAAATACCTAAGATACGATGCCTTCATCTCGCATGCACCAGAAGGAAACTGGTCGAAGATTGCACCTTTGAGAATTTTAAGTTTCGATATCGAGTGCGCAGGTAGGAAGGGAATTTTCCCAGACGCCAACCACGACCCTGTCATCCAAATAGCCAACATGGTTACTCGCCAAGGTACGGACTCCGTCTCCAATTTCTTGGAGGTACTCATCCCGAATTCTCGATCAAAGGCGAACAAAAGCCATTTATTCGAAACATATTCACCTTGAATACCTGCTCTCCCATCGTTGGGTCCCAGGTTCTCTCTTTCAATGACGAAGGAAACCTCTTGCAAGCTTGGAGAGATTTCGTAGAAGAAGTTGATCCTGATGTAGTCATCGGTTACAACATTGCAGGGTTTGACTTCCCTTATCTCATTGATAGAGCGAAGGCTCTGAAAGCCACAAAGTTTCCGTACCTTGGGAGAATGAGGGGTGAGTCTTTCTCTTGTATGTATTGGCGCGGTCAAATCAACCTTGTTAGGCATGAGAACGGAGACCAAGAACACTCACTTCTCATCGAAGGCCTACGGTCAACGTGATTCAAAGGATACACCCCTGGATGGGCGCCTCCAGCTTGATGTGTTACAATTCATGCAACGAGAACACAAGCTGCGAAGTTACACTCTGAACTCGGTCTGCGCAAAGTTCCTTGGGGAACAGAAAGAAGACGTCCACCATTCCGTTATCACCGATCTCCAAAACGGCACTCCTGAGTCAAGACGTCGGTTGGCTGTGTATTGTCTAAAGGTAAGACTCCAAACGAATCTTGATCTGTCGCTAAAATGCTGCATGACAGGATGCATATCTTCCTCAACGGCTACTGGACAAGCTCATGTGTTTCGTCAACTATGTTGAGATGGCCCGTGTCACAGGAGTGCCATTCAATTACCTTCTTGCTAGAGGACAATCTATCAAGGTCTTGTGTCAGCTATATCGCAAGGCTAATGAAGAGGGTTATTTGGTCCCCATGAGCAGGTCTGAAGGTTAGAATCTTCTAGGTCCTCAGCTTTTCAAAATTACAAGGTTCTTTAATAGGAACGGATGAACAGTATGAAGGTGCAACTGTCATCGAACCCAAGAAAGGTTACTATGACGTCCCTATTGCCACACTGGATTTCAGTTCGCTGTATCCCTCAATCATGATGGCGCACAACCTGTGTTATACCACACTTCTCGACAGACCAACTGTGGAGCGCCTGGGCCTGGTCAAGGATGTGGACTACATCCAAACCCCCAATAATGGTTCGCGTGGTCTTCTTTCTTGGTGAATATCCATCCAACTTATTACCCGCTTTCAGACCTATTTGCAACTACCAAACGGCGAAAAGGCTTGCTTCCCACCATTTTGGAGGATCTTATAGCTGCCCGTAAACGAGCAAAGGCGGACTTGAAGAAAGAAACAGACCCTTTCAAGAAGGCCGTCTTGGATGGGCGACAACTTGCCTTGAAGGTTGGGCTGATTTTCTACCACCTATCAGTTTATTGAACATCCATATAGATTAGCGCCAATTCCGTATACGGATTTACGGGAGCTACCATTGGAAAGTTGCCTTGCCTTCCCATTTCTTCCAGTGTGACGGCGTACGGTCGTCAGATGATTGAAAAGACAAAATCGGTGCGTGTTTTTTCGTGGTCACATTGTCTCCTTAAATCTCATAAGCACATATCCTTTAGGCTGTCGAAGAGGAATACTGTATCTCAAAGGGACATGCTCATGATGCTGTAGTTATCTACGGAGACACAGATTCTGTCATGGTAAAGTTCGGCCCTACCGACTTGGCGAAAGTCATGGCGCTGGGTGGGTCTCGGTCTCTCCGGATCTTCTTCTTTGACTGAAATTTGGTCCCCTTGAAGGTAGCGAAGCTGCCGAGTTGGTAACAGCCCGATTCGTGAAACCCATTAAACTTGAGTTCGAGAAAGTCTATTATCCGTATCTGCTTATCAACAAGAAACGGTATGCTGGACTGTACTGGACGAAGACGGAGAAATACGATAAAATGGATGCGAAGGGCATTGAGGTGCGTTCGTTCCTACGTTGTTGATGAATTTGTTGATTGAAAACGTTACTATAGACTGTTCGGCGAGACAACTGCCGCCTTGTGTCGACCGTCATCGAAACATGCCTTCACAAGATGCTCATCGACAGAGATGTTAGAGGAGCGGAAGAGTGAGACCATAACAAGCTGCAGCCGACCAATATCCTGATTCTTGGTTGTCAGGTATACGAAGAGAGTTATCTCGGAGTTATTGCAGAACAAGATCGATATGTCGCAACTTGTAATCACCAAAGCTCTCGCGAAAGACAGTTCGTAGCATCTCTTTCGCACTCCACCGGCTAACTGACAGCTTACTAGATTATACTGGGAAGCAGGCGCACGCTGAACTTGCAGAGAGGATGAAACAACGCGATGCGGGTAAGCTTATGTATCCCTTTCTTCTCATTCTCGTTCTAATTGTATATGTTCATCTAGGTTCTGCTCCTGCACTTGGTGATCGTGTCGCCTATGTCATCATCAAAGGAATCAAAGGTGCAGCTGCGTACGAGAAGTCGGAAGATCCCCTATACGTTCTCGAAAACAACATTCCCATCGACACGAAGTACTACCTGGAGAACCAGCTCTCAAAACCTCTTATGCGTATCTTCGAGCCTATCCTGGGCGATAAGGCGTCTTCGCTATGTCAGTAGTCTTCTCACTTGGCGTCGAGGTCCGACTGACGTTGAGATTTCTACAGTATCTGGGGATCATACGCGCACAATTCAAATTGCCACGCCCACAGTAGGCGGCCTCATGAAGTTCGCTGTGAAGACAGTCACTTGCCTGAGCTGCAAAACGCCGCTAAGAGGCAAGGAGTCGAGTATGTTGGCTAACCGTTGACCCGTATCTCTTTTCTGATTTTTCATCTCGCCAGATGGTGCTGTGTGCAAGAATTGCAAACCGAGGATGCAAGAGCTGTATCAAAAGCAGATTATGCAGAGTTCAGAGCTGCAAGTGCGATTCTCGCGTCTATGGACGCAATGCCAGCGGTGTCAAGGCTCTCTTCATCAGGTGAACAATACTTCTCTGACTTATAGGTGCTTTTTCTAAAACGTCTTGCAGGATGTTCTATGTACCAGCAAGGATTGCCCAATTTTCTATATGCGCAAGAAGGCCCAGAAGGACGTTGAGGATGCTAATACTGTCCTAGAGCGCTTCGAGAGCGAGGATTGGTGATGATTTTCATGATTTATTTATTGTATCGCATTTGGTTTTTTTGCACACTCTGATATCATAATGTCAACTCCTTGTAGCCATAATACAACGACACTGTCTTGCCTAAGCTGTTACTCTACAATCGACTCAGGTCCTTTTGCGACGACCTAACTTCCTGCTCTTCCGCCAATCTCAAGATCCACGGGCTGACGAACCCACGCGCAACAAGTTCCTTCTTCGGTAAGTGTTTCGCCCCTTGGATTGTCCTCAGGCATGACTATATATATCAAGAGAAAGAAGGGAAAGAGGCTTTTAAACATTTCGCCGAGATGAAGACGAGAACACACGTACCGGCTTCCCACATGCACACCTAAAAGGTTGATCCATGTCCCATTCGGTGCTCGGGTAGAAAAAGGTTACTGTGGCGCAGTGTTTCAGCGACGGATTCGGGCATGAATGAGAAGACCAACCTGCTTCTCCTGCTGCGATGTCCTTCAGCGCCCGGAGGTGCCATTTCGTCGGATCGGGAGACGACAGGTCGAAGGCGACGTTTGGTTCACAAGAGTGGTTAACTGGAATGAATATCCGTTTGTGTGTGCCAGCCGGGGAGATGGGATACGAACGAACTGTAAACGAGGTCGCTGTTCAGCTCGATGTGATCTTCCGGACCGGGACCACATTGGACGGTGGTGTATGCTTTCTTTCCTCTCGTCAGGCCCGTTAGCGGCGCGAGCTTCTGACCAGCTTTGAAAGCCTATTTTCCTTTGGCCTTTAGCTTGAATCCGGAATGAGAATGAAGAGAGGGCACCTTCAAGCTCTTCAACCCAGAGGCAAAATCTCCCTCACGAAACTCTACGATGAAGTCGCGGTGCGACGGGACATATGACTTTCGTGAAGGTTTCATGTCGGGATGGCAGTACTCAAGGAGACTTTCAGAATTCCAAGAGGGTCTCATGGGGTCGTCCGGGTGTGCTTATATGCATATCGCCGACTCAACGTGTCTCCGCCGAACAGCCTCGTGATATCGGAATTGCGTCTCCACTGGCGAACATTCTGACGGAGGAGGGTCCCGGAAACGACACAAGGGAATCTGGAAACCTGGGCGGAGGGGCGATCATCGATAAGATTTGCCCGATTACGGGGTCGCGATGTGCGTATATTCCGAGTGTATAATTGGCCCAGTATGATGCAGCGGATGCTTGGGAGGCCTGGCGCTTTCTGGGGTACGTCAGTCTTTCATATGCATCGGCGATGGGCATTAGGCCAAGGAAGCTTGAACTGAATGAAGATGAACTGAATGAAGAAGGTTGAAGCGGAACATGGCTCGAACTTGGTGAAAGGCGAGATGGCTTCAAAGATGTCGAGGTAGGGAGAATCTGAAGAGGCGGCCTTGGCATCACCGGGGCTTATCACGTGCTCGGCGCTCCTGGCGGAGTTCGAACCTTAATCGATCAACTATACAGTCCACAAACCCAAGATTTCGAGCAATCAGGGGCATCGCAAGTGATCATCGACGATCCACCAGCCGCTAACATCGACAACCACCAATGGCCCCCACCAAAAAGTCCAAAGCGGCCAAGTCCACCGAGTCCATCGCGGCCAGGCTCGCCCTCGTCGTCAAGTCGGGCAAATACACCCTGGGCTACAAGTCCGCGCTGAAGCAGATGCGCAGCGGCAAAGGTGAGCGCTTGTTTCATCCTCTCCTGGGGACTGGAGCGTGAGGCTGAGAAGGTCCCTTGAACTGACTTTTGTGTCCTCCCCCCCCTTCCCTTCACACAGCCAAGCTTGTGCTGATCGCCGGCAACTGCCCGCCTCTGCGCAAGTCCGAGCTCGAGTACTACGCCATGCTCTCAAAAACCACTGTGCACCACTTTGCTGGTACCAACGTCGCCCTTGGAACGGCTGCCGGAAAGCTCTTCCGTGTCGGGTGCGTCTTCACTGTTTTGACTGGTAATTGACGTTATACTTAACGAGTTCTATTCTAGTGTCATGACCGTCAGCGACCAGGGCGACTCCGATCTGCTGACCTTCGCTGAGGGGGCTTCTGCATGAGCTGTAGCAATGCACGTCCGTATGATCCATTATGTATGTCGTCACATAGAACAATGGACTATGACACATTTCGTGCTTGAGTACTTGCGTTCGTTCGAAGTTTCCTGTCAACTTCCTGTGTTTCTTGCCGGCCATTCTCTAAGTTTCTGGCACCACCTACGATGCGGTGTACCCTCGTTTATCTACCCCAATTGATACCTCGGAGCATCCATATCCCTGCTAAAGAGTAGCATACACCGATGTGGCGTGTCGCGTACACTTCGATGCGTTATGTCGCTCCGACATTGTTTGGATTCTATGCATGAGTTTGACACCCATGCGGACATAGGACAGCCCTTCGATTGTATTTCTTTATAATGAAAAAAGGACTCCAGCAAAACAGGTTCGGCCTTCTTGGCCTACATCCTGGTGACTGTATGTCTGATCTCGCTCTGCGCGGTTTCTCGTATCTCGTTATACGCTGTCTCGTATTCGTATACGGTACGGTTCGGTCTCCGGCCTTGGTCAAGGTCCAGGTTTCTGTACAGTAAGGCGCCGTGTAAGGCTACCCCAGGGTCTCAGCAAGTGTCATCATGTGATTTCATCTGCGGTACCGCGAGCATGCTTCGTGCAGCTCCTGTGCGCTCCTCCGGCTACAGGCAGGCATCCGGTAAAGTCACGAAATTGCAACGAGCGGGGTTCGAACAAGAGTCCTCATGACCTCACTTGCACTTAGTATCGCGACAATACCCGGCGTTAATCCACCTGAGCCCTGTCGAGGGCAAAGTATTCTAATGTACACTAAATAAATACCCTTATGAGAGAGTCTTTCGCACAAGTTTTCTTTGAATTTCTTGCGCCTGCACTCCAGCGTCAGTGAGGGGGATCAACACTAGAACAAGGAGGGTTGGGCTGAGGCTCTCCGTCAATTTCTTGAGCAATTGTGGTGCATAGACTTCCTGCGAAGTCGCATCACGGCACCAGCTGTCAGTGTAATCCTCGATTGGGATAGAACTTCCAACAGAGGAATTATCAGAGGTATCACTTCAGTGCAGAGTAGTCTACATACAGTTCTAAAGAGGACAACAAGGAAGAAAAGCAGGATCAGACTACAAGCACAATCGAGGAATTACAACAAAGAGGGAGTCATCTCGATAATAGAATGAGGACCCTTGGTCGTATATTCTGCTTTTGAGACGTAGTTCTTCCCGTTGGGGTCGCTGAAGATGATCTGCGTAGAAAATTATTGTCAAATTTCAACCTACTGTGTCAAAAGGGCAGACTAACTTTGGCAGAGATACTTGTCCCAAGGAATGCAGCGTAGCCGTTACCTGTCTCGCGATACTCGGCATAATAATCGGGTACATTTAGCACACGAATCAACCGTGGCTGCAGGTCGGTATTAAGGTCGGCGTTCATGATGAATTGGGCCAACCGCGACTGGAGGGCGATACCAATGCCTAGACACACCAGTAAGTAACACGTCGACTAGTTCAGACGTTCCGTACACACCTTTTACATGCCTTGTAACATCGCCAGTCACAAACAATCCTTGCCAGATATACTGCCGCTGGTCAACATCCGTCTGGTTGACAGCAATACCTACAACCTCCTGCAGCGCTCGAGGTCTCTCATCACCAGGGATCAGCATAGGCAACCCAGGCAATCCAATCAGCAGCGTCGGGTCGAATAGCGGCTCGCAGAACCGATGGCGCTCCTTGCCGAGCGTCAGCGAGTGTTCGCGGAACTGCACCGTAACGAGGTCGAGCGCCTCGATCTCGCGGGCACGCGCCTGTTCCGCCGCAGATGCCTTTGCGGTCAGCTTTTTCTTCATCCCGCTCTCGATGACCGCTTTTTCGCGTCCTGCCACAACTACAGCCGCGATGTCCGTCACGCCCTCATCCTCTGGGATCGCCGTCTCCCCGTCCGACGGAATCTTGATCAAGTCCTCCCTTAATAGCTGCTTCACGAGATCGAGAAGGGTCTTTTGCAGGGTCTCCTCATCGAGGGGGCTGGTTGGTGGTGAGAGTGCGTTCATAACACTCTGGTTTGAACGCAGCAAGTATGCGAGGTAGGTCTGGCAGTGACGCGTGCCGAGTGGGACGGATGTGCGGGTGTGATGGGCGATGAAACCTTCGTAGATGGGGTTGATATCTGTAACCTCCTCGCCGATGTCGACAACGACACCGCTCAGGCTGTTCGCAGAGTATATCTGCGCCATGGGTCGTTCGAGGATGCCGAAGCCAGCGACGTTGAACCGTTCAAAAAAGATCTGGCAGATGCGCTCATAGGTGTTGCGCGAGACACCTGGTGTGATGGAGAGAAGGACGGGAGATTCATTTTGGACGCGTCTGCGTTGGAGTTGGTTGAACAAAACATATTTCCTACTTGCACGTCAGTTCAATTCTGGCGTCAATGACGTTCAGACACACCAGATAGCCTCTGCCTGTGTCCAATCACTGACGTCCCCTTCTGCGAATGGCCAAGAGACGATGATGTCCTGCCCACTGGCAAGAGCATCATCGAGCTGCGCTCCAACAAGGTAATCCTTCACACCGGCGCTTGGTACAGCAGTCTGCGGAAACACCGAGGCTGCACGACTCGTTGACGCCCATGGGTCGCCATTTCCGTTGAAATCGCCGTTCGTCGAGAAATCCCCAAACGCACTTTTGCGAAGCCCGACACGGGCTGGGATATCCTTGAGGAAAATGCCTAAGTTCATGGACATTAATCAAGGTTGTGCGACACTCACAACGGTGGGTGTTCTCAAGAGCTCATGGAGGCCCAATCCTGCGCGAACGACGGTCCTGCCTGTCTCGATGATCACGACGTTCGCGTCGCGAATAGACATGTTCAAGTGACGATGTGGTTTGGACGGAAACGCGTCTGGGCTCAGGTTAGGGTTCAGTGTGATCACAGGACCAACGGATGGAAATGAAATTCACATCCGAGCTTGGCGCGTCTGAAATGTTGCCGCCACCGTCAAGTCGTTCGATTTCTTCAATTGTCGTGTCCTGGTCGAAATAAATACGGCGCATTGCTAGTGGACGACGGGACACTTGGGAAAGCCTCTCTTCTTCTCTTGTTGGACGAGACGAAGTGGATATGTCTGCCTGGCGACCCCTCAACGTGCCCCTCACGGGCGAAAAGCCTTTTACGGACTACAAGCGCTGGAGGCTTCTTGTGAACGACGGTGGACGCCACACATGGCACTACCTACGCACAGACGAGGAAGTGGAAAAATGGCCGCAGAATGACGTTGACAGGTTCTCTCTTGGTCTGCCAACGGTGAGCAAATCCTAGGCGAAATGCTAGACTGGGATGTACTGAATAGACTGCCTCTAGGGCCTGCCTGACCTACCTCCACCGAAAGACGCGCTCGACGCGGCTCGCAATGGGTACAAGTTCTACAAGCACCTCCAGTCGCACGATGGGCATTGGGCGGGCGAATATGGAGGTCCTATGTTCCTCATTCCTGGCCTGGTGATCGGTTCTTATGTCACTGGAATGCCGTTCAAGGAGGAAGAACGCCTGGAACTGATTCGTTACCTGTTCAATCGGGCGAATCCAGAAGATGGAGGTTGGGGGATGTAAGTTCCTTTTTCTTACATTTCAAAGAAACAAATGCGTCTCATGTTGTGGTGCTTTCTTTGGTCCGCTTTTACTGACCTGGACGCGTTTTCGTGTGTTCTTGTAGCCATGTCGAAGGACACTCGACAATGTTTGGAACAGGACTGAATTACACCGCTTTGCGTATCCTCGGAGTCGACAAGGACCACCCTGTTTGCGTCAAGGCAAGGGCGACGATGCACAAGATGGGTGGATGCACCAGCATTCCGTCGTGGGGCAAATTCTGGCTAACACTTCTCAACGTCTACGACTGGGAAGGGAGCAACCCAGTCCCTCCTGAACTATGGCTAGTTCTGGTCTATTCTCTCCCTCGACGTTTAACGAATGCTTCTCAATAGGCTCCTTCCCGACTGGGTTCCTTTCCACCCTCACAAGTGGTGGATCCATACTCGCAATGTGTACATCCCAATGAGCTATCTGTTTGGCGTCAAATTCCAGATGGAAGAAAACGACCTCATTTTGTCGCTGCGCGAGGTAGAGTTTCATCTCTCTCCAGGTCTCCATTTTATTCAACGACCCATAGGAACTGTACCCAGAAGATTATTACAGGATCAAGTGGCCAGCTCAGCGCAACAATATCAACAAGCTCGACGAATACTCGCCGCATTCCGCTGTCTTCAACACCATTGGCAGCGTGCTTTCCATCTACGAAGGCTGCGTCTTCCCGCCTCTCCGACGCGCCGCCAACGCGAAGGCCTACCGTCTCATTGTCATGGAGGACGAAAACACGGAATATCAAACCCTCGGGCCTGTGTCGAAGATGTTCAACCTCATCGCGCGAACATACGCCGAGGGTCGCGAGAGCATTGCGTACAAAGAGCACATGATCAAGCGGCAGGATTTCATGTGGGTCAACGCGGAAGGTATGATGATGACTGGGACGAATGGGAGCCAGCTTTGGGATACTGGGTTCATCTCACAGGCGCTGGTGGAGACAGGGCTGGCAGAGGAGCAGGAGAATAGGGAGAGTTTGCTCAAGACGCTGGAATGGCTAGACCAGGCGCAGATTCGAACGGACCCGAAGCATTATAAGGAGGCCTATAGGCACACCTCCAAGGGTGCTTGGGGCTTCAGGTGTGTACAAATCTCGTCTCCATATTTCTTGACCGATGTTCATTCGTGATGTTATAGTACGACAGAGCAGGGATACACCGTCAGCGACTGTACAGGCGAAGGCTTGAAGTCCGCGATGTATCTCCAATTCAACCTCGGGTACGTCCGTCTGCTATGCATTCAAAAAGCAAAAGTTGACTCCTATACTAGTTTTACTCCGAAGCTCATTTCGAAAGAGCGTATGTGCGATGCGGTCGACCTTCTACTCACTTTGCAAAATCCGAATGGTGGTTTCGCGAGCTATGAGCTTATTCGGGGCCCCGCTTGGCTCGAACTACTTAACCCGGCAGAAGTCTTCGGTTGGTTTCTTTCCGTGTATCCGTCTCTCGAAGCACTGGAGTTGATATATTCCTCTTACAACAGGCAACATCATGATTGAATATAATTACCCCGAATGTACGACATCTGTGATTACTTGTCTGGCGATTTTCCGGAAGCATTTCCCTGATTACCGTGCTGAGGATATCGAGTACGTTAATCCGTTAAAACTGGAGACACGAGATACTGACTCCTCTTGCGCCTTTCTTTTTTGTGAAGTCGTACAATCAAAGGAGCTATCAAGTATCTCCATGCTGCGCAAACTCCTGAGGGTGGCTGGGTAGGCTCGTGGGGGATCTGCTTCACGTATGCCATGCAATTCGCGTTGGAAAGTTTGTCTCTCGTGGGCGAGACATACGCGACGAGCCCACGTGCGAAGAAAGCTTGTCAATACCTCTTGAGTCACCAGCGCGAAGACGGAGGCTGGGGCGAGAGTTACAAAGTACTGCTCTCGTTTTCATGCATTCGCATTTTTCATCTAAACTTATATGTTTTAGTCATGCGAGCAGAGTCGTTGGATCGAACACGAAAACACTCAGGTCGTCCAAACCTGCTGGGCTGTCATGGCGCTCATATATGCCAAGTATCCATTCCCTGAACCCATCGAGCGCGGTGTTCGATTGGTCATGTCGCGCCAACGACCGGTAAGACATGATCTTTACCTGCCGTCATTTCTGTTCTTCTGACAAACGCCGCCAATAGGATGGGTCATGGCCTCAGGAAGCTATTGAAGGCATATTTAACAAAACGTGCGCAATCGCTTATCCGAACTTCAAGTTTTCGTTCCCCATCTGGATGCTGGGCAAGGCACACCATTATCTGAAAGACCTCAAGGTGAAAGGTGTGGTTAACGGCAACGGCAACGGCCATAGAGCGAACGGCATCCATTAACGGTCCAACCTATTTGTGGTCTTATGTTTATTTCTCTTCGAGTTTCTTGCCTACAGCTCAGTGGGTGGATGGTTCATGATGTTCGTCTGCATGTAATTCCCCTTCATTCCTCCTACTTAGATGCATGATGTTTCACCTTGCTGTCTTTATTAAATGAGACGATTCTGAGAGCGCCAGGAGTGTTGGTTTCATTTCTGGAGTCCAATGTGTGCTGCTCACCTTGAGGTAGGCGTTGAAAGATTGCTAGACAGATCAAAATGCTAGATGTGGAACCCAACGTGAACTCTGAACGCGGAGGTTCTATCAACGCAAACACTGGTATGGTATTGGTGCACAATTTTTGTTCAGTGACAAAAATGTCCGCATATTATATACCGTAACTGCGATAATCCATCTATTGAAAGCTTGAGCGACCTGTAGCGTCGAGGGGAACGCAGGCTGGCGTCCTACACACAAATCATGTGCATGATCATTGGACTACCCAATTTGGAAACAAAGCTGCCAAAAAGGGATATTGTCAGCCGTCCAACCGATCTGAGGCTGACGGTCAGCCCCAGGTCAGCCCTCAGTTAAATTTGGAATAGGAGGACAAACAAAGACAACGTATGTTTGGTGTATAAAAAGGCTGCGCCTCTCCGTTCAGCCATCCATCGCGTCTTGCCTCTCGACTTCTTCCATCACCCCCTTCAGAGGCTTCCTCTATCCTCAGACACACCTTCGACTCTCAACCTCATCTTTGGGCATCGCGTATCATGCTTAGTGAGCAGCTTAAACTCATACTTCCTCCGTATTGATACTCATATCGCCCTAGGCGTTCTCTCCATGCCCATCACATCATTAACTTGCCATCCGGCAATGTCCACGGCAAGGCGTCGCGCAACTTCCTACGACCCCGCCTAGGCGATGTGAGTGCATCTCGCCTTGATACCTTCCATTAGCTCACCTACTCACGTAGACATGTCCCAAGCGTCCCGTTCAGTATTTCTTTGCTCGCCTTCGACGGCGAGGTCCTCAGTCCTCGTTTCACGACCCCGCCTTTGATCATCTTCCGCGGCGGGTCTTCAACACTCCTTTATCAGCCTCTCAACGTACACAAGGCCCACCACTCACCCCATCCACACCACGCACACTATCCGCTGCATCCTACCCGGTCTGGCAACGCCGGTTAGTCACACCGCAGTATGACCAGCTGCCAACTACCATGTGTAATCGATGGTGGGGAAGCGGTTCGTCTGGATCGGGTACGGCTTGTCAGAGACACTCGTCCGCAAAAGCCACGACCAGGTGGTGCGGATGTGGTGCACTCAGCTCGCCCTCTCGGTCTGGAGGTGCACCCCCTGGAGGTAGTATGCTGGATTGCATGCCATCGTCGCTTTCCGAAGGCAGAACCCACAGGGGGTGAAGCGTGGTGCTAGATGGGGAAAGTGGCCGTTGAAGAGATCACTGGTGAGTTTTTTTTCGGTCATGTCGAGGTAGACGGATGCTGACATTACTTCAAGCTCTGCATTCAGCTTGGGCGAGAGTGGACCTTCTTGTATTTTCCATCTGCTCTTCGACCGGTCTGTGCACCAATGACGATCGTACAGATTCTTTACCACCATTGGTCACTCGCTCGGGGACGATGACCGCTCGCCAGTTCTATGTAGCCCGGCGGCCTTGTCTCTGGCACACCTCGCACAATTACCCAGCCCTACAGTCGCAGGACTCATTCCGTCCGAGACAAGACATGTCGACCTCATAGTCCATTCACTCTGCAGCGACTCAGACCTATCAATCGAGTCCCGCCGTCACAGGCCTGCCACGGAACCGCAGTGATCATATTTTCCTTGTGAGTTCTATCTCAATCTTGGGAGGCGAATCACTGACAACATAAGCTAGGCTCTTTTTCTTTTTCTTTTTCTTTAGCTTGTTATACCATTTTATCTGCGCACAGACGCAAGCATTAATACTTAGCACCCTCATATCGAGGCATAACATTTTCCTTTCTCTCTTTCCTTTCTTTTTCCCTTATCTTGACAATCACAAACGCAAAAGTCATTAAATATCATAAAACCGCAGTAGTAGTATGGTCCTCATAACAAGTGTCCGCCTTTGGATAAATACAAACGTTTTTCGATGAACCTCCTCGGCAAAGACAGGGCGAAGTGGCGCATCGATCAAATTGCCTTGTTGGATTTAATCAAATCGTCATCGTGATCTACGTCTGGTTGGGCTTTTTTTTAAAATTTATTTCGCTGGAAAAGACGATTAAATGGGGATTCGTGGGCTAGTAGATGTAATCTTACATATGGAGAAGGTATATTCGACTGGCGGTAAGAATTGAATATGATGAATAGTAGTACAATCGGTAAGTCGAGGTATCATCTTCGACGACGACGAACAAACAGGAACCCTGAATCTCGAGAACCTTGACATAGCTCGAAGCAAGCCTGCCTTTCCCGTGTGCCTCATAGTGACGAGAGAATAGGTACTCATTATTGATTTACTATAGAGATCGTCAGGTATTTGGATGCATCCGACGTCTTGTGCACGCAAACCGGAATCTATGCCTCGAAGCGGAACGCTCTTGTACCCCGATGGTTTATAAGGTGTTCTTGTAAGACGACTTTCCAGAAAGAGGGGTCCAGGACGTCGCATGCGGAGTCTGAGCCGTCGGAGAGATACCATGATAATTGCACGAAGACAAGGAGGCCTCGGACTGGACACTCGTCGAGACTGCGTATTGACGACAAAAGATAGAGAACACCTCCACAAGTGATAGTTTTCATCGTGCGCAGGGATTACGTCGTGGTTACACCGTTGACCACTGACGGTCATCGTCCAGCAACTCACAGCAAGGTAGAAATTCTATCAGAAATGACCAGCTGGTTTCGGCTGACTCCACAAAAGGCACTCCAATTTGCAATCCTTTTGACGCTGGGAAATGGCCGACTACTTTGCTTCTAGCCAGTTCTGAGAACAATAGAGAAGGACAATAGTAGACGAAGAGAGAAACCACTTGCAGAGGGATTAGACATCATAGGCAGGTCCGAGAGAAATGGAGGACCAGGATTGCCAGCGCGAGTTACAAAGTACAACTGTACCTGGACAAGACATAGTACAGAACGCGATGAAGGAGGAAAACAAGGGAGAGCGGTGCAGAGAAGAGTTGCCGAAAGCGGAGGTGTTGTTTGTCCGTGTGGGTATGTCCTCGAGCCAAACAGGGTGGTCCCTTGTCCGTTCCTCCCTTCAGCCCTTCTTCCATTATTCGGTCATACGAATACCGTGGAATGCGTTCTGAACACCTATTGTACTCTGCGGTTCATTCTGTGGTGCGCTGAAGCCGCGTGGGTGCAGCCAGTGAGGTGCCGTAAACCCTTCGGACCGTGGCGAACACGAAGCAGGAAGTTCTTGTTCCTCATTCTTCGCTAATGATAGGGAACAATAACAATGCTCATCTATATAAGCTCTGAGTGGGTCCCCAGTAGCCATAGCGCTTACCTGCTACACCTCTAGAGTCCTCAGCCTCGAGCTGCTCTACTAATCGCCTCGGTCTCTTTGCCATCCATTCCAAAAGACCCTCACGCCCCACTTCACGCCTCACGAACTATATCACACCGACCACCTCTAATACTCTCATAACCATGTTCGCCTTCTCCAGCACCCCCTCCCTCTCCAACGGCTCGTTCGCCGTCGCAGTTGTCAAGAACCAAGTAATGGTTGTTCAAGGTATGTTGAGCCTGTTCCTCATCCTACGACCCGCGCTGATCGATGACCTTCCTCAGCTGCCCGATCGCACACCAAGCGCGACAAATACGTCGAGGTCAAGACCTTCATGCCCTTCGGCGAAGGTATCTTCCTCGCATCTGACGTCCCGAGCGCACGTATCGCCTCCTCCGACATCCTCAAGGTCCTTCCTCCTTTGGAGGACCGACTCCTCAACCAGGGCATGCTCGAGCTTCCCAAGAAGGCATTTTTCCAGTACATCGAGCTCAACTCCCGCCACCAGAAGCGCTACGAGGACCTCTGGAACTCGTGGGTCTCCAAGAATTGAATGGTCTCTTCATGAATTCAACCAACCTCCTCCCATCATGATCGCCCACTCCTATCATCCGCGACGTCTTCGACAGACACTGCGTTGTACCATTGTCTCTTCACCTCATGATCTGTACCATTTCCCAATACCCGCAAGCACACCTCTGTATTGACTACTATTTCTTCTGCCTGTCTCCAACCTGTAGCCCTAGTCTTATGACCTCTCCACTGTATTTTTAGTCCTGTTATGCCTCCTACAACCCATACATGCCTGTGATAAATACCTATACATATACCATTTGCATTTCCACATATTTCGGTCTTCATAGGAAGTACACAACCGCGGGTGAGGTGGAGGAAAAAGAAAGGTATATAACAGAAAGAGCTACAATGCAGATCTATCGTTAATGTGTGTTATACAACAAGATTAGTCGGATTCATCGTAATGTAGAACGATGTTGCGCAAGAGATCAGAGAGGGAGACCAAGAACCAAGAACCTAAGGTTCAAATCGTGTAACTATGTAGCTTGTGGAAAACCGACGTGAAAGTTAATAAAATATCATGCCATAGTCTAGGCCATTGATATACGCCTTAAGCAGATTTTGTGGCCGTTGGATCCCGATAAATCTGCAACGTAAAGCAACAACACATTAGCTTAAGTCCATGACGCCAACATCCAAAACAAAAGTACACACCTTAACATCCCAGATATTCCCAATCTTCTTATCCCCAGACACGAACTCATCCTCCACGTCCATACCGCTCTCCCTCGGACTGTCCTCGACAGCCGCCTCGAGCTTAAGGCCCTGCTCGTTGGCGAGATGCAACAGGCAGATGAAGCAGAAGCTCGTGCTGATTTCCTCCATCTTGTCGCGCGGGTACGTCCTGTTCAGGCCCGTTATAACCTGGCTGAACTGGCGCGACTCGGAGGGGTCGGTAGGTTCGAGGTCGTCTTTGTCAGCGTCGTCGACGTCCTGCAAAAAAGGAAAAAAAGAATAGGTTAGTCATAGAAACATTGGAAGGCTATGAAGACAAAAGAAAAAAGAGAAAGATACACACCATACTGTCCTCCCTCTCCGTCTCGCTCTTCGGCACCACGATCTCCAAGCCCTTCCATATATTCTCCTTCAGCTTCCTAACATCGACCCTCTTCGCCCTTTTCGCGTAATTGACGAACTCCGGTCTAACGCGGCGCGTCTGACCCTGCGTCGCAGCCAACAGGTCCTGCTCCTCTTCCGTCCCACCGACACTCATGCCCCCGCCCTCGCCGTCGTACCCCCCGTCGTCGTCGAATCCGGGCCCGAAGTCGTCTTCGTGGAAGAATTGAGTGTTGAAGGGAGCTGGGGCGTCGTTGGCTAGAAAAATAAGAATGTATTAGGTTTTTTTTCCTCCTTGACAGGGATGGGAATTGACATACTCTCGTCACCGTCATTGTCTCGGTTAGCTGCTTGGTCTGCTGCTGCTTGCGCCCAGAAGTTCTCGTCGACCTCACCGTCGCCATTCTCATTAATCTTTGCTCGTCTTCCTCGCATTTTCAGCTGTTGATAAGAAAATGGCGACTAAGTTTACACTTAGAGGAATTACAAAGGTAAAACCACTCACGAAGAACTTGGGCTTCAAGAACAGTGTAACGAGCTGCTTGCTCGAGAAGTGCATATCATCAGGCAGCCTATGGTCGTCGACCTTCTCTTTCTTCTTCTTGCCCTTCTTGCCTGTTGTAGTGCCTGTGCCCGCAAGGTTGATTGAACCAAGCTTCGCAGGCTCCGCGAAGAGCTCCTTGGTCAGCTCCTTGATGGTCTTTTCGGGAGGAGACATGAAGTCGATCTTCGTCGCTTCCTTCTGCCGTTTGTTGGGTTTGCTAGCTCTGGCATCCGTCTCCGCCGCTGAAAAAGTCGTTTCTATCAGTTTTGCTCGAAGATTTGAGGTTGAAATAGACCTACGTCTCCGGATGACCTTTCTCAGCTTCCAATGCTCGGGACCAGCCCAGTTTTTGTGGAAGTTCTGATCAAAGTAATCGAGAGTCCCTCCGTCTCCATCAGCCATTGCCAACACAAAATTACGCTCAGTAGGCATCTGTCTTGGGTCGAAAGGTACGAAAGGACCTGTACGGCTGGGCTCTCCTTCGGCCGCAGGCTCAAATCCACCATTATTCGATTGGTTATCGTTGTCGCCACCAAACTCGTCCCCGCCCATGTCACCAAAATCGTCGTTAACAGCGTCGGCACCGACGAAAAAGTCCTCGACGGGGGCAGTGTCGCCCGGGTCCATGTTCATCCCGCCATCGCCGTCAGCGTCGTCGTCATCGGACCCGAAGTTCCGCGTGTTGTCCGCGAAGAAGGTCGTGTCGTCGAACGTGAACGCGTCTCTGGCAAAGGAGAACCCTTCGAGGGAGTGCGAGATTGCCTTGTCCTCGAGGATGCCGAGATCAGGGAGAAAGTGTTCTAAGGGGCGAGGGTCAGATCGTAAACATGAAATAGGGGTTGTAAGAAATATAGTGACTCACTTCTTAGGTAGCTGAGATCGACGTCGTCTTCTGGTTCTTCAACGACCTCTTCTTCCTCGACTTTACCCATAGGGTCGCTAGCGTCGAAAACGACCCGCATGCAACCCTCCGAGCCAACACCCAGCGAGAGATGGTTCATCAAGAGCCCACCAGCCCCGCCTTCGTCGAAGTCGGCACACGTCTTCCTGAACAAAGGGTCGACCGCAAACTCCAAATCCGGCTTCTTGTTCTTGAGCTGGGCGGGATCTTTGACCAGCGTCGAGTTCTGGCCACGCTCCTTGCGTTTTTTTGGCTGCGACTGGTCGCCATCGGGGTTGTCAGAGTCGTGCCCTTCGTCGTCTACATTCGTACCGCCTGTCTCGAGGTTGCTGAGCAGCTTGCCCGTGTCGGTGCCGACGCTGTCGACGCGACTCGTCCAGATCTTGACACAGCCGTCGAGGGTACATGACGCGCGCTGGAAGTTGATAGAGTTGTCGTCGTTGTTCCGCAGCAGCGACATGTCGTGGAAGTAGTCGATGAGCGCGAAACTCCATGAATTCTGCGCGTTGATTTTCTGTAGGCAGAAGAAAAAAAAAGATGTTTAAGGTCTAATTGGACGTAGATGGACAGTGCAAACTCACATTATCGGTCGCCATCTTCATCCATTCCTCGTAATTCGAGCTCATTACGTCGCGGGAGACGTTGATGACAGGCAGCGCGACTGTGTTGAGTTTTTGTTTCGCGGGACGCGATGACTCCCCTCCAGCAGCCGGTGCCCCCTCCTGATCTTGCGTTCCCTCAGTCGAAGGCCCCGCAATGTTCTCGATAACATGGATCTTCGTGCTCTTTCTTCGTCTCCTCTTCTCCGCGGCATCGTCGTTGATATTCACTGATCGGAGCGGGGGCCGGCCTCCTTCCCCTCCGCCAGAAAAGCTGCCTTCGCCATCGCCTGACCGGTGGACCTCACTGAGGCGTTTCTTGAGTTTCTGCGGTTTCGGAGTGTGCTCCTGCTCCGACTCCTCTTCTGTGTCGTCGGCATAGAGTGACTGGGAGGCATTCGGGGACCGTGCTCGACGCGCGGGAGCCATTATAATCGTCGTCTTCAACAAAGGTTGGTTGGTTGAAGACACGTGATCCTGGCAGTCGCGCGACGCGTAACTCTCGCGTCACAGTCACGTTTGCGTCATTTGTCTGCCGTCAGCACAAGCTTTCGTTTGACTCTCATAAATTGAATTTCCTCCGATACTTTCCTCCGAGGTCTCTAATTCTTGTGGTTTGTGAATACGGCCCTCTAATTAGACTTCCGAGCTTACGTTTCACTTCAAAGCTTCACTTCTGGCTTCACTGGCTAGTCAACCTGGAAGCTTGACTCTTCAAGTTTGGCAAATCCAAGACGATCTGCCAGCTGCCCTCACCCTCGTCTTCTTCAACCACCATGTCTACGAGTCACGAAGCGCTCTCTTCAAGTAAACTGGCTGCTGATCTGAATTTGCCCTCTCGACCACCTACAGCCTCGACTCCTCTATGGGCGCATATTCTTCGCCCCAACAGCCAAGTCCCAACCTCTCTATCGGATGTTCGTGTTGTCGCCCCTCCGACGGTTCCTCTGGACAAAAACGCGACTTCTATGCGTGTCCTCTTGCACGATACTCAAGCCAACTTTGAGAAGTTCACTAATCATGTTACCAAGTTGACCGAGGGGATTAAGGAGACGAAGCACGAGATGAAGACTGTTCACTCACTCTTTGAACGCGACAGAGAGTCTCTTATGGGAGATATAATTGATCTAGGTAAGCACACTTGCAACCATTGGTGCTTAGAGCGCATACACGAGGTAGTAAACGACTCATCGTTCTTCAGTTAACAGGGTTCAGAAAGAAATTCAAAAATGTGTGGGATCTCCTTGCCAAACGGAAACAGTCGCTACCTTCTTCAAAGACATCACCCATCGTTTGCAAGGGTTAGACCAACGTCTCGAGGCAATGCAATCAGTAGTCTCTGTCCTCATTTTTTGTTGGACATCGCTCATAGCTACGCCTACAGTTCAATCAAACGCATTCACAAGCCCTTCAGACTCAAATACAAGCCATTCAAATACTACTAGATAAGCAAGGCAGCATTGTGACCGCAGTCCTTCCGTTGCTCCCTCTCTTGCAGGCCGTTCCACTACATATTGATGCCGCTAAGAACGACTTGAAAGAGGCCATTGCCAAACTTGCCACAGCAACACCCAAGATTAAATCTAGTTTGGTCTCTTCACGTGGAAACCGCCATTCGGTCTCTCCATCGCCCAGGACGACTGGGAAGCGGAAACGAAACAACGAGGACGGAAGGCAGATATCTACCGCCCAGTCATCAAATTCTCCATCTCATTCATCTCCAATTCTTTCTGCAAAGCGACCTCGGCGCGAAAATTCACCTAATGTTTCCCCAGCTTCCCTATCAAAAAGCGACGAACCACCCTCATTTCCTCGACAACCGCCCGCCCTTCCTTCTTCCCCCAGCATCCCGGTCCCTGCGCCGCATGGAAACGACGGTGGCGCCCCGCCACCTTCCGGTTTTTCTCCAGCTGCTGTAGTTGCCGCATCTCCGAGTTGCAGACCAGGAAAAAGTCGTTCAACCCTCGACCGAGATAAGCAAGGCACACTCGCGGCACCAGTGCCTGCTCTCGTTCAGGATTCTGCATTTGCTACTCCGCGCCGCCCTCTTGCCGACCTACAGCTGCCCTTGCCTCTGGATAGAACATCTCGACCGCCCTCTGTCAATCGTTGCCAGCAAGGGCCTGTATTTCCTCCTCTGCTTAGAACTCCGAGCACAACTGTGGCCATCGGTACTACGTATACCTCTGTCTCTGAGCTATTTGGAACAAGGGCTAGGACCAGCAGCAAGGCCGACCTTGAGAAAGTGGAGCGCCAGCTAAATCGATCTGCACCCGCCGCACGACCTCCGAGGATGCTTCGCATGCACACTTCGCTGGCTACTCGGAATAATCCCAATCCCGCTGCTGCCATTGGCGCCCAGAGCAGTTCTGTTACAATCACGCCTGCTAACATCGCACCCTCTGAATCGACGTTGACTCCTCTGAAAGCTGGGCTCCAAGTCGTTGCTCGCGAAAATCTTCTCGGACGCAGGCAAAACACATCTTCTCCTCTGAACGTCGCTGATCACAGATCTAGCCCTCTCGGTTTGGGCGGCCATAACATGGGAACAAGGATTGATGACTTGCTTTCTCGCTCGCGCTCTCGTTCTGGTTCTGTATCTCGGGCTGTACCTGTTGACCCGCTCGCTATCTTCAACAGACACCCAACGCCTGCCCCTATTGCTGAGGCACCCAAACAAGAAAATGCCGAGCATGATACCGCTGTTCTCCCGCCACCGCAGAAGCAAGCCCAAGTGCAACCAACCGCTGCTCGATCTCGCTCTCGGTCAGCTTCTGTCTTGTCGGTGTGTATGGCCGTGCCGAGGCCGAAAGGCAAGAATATACCCCTCGCTGCTGCACTTGGCAGGATGAAGGAGAGGCGTTCGCCTGTAGTGAGTCTTGCTTCCTCTACTCTGACCCTGGAATGCAACGGCAGAGCGCCTACATTTAAACGGATCTAATGGCCTATTCTTGCAGAAAGACGGGAGACGGTTCATCCCTTTGATGGACTCGGAGGACGACGATGATGATTGAGAAAGACGTTCATAGCCAACTTAACATACTGTCCAAATTTTGTTCTTTGTTAACAGCTGCTTTATATTATCACCCTTTCGCACTCCGATATTCGTAGCTCGCAAGAAATTGGGAAGAGACTCAGAGTCCTTATATTTTTCACTATATCATTGTATCATCAGATGCGTGCTATTCCTCCACCTCGCCAACCCAAATCTCCACCGGCACTCCACCAGCGCCAGCCCTCTCGCCCACTTTCTGGAATCGAATCCCAACACCTTTCGCCGTCTCCCAAAACGTCCGCTCGTCCTCGTCCCGCTCCTTGTACCCCAACAGAATCACGGGTGGCTTGGGTCCGAGTCTGATCAGACGTGAGAGGGTCCGCGCGAGCGAGGGAAAAGAAGCGGTATTGTATGAGACGTCCGCCATCCTATAAGTTGCAGGGGTCAGGACAGGTGTTGTTCTATGGGAATTAGTTGAGAAGAAAAGCAGTAAAGACGCACAAAATAGCATCCAGCCCTCCTAGATCTTTCACTTCGTCAGGCAGCTCGTCATCGTCCCAGTCGAGCACTAGCGCCTCCGGTTTCACAGAGGTGTAGTACTGCGAGTTGGACGCGATGTTTTGCTCGAGGAGGGGCATCGCTGAGGCTAGAGGTCGCGCATTCCAGTCAAGCCTTTTCAATAAAGTGGGGATGGGAGAGACTTACGGACATCTGTTGCGATGATTCTGTCCTGTGCCCGCTCAGATGATGCATCCTGTGACAATCCCGATCGGAGGACTGAGACTGCGATGGAGACGACACCTATGCCAGTGCCTGAAATTCGATCTCTGAGCAGAGTACCGATATCCTAAGCACGGAATGAACGAACCTGGCTCCAGTATCGTTCTCGGCTCTGGAGAGAAGAAAGCCGACCGGACGCTCTGCAGGCGCGGGTCCGCCTCGGTGAGAGCAGGATTTTCGAGGAGCTCGACCAGCCAGGAGCTCAGACCGATACCGCTGTCCCAGATTTTCTATAGGGCTGGAGGTTATGAGATCCAGAGACCACTCGATAGAGGCAGGAAAACGGAAGCAACGCAAAGCTCACCTTGTCCAGGTCGAACGAGGTCTTTTCTGCGAAGACCACCTCTGCCGTTGTCTTGTCCTGTTCACACTCACCCTCGCAAAATGCCCTCCAAGGCAACGTATAGCACCTCTTTACCATCTCCTGCTTCTTCTCGCTCTTCCCTCCTCGCGCAGAAAAGAGAACAGGCATGGACATAACAGAGAACGGCACCAGCCCGACATCCGCCCTAGTGAGGTCGATGACCTCTGAACGCTCATTTCCATGGCTCGGAGATTGTGAAGTCAAAGTGAGCGTCCACTGCTGCCCTTCGCGCACCCCACTTGGGAGCGGGACGGGAATGGGTTTGTACGCTGTCGAGGGACGGAGGGTGGTCAGTTTTGTTGGTGTCGCCTTGCTTTGGTAAGCATTCTTTTTGTGATCTTGCAGTCGACCTTGAGAAGGGGATGGGATGGATAGTGACCAGGTGTAGAACAGGTCTTGGGCGTTGCCGAAGGTCTCTGTGCGGAGGTCGTTCGAGATTTGGGGTGTGATTTGGATGGTGCCTGAGAGAGGCGATTGCAGGGGTGGTGGGCGGAGAAAGGATAGATAGAAGAACATCTCTTCCTTTCGGTCTTGTTGGTTGACGTCGACGTCCAAGAAGAGATAAAAAGATCGGGTTTGTGTGGCTGTGTAGGTGCCATCACTGGGATTGCCATTGCCAAAAGCAGCTGATCGACACTGATCAAGGTATCCAGCACAAACGCCTTCCACGTTTTTGCAATGGTTCATTGACTCTCGGTTTTCATTCCATAGACCATAGATATATTAAATCTATGCAATAAAAGGGTACCGCCGGCATCGATTGTATACCTTTTGCATAATCGGGATTTGTCCCTAGATTAGCGCCAACTCGGAAGTTCTGCAGACCCAACTTTCCAGCCTACCCAGATAACGTAGCACTTGCCGATATTGTCATTAGGAATGCGCGATACTTCCCAGCCTCCCAGCCCTAGCCAAGCTTCCAGAAACTCTCTCATGACGTCCTCCGCTCGCAGCTCTGACATCACAAGCACTGCCGTGCGGCCTGGAATTGTTAGATAATCCAGCGTCGCCACAAATGGGGCGATAAGGGAGGGGTGGTACAGACAATCCACGGCTAATAGAAGGTCGACTGGGTCCGCTTGTGTGTCATATATTTTGTGACGGAGCGAATGAGGGGTGGAGGAGAGCGTGAGCCAGTCAAGTTCTTGGGCTGAGATGTTTGTGGGAGATCGTGAGGAGGAAGAATTGAGAACGATGTTCTTTTGGATGAGGGGTATCAAGGCTCCGATGTCTGTTACGGTATATTGGCGAACGAGAGGCGAGAATGCAACACCTAATAGTCCTGTTCCGGCACTGTTCTTGCATCAGGGAATAGGTCTATAATATTCAAGAGAGGAGACGGCACACCCGAGTTCCAGGATGTGCTGGGATTGAAGAAGGTCGTTTCTCAGGAGACTGCGTTCGGAGTGTGAGTAGTAATCCTGCAATATCATCTGCGCAAAGTCGATGCTGGAAAGATCCCTCAGAATGTGCCTGAAGCGACGGTAAGTATAGTACCTCGCTTTCCACAGGACACTGCCAGTGTCCCCTTTCCTGCTTCGAAGAGCGGTCTTGTCCTGATGCAGTTGGATCTCAATGCTTTTGTCAGTTCCTTTGGTATCCTTTGATGCCTTCGGGCGCCTCTTTCGCTTCCTGTCATCGTGATGATCACATAGATCGGCGATATTCGTGAGCTCGAATTTGAGGTCAAGAACATCCTTATGCGAGTCGAGGTACCCTAGTCCGCGAAAATTATCAGCCACCTCGGGAGCGCGGATGATCTGCTTCTCGGAGTACAAAATGAAAATCTGTTCATTTAAGGACCCATCAACATGCGGTGCAGATTACAAGTGGCGTACGCACCTCTTCGTCTGCGTCGGTGATGAGTTCACATTCTGGAGAGAGCCTAATCGGTCCTCTAAACTCGGGCTCTTGGCTCTCCATGACGAGTAAACGCGGTCAAGAGACCATATCTTCCGACCGAGGGGGCTGGATGCAGATGAAAGGGACAAAGGTCAGGGTCGGTTGCAATGCTCAGGGTCTTGTGGCGGGCCTCCCAAACAAGGCAAGCCACGCACGTGACGCCTCCTACAACTCTGCGCCTACGCAATTGGCATTACACTCCTTCTCCGCCTCCACCCCAATCCACCGAGCGCCGCGATGGCAGACGACGGCTACATGTCGTCCACAACGACCACCGCCTGGGAGAGCGGCCCAGATCTGCCGCACGGCGACCACACTCACAACATGGCGGGCACGGGAACCGGGTACGGTACTGGCAGGCCGTCGTTCCAGTCTCTCGACTCTGTGGACGAGGACCATCCTTCATCGACGTCGGCGGCGCCGGCGGGAGGCGTGCACGCTCATGCGCATGGCACGTCGGTATCGCCCCAACCCCGCTCGAGCACCGAGTCCCACCCCGCTTCCCAGCCATGGCGAGACAACGCGCCCCCCCTCTCCGCCATACACAGTAGTGGCACGCCAAGCCTGGTCGAGCCGACCTTTGACGAGAATGTACTAAGGGCTCTTTGCGAGCTGGACGTGAGTGCCAATGCTGGTTATCGCTACGGTGCACCCCCTGACTTGTGTGGCATAGTGCGGGACGCCCTTACTCCTGGATCGAATCAAGCAAAGCATGATCTCTTGTCGAGTGAGGCAAATTATCTTCGTACTCCAAGTTTAGAGATTAACTTAAACTTTCGTCCAGGAAGCGGCGGCCTTTTTCAAGAAACGAGCAGTCATCGAGGACGAATACGGAAAAACACTACAGAAATTGGCTAGAACAACTTCAGAGGTGTACGCTATGAACGACGGGAAAGCTGGGTGAGTTTCCATTGTCTTTCTCAGCAATTCTCTGGTGGGGCTGTGAAGCTCGCGACTTGGACAGTTTTTCCGGCTTGTCGGACGAGCCTCCGCATTCGAAATACTCTCGGCTCGACACTGTGGGGCGCGCCAGAACACTTTGTAGGAGGATAGCTCCTTGGCGGACCCGTTCTATGTCCCTGGGGCGACCGCTATCCTCATGCCTTCCTCTTGCTGTTCGTCACACCGTGCACAATTATCTCATGCCCAGCATCCCACAGGACTTTCGTGCACGCCTGGCAATCTTCCATGAAGATCCACGAGCAGATGGCCGAGAACAGACTGCGCTTTGCGCAGCGACTAAACGAGATGGCCGATGAGCTGAGCAACTTGGTGAAGGAGGTGGACAAGAATCGGAAACAGGTGCGTCTTTATCCCTGCTGGCGATTGCTTTTCCGTGGGTGGGGGCTTGTTAGCACGTTCGATGCCCGGTTCAAGGTTCGGTTGGCTAGATGGATGGGTTGCATGACGAATCAGTGTCATATTTTCCAGTGGATATTTTCGACAATGGAATTTTAACTGTGCAGACAGTTCTCATAACGCCCACCCTTGAGTCAATGTCGTTGCCCGCTAGTCCAGCTCCTTGTCTTACGTCACTCATCTTTACTAACGCGTTCCACTTCCTTTGCTTGCAGACTAAGGACCTTGCCTCACGATACGAACGTGCACTCCAAGAATCTGAAGCTCTTACGGAGAAGTGTAAAAACCGTCTAGACTTCACCTCTGAAGAGCTGGAACGCGTGCTGCTGCAGAAGGAAGGCGAGTCGCTGAAGGATAATGCCGTACAGCACCGACCTGGAGGTGCAGGCGCTGGAGGAAAGAGGGCCATTGGGAAGGCAGTGGCGAAGGGTGGGATGTTACTGAAGGGAAAGAATCCTGGGAATGTGAGTTATTTTTACCGTCTCTTTCCTTTCTTTTCCATGGTGTACTGTTGGTCGGGTTTTCGTCGTTTGAACCCGAGTTCGACTCCAAATCGACTTTCTTTCCTTTTGGCGGCAACAACTGACCGAGGTACATTTTAACAGATCCAACGACAAGAAGACGACATTCGATCACGACTATCGGCTGCGTCGGACCAGTACAGAAAGGCGGTTACGGACACCCAGGCGACGCGACAAGAGTATTTCAATTTTCAGTTGCCTCGAATCCTAAGGGTGGGTACCCTTCCTCTTTTGCATCATTTTGCGACATCACAATTGAACTATCACCTATTCCTGTCTAACTATCTTTCTTTGTTCTCTGGGGGTGTGCCTAGTCCCGTTCCAACTTTGTTATCCTATGACGTCATTCGTACCACCAAGACTAACACTCTTCACTCTTTTGCAGGCCTTAAAGGAGTGTGCTGACGAGATCGACCTCGGCACACAATACCACCTGACACGATACGCCTTCTTGTTTGAGAGCATCGTACTGAGTGATGGGACAACACTAGTGCCTCCGGCGGAAGATGGTAAGTTCTCTCGTCCACACTCTATTTCAAACCCTGTTTCTCCACACCAATCACGTCGTCTAAACCTTGTTGCTAACTCTCTTTCTCCACACACCTGACTTCGGAATGCTAATTCCTCGGACAGGGATTGGGCTCAAGGGAACGATAGAGACTATCGACAACCGCGGGGATTTCAAGACGTATATGCAGAACTACGCATTCGCGCGTGGTAGCGCACCTCCAAGAGGGCCACGCAGGGAAGGTCCGTCCGACGAAGGCTTCGTGAGTTTAGCTTCTTTTTTTCTCTATTATTTTCTTCCGTTTAATGACTCCGCTAAAGCTGCCACCGCTACCCTCGTTCACGGACAAGTCACACACAGCGTCCACGCCTGTTTCCGTCAATCCTCTTTCTGGATATACCTCTGCGCTACAAACGAACGGTCATCACGCGCATGTGCACCAGCAGAATGTGGCAGACAAAGGACGGCCGACGTTCGGCGTTGACCTCAACGAGCAGATGCTGCGCGACAACGTCGAGGTGCCGCTGATCATGGTCAAGTGTTGCGAGGCCATCGAGAAGTACGGAATAATGAATCAGGGTATCTACCGGGTTAGTGGGATTACGAGTCGCGTGGCTAGCCTCAAGGCGAGGTTGGATAAGGGTACGTCGTCGTCTCTCTTGTCTTTCTTCTTTCTCAGGTTGGGCATATGATCTCTTTTATTAATTTCGCGGTGAAAAATTCTTTAGACCTCGAAGCTGTCGACCTAGATGCGCCGGAGTGGTCGGGCGAGATCAACAACGTCGCCAGTGTGCTCAAGATGTGGTTACGCGAGCTGCCCGACCCTCTGCTCACCAACACACTACATCAAGGGTTTATTGAAGCTGCTAGTGCGTGCCGTATTTCTTATCTCTTCTCCGTCCATCTCTACGGAGAAACACGACTGACGACATCGTTTTTTTTCCTCCATCTGTTACCCCTTGCCGTCGCGTGGCCTTTCTTTTTCCACTTATCTCTCCATCGCTCTTCCGCTGTGCCTTTTCTTGTCGCCTCGTCGCCTGTCGTCCCCGGATCCGGCTATACATCTGCCTACATCTCTACCTCCGTCATCGACGATGCGGGATTGAATTGAACAGAGATCGAAAACGACCGACTGCGGCACATTCGGCTACATGAACGCGTCAACGAGCTTCCGGACGCCAACTATGCCACCCTCAAGTACTTCCTTGGTCACCTGCATCGGTATGTCGTTCGTTTTCTATTCAGTTTTTTTGACGTTTCGATCGCTTTTGCATTCATTATCCGACTGTGTCCCTTTGCCCCATGGCGATGGCGCAGTCGCACTCCTGCTCTTTTTCTCGTTGTTCTTTTCCCTTCGTTCCGTATTCCGGTGGCCCCATGGATGAGACCATCTTCTCTGCTGCACACCAACACACCTTTTTGAGATTGCGTGTTCCTCTCGTCCTTTTTCCATGATTCGATTCGGTGGTTCTGACGAATTGAATGAATTCCTTTGCGTCATCATCTAATCATTTGGTATGTACAGGATAAACCAGCACGCGGCAGAGAACCAGATGTCGATGCAGAACCTCGCAATCGTGTTCGGGCCCACTCTCTTCGGCCAACAAACGGCAGCAGCAGCAGCTGCTGCAGGTGTCAACGGCCAAGGAGGTGGCAGCGGTGGTGCCATGGCAGATGCGTCCTTCCAAAACCTGGTGAGTAAACATCATTGTCAGCCATAAACCCGCGTATCGCGTCCTCCGAATTTTCTCCATGTCCCTCTGTCAGTTGACTGACTAGTTACGTTCGTTTCAGGCGATTGAGACGATCTTGAATCATTACATGGATATCTTTATCGATGAGAATGAGTAGAATGAGTAATGGGCCGACGAGGATTTGGTCGGTCGGGTCTCCGTCTGCCTCGGTTGCATCCGCTTTGTGGACGGTCAGTTTGTTGTGTCTGGGTTCTTTTTTTCCCCCTTTCCTTCTTTTGTTATACCCATACTCCTTCACACATCCTTTCCCCCTTCTGATCTACCCATTTCCCCGGTATTACCTATTGGCGCATGCTCTGGTCAAGGACGCTCTCTCTTGGTCACAAGCCATCTTTTTTCATTACCCTGTTCTCCGTTCCAACTTTCAACCTCGGATATCCATCATGTAATGTATTTCATTCACCATCTCAACGTGTAGTCTAGGAGTAAGTAGCGTAGCATAAAACTGTCTTCACCCCCGAATTCGCCATCCCTGTCATCCGCCCCCCTCCCCTTGTCATAGTACTCGTCTCTCGTCTTATTTATTCTGCTATCCCAACGCACTGGGTCCCATCACGGTACGGTAAAGTAGGTACGATAATAATAGGCATGTCATTTGTTTCCATTCAGTGCAGCCAGCCCGGAGGAGGCAGTTGGAGGGCTAGAGGTTGAGTCTGTCTGCAATTAAAGCGGCTCGTGCACCTCGTCATTTCGGTGAATCGTCCAGGGGCAGGAACCTGGAAGTTGAATGTCGGACATGATTTCGGCGGGTTGAGAAGCGCACACTCGCAAGAAAGAAAGTGCCTGATGGATGATAAGCCGGCCTTGGAGGCCTATAGTCTAAGCTCGTCGATCGTTTCATTCGTACAGAGCAAACGCGGAGATTATAGATGCTACATAGTGTGTGTACGGCCTTGCCTGTTGCGAGATACTCGGAAAGTCTAATCCTAGCCAGCCACCAACGATACGCCGTCCCTAGCTAATTCCTAATTCTGGACAAGAGCCCATACGCCTGCGCCAGTGGTGGTGGGGTCGAGGACCCACTCTGTCTGCGAGGGGAAGATGATGCGCCGGAGGGAGGGGCAGGCGCGGCTCCATTCGCGGCACAGCCCGAGCTCCTCGAGCGAGTCGGCGCGCCCGACACCGTCGATGCCTGTGGGCGAGAGGTCGAGGAAGGCGAGCTGGTCGAAGGTGTGTAGGACGGAGGAGAGGCCTGCGAGGATGCGCTGTGGGTTGTGTGGTGTGAGCAACGGTGTGATTGGGTTTAGGGTGAATGAATGGGGACGTGTTTTCGGTCGGTGCATGCAAAATCAGCGAGGCACGCCAGGGGAGAAAGTCGGGAAAGGGCAGGAAAGAAACGACGTCAGCGATAGGTAGGTTTGAGTTAGGGCGGACAAACGAAAGCAGAAAGGAAGGAAGGAAGGAAACTCACGATACCGGAGAACGAGTAGTGCAGCGTGTGCCGGAGCGCGAGCTTGACGCGGAGGCTCTCTACAGCGGGGAGGTACGTCGACACGTTCCTCAGCAGCATCGGGCGGACGGACATGGCGCTGAGGTCGAGGCAGCGGATGGGGACGCTCGTGCGCGTCATCCTAGGCAGATTCTCGCGGTTCACGTCCGAGTCCTGCCCGGTCAGCGACACGTACTGCACGGGGCGCCCTGGGAGCACCGCTGCCGCCGCGTCGGGGGCGCCACGGAACGAGGACAGCAGTGGCAGGGCGCCCTCCGGGAGCGCGTCGAGCAGCCCCGCGTCCTCCGCGTGCACGTCGGACAGGCGTAGATGGCGCAAGGAGGCGAGTGGCGCGAGGAAGACGACGAGCGCCGGGGTGTATGTGGGCACGCCCTTGGTCCAGTCTGCCCCGAGCGAGCAGGACCGCAGCTGGGGGAGGTGCGCGCCGGCGATGACCCGCTCGACGGCGTGCTGCACTGGTGGTGGTGGGGGCGAGCTTGATAGGCTGGGGGACGCCGTCGATCTGTAGGGAGTGAAGGT